AGTCCAGGACCAGGGGAAACATATGTGCAAAAATAGGCTGTTTCCATTAATCACACAGGCCCGCAGGCGCAGCCACATAGCAACCAGTATCTCACGAAAAAACAGCCGAAACGCTGAAATGCAACTGACTTCGCCAGCCATACGGAACGAATCTGTTTATTCAAGGAAGTAGGGGGTCCCTCGCAGGGGTCAATACCAACATATTAATGTAAAAATTCCAGAAGAAAAAAAAAAAAAAAAAAAAAAACGGCAGATAAGAAGAAAGGGGGGAATGTGCAAGAAAACGCCATGCTGCTAGGCCCAATTCTCGACCGAGATGATGGACAGAAGGGCCCGGCAGGAAACGAGAACCCAAAAAATGTAGAACGAGTAGATGAGGGAAGAAACAAAACCAAAAGACATCACGCTATGCTGCTGCGGCCAGGTCTCGACCAGAAAAAAAACAAATAGAGGTCTTAGGCAAGCCAAGAGATCTCAGACAAGGTCAGACAGGCAGATGAGAAGAAAAGGAGCAAGAAACTGACAAGAAAAAAGCATCGCGTTGCGCTGGGCCCAGCTCTCGACCAAAAAAACTATGGACGGAGGGTCCCGGCGAAAACAAAGACAAGAGATCCCAAACAATGCAAGACAAAACAACACTTGACAGAAGCAACCGAGAAACTTTTCCCACGCAAACAAGATGGAGAAAATAAGTCAAATCATTATGCATCGCTCTTCCTGATGATACTTAGTTCAGCTTAGACTAAGGCGGGCTCAGGTTTGAAGGCGTTCAGGGCATGACGGAAAGAGGTGGCATCACGGTCTGCCACGGGACCAGTCCAGAGCTTGTCCAAGTATAGCTTGACCTCGGGCTGTGCGTCAAGTCCGGAGGTAAGACTCTCCTTGGATGGCCACTGGAGCTTGTCGAAGTCGCCGGAGGGGCAGTTGAGATAGAGCCACTGGGCGTCACGCGCAAACTCATCATCACCACCAAAGTCCAGGTTGGGCTGTTCAGCAACGATGGTGCCGGGAGACGCTGGGGATGGCGCAACTAGAGGACTAGAATAGCGGCTCGCAGTACGAAGTCCGCTAGGAGTCTTAGGTTTGTATTTTTCGGCCTGAGAACGGACCTTTGCAAGCGCGGTCTCGTCCACTTTAGCAGGCGTCGAAGGCGGCAGGGCAGCGTGACGGGGAGTGGGACGGGGAGGCGGGGACGGAGCACTGTGATTTGGTATTAGACATAAAAAACCGTTAATGTCAAAGGGACTTAACGGTAAAGAGGACTTACACTTCGGCAGGCTTGGTGGGCTCAGCGGAAAGAGCATTGGGTCTAGTAGGAGTATCCAGAAAGCCGTTAGGTCTGAGGGGCGATGATGCTTCCGAAGTCAGACTAGGCGATGGAGCAGAAGTCATGGAAATATCGCTAGGATCGGTGTCGTCGCTAAAATCATCATAGTTCAAGCAGAAGGTACCCTGAGTGTTGGGGATGAACCCAGGAGGCCGCTGAACAACAGGAGTCGGGGTCGCTGGAACGGGTTCAGCAGGCACAGGAGCCGATGAAGTTTCACCAGGAGAGAGAAACTGGCGTCCATGGTAAGGGTCGGTGGCACGGTCACGCAAACGTGCCTTGGACGGGGTGTCTTCGGGACTAGCATCGAAGCGAACTTTCTTGGCGAGAGGCCGCTCTGCGCGGAGAGCGTTGCGCAAAGAGGGCTTGATCGCGGTGGGAGGAGGGACAACAGGCGCAGACATCTCCTCGTCTTCTTCTTCACTATCAGAATAGCAGAAGTATCTCAAGTCCATGCCATAACTCGTCCCTGGAGGATTGGGAATGACATCTGGAGAAGGCAGGCGCTTGCGCTTCTTAGATTCTTGATTGCCTGGGGTTTGGGGTGGGACGTTAGATTTGTTGACAATTGTAGGCTGACGTTCAACGTCGGTAGTCTTTGTGGTCTCACCAATCGCCTCGCTTTGGGCTGCGGCGGCCAACACACCTTGAGCCTCGCCATTCGAGACGGGTTGAGCTTCACCAGCCAAAGTCATCTCGGTTGCAGTCGATGTGGTCTGATCGCTGGGTTCAGCGGTAGCAGAAGTCGAAGGCGCTTTGTAGGGTACATTATCAAAGCTTAAATACTTGGCTCTATCGTAGCGGGCAGGGAACAAAGAATAAGTCAAGTTGTGGGGGCTGGGAGCTTTGGGTTTAGGCTTGACCACTGGCTGATGACCGTTTTCAAAATCGAGAGGGGTAGCCACGGTGCGAGTAGAGGCATTGGTACGGTTGAGCCGCTCCGACGCGGGCTGCAAGACAGCTATTACTTGTCAGCATATGTGAAACTTCAGGGCGGTCTCATAAAGAATAGAGAAGTAAGGCTTACTTGTATCTTCATCTTTCTCAGGAGAACGACCGAATCCAGGGATGTAGCGCGAGAAAGAGCGAGGGACAGAATTGAAAAGACCACGGATGTTCCAGCCGCGCTGAGGGGTCTGGGGAAGATCACTCTCCGAAGTGACGGCAGCAACCTGATTCTCTTGATCTTCCAAGTCTGCTTGATCAATCGGGTGGGCCATGGGTTCGCATGGAGCCTCAAAATCGGGCGTCTCTGACCCATTTGCGCTCGCGCGGCGATCAGCTTCCACCTGAGCCACAAGTTCTGGGAGACGGAACAAGGTGGTGTAAAGGCGCCCTTCGCTCTCCACGGTCCTACGGCGAAGTCGCTCTGAGAGAGGTTTAGCCCGTGATGAAATCAGCCTGGAGGCAGGCGACAAGCGACGACCAGCAAACGGAGTGCTTCCAGCGGGACCTAGATTACGCCGCTTGGCCGCGGGGGTCCCAAGGGCATGTTCTTCTTCGTCATCACTGTGTTCGACGCGAGAACGTTTCTTGGTTTCTAGGGGTTGAAGAAAATGATTAGCTGCGACACCTTTGCAGAATGAAGTTCGGAGACCTCACTTTTTGCACCCTTGCGTCCTTTAGGCTTCGCGGTTTCCACTGCCTTGGGACTAGGAAGCTTTGGTTCAGCCGCAGTCTCGATCTGGGCTTCAGTTGGAACTTCTGACACTGGCTGCTGTTCCTCGATCGGCTCTTCATTATCTTCTGGGCCTGATGTTCCATTAGAAAGGCATAAGAATATCAATGATAGATCTGTACTTACTGGTACTCTTTGTACTTGTTCTCTTTCCCCGAGAAGCAGCTGTCTTGCCGGGACGTTTACGAGCAGAAGGCTTCGTGGGCTTTTTGATCGTGCGTTGGGTGGTTTTGGGAGGCGCGGGGGCGGATGGGTGTGTTTCTGGAGGTTCGCTGCTGGCCTGTTTTTTGGCCCGAGATCTCGTAACGCGAGCAGGCTTCAGGGGCTCAGAAACGGCGGTTTCGATGCTCTCAACGATCTGCGTGGAGTTCTTGGTTTGCGAACGAGTGCGCGCCATGTTGACGGAGCTCGCGTGTCGCAAGACACAACTCTATGTAGCAGAGGATCAAGATCAGGTGTCGCGTCTGAGAATCTATTGTGGCAGATGGCGGTGGTAATAGAAGCGCGAAGAGCGCCGTTCGCGGGTCTCACTCCCCTGTTGACTTGGAAACCCACGCAGGTGGGCGAGGAAAGGAGAGATCGCGAGAGACAAGAGAAGGGTGAGGAAAGAGGATTTTATACTCCAAAGCTATTGAAGAACTTTCTTTTGTCTCGCTGCGTCTTTGAGAAAGGCAAGAGCTGGTTGCAGATGGAAAGTCCCGGGCAACGAGTTGGTGAGGTGGTGTGAGGATATTCTGCGGAGTGCGCGCTGAGGTCGAAATTCTGGTAGTGACGTCCGGCAGAATCGTATTTGTTAGGCGGTCAGCGCGCCACGTCGCCGCCCTGGGCGCCTAGACAACCATTCCAAAAAGGGAAGTATTAATCGCCTGTGTGGTAATATTACCTCTCTCTACATACCTATGATTGTTGGAAGGAACATAAAGAAAAGTGTCTATTCTTGCTTCAAAATGCTTAATTAGGTAGTTTCTTCGGTCATATACTAGTAGGTTTCCACACTGGAAAGTTTGAGGCTGCTATGTATTGCTATACAGAACGAGGAGAATAGTGAGAAGACAGCGAGGCTAGGGTGATATGGTGCTGCTGCGGCTGGTATATTTCGGTAGTTCACATATCATCCATCTGGGTTGGAAACACGGTGTTTGTAATATCATGTAGACTTTTCCACCTGATCATTCAGAAGAGGCACAGATGAAAATGGAACAGAGGGTTGAGAATATCAAATAGGCTTATAAATATGCAAGATATTGAAGAAAATAATAGTACATGCCGCTCTAGCCCTCCTAAATAAATAACCTCGCTGAGAGCCGTAAAGTAAAGAGGGCAAAGAGCCGCTTATGCTCTCGAGCCGTATATCGCTCAGTTTGGCCAGCATTCGATATCACGCAAAGCTGGGCACATCCCTAATGGTACAAGGAAGACATAGAACAGGGGATAGTACTCGGTTCTCCTACCGGATAGTGATTTCACCCTTCCAAGCGGCGTCCGACAAGCCCAGAGTCTCCATGAGATTCAGCCATCTAGGGCCACCTCGCTCCTTCTTTCGCAGGTACTGAAGCAATCCCTGTCTCTTGTGTACCAACAGTCTCAGGTTCCGCCTGTTGTGTTTGTCTCTTTTCGCGGTCTGCAAGTGCTTGGACAGGTTCAGAATTTTGGCAGTCAGAATAGCGATCTGCACTTCCGAAGAGCCACAATCAAGACCAACTCGTGGGTTCTTTTCCAGGTTAGTTTTAGTTTTCGGTAGGGCCACTGGGTTGGGCGGTAGAGAGCCGTCGGTGTTGTGTCGACCGAAAGTTTCGATACACTTCTGGGTGATCAGGTGCATCCGGTCCTGGCTGTCTCCGTTCGACAAATTCACAATCCGATTGACTGCTTCCTCAGCATTCCGGTGTTCTTGGAGATGTCTTTCAGCCGCCTCCTTTTCCAGCTGAGGATCTGCCAAGTCACGATCGAGGGCACCGTGAGGGAAGGTTATGTTCTTCGAAAATTCAAGAGCAGCGTCGAGCTCGTCTGGCGAAACGTAGAAATTGATGTTTCGCGACTTGCCTTGCACAGGGCCCTGGGTCTGCAGTGACATGATCTCTTGAATAAACGGTGTTGGCTTGCTCTCCACCGGATCCCCCAAAGCAACTTTTCGTTCTTCTCGCAAGACCTGCTGACGGCTTGAATTGGCAGCCTTGCGCCGGCGCGCTAATGACTGCAGAAAAGGATCATGTCGCCTTCTTTCCCGGCTCTCCGCAGATCCGGCTCTGACAGAGGTTTTCGAGGGGTTCAATGCGAGCGCAACAAGAGGGTTTTGGACGAAGGAAGAGCCTGAACGTAACAGTGAGACAGGAGACAGACTAAATCATTAGAAAATAAGGAACTACAAACCAGTAAAGGCCTTGAATGCAGGCTGCAAAGCAATGCGTGGAGTCATGCTGACTGCGAGGCTCAAGCAGCGTGTTTCCTTCCTTTAGCAGAAAGAAAGTCCCGTCATCTCCAAAAGCCTTGGGATCTTCTCTGCCAAGGCTGAATAATATCCGCTAGACCCGATAAGTACAGCTTACCACGTGATAAAGCCCCTATACCCAAAGGAGGTTGGCAAGACTTGGCATTGGCTGTCAGCCCTAGCCCTAGTTCTCACAACCCGCAAGCGAAATTCTTTCGCCGTGACGGTCGGAAGAATCGAGCTCACCTTCGCGTCGGTCTTCTCCTCTACAACCTCGCGACAAGCGCCATTCGATTGATATCCCCAGATCAATTCGATTCTACCATATCAATCGCCCACCATGGCTCCCTCTCAGCTTCCCCCGATCTTCAACCCTACCTCCCAGGACATTGAGATGCTCCTGGCCGCCCAGTGCCACATGGGTTCTAAGAACCTCCAGGTGCACATGGAGCCTTACCTCTGGAAGACTCGCCCCGACGGTGTCAACGTGATCAACATTGGCAAGACCTGGTACGCTCTATGAAAGAAATCGGTTGCCGCAATTTATAATGCCTGGGATGCTAATTAGGCCAACAGGGAGAAGATCGTCCTGGCCGCTCGTATCATCGCCGCCATTGACAACCCCGCCGATGTCTGTGTCATCTCCGCTCGTCCCTACGGCCAGCGCGCTGTCCTGAAGTTCGCCGCCCACACCGGTGCCACCGCCATTGCTGGTCGCTTCACCCCCGGTAACTTCACCAACTACATCACCCGCTCTTTCAAGGAGCCCCGTCTCATCGTCGTGACCGACCCCCGCACCGATTCCCAGGCCATCAAGGAGGCCAGCTACGTCAACATCCCCGTCATCGCTCTTTGCGACACCGACTCCCCCACCGACTTCGTTGACGTCGCCATCCCCACCAACAACAAGGGTCGCCACGCCATCGGTCTTGTCTGGTGGCTCCTTGCCCGTGAGGTCCTCCGCCTCCGCGGCACCCTCGCCTCCCGCGAGGTCGACTGGGACGTTGTTGTCGATCTCTACTTCTACCGCGACCCTGAGGCCGAGGAGAACAAGGAGATCGCCGAGGAGGCCAAGGCCGCCTCTGCCGAGGAGGTCGGCGCTGGTGCTATCGAGTCCGGATATGCCGGTGAGAACTGGGATGCCCAGGCTGCTGCCCCCGCTGCTTTCGCTGCCACCGGCGCTGGTGCTACCAGCTGGGAGGCTGATGGTGGTGACTGGGCTGCCGCTGCTCCGGCTCCTGCCACCGAGAGCTGGGCCGAGACTCAGCCCACCGAGGCCAAGTGGTAAATCTTGGATGAAGGTGAAGACTGTCGCTGAAAAGAACTCGGTCACATCCTGGGCGATTTGGGAGACTTGTGGCTTGTCTGCATTCTGTACGACATAGGCACACTAATACCCTCTTATCTTCCGCAAAAATCCCTTGACATGTCTATCCTAGTCTCTCTGTTCAACGATTCTCTCATACCAAACAAAAAAAAGAAACGAGGTTCAAAAAAGAAAAAGAAATCTTGAAGTCGGGCATCAGCCATGGTATGGTACCGCTCATTCTACATTTTTTTTTATTCCTGAAAGTCAAAATCTGTTTTACATCTCGCCTATTTTTATGCATCAGGGAGGAATTACGAAAAGTCAAAAAAACACATTGAATGGCGCTTATGAGGGAAAGATATCCAGTTGTTCTCACCTTTCCGTGGACCTCTGGGGGAAAGCCCTGTGCTGTCAATTTCACAAGGTGGACTTAATCGTGACCTTGGTTTCTCTCTGGTGTTTATTCTAGCCGTAATCAGACAAATACCTACTACATATATCCAACCTCCGTAATGCGCTTCTACGATCAGTCGAACAAGGGGTGTGGCTTCAGGTATCAACGGCTAGATCGGCCCTTACTACTCCGTACCTCCTGACTGATATTCTTCCTTGAATTCAGTGGTATAGGTAATTCTAGATCATATGTAGTAAATGTTATTTCGTAGATTTCAGGACCCGAATTCTTTTTTTAAAAAGCTGCTATCGCTGGCCCTCCAAGCCAGTTTTATGCTCGTTGATGGTTTTCCCCAGGTGACCCGGTGATGGTCATTCTATTGAGTAGGGACCATCTTATATTCCAACAAGACGAGCTGGTTGCTTCTGGTGATGTGATGATCCGCAGTACGGGTCCAAAGTCCATATCCATATCATAGCCCGACCCGGCCTTTCTTGGGTAGCAGCAGCGGACAAAAGATGCCCACGTTTTCGTTTCTGGTCAAAACGGTAGTCATATGGGTTGCTCCGTGTAGGCGGCTATGTTGTCGGTTGAACATTGAATCTCAAGTTGGCCGCTTTGTCCTAATGCTAAATAGGTTTCTCAGAGGATGCAGCAACCTCCTTTATCCTGTCTTCCTAATTCTGATTCAAAGATAGCCATGCCTGCCAGCCTTGCAATATCTTCAAATGCCTCGGCCATGAGCTCACCCGTAACCGCAGAGCATTCTGCATATCGATCACATCTGAGCTCTTGGGCAATCCGGTAAGACTGCCATTGTCAGAATCTAACGACTGAAACAATTCTTGAGGGTGTAAGACTTACTTCTTGTGGATAAATGATTCCTTCTCCTTCGACTCTGAGGTCTCGTTTCAGCCCTAGTAGCATTATTGGGATCTTCTCTCCATAACCATGTTGGAAGAATCTTGTAATATCGTTCCGCCACTGTTGAGCGTCAGCACAAGGAATGATAGCCAGTGTACGATTTGTGGCTGATACTCACGGCTTTCAAGCCATCAAGGGTGTCTCTATTTGAGATGTCGAATGCCAGGATGATAGCATTAGGCTGTAGCATTGACCAGTGCTGATTCGGATTTGAAGAATCGTAGAACTCTATCTGGAGGTTTTTCTTTGTGAAGCGAACATTGTATAGGAAAGGTTGGTCAGTGTCCCGGAATACTTCGCCTGCGCCAGTTCCTTGTCCTTGTCCCCGGTTATCCTTTTTAAGGTTTCTAGTTCAATACAGACTCTTTCAATGCTGTTGATCATCTGGATATGGAATGAGCAGGCCTAACTCACGACAAGAATGTGGTTTTCCCGCACCCCGAATCGCCGAGCAGGAGTATGGTGGCGGTTGCGTCTGAGTTCGGATACGTTTCTTCCGACATGTTGTAACAAAATAGACCTTGTATTCAGCTAACAACAGGTTAATTTTGATCCCAATTTCATGCCTGTTTATCCAGTACGTACAAATCAGAGTTGTGTTGGGATTATCTGCGTAAAAGTAGTTTTCCCCGTATCCAAGAACCAATATCCAAGGAGTCCACGTGATAATACTCGGGCTCGTCACTCCTAAGGGGAGAAAAACGATCGGCTCCAGTAACCTACAACCATGCTCTGAAAACTGGGATACTTGTAGTCAGCTCTGAATATATATTTTCTATGATTGTTGCTTGCTTTCCGACGTTTAGCCAGTTGGTAATCGAAAGGATTCACCACACTGAGCTAGGATATCTATATATTTATTCCCCTTTCCCTGGTATACCAAATTGATCCATCTTAATATCAAGACAATCACAAAGGTTGAATAGCATGGCCGAGAGCTCTATTAAAAGGAACTTCATACTGAGTCGATCTCTTTAAATTTATACCAGTTTTACTGCCCTGAGTGATGTTCCAGGCTGTTGCAGCTCTATTCAGTCATTGAAGTGGCAAAGCTAACCAGAAATGGAAAACCCTTCTTATTTGACAACGCCAAATTCTTTTTTTTTGGGTTATCAGGTACAACACACTGAGTCAGATAATCCACATCCACCAGCTTGTGGGGGATGTCGATATCGCACAAGGGTCTCTGCAACCTAATTTTGAAGTCAAAAAGCAGGCTATTTGTTTTTCAGCAAAACCTCATCGCGCATCGCCCTGTCGCTCTGTTATCCCGAACAATGGCGACCCAGGCCACACTACCTTCCGAGAAACAATCGGACTATTCGACATGGAGCACATCTCACTTGATTGCTAGAATCACAGAGCTTGAGCGCCAGCTCCATGACCGGACGACGCAGTTTGCTGCCTTGCCTGCAAACGAAGTGGATCAAAGTGTGGTATTGAACCCCGGCAATCCTCCGACAGAGACCAAGGCGACGACCAGCACAGAAACTGTACCTTCTCTCAAGCCGTCGAAGAAAAGAGCGCATTCCCCAAGCGATGATTTTACTCAAACACGAGCGCCGAATCGTCCGCCGAAGGAACCACGAGCGATCGACCCTTCGAAATATAATACTCGCTTCATTGCCCTCAAATTCGCTTACTTGGGCCAGCGATACAATGGCTACGAACATGCAAACGGGAATGCAACGCCTCTTCCTACAATTGAAGAAGAACTGTGGAAAGCCCTGCGCAGGACTCATCTCATTTTGCCCACCAATGTACCCGATTCCCAGGATATTCGATACAAAGGGCCGAGGAAGCAGGAGCCGTATGCCATTGACTGGGAGGGCTGTCAGTATTCAAAGGCAGGTCGTACGGACCGTGGTGTGAGTGCTTTTGGACAAGTTATTGGGATTAGGGTACGAAGCGCGCGCCCAGTGCGTCCTGCAAAGAGCGACTGCTCTATGGAATCCGCGGATGATCAGATGGAGGATACCTGGGATGATGTCAGGGATGAACTCCCTTACGTATCAACATTGAACAGAGTGCTGCCAGAAGATATCCGGGTACTGGCATGGTGCCCAAATCCTCCTGAGGGGTTCGATGCTCGATTCTCGTGCCGTGAACGCCAATACAAGTACTTCTTCACCAACCCCGCGTTCACCCCTACACCCGGACCGTTCGGCTTCACGCGAGGCTCACTTCAAGGGCCTGATGCCAATTTCAGGGAAGGGTGGCTGGACATTGATGCCATGCGCAAAGCTGCCAAGTGCTTTGAAGGGGTACATGATTTCCGAAATTTCTGCAAGGTGGACACAAGCAAGCAGATTGAGAATTTTGAGAGGATAATTTACCGTGCCGATATCGAACTTGTGGATCCAAAACTTAACACGCTTCGTTATACCGAGAGTCAGGGATTCCGCTTTCGAGAAAGTGATGAAGAGAGCGACCAAAAAACGGATTCTGTGGCTTCTCCCTCCCCACAGGTCTACACATTCACACTGCACGGATCTGCTTTCTTGTGGCACCAAGTTCGACACATGGTGAGTATGTTGTTCTTGGTTGGCCAGGGGCTGGAGTCGCCCACAATTGTCTCAGATCTGTTGGACATCTCGAAAAATCCCTGCAAGCCCACCTATGAGATGGCATATGATGCTCCCTTAGTCCTCTGGGATTGTATCTTTCCCAACGAGGAGTCTGGTAGTCGGGAGGATGCGTTAGACTGGATCTATGCTGGGGATCCTCGTCTTATCAGGTCTCAGAATGGCGCCAAGGGTAACGGAAAATTCGGTATGGGAGGCATTGTCGACGGACTCTGGTCTGTTTGGCGGCAGAGAAAGATAGACGAAGTTCTTGCAGGCGAGCTGCTCGATCTGGCCATTAGCCAAGGTGACCAGACCATTCGACAGGACTCTGCCAGCCTAGAGAAAATCACCCGCACGAGGAAAGTTTTCTATGGCGGGGATGAACCTAGAGTGGGAGGCAGGTACATCCCCTTGATGCAGATGAAGAAGATGGAGACTGTAGAGGTCCAAAATGCGAAGTACCTGGCTGCCAAGGCGCGGAGGAAACCGAAGGAATAGAGAAATAATGTACATATTTCTTTCTCGCATTTTTATATATACTTCTCATGAGACAAAATGGGAGGTCATGATTTGGCTTCGTAGAGGCAGTGCCGTGAGCCCCTCCACACTTCTTCCAAAATCTGTCGTTTCGGCAGGAGTTTCTATATATTATTGATCAGCGGATGATTCCTCAGCTTATGGTCCCTTCCCCGCCACTTACAGGGAAAACGACAACGACATCCGATTCTCCTTCGACAATGACGGCCAGATAAAAGCGAACCTCGAACCCCTTAAATGCTTCATGAATCACAATATCCTGTATTTGTGTAGTCGGGATGAAACGAGTGGCCGCCTTGGAGAGATAGCTTGTCGAAGATGTCGAGGTCTGAATCCCCAAACCGCGAATAACTAACAGGGATTCCTCTATAAGTGTGAAATGATCTTACTTAGCATTATCCCTAAAATGGGGCGCAGAATATAAACTGACCAGTATGTCCTCGTCTAAAGACACCATAAATAACCAGTGCACTGACTAGTGCAATGCCCGCCAGATTGTACGTGTCCGCGATGCGACACGCAATCGCACCAATCCGACTCGACCAAATAGCATTCCAATGAAGATTGAATGCCTCATCTCCATAAAGAGAGTGCCGTAGCCTTGCGAATCCGACAAGCAGCACACATGTGAAAAGGAGGATTCGGCAGATTACCTGAAGGACGAGAAGGAGCTTGGCCGAAGGAGTTGAGCGTTTAGAAGCGTTCGAGACCGTAAACGACACTGTTGTCGGAGAAGGACGTCGAACTAGGAGACGATTGGGCATAGGGAAGCGTGCAAAGGAGCATATAAACAAGTTGATGTAGCCAGTCAGGACCTGCTATAATTTCAATTCCACTTCCACAGCTTGGGCGTCGATGGCTCAGGATGGCTGGGTTGCAATCATCACGTGTTTGACGTTCTGTTTGCTTTTCTTATCAACAACTCCCGCCTTCGCCCGCCTTCCCTCTGGGAACTCACAGGACTCGACATCAATTTCGTATCGGATTGATCTAGATTTTAATGACCAGAAGCTGATGTGCTATTTGGCTACTCATGGCACCTGTCTAAGCGTGCATATATAATAACACCCTTACTCTGAGAAGGGCTTCAGTTACGCCTGATCCCGTTTTCTGAAATTCCACCCTTTCAATAGGCAGGATGGAAGATCGTCGCTCAAGAAGCCGCTCACCAAGCAGAAGGGATAATCAAGACAGGCAGAGGCCTCGAAAAACCGGTGGAGGATTTCGATGGAAAGAGAAAAGGCGCGATGACGACACTGGAGCTGATGACCGCCGCCTAGAGCGAGGCTACAGAGAGAGAGACCGAGCTCGTTCACCGCGAAGGGATACCGCCCCTGATCGATATTCAGACAGATTTAGAGATAATGGTCGTGACCGTGACCGTGACAGAGACCGTGACCGTGATTATGACCAACGACGTTACGACGATCGAGATGGACGGCCCCGTGGATCGGATGACAAAGACAAGAACGAGGAGCGCAAAGAAAAGAAGGAGAAGAAGGAGAAGAAAAAGGCCGCAGCTGCTGCCTCTTCAGAGCCTCTGATCGTTGTTCATGTCAATGATCGACTCGGAACCAAGGCTGCAATTCCGTGCCTCGCATCTGACCCGATCCGTTCGTAATCACTTACCGTGATCGATTTATACAAAGGATCTAACTTGAAGATAGGGCTCTTCAAGGCTCAGGTAGCTGCCCGTATCGGGCGTGAGCCTCACGAGATTTTACTCAAACGGCAAGGCGAACGACCTTTCAAGGACCAGCTGTAAGTTTTTCTCATCTTCTCTTCCGACTCGCAAGCTGATAGTTTTGTTTTTCTAGTACATTGAGTGATTATGGAGTTAGCAACGGTGTGCAGCTTGATCTGTGCGTGAAATTCGTCCTCCCTCTGACCTGTCTCTACTGGCACAGACCCGATATCATGCTGACCTATCTTCTTCTAGGGAGGTCGGGACCGGCGAATAGGATTGATCATACACAACATAAAAGTGACAAATTGACAGCCTATTATGGAAGCCATTCCAATCTATTCAATATGGTGTGGATGCATGTTTATGTCAACCATATGCAGGATTTTGCTGTTGAAGACAGCTATACTAACTGGCCTCTTGGTGTCTTTTTGGAGTTCTCATGCAATACAAAATATGGCGCACTGGGAGGTATTCTTTCTTTTACTTTGCTCTTGCCTTTCTTCATGGGCATTAAATCAATTTCCAGTGTTTATCTGAGCTATATTTGTCCTTTACCATCCCCATGGCTGCCCGTTTCGTCGTTGAACCCCGCTTCTGTACCTACGGGTAAATGGATTCAATCCTTCCTGTAAAGCCACTACTAGCACTTCGTAACAGAGGAAATGGGCACACATGTCCTCTGTGTCTGGGTGAGGTTGGGCTGGCTTATTGGGGGGGTTTTTTTCGGCTGAAAGGTCTCTTACTTTCTCATTTATTCCCACTGAACCTCTCGTTTTCATCCTTTCTCCTCTCTCATGGCCTTTTCCCCTGCTCTTTTGTTGCTATCCGGATTTTGCGGGGCTCTGCGTGGACGTTGTGACAGACTAGGCTTATTCCGGAAAGTTTCAGCCTGAGGCACTCGGAAATCCGAGGCCAAGCCCTTGAGCGCCGGTTCCACTCTCTGGGTAGAGGCTTTTTTTTCTAATCAGCGGAAACTCACACGACCCGGTTATTTCAATCTTTTCCTTGTGTCGATGTCGTCTCTGTTTACTGCCGCCGGTCGCATCTACATCCTTGATACTCCGCCATGAGGTAGCTTGTTCACCATTCTCGCCCGCCCTTGCTCACCCGAATTTTTTTTTTGCCCTCAGCAAACCTTCTCACCGATCGTGATCATCCTTCAGGTTTTCCTCGCCGGAAACCCTCCCCCCTCTCCTCGTCGACCGACCGATCTCTCCTGTGATTCTCTACCCGTCAACCTTTCCCGCTCCTTCTCAGCGTGAAAGCTCATCTACAATGGTTCGGAACATCGTTGTTATCGGGGGTACTTCCCACCCCCAGCTCACCCAGACCATCTGCAGCTTTCTGGGGATCCCGCATGCGGACGTCTTGCTTTCGAAATTCGCTGTGGGTGAAACAAGAGTTGAGATTAAAGAGTCTGTGCGTGGAAAGGATGTATACATCATTCAGTCTGGCGGTGGGAAGGTCAATGACCACTTGATGGAGCTTCTGATCACCATCTCTGCCTGCAAGACAGCATCGGCGAGAAGAGTCACCGCCGTTCTTCCGCTATTCCCCTACTCACGCCAAAGCGACATTCCTTACAACAAAGTCGGAGCGCCTCTAATTAAAGGGTCATCAAACCCCAAGCCGGGCTCGAGTCTTGGCTACACCTTCGAGAGCACTCCTCCTACCCCACATCCTGGAAAGCCAGAAAGCGGCAGCCTGATCAACGGCGTGGATAGCTTACAGAAAAGTCTTGCAAAGGCACAGCTAGAAGACCGGGAAGGCGGTTTCAGCAATGGTAGTCCCGTCAAGAAACGTCCTGTCAACGGTCTTCCCCGCAGCGACACCCTTGACTCGACCAAGTCGGTGGTGCTGGGTGGCGGCGATGACAATACGAGCACAACCTCTTCTTCCTCCAAATTGAACACCTTCCAGCCACGCCCCGGCTACAAGCAGTGGGTTGCACAGGCAGGAACTCTTGTTGCCGATCTGCTCACCTGTGCCGGCGCGGATCACATCATCACGATGGACCTCCATGACCCTCAATACCAGGGATTCTTTGATATTCCAGTGGATAACCTCTATGGAAGACCGCTTATCAAAAGCTACATCCAGCAAAACATCCCCAACTACAAAGAAGCCGTGGTTGTTAGTCCGGATGCTGGTGGTGCGAAGAGAGCCACTGCTATTGCAGACTCCATGGGTATGGAGTTCGCTCTGATTCACAAGGTTGGCCTATTTTCTCCTCTCCTTTTCTCTACACCGTCATTTAATAATCTCCCCAAAAAGGAACGCCGTCCTACAAGAATTACGGACCGTCAAAACGCCACAATGATGTTGGTTGGCGACGTCAAGGACCGGATAACAATCCTGGTGGATGATCTTGCGGATACGTCCAACACCATCACTAGAGCCGCGAAGCTTCTCAAAAAGGAGGGCGCGTCGAAAGTCCTTGCGTTGGTAACGCATGGCATCTTGAGCGGTGACGCTATTGAGCGCATCAACGCCAGCGCTTTGGACAAAGTCATTGTCACCAATAGTGTTGACCAGCAAGAGCACCTGCGACGATGCCCGAAGCTAGAGGTCTTGGAGGTTGGACACGTGTTTGCTGAAGTAAGAATCCAGACCCCAACAGAACCCCGAAGCCGTGAGCAAACTCTAACCCTCTTCCCATAGGCCATTCGCCGTGTCCACCATGGTGAGAGCATCAGTGTCCTCTTCCAGTACGATTAAAAGGGCTTCGCAGCCCTGCCAACTATATCGCCATATCTCGACATGAAACCTGAGAAAGGATGGCAACGAAACAAACAATATACTCGACCAAAAAAATATCTAACTATTCTTTTTCTTGAAATAGACGATGCCCAAGGTAAACACATTCATTTTCGATTTGCTATCTTGAGAGCAAACAAAAACATTGGATGATTCCCACATGCTGTTCAAAGTGCACTTCTTTGTCCCACTGAATTAGGCGGGAAAACCCCTCAAGATAAGAAACGATTAGGATGTGACCGGGACGAGAGCAGTAAACTTGCTGATCGCAATGTTCCTTGATTGATTTCTCTCTGCTTCATTCTCTTCGTTTTCTCCCCTCTTGCCAGCCTGTTGAGTCTATCCCGGTGACCCGGGCTTTTCTCTCTCCATGGGTAGGCCGATTGCTGAGCCTACTCTGTCATCCTACTTTCCTTGGCTTTTTCTTAGCTCTCTTTTCGACCTTCTGCCTATACCAGTAGTGGTTCATCGCAGGCGGTAAAGAGATGTATATCCTAGCTGTGTACACTTATTACACAAGTTCCTGTCTGCTTCCCTTAGAAGACATGGACTGACGTAGATTGCCCCGATCGCCCCAACAGCTTTCTCACTAAGTGATTTGGAGAATTGTCTCGAAAATCGATCCATTGAACTCGACTTGGATGACATCGACCATGGAAAACATATCAGGATATTGACCTATATAGGTGCTCTCGTTACGAGTAGCTAGCCCTGTTCCAAAATCTTCGATTGTCCAATGCATTGGATGAGGAGAGAGACCTAAGATCCTTTATATATATCAATTCATCTATTATATCACATAACTGAGACTTTCCAAACGCCCTGAATAATAATCTGAAGGAAATAATAGAACAATGAAAAGCGAGCTCGGCATGGTATGCCGGCTAAATGCGTTCGATGCGCTCATTACAGAAAGACTGGGAAGCCGAGCTAAAAAAAAAAAAAAAAGAGGCAGTAAGGAAACAGCAGCAACACTAGGTAGCAATAGTGACCATGAGCCGAACAGTCCTAGGTACAGTGTATCATAGGCTCAGGAAGGGGATTTGCTCAGGAAGGGAATTTGACGCATATTTGAGACGATAACACAGGGATAACCGTAGTCTAGAAGACAGAAATATAGTTTCCTATTCTCTCCTTCTGATTCTGGGCAATACACTCTGCAATCCAAGTGACGTTGCGGATTTCCTGGGTAGCGAGTGATTAGCAAATGATCTGCAACCTGGGAAGAGATGTAAAGGCGAACATACCTGTTCCTTGAGCTTCAACCACGCGTATACCACAGACGGGGTGAATTGACGAGTGAAGGCAACTTTGGACAAATCCATCTCCTTCTGATAGAAGAGATCCTCCAGGCTCTTTCCATCCGCGCCACTTCCACCCGCCATGTTACCAAATCCACCACTGCCACCCTGCGACAGGCCAACCGCGTCAAAGAAGGCCTTGTAATCGCCCACAGCACTGACGGCGAGGGACACCCCTTCAACATCATCGGCGCGGGAAAGCATCAATGATCCCTCGGGATACAGTCTTCCGAATTCAGGGTAGAGCTTCTTGCGCTCCTGCTTCGAAAGCTCGGTACCGAAAGAGTTGAGAGTGATGTTGATCGCACGGCGATCAGCCTCGAACTGGAGGATCTCACCCATCACATCCTGGGTGGGTGTCCCCTTGAAGTCCGGATGGGTGTTAACGAAGTTATAGAAGTCCTCCAAATAGTTCTTGTATAGGGTGTTGCGGATAATTTCAATGTTCAGCTCATCCAAATCCTGGTGGCTGAGGCTGTCTTTGAAATAAGGAGCCAACGGGGTTTCCACCAAAACCGAGTTGTAAAGCTCTTCGATGTTGGTTGCGACGCACAGCACAGGTAACGTCTCGAACCAGCCCAGGGGGTGGCATCGGTCTAAGAGCTCTCGAGTATCGCGCTCGTGTAGGGTTCCGGTGATGAGCAGGGCAATGTTGTCGATCATATACCCGTAGGTCAGATACCGAAGGAACTTGGCGGTCGAGCCCGTCGCCTGAGCCAGGAGATAGCGGAACTCAGCAACCAGCTTGTCTGTCATCTTGCTGGCAAGCGAGGCGGTAGAGGGGTTGGGGGCAAGGGAAGCGAGGAAGTCACCATAGGCGGGAGCCAGCTGGAGCTTGACATCTTTGCATACCAGAGTTAGACTCAGCACTACAATATATTAAGAAGCAGACCAACCGTCTATTGTCTCGCATTGCGTCAAGTTGGAGTAGTTCTGGCCGGTGAGGAGGCTGTTCCGATATCCTCGCACGATACCCTCGATGTAGCTACCAAGCAAATCAGCCCATCCATCCGCTGCAAGAAAACACTCGTCGGGGGCCCAACTCACCCGCTATTAACGTTGAAAAGAAGCCCCTCCATGGTGCAATGGGATGTCGATCGCAGCACCTGTACATGCCTCTCCTCCGCAACGACACCTACCTCTTTAGAGAGCTTGCTCGGGCGGGCGTTGGCGGACGGGATTATGTCAGCAACCCACTGCCGCTCCAGCCACTGAGAATGGCGGTTCGTTTTTTGCACTTCGCCCGTTCTGCGAAAATTCCCGCCAGCAGCAGAAAAAAAAAAACCTCACCGACCACGGTGGTTTCGCTCCCCGGACGCCCAGCCCGTTATTATTTCTTTTCCGCTCGTGCATCCTCTGGCTGCTGTTTCCCCGCTGCAAATCTTGTAACAGCTGAGAGTCCGGGCCTGCTTCACCATGACTCTTTTTATTCTTAGCGAAACCAGCGCGGGCTATGCCCTGCTCAAGGCCAAGGACAAGAAGCTCCTCAAGCGCGAGGACATTGCGACTGAGGCTTCGACTGCGGAGGGAGTTTCTAACTTGTGAGTATTCTTGTGGTTTCTTTTTTTGTAGCACCGGATTGGGCTCCGGCACAATGGTTTCAGGGTCGAGTTTTCAGCTGGACGTTGGAAGCCAAAATTTTTTCTTTCGTACAAGTCAAGGCCTAACCATTTTGTTCTAGGTTGAAACTCAAGAGCTTCAAGAAATTCGATAGTGCCGCTACAGCTCTGGAAGAGGTTGCGTCCATTGTGGAAGGAAAGGTCACCCCCCGCCTCGCAAGCCTCCTCGACGAGATCAAGGATGAGAAGAAGGTTTCGTTGGCAGTTGCCGACCCCAAGCTCGGTAAGCTATGAGGTTTCCCAGGTCTAGCTGGTCCATCGTACTCATTATGATATTCAAGGCAATGCCATCGGCAAGCTTCCCGGCCTGGACATCCAGCTGGTCGCCGACTCAACCACCCAGGACATCTACCGCGCTATCCGCGAACATCTGCCTACATTGATTCCCGGTCTGATGCCTCAGGATATGTCCACCATGTCCCTGGGTCTGTCGCACTCTCTCGCCAGACATAAGTTGAAGTTTTCCCCCGACAAGATCGACACCATGATCGTGCAGGCCATCGGTCTCCTTGACGACTTGGATAAGGAGCTCAACACCTACGCCATGCGTGTGAAGGAGTGGTACGGCTGGCACTTCCCAGAGCTTGCCAAGATTCTCAACGACAACATTGCCTACTCGAAACTCGTTCTGAAGATGGGCATGCGGTCCAACTGGGAGACCGCGGATCTTGCTGAAATTCTGCCCGAGGAGATTGAGGAGCTCGTCAAGAACGCCGCTGACCGATCCATGGGTACTGAGATCAGTGAGCAGGACTTGGAAAACATCCAGGCCCTTGCCGAGCAGGTTGTCGGCTTCGCCGATTACCGCACGCAGCTTGCCGACTACCTGACCGCTCGTATGAACGCTATCGCACCCAACCTGACTGCTCTCGTCGGTGAGCTCGTCGGTGCGCGCCTGATTGCCCACGCTGGCAGCCTGACCAACCTGTCCAAGAGCCCGGCAAGTACCATTCAGATTCTGGGTGCCGAGAAGGCTCTGTTCCGTGCCCTGAAGACTAAGCATGACACTCCCAAGTATGGTCTGATTTACCACGCTTCCCTGATCGGTCAGGCGACGGGCAAGAACAAGGGTAAGATGGCCAGAGTTCTCGCCGCGAAGGCTTCTCTTGGTCTTCGCGTTGATGCTCTCGCTGAGTGGGATGATGATGCTACGGAAGAGGACAAGGCCGCCCTGGGTACGGAGGCGCGTTACAACCTCGAGAGGAAATTGGCTGCTCTGGAAGGCAAGCCCATGAAGCCGAGAGGTGTTGCCATCGCCCCCAACGGCGTTGCCACGCAGCAGAAGAAGTTCGAGCTCAACGAGGCTAGAGCATACAACGCTGACGCCGATGCTGTTGATGGTGAAGAGCCTGCTTCGGCCAAGAAGTCTAAGAAGGAGAAGAAGCTGGTCCAGGAGGTTGAGGACGAAGAAATGGCCGACGCTGACTCAGATGAGGAGGTCGATTCTGATGACTCCGAGGAGGAGACCAGCGACAAGAAGTCCAAGAAGTCCAAGGACGCGGAGCTGGAGAAGCTTGCCGAGAAGGCCGGCCTGAGTCTGAAGCGGTACAAGCGCAAGCTCGAACGGGGCGAGATCACATTTGACGCCGAGGGCAACCCGACTGCTGTCAGCAAGAAGGACCTGAAGAAGGCCAAGAAGGAAGCCAAGAAGGCCTCTAAGGGCGATGACAAGAAGCGCAAGCGCTCGGACGAGGGTGAAGAGGCCGACAGCACCGACAAGAAGAAGAAGAAGAAGAAGGGCAAGGAGTAAAGGGGACGAGAAAAAAAGTTTTACTGACTATCAAATTTCTGTATGATATCACACTGTTGATTTCGATGTTTTCTATTATTGCTTGATATTTGCTTTTGGGTGGCATTTACAGGGTGAGATTTACTGGTCTACTCCATGGCGCAAGAGGTGCTTGTTGGTTAAGGCAGTGTTTTAGCCAGAGAATAATATGTTCATACGACAGTTCATATGCGTAAACAGATGACGTTAGTTGACTACCTAGGTATTTGGGTATGTAGCCTAAATCAATAGGTAGTTAGCAGTATTTATGTAGTAGTTACGGAGTACAATTAGTTAGGTAATTGCTGGATGAAAAGCCATCATTGACCGCCCTGGGTCTATCTGCCGGCAATATCAATATTTCTGCTGGAATCCCCGCGATTCAATACTTTTAACCATCAGTCAAAATGAGGGTAAGCTAGCCCCCTTTTCTAATGAGAAAAGAAGGAATTAACCGAAGAGCAGATCATCGACCCCCAAACCGCCGTCCTCACCAACGTCGAGGTCCTGGCCTACCTAACAGCCAACCCGCCGCGCCGACCCCCCAACCCACCACCAGGGTCGAGACATTGGGTTCCCAGTCCTGATTTACGAGACCATAACACGGTTGTCAAGGAGGTAATAAAACTGTTTCTTTTAGAAAGAAAAAAAAAGAAGAAAATGTTCTAATGTTTGATTTTTAGATTCACAATTACATTGCCCGCCTCGCCCCCCATACATTAAAGTACCCGCGTTATGTGCACGACTCAGACCTTGCGCATGCGAAGCAACAGCAGCAGCAACAAGCAGACCAGGAGAAATCCATAGCTGTATCCCCGTCTATTCCTTCGACAGAACCGACCCCCCTGGATACCGCGTTGAGGGATCTTGTGACGCGCCTGCAGCCGTTCGGGTTGACAAAGGGGGAGGTTCTAACGATTGTGAACCTTGGGATTGGATTGGAAGAGAGCGAAGACGAGAATGGGGAGGAACACGGGGCCGGAGACAGGAACGAAGATGGGCATGTGAATGGAATCGAAGCAGGTGTGGACGGGGAAGATGTAGAGATGGAAGAGGGAAACGGAGAAGAAGAAGATAACATCGAGCTTGCGGAGGAAGATTACGGCGCCGTCGCCCTTTTGGACACGGTCATCGAGGAGCGAGAGGAACGGCTGAATGATGAGGATGTCGCGCGGATTCTACGGGTGATTCGGCAGACGTTAGGTAGGAGGGTGAAGTAGTCCTCTTCGTTGAGAAAATCATTGACTGTACATTACTATCTTGAATTAAGGCTATAGAATCCTTTGAAACAATGTTCTTCTTCTATATAAATCGTTATGTACACGTATCAGCAGGTGGTATAGTTATGGCGGTGGCCATAAGACTCCAAAACTCCAAACCGGGCCAAGGGCAAAAAAATTTTAGGATGTACAGTAGTAGCAGGTGAACGAAGATTCGCTCGACAGCAGAAAGGTTTGCTTCGAAAGGCAAAAGAAATTTCTACTCCTTGAGATCATCTCTGTTCTCGGGGCCCTTGCCCTTGATCTTGTTCCCCCATTGGTTATAAATGGGCTTTTCGAACTCGCCGCCGTCCTCCTGGCCCCAGGTGCCAAGATCGTCGCTGAAGAGGTCGCGCTCAAAGCCCGTGCACAGGTCGGAGAAGTCGATCCATTCACCCGTGTTGGTCCAGACGCCGCCGCGGCCGCCGCGCATGTCCCACCAGTCCTGGCCGCCGAGGGATGAGGCGTGTGCGTCGACTCGGCCGCGCGGAAAACGGATGTATTTGCGCAGGAGGGCCCGCCCCCATGGTTGGTACCACATGCTTTCCCACCAGTCGTCTTTCAGCGACTGTTCTTTGTGGTTGTTGAGATGGATGAGTGGCGGAACGGCGCCCGAGTGGATGTTGGTCATCAGCGGGAAGTTGTGCCAGGAGTACTGTCTGGGATCTGGCAGCGCGTCGACAGTGCCGTTGTAGGGCGGTTTTAGCGGGACGTCCTTGATGTATTGCGGGAGGGTAAAGGGGCTTTCAAAACCAGAGGCGAGATCACGGGGTAGGAGCAGCCGGTGCTCCCGAGGCACCTTGTGTTCCATCTGCACCATGGAGGTCTTGGAGATGTTGTTGTACTGGAGCCACTCGATGTCGTCCTCGGACTGCTGCATGTTGAAGAAGACGCGGGACTCAAAGTCCACTCCAATGCCGAACTCGTAGCGCCGGCCGGCTTGGAGATTCGTCGTGATCCCCGTCATGTGCGCCTCATCAGAGATGCCAAGGGTGCGGTACACCCACTGCATGAAGCTGTTGGTTGTGCGCCGCCGCTCGAGTTCGCGCACGTACTCCTGGCGTCCGTACATCTGCGTGAGCGCCAGGAAGTCGCCCATCCGGTTGCGACGCCGGCTGACTATCTCGAGCATCTGGGCATAAATGAGTTTCAGGTCCGCTACCTGACCGATAACCGCGCCCGGGTTTAAGAAGCGCGGGCGATTCAGATGCCCATCAGAATCGGTATCGGTCTCCCAGCCGTACACGTCCGGCGGAAGCGTCGACTCGGGGACGGAGGAGCAGCCGGCGTCATGCGTGAGATTAGGGAAGCAAGCCTTGCTCGCACCGAAGAGCACGCGCTGCGAGTACTTCTGTACCCAATCCACCTGGTCGGAGTCTCCACGGGCGACGGCCCCGAAGCCGTACTTCTTCCGCAGCTTGAGGTTGTTCTCGCGCAGCAGGTTCTGGAAGCGCCCGATCATAATCTCCGGCGGCAGCTGGAAGAAAACATCGACGCCATCAGTAATAAGCACAAAGTCTTCATCGCGCATGTGTGACGCCGAGTTCAGATAGTTGTAGACGCTTGTAATCCGGTCCACCATGTAGTCGTACGGGGTAGACCCCTCGGCCAGTTGCTTCCGATAATTAACCAGCGTCGGCGGGGGGTAGTTCAGGATCATGGCCGAGGCGAGCGCCCTGCATAGACCGGGGCTCTTGTCCGTCGCGGGCAGGAGAACGTGGAAAGAGGGATTTTCCTTCTGCAGACTGCTCGGAATCGTTCCATTTGCGAATATCACAGGGTTCTTGGGGCGCAGAATCGGCGAGTCCTCTGGTCGTTTTGCGGCGTCATGATAGGAGGGGAATATGGACCAGAAGTCGGGTATCGGTCGCTACATGCAGTCAGCGATGAAACCCCCGAAAAAAAAAGCAACGAATGTATCATACAGTATTAAATAACCGAGCGGACAGGAGAATGTAGAAAAAGAAAGCAAAGGCCGCCAGGTAGATGATCTTGGCCCGCAGGGTTCGCGGCCGGTGCAGGAACACCTGTCGCATTGCGGTCGACGCCGCCGACTGCAGCGAGCGCTGCTGCTCCCACGAGGGCAGCTTGGAACCGGAAGAGGCCATATGTAGTAGAGCGATATTCAGTATATCTGTGACGAGTCGAGGCGGGGAAATATCAAGCGATGGCCAAGAGGGAGGCGAGGGATATGCACATCTCCGACCACCAAGAGACAGGTCAGGTCAGGGCGCTGACGATGGGGAGGAAATCACCACTAGAGGAGGTGTTTGGTCGGGTCGCCGTCGATATCAGGAGAGAAAACGCAGTCCGACATGAGGATTCCTGTCCGGCAGCCAAAACAAGGCGAGCTCGATGGCAGTGACGGAGGTCGTTTGAAGGGTGGACCCGAGAGAAAGATATACGTTGGAGGTGGAGCAGAAATACTACCTAGATACCTGGCATTAATACGACGGGATGATTACACTACTACTACTAAGTATTTGATTGAATAGTTAATTTTGAGTACGGAGATTCAGCTATAACTAGGTAGATATTGATACTTGACTAGTGGTATTCTCAGGTAGATTATTATAATGTTGTACAGTTGTTTCACCTGCCGCTACCATTGATGATGTACATTTTGCAGTACTCCTACATATGTACTACATAGGTTATTCTTCTCCTACTCCAAATAAATACACAGTTCGATCCTGAATAAGATCCTGAATAAGACTCAAACACCGTGGTACGTGTGGTACGTACACATGGCGTATTCCATACTCCTACCGATAAAAAGCCGCGTCATCGCCAGGTCTCGCCGCACCAACGCTTTCGTCCGTGAAGCCAACGTGTTTCACTACTTTAAATCATATTGGTCAATACATGTATAAGCACTATATACCTTACCAGAATATGCTCCGTATGTAGTACACTGTACATTTAGCATGGTCACTAATAACCACCTCTCTCATAAGTGGTAGGGACTTTGTAGTATCACTCTAGATAAATCTCGTCTCGTAAACGCTGCAGATTGCGGAGTAATCCACTCGTCGTGCTTTCGCCCTCACGGCTCTGATCCATTGATGAGCGCCCTCGAGCGCTGTTTGAACCCCGCAGCGTCGTCGATTCCCGCAGTGATGCGTCGCGGTCACGCGCGGCCTGGTTCCTCTCCTTCTCCAATGCTTTCCGCCGGTCATCAACCAGCCGTGCCAAGCCGTCGAGAAAGCGTGTGCGTGCCTTTTCCTCTGCTGTGCCTTTCCATACGGTCGCCAGGACGCGCAGGGCTTCGATGCGTCGTGCGGCGGCGTCTACCGCGGCATCTTGTCCACCGTCGTCCCCGCCGGCATGCCCATGGCCATGGCCATGGGCATCCAGGAGTGCTGTGATCTCGTCGTGAAAGGCCTGCAGCTTCGCCTGGCCCTTTTCCTCCAGGGTATTATGGCTGCCGTCCGCACCGACAACGGGCTCCGGCGCAGACACCGAGATGAACGACGAGGCCAGCGACATCTCTGACGGCGGGAGCGGCCATTCCATTGCCTCGCCAAACGTGTGCACCACCTCTTCTAGTCGGGCGCGGACTTGGTTCAGCGTGCGCACCTTGACGATAAAGTCGGGATCGTGTATAGACGACGTAGACTCTGTAGACTCTTCTTTTGTAGACTCTTCTCTTGTAGTATCTTCTTTTGCAGTATCTTCACTGGAATCCTCCTTAGACTCTATCGAACCGTGATGACCAGGAACGAATCTCTCGATATCCGCATGCAACGCTTCAGCCAACGTATCCGACAACCCAATGGTTTCCCCCCGGAGCACCTCAACCTCGTACGCCAGCCGACTCCCGCTGCGCAAGATCTCATCCGTCAACTGGGTGAGGTTATTCGATAATCGTACGTTCTGTGCATTGATCTGCGCGAGAAGCGACTGGATCTGCGTCGAGAGCTCGGCCAGAGGCACCGCCCCGGGCGCGCGAGAGGCATGTGGTTGCGTCGACGCGAGGGTTAACGGGGGAAGGTTTTCGTTGAGGAAGTCGGCTGGATCGAACGAGGGATTGGAGAAGTCCATCTTAATTATTCAAACAAGGCTTTTTTTTTCTTTTTAAGGAAATAAGACGAACAAGAAAGCAAGTAAACAGTTAACACTCGTGGCTTGGAGTAACGCCCCTCTCACCGCCTTCATCTTAACACTCCTTCCTCAACTGCCCAGTTCTAGACTTGGGATAGTTACCCAGTACTATCTCCAGGTACGGAGTATATTCATCGTCTCTACCATGCTCTTCCTAGGCAGTCTTTTCTACGTTTCCGTCCTGCTGATCAACGCGATCGCCGTTCTTTCCGAAGACCGCTTCCTGGCGCGCATCAACCTCAGCTCGACCACGTACGACCCGTCGTTTGGATCCGGCGATGCAACCAGCGTCAAGGCCAAGATCATCAATTTGATTGCGAGTGTGAGGACATTAATGAGGAGTAAGCATTGGTTTTTACTTATTTTTGGCAAGGTGTTATTTTCAACTCTGCTAATTGTGTAGTTCCGTTGATAATAGTTAATACCCTGATAATTGTCTACGAGCTGGTGCTGGGGTGACGGAACTGCGAGACAGGACCAAGAGAAGAGAAAAATAGACACAGTACAGAGAGACAGAGAGACGGAGACAGTACAGAGAGACGGAACCAGGCAGGAACACGCAACAGTGGAGCCGAGATGCTGTACTGTCCTACATTAGGTACCTTGGCCTGCGAACGTCATCGTCGGGTCTATGTCTGTCACTTTATCTTATGAAGTTATGCCGTCTGTCGCATGCTGTATGTAATATGCATATACCGATATAATGAATCAATTAATAGCATATTCATGTCATGATCAGATTTACTCATTACTGTGGGATGTTGATATCGAGTGTTTTCTACTCGACTACGGAGTACTACCAGTACAGGTATACAGAATTCTATCATTAAACAAGTATCATTAATCAATCTGGTACATAACACGTGGACAGTCAGCCAAGTCATTAAACGAAGGTGGGTATCGCACTCGGAAAGCAGGAAAACAGCAACAACAGCAAACAACAGAATTAAAATAGAGCAAATTGTCCATCTCGTAAGGACAGGGTGGGAAATATGTGTAAGATTCATTATCTGCAAGAACGGAACCGCAGGGCAAGAAGAAGCAGAGAACGGGCAAGCCGTTTAGATGTTCTCGATGATGCGAGCGTTGATCGCACGTTGGAACCCGTCGTCGTCGGTAGACACCGGGCCGTACTTGCTAGGGCCTTCGCCGGCGTTTTCAGCGGCCGCCAGCTGCTGCTGGACGGTCTGGTTGATGGCTGGCAGGAAGATGACCTTGCTGTTGGCCGTCTTGGCCATCGACTGCATTGCCTCCAGGTAGCGGATCTGCATGGCGGGGGCGGAAGACAGAATATCGGCGGCCTGGAAAGATAGTCAGCCCTGTGCTCGCTCTGGGGGAGGTTTTTTTTTTTCCATGAATGAGGGGAACCTACCTGACGCATCAACTTGGCGGATTCGACTTCGGCACGCGCTGCGATAACCTTGCTTTCACCGATCCGCTTAGACTGGGCAGCCATAGAGAGCGAGTCCTGCAGGTCGTCGCTGAAGATGATGTCCTTGATAAGCATGGACTCGACCTGGACGCCCCATCCGGCGGCGACCTCTTCGATGATCTCCGAGGTCGACTGGGCAATCTCCTCGCGTCGTTCGATGACATCCTGCAAGACGCGGGCGCCGATCACGTGGCGCAGGGTGGTCTGCGTGCGCTCAACGAGAGCCTGGCGGATGTTGGAGATACCAAAGGCAGCCTTGTGCGGGGAGATGATCTGATAGTAGATGACCGAGGTCAAGTTGAGGGTGACGTTATCCTTGGTCATGCAGACCTGGCGCGGCACTTCGACGATCTGGATCTTGACATCAACGGTCTTGAGGCGCTCGCTGAGCGGGTTCACCTTTACGAGACCAGGGTCTACGGCGCGTTCAAACCTGAGAAAAAGAGAGAAAGATTAGTCTACTTGATAGTGTAGTTGATAGGTATCGAAGCTGATGACTACTCACCGACCAAACTTGGTCACCAGACCAACCTCACCCTGAGCAACAGGCTTGAACGGGTTCGGGCAGCAGATACAGCAGGGGATGGCACCGAGACAGCCAATACATTCACCAAGGTTATGAACTATGGGAAGTCAGAAATCAGTACTCAGCGCTTCTTGGGGATATCTTTGCTGGTCTACTCACTGAAACTAGAATACCAGCTGTGGGCATCTGGGCTCTCGCTGTCGTGCTTGATAGTCGTCGCGTATCTGGGCTGCAGATCGTTGATCCGCGCAGGCTGGACGTTGACCAGGCCGTTTTCTCGATGGAGGTTCGGCACCGTCACGGGCGCCTTGCCGTTGACATCGGGCAACGCATCGTTGGTAGACATGGTTGAGGGTTGGTAAGTATATATAGTTTGCAGGAGTTCAGAGTATGCGATAAAGGCAAGGTCGACGAGTTTAAAGGCCTCGAAACAAACGATGGAATGGAATCCAGCTGTAACGTCTGGAAGAAGGAGGGGATGGGATGGGATGGGATGGGATGGGACGGGAGACGGGAATTAAATAGACGGATGGAATCCAAAGAGACAAACGACTAACACCACCGAAACCATGTCGTACTAACGTTAGTGAACCACCACCACCACTACTCCTCCTACCTTTACTACCACCTCTACCAAGAGCTACCTAACCAATACTACCACTGCATACAAGGAAGAGATGCTGAACTAATCCTCCAGAGTGGAGTCTATAGCAAGGCTGAGCTTGGATTTAACTCTTAGGAATGGGGTCGATGGAGACCTAGGTCATCAAGGGTCCGTTCCAATCTTTCTGCACAAACAAATAACTTACTAAGTACCCTTGGCAGTAGGCTCTTCCTGAGACATCTGGACGGAGTAAGCCGTTGGTGGGTGTGCCAGTGTGCCCTGTCTATCCATTCCTCGCTGAGGCTGCCGGGCAACAGCTTGAACCCAGCCTCGCGACGTCATGGCACTGCACACTACACACTGCACACTGCACCGGCTCACAGCCCACGTGAGGTGCCCGCGGCCCTTCCAGATTTCCAGATGCCTTCTCGAATGCGATGACGGCAACCACAACATTGTAGGATGTCTATCTATCTAGGAATGTTTGTTGATACTACGCTACAGGGTCGGTCGGTCGGTCGGTCGATTTCAACGGCATTACCGTACGGTTTCTGCGTTAACCACCAGGAAGTTGGGAGACACGTGAGCTGTTTTTTGGAACACGGTAACACCTGAGGCCGATCGTCCGAGGGGGAAAATCGCGCAGTGTCTGAAGGGAAGCGTTAATTCCGCTGGAAGCGACCGAAAGCAAGAGCGGTTGACCAGCCAGACCCTGGTACTAACTGGCTAAGCTCTGGCTAGCATGGATGGCGCAGTAGTTAATTGCACGGAGTACGGAGTACCTACTACCTAGGTACCTCCGAAGTACTCTGTACCAGGTTTAACTACGGAGTCCTTACTAACTATGAGGTAACTATATACTACTACATACAGTCTACGAGAGTATAAAGGCACTGACTGGACAGGTTGCGGCTTGCCACGACGGGATCATCTGACAGAAGCTGACTGCACTCCCCGCTCTCTCGGGCACCATTACCATTTGTCGTACCAATAGAACATGGATAGGGGCAATCGAGAACAATGGACGGCAATATATCCGAGATGGATGGATCCCAGAAAACACGAGCTGGGCAAGCGTGGGGTCGGGCGTAATGAGGCTGTGCGCAAGCTCTTTCGCTCTTCTCCTTTTCTCTCCGCGTGTGGCATGCTCGGATGAGACGGTGCCTTATCCTGGGTTTACAAGGATAGATAGATTAAATACTTATAGAATATATTTGGTATGTATCATCTACTCCGTACTACTCCGTACTATCCCACTACTACCTGCATATACCGAAAGTATAGACTTCTTATGTGTCCTTTTTGATTAATCATATAGAGGATCCCCATTCCGAGTCCATACTCCCTATTACTACTCCCTACTCCGCCGCTCGGTAAAAATTAACCTATTTCACCAAGCAATTTTACTGAGGAATAGGAGAATCAACTAGTTAGGTCTGCTATTGACCAACTAATGATTCATGAGGTAATAGTAATGATTAACAAGATAACTTCAAAAAAAAAAAAAGGAAAGGAAAGGAAAGAAACATTCTCAACCGCGTAGGTAAGTTCTTAATGATGACTTCGTGTTCCATGGTCAATCATGGCACTGCCTCGAAACTTGTTTTCTAGAATTCTGATTGGTTGGACTAGAAATCATCCAAAATGGAAATTAGGGCACGGCATTAGGGTTAAATCTGCCATCTGGTGGCCTGTGGGTGCTCAGGCAGTCTACTCCGTTCTCCGTACAGCTCACATCTTCTTCTTCTTCAGCAGGCACCTCAACGCCACCGGGATTTACCTGAAGTCGATAGATCCAGTTTAAATCTATTAATATCCCCGGGCAGACAACTCAGCTATGGATTTCCGATCCACCCGTCGGCTAGCCAGGTCATTCATGGATCTCCAAAGCATACTAAAATCCAATATTTGTTCACTGACGCCTGCGTGCCTAACTAATCAGGAGGCAGATACCTAAATAGTTGCTGGTACACCGTAACTAGACGGACCAGTATACGTATGCATGCTGACCTAAGTCCCCCCGCATAAATTGCTTTCCAACGGTGAACAACCTACAGACAGGTACTCCGTACTCTGTACTCCATGCTCCGTACTTCCTCTTACGACGACAAAACCAACCCCCCCCCAGAAAAAAGAAGCCTTACAGCACGAATGACAGCAATAATGGATCAATCCCTCGAGGCCAAGGTCGAGACAATCTCCTCCCTTAGCCTAAGTGAGCTCATACCCGCCCTTGCCTCACTAGCTTCCGGCCTGCAGCCTCTGATCTCCCCCATGGGTGACTCTCTCGTCACCCACCGCGATTACACGGGCTTCGTCGCCCTCGACACCTTCGGCCGCCTCTATCTCGACAGCGGCCGCCGCTGCACAGACGAGAGCGTCCCCCTCCATACCCGCCTGCAACACGCCTCGCTCCTCGACCGCCTCTTTGAGTCACTGTACGTTCGTGAACGACATTTCCTCCTCAATGCCATCGCCCGGGGTGTCGCCTCGGAGCCCCAACACCAACACAAACACACCCCGACAGATGAAGCTCAACAAGGCAGATGTTCATGCTGTCGGGGGGATCCCAACGCCGTCATCCTCGCGGGTTATGCAGAGGGGGAGGCCCTCTATTTCACCTACAAAGAATACCGAGCTCTGTGGGGTTCCCAGAGGGCAAGTGGGGGGCGGACCTTGTACAACCGAGATGGGACTCCGAGACGGAGATGGCTGAAGGCATCCAGGGGACAGGTGGAGGAGGCCTTGATGCGTGGGTGTAATTACCACAGTCGTCCGGTGCTGTGTAATCTTTAAACAGAGAGAGAGACAGAGAGGGAAAGGGGACGGGGGGGGCAAAAAAAGGAAAACATAAACGGGCATTGGGGGGAGTCACCACTATTTATATATAGATACTGGACAGGAGTTACGGAGTAACTAGTTACCTAAGTATATAGAACATTTAATAATATCATCATTGTTTCAATATGATGCCGTCCCGTCGTTTTCTCTTTCTGCCTGATATTTAAGGCAGCTCGGAGGTGTTGCTGCCTCTTCGGCACCGAAACCTTCTCGGACCCTCCGAGCAATTCTACACCTTCCAGAATGAATGTCCCCTCCACCTCCCCTGTTGGAGAGTGCATTCCTCACAGATAAAATCCCAGAAACGCTCACACCGAAGATGGGGCATTCTACGGCGTGTCCGAGGGTGGATGAACACCCCTTGCTGGCAGGCAAACGAGGCAACAGACAGACGCTTGGCACAGGATGACCATGGAGGGAAAACAAGTGAAGGATACAACAAACAGCAGGACAGATACATCCCTAGATGGGCCAGATGGTGTTCCAGACTCGAGGCCTGACCAGGTATATCCGTCTGGACTCTCTTTGGTCTCCATCATCATTGCTTTGGACCTGGCCGTGTTTCTCGTGGCGTTGGTATGGCTCTAGACCGTCTCATTTCGATGAACTTTTTCTGATATCTATCTAGGACCGCACAATCATTGCGACAGCGACCCCCCGCATTACCGACCACTTCAACTCCCTCGACGACGTGGCCTGGTACGGCAGCAGCTACCTGCTGACGTACTGCACGTTCCAGCTGCTGTTCGGGCGCGTGTACACCTTCTACCCGCCGAAATGGGTCTTCCTGGCTGCGATCGCGATCTTCGAGGTCGGGTCGGCCGTGTGCGGCGCGGCCCCTAGCTCGACGATTTTCATCGTTGGCCGCGCGGTGGCCGGCCTGGGCGCCGCGGGCATCTTCTCCGGCGCCGTCGTGATTATCGTCGACAGCGTCCCGTTACACAAGCGGCCCATGTACACGGGTTTCCTTGGCGCCATGTTCGGCATCTCGTCCGTCGTCGCCCCGTTGCTCGGCGGCGCCTTCACCGACCGAGTCTCGTGGCGCTGGTGCTTCTACGTCAACCTGCCGATCGGCGCGGTGGCCGTCGCTGTCATCATGCTCATCCTCAGGACGACCCAGCCGCCGAACCCGAGCCCGGCAAAGACGCTGCGCGAGCGCATCTGGCTGCTCGACCCCCTGGGCAACCTGTGCTTCTTCCCGGGCATCGTCTGCCTGCTGCTCGCCCTCGAATGGGGTGGCTCCAAGTACGCGTGGAACAACGGCCGCATCATCTCGCTGTTCGTGTTGTTCGGTGTGCTGACCCTCGCGTTTATCGCCCTCCAAATCCAGCGCCAGGAGCAGGCGACTGTGCCGCCGCGCATCGTCATGCAGCGTAGCATCCCGCCCGCCATGTTGTACTCGCTGTGCGTCGGGGCCTCTATGATGCTGATGGTCTATTACCTGCCCATCTGGTTCCAGGCCATCAAGGGCGTCAGCGCCATGAAATCGGGCCTCATGAACCTACCCCTTGTCCTGTCCTTGGTCCTGGGTTCCATCTTGGCGGGTATTCTCGTCTCTAAACTAGGCTACTACACCCCGTTTCTCCTCCTGGGCACCATCCTCTCCGCCGTGGGTATCGGTCTGATCACCACCTTCACCCCCACAACAAACCTTCCAAAGTGGCTCGGGTATCAGGTTCTATACGGTCTCGGCCTGGGAGTCGGTATGCAACAGCCAAACGTGGCGGCGCAGACCGTCCTCCCGCGCCAGGATGTCCCCACAGGGATCGCCCTGCTGATGTTCATGCAGTCGCTGGGGGGCAGCCTCTTCCTCTCTGTTGGAGAGAACGTCTTCACCAACAGGCTCATCGGGGATTTATCTTCGCTATCCCTGCAGGGTGTCGATGTCGTCCAGGTTGTCCTTGGTTCCGGTGCCACTGACCTCAGAGATAAGGTTGCCGCGCAAGACCTCCCGCCTGTTCTAGCTGCCTACAACGACTCGATCCGTTCTGTCTTTATCGTCGCGCTGGCTGTCGTCTGTGCTTCGATCGTAGGAGGTCTTTTTGTGGAATGGAAGAGCGTTAAGAATCCGGGGGCTACCCAGGTAGCAGATGGGCAAGAAACCAGTATGTAACTCTATAGCATAGGGCAAGCACCTAGTTAAAGAGAATGAAAAATCTCTACTCTATTTCACACCTGCTCAATATTTAATCACAACTTTATCATTCAACGAGATCTGTTGCTGTTTCAGATCCAGTAGCCAAGGAAGCATGTCGACAGAGGTATCACTGGTACCTATACTAGAGTCTCTACCAGAGTCATCAGTAAGGTATATATATATACCTAGTACACTTCTGTATGTATGTTTACATCATTGTCCATTTGTGATGAGATTAAATCCTTCAAACTGTTGAAAAGATCAATATGAATAGAATATATACAAATGCCACGAAGTGAAGTGAATGAAGAATAAATGTCCCTCTATCCGAGTAAAAATAAATAAATAAACAGCCCAAAGGAAGAATCGAGGCAACCATTCGGAGAGCAAGAACTCGCCATTACTGCTCTAGGAGATCAACAGCTGCATGCAAGCCCGAAAACTCCTGGCTATGGATAGATGAGAAGCGAGTGGATAAGAATGTATAAGCAGATAAGAAACAAAAAAAAAAAGATACATTAATTCAGTTGGACGTAGTTTGCTGTAATATCATTAGTTTACGGTTTGTATAAACATCAACACTTTTTAGAAAAAAAAAAAAAAAAAAAACTTACCTGGAAACTGTCCTTCTCTACCATCCACACGGCCAGTCCACCATTCGTTCTGGTTATCTGTGCGCTGGATGATCTCGATGACTTCGCCCGCCGAGAAGCTGAGGTCGCCGTGGGCCTGTGCTTCATAGTCGTACAGAGCCGTGACTGTTTCGACCTGGGCGCTGAACCGCGAGGGCTTGGGCTTCGGAGGCGGAGGCGCCGGTTTGCTCTTGGCCGCGGCGGCGCTGTTGGAGCGAGCGATCAGGGCATCCTGCCCGGCGGACGAGTAGGGGGGCGGGGCGGTTTCGCTCTCGGAGCCCGGCCGCGAGGTTAGGGAGCTGGTCCGGCCGTGCGTGAGTAGGCGGTCCTTGCTGCTGCCCGGGGGTGCGAGCTTGGAGCCGGGCTTACGGCCGCCGGTGGCTTTGAAATGGACAATGGTTAATTCCTCGGTGCGCTCTTTGACGTCTCCGCGTTTCTTCTCGTAGGCCTCCTCGACGTCCAGGGTCAGGTCGAAATAGCCGATGTTGATGCCCTGCATCCGCTCGTGTAACGTGTAGAAGACGTTGAGCTGCATGTAGTAGAAGGATTGGAAAAGCGGGCGGATGAACTCGGCCTCGAGGGCGAAGAGCTTGGGAAGCTCCTCCTTGAGCAGGTCGTTGTACGTGTTGTAATCCAGGGTCGCTTGCTCCAGATCGTTTTCCGCCTTGTACAGGGCCTTTTCGTCCTTGAGCGACTTGTCCTTCTTGTCCTGCAGCTTTTTCAACGAGTTTCGGTGCCGGTCGTAGTCCAGCTTCTTATGGTCGCGTTTGACGGCCACCTTGCGGATGATCTTGATCACCTCGAGCAGTTGATCCGCCGGGCTGATCACCCGGGTTTCGATCATCTCCAGCTCGGGCGACAGCGACTCTTGCAGATCGCGGACAATCGATTCGTACTCCTCGCATGCCCGGATCCCCTCCGGATTGCCTTCGATGGTGTATGTGCTGGGGTCGGAGGCCCGGCCGGAGATGGGCTTGTACAGCTCCGTCATCGCCTTGGAGAACTCGATCTGGTGATTCAGCATACCTAAAACATCATCAGCATTCAACTTTTCCTAGACATAGAAAACGCCAGAACGCCGGAACTATAGCTACCATTGATGGCGTCAAAGTATTTTTTCGATTCATCGTGCAGCTTCTTGGTTTCCTTCTCGAGCTCTTGGAACCGCCGCTCCGCATCCATATACACGGCATCCTTGGTATGTTCTCCGATATTAAACCGTGCCTTGAACTGCTGGGGAGCACGAACAATGCTCTTCTGAAAGCCTTTGAGACTCATTTCCGGATTACCCCGCGGCGGTCAGCTGCCGGCGGAAGAGTTGGAACGAAGCGGAACACGGTGGGACTGGGTGAGACGGTGGGAAAAGACAGCAGAAGGGAAGAAGAAGTCGGGTTCAATGCGTAGGTAGCAGTGTTTTTTCTTAGGAGATGGCGATGGAAGAGGGGGGGGAGGGGAGGGCAGGCTGCAGGTTTTGTACGGGGGGCAGTGTTGCCCAGATTCGTCTCGTGCTGAAGTTTAGTAGTGAGTGGGTTTCCTCCCAAAGCAGATGATGAGCGGCGTACCTTAGCCTATGACATAAACACTTCGATCATGTGGCTGAGCAGTCCATTTGCTTCCACACGCCGAGATACAAGGCAAAGGGGGGTAAATAAATGAAGATTTAGATGACACTGATTTCTACAGCCAATATATATATATCTTTATCCTCTTTGTTGGTTGTTTTTGCAGCTGCTCACTTATGACAGCTGCAGGCTCTTCAAGCGACTCGCTTGGTGACGACAGTGACGGCAAACGTGGCGCAGAGCCAATCATTTAGGTCCAGGGCTTGGGGGTTTAGGCATACAATTTTTCCCTAGTAGTAAGTAGTAAGTAGTACAGGCACTGCAAGGCTATAGGTAACTACCTACTTGATAGATAATAGTCACTCTAAATATCAGGTACTAGTAATTGTTTATTTAACCATACCTAGGTAGAGCAACTACAGTTCGTGATAATACCGGGACAAGCCACCGACGGGGACGCTATCCGGGACACTCCGTGAACCCTCCATGAACCCTCCGTGACCCTTGATAAACCGAGTAACCGCCTCCCTTACTTCATATTAACTGTACTCGTTCCCATCGAAACTGTTCCCACAGGCATGGCATCTGTAAAATTGACAACAAAAAGCTTTTCTTCGGTCTTCATAGCTATGTAGTATCCACCAAGAACGGGGGTTAAGACCGAAAGAAAGGAAAAGATGTGTCTTGATCCTGAGGAAGATAAGACCTAATATATCTTCTATTCCGGCAAACGGCAGTCTGCAGAAGACAGGTAGTTAGGTAGTTATAACTAGGTAGTTAACTAGGTAGGTAGTCAGCAGTTAGCTACGACAGTTGTACGCCCAAGAAAATATTGGATTACGTAAGTAACGAAATGCCGGGCTGGTCCAGGACAGGGGATAGATGGAGTCGGAGTCGGAATCGGAGTATCTACCTAGGTATCTGATAGCATGTAGTTTAGTCTGATTGAGCTGCCATACGCCAAGCTGTTTTTTTTTAAAAAAAGAATTTTAAATTTTTTTTAAAATTTTTATTGATTCTCAGTCATACTGTATAAATTCTATTAAAATAAATCTACTTGCTGTAGAAACATCTCATACTGTTTAAAGTCCGAGATTCTCTTACTCCAACAGGACGGTCCGCGGAGATAAGCTGAATCTGGTTTAGCGTGTCGGTGCTGACAATTTGCCGCCCGGTGACCTCAACTTTTCCCAGCCCAGGCAGGTGCAAGTCAGATTCAAGCTCTGCCCTCTCAACTCCCCCAACACCCATCCTTTTTGTGAGGTCAGAATGTCCAGCGTTGGAGCTTCGGTCTGGAGACAGGCATCGCGTGCCTACGCCCGGCGCCTGTCGTCACCGCAGCACTTCTCCCTGACTCCGGCTTTCCCTCGGGTATCTGCTGCCCGGCGGTTCTACGTGTCCGAGACCAAGGCTGCAAATGCTCAGGTAAAAGTGGACACGGTCATCAAGGAAGAGCAGAAGGCATTTGTGGATAAGACGGGCATCCAGCCGGCGAATGTCAAGCTGCCCGGCTCGGCCGTGACGGGCGATGCCTCGATGAGTCCGTCGGCCGGCATCCTCAAGCAGGCCACGGTGATGGACCAAGGCACCCGCCCCATCTATCTCGACATGCAGGCGACTACTCCGCTCGACCCCCGCGTCTTGGATGCCATGCTTCCTTACCTGACCGGCATCTACGGCAACCCCCACTCCCGAACGCACGCCTACGGCTGGGAATCGGAGAAAGCCGTCGAGGAGGCGCGAGAGCACATCGCCAAGCTCATCGGTGCCGACCCCAAGGAAATCATCTTCACCAGCGGCGCGACCGAGAGTAATAACATGAGCATCAAGGGCGTGGCGCGCTTCTTTGGCCGCTCGGGCAAGAAGAAGCATGTCATCACCACCCAGACGGAACACAAGTGTGTTTTGGACAGCTGCAGGCATCTTCAGGATGAGGGTTTCGAGGTCACCTATCTCCCCGTGCAGAGCAATGGCTTGATCCGCATGGAGGATCTGGAGGCAGCCATTCGTCCCGACACGGCCTTGGTCAGTGTCATGGCCGTCAACAACGAGATTGGCGTGATCCAGCCTCTTGACGAGATTGGCAAGCTCTGCCGCTCGAAGAAGATCTTCTTCCACACCGATGCTGCGCAGGCAGTCGGAAAGATCCCTCTTGATGTCAACAAGTCCAACATCGACTTGATGTCCATCTCGAGCCACAAGATCTACGGCCCCAAGGGTATCGGCGCTTGCTATGTGCGCAGAAGGCCCAGGGTCCGTCTTGAGCCCCTCATCACTGGAGGTGGCCAGGAGCGAGGTCTGCGCAGTGGTACCCTGGCTCCTCACCTGGTTGTTGGCTTTGGCGAGGCTTGCCGCCTCGCCTACCAAGATATGGAGGTTCGTATTTTCACATTCAACTTTTTCTCCTTTCCATTCTTTTTTTTTTTTTTTTTTTTTTTTTTCATCAGAATGCCGATAAGGATTATTTGCATAAAATCGTAATATCTGAAGAGTCAATGGGGGTAGCTGCATGCTTTTTAAGCATGTTCCCATGTCCCTGAAGTTAACGCAGGGGTAATGAATCGGCTGACGAATGTTGTCTTTTCTTTCTTGATGAGATCTGTGGTTATCTAATGAAGCAATGCTAATTGCGTCTACCTGCAGTACGATTCGAATTACGTCAACCGTCTTGCGAAGCGCTTGATGGACGGCCTTTTGTCCATGGAGCACACGAATCTGAACGGCGACCCTGATCGCCACTATCCCGGCTGTGTCAACGTCTCCTTTGCGTACATTGAAGGCGAATCGCTCCTGATGGCTCTGAAGGACATTGCGTTGTCTTCCGGCAGCGCCTGTACCTCGGCCTCGTTGGAGCCGAGTTATGTCCTGCGGGCTCTTGGCAACAGCGACGAGAACGCGCACAGCAGCATCCGCTTCGGCATTGGACGCTTCACCACCGAAGAAGAAATCGACTACGTCCTCAAGGCGGTGCGCGAGCGGGTCGACTTCCTGCGCGAGCTGAGCCCTCTCTGGGAGTTGGTCCAGGAGGGTATTGATCTGAACACCATCGAATGGAGCCAGCACTAAGTTTTTCTTTCCATTGGCCCTTTCCTGATGGCCTCCTTTCTCTATACCTTAATCTGGTGTTGCAGCGGTTCATTATTATGTGGAATGATTTCCCCGTTGGTTTCCGGCGCGGACTGGGCCTTGGTCCGGTCTGGCAGCTTCGGGTTGTTTTGGTTCGGCGTTGTGTATTACTAGTATTATTCATGTAGTTGATGGTAGTCATACGCATATATTAATTCTTAAATATCCATTGTACTCTAAAGTGATGATAGTAGGACGGAGTACAGAGTACATAGTTAGTAAGTACCGAGTACTCTATACTCCGTACTCTGTACTACTGACCACAGTGCGACCCAAATAAAAGTAGGCCACTAGTCTTAGTCATCTCTTGACCAGACCTAGAAACGATCACATCATCCATCGCATTTCTTATTTTTCTTTTCTTTTTTTTTATATTATAATTCCATGTCCTTAAAGGATATACCGAAGCCCACCATGTAGAGTGAAGTCAGAATAAACTGAGCAACGGGCGGTGCGGTGCCCCAGACGTTGAAGCAGTTCCTTGCGCATCACTGCCGTGCGCATGGGGCGGACTGGGTGTTGGCGAAATTCCCCCTCCGAGGCTTCGAGTACGGCCGATGCCCCCTCCGGTGACCGGTGAAGGGGGGCAAGGCCTGTTCCGCGTCATTCTCTAGCACCCACGCTAAGGGACTAGCGTCTGTGGGTCGTGCGTTGATCGTGGGAGGTGGCGTGTCACTAACGCAAAAGAGGCTAGTGGTACGGAGTAGTACCTTACTAATCAAAGTGGCTAGACTGTTATCAGGCTAGTGCGTATCATCTCTAGTTGGGTGTTATATGGCTGGACTGCCTTATTAATGTGACTTTGCTGTGTTCGCGCTGACTATTTCGTACCCAATTTCTAACCTTAGCAGAACTCAAGTCACATTCTATCCATGGTCGTTTGGGAGATTTCTGTACGGAGTAGGTACTTACCCAGGTACTTACCTAAGGTACTAAAGGATCCCTCGGATGTGAATCGGAGCAGGATACTCAATGACAGAATTTTCCATCGGTTATTGAGATGATGTGCTTGATGACTGTTGATATTAGTAAATTGTCATTCACAGGATAACTAACTAGTCAGTACTATCTATTGTTACCTGGGAGCTTAAACATAATGATTCGATACATGAATAATCCCTCTCATCCTGGTCAGCAATGCCATGTACCTAGGCATAATTAACTCCGTTCCTTCATTAGAAGCTGTCTTTAACCGACTTCCGTCACTCTCCGGACGGTCTTGGTCATTATTAATCCTAGCTGGGTGTATTTGAGCGTGGCGTCTCATCCCCCAGTCTGTCTTTGACATCTGTCTCCTGAGAGTTCTCAGATCTTGCCTCTTATCATCATCTGATACTCTGTCGGTCTTCAGTTCCGAGGCAAGACTGGGGAAACTTTATTGCCCTCTTTGTTAGAGATTTTGCCTCCTTCCAAACTTTTGAGGGGAAACGTCAGGGAGAGCACGTGAGCGGCCAGGACAAGTCATTGTGCTTTTTCTCGTCCTATTTACCCTTTCACTTCTCTCCTCTTCCTACCAGATTCCCCTTTTCTTTTCCTAGGGCCTTGCCATGCTTCCTCCAATTCCAGTTCTTGCAGACTACGGGATCTCCCCAGATCATGGGTTTCTCCCCTCCGAGCTACCGCTGGTTGCTCTTCCGGATCCTTACTACGCCAAGTGGGAGGCCATAGTGTCGAATTTGCAGGCCCTCCTGCTCAGCAAGAGAATCCGCAGCACCGTTGACCGGCTCCCGGTTCTCTCAACCTCATACCTGTACAACGAGAACGAGTGGAGAAGAGCATATGTTGTTCTGACGTTCATCCTTCACGGGTATGTTTGGGGTGGCGACAGGCCTGAGGAGGTATGTTTGTGTACTTGACTTTCATCTTGCCTGCTAGATTAGTCCATATTTATTAAGACTTTATTAGGTCATCCCCCCCCAGATCACTACCCCCCTGTTACAGGTCTGTGAACATCTCGAAGTGCCGCCTGTCGCGACCTACGCCTCGGTCTGTCTGTGGAATTACAAGCCAATCTTCCCGGATGAGCCCGCTGACACCCTGGAAAATCTGGCGTCTATCAACACCTTCACTGGATCTCTGGATGAACACTGGTTCTACCTCGTCTCAGTGGCCATTGAGTCCCGCGGGGCCCCCTCGATCCCCCTAATGCTGCAGGCTATTGCTGCAGCTCGCGCTGGCAACAGCGAAGTCGTGACCAAGTGCCTGCAGGCCCTGGCAGAGGTGATCGACGACGTCTGCGATCTCTTCCAACGCGTCTACGAGAACTGCGATCCCCATGTCTTCTATCACCGCATCCGACCCTACCTGGCAGGCAGCAAAAATATGGCCGACGCAGGTCTACCCAATGGCCTTCTCTACGACGACGGCACTGGAAAGAAGACCGAGTATCGTCAGTACGGAGGTGGAAGCAATGCCCAAAGCTCTCTCATCCAGTTCTTTGACATTGTGCTGGGCGTCGACCATCGGCCTACTGGCGTGACGAAGAGCGACACGGCAGTGCCGTCCAGCCAGCCTCGCCACAATTTCATCCACGAGATGCGCGAGTACATGCCTGGCCCTCATCGGCGCTTCCTGGAGCATGTCAACTCTGTCGCCAACATTCAAGCCTACGTCAAGAGCCACCAGTCGGATCGGGTGCTGTGCATCGCCTACGATGCCTGTCTGGCCATGCTGCGGAACCTGCGAGACAAACACATCCAGATCGTCTCCCGGTATATTGTTGTCAAGTCCCGGGAGGCTCGGTCGCAGTCATCCTCCGTCAGCAACGGCTTGTCGATGAACCGCCCGGGAGCCATGAACCTGGCGACCGTCCACCACGGGGATAGCAGCAGCAGCAGTAGCAAGGCGGGAGGCAACAAGAAACTAAGGGGCACCGGCGGGACCGCGCTGATCCCGTTTTTGAAGCAGGCGCGCGACGAAACGGGAGAACCCGCCATCAACAGCTGGGCCAAGCGTTTGTTGACCAACGGGCCGGGCAAGCCCGCGTTTGCCTCGTTGAGCAAGCTGGGCGAACACGCCGACGGCCACCTGGAAGTGGTCGGTCTCGCGGGCACGTGGAATGTGGATGACAGCGAGGGTGGCATTTGCCATTGGTAGTTCCTGGACCTGTTTACTCCTCTTTCTTTCTTTGCTTCTTTTTTTTCTTTTTTTTTTTTTTCTGCTTATGGCGGTTTAGCGTTACGAAGACTTTGATTAGCATGTGCATAGACTAGACCATTACATCAATTATGGCTAACAGTAGCATCACACTTGCAGTGAAATCTCACATGCTACTCCAGTAGCCCCCTACGTAAGTCCTTGATCTTGATCTACAATGACGCCATCTCCTTGATTGATGCTATCAATCTTGGAAGTATAAGATCTTGTCACGTGACCCACTGACATCACGATATGATGTCATACAGTGAAGAACTACTCCGTACAAAGTAGTATATAAACGAACAGAACAGCCAGAAGAATAGATTAACAGAGCATTCAAGCATTATAAAATCAACACATCTAATTCACAACTCATCAATTATATCTATCAATCTACCACCATGTCCGACAGCACTGCCACCGACAACTCTTCCACCCTCAAGTCGTACATCGACCAGGGAACCGGCTACGCGCAGCGCATCATCGGGTCTGTAACAGGCAACTCTTCTCAAGAGGTAAACAAATATATTTTGTACAGATAATGAAGGAATGTTTTATAAGCTAACGAATTGAAGACTGCCGGCGCCGCAACCCACGAACAAGGCAAAGCCGAACAAACCGCCTCACACACGACCGCCAAACTCGGCCCCGTAACAGTCGACCCTAACACGGGCGCGACCGCAACAGACGACCCGAACCGATCAACCGGACAATGGGACCAGACCGTGGGTTCTGCCAAAGAAAGCCTGGGCAACCTGATTGGCAACGACAGCCTGCGCCGCGCGGGACAAGAGCAGAACGCCGCGGGAAAGGAGCAAGAGGCACGCGGCCAGCTTAAAGACTGGAGCGGGGGGGTTACTGATCGGGCGGCTGGGGCGTTGGGATCCGTTGGTGCGGCGATCGTGGGAGATCGTGAAGAGGAGCAGAAGTGGAGGGATGTTCATGATGAGGGGAAGACGAGGCAGAGGGGGGCTGAGGCGGATATTCAGCGGAGGGCATAATTTTTTCTTATTAAGCTTTTGATCTTTTTTTTTATGAACATGGTTTAGTAGTGTATATATGAATGATTTATCAATTGTTAAGTATGTGTCGTGTCTATTTCCGCGTTCAAAAACCGTACAAATGCATCGCCCACTTGATCGAGAGCATAGTTCGATTTGCCTGCCTGGCCGATATACGCCCTGTTAAGCCCGATCCATTGTCTTCGCAGTCTCTGCAGACGCGGCAAGGCGAGCACCCCCCCGGCGCCGGCGAGGTCGTCTGTGGGGGTGCTCATGGCGACATGGGCGGGGACGACCACCGGCTCCGATGCCTCGGAGACGGGGATCGTGATGCGCGATCCGTCTGAGGATTGCGCCAGGGCCGCCTCGGCGGAGGGGTGGGCCTGCGTGAAGCTGCGGATGGCCGCCACGATGGCAGACGTGCGCTTCTCATACGAGTATAGTGTGTCTGAGTTGATGGCTGCGGGGAGGGCGGTCGAGACGTGTGGTTTGATCTTTGGGCGCGACAGTCCCGGTCGCCGAGCCGCCGTGGTTGTGGTTGTGCTCGCCGTGTCGGAGGTGAGCGTTGACGATGCAAGGGAGGATGTCAGCTTCGAAACGAGGCTGTTCTCGTCGGCGGGCCCGAGAGGTGTAGAGGATAGCGGTAGTCCTGTCAGTGCCGTCCAGATATCGCCGACGGGCGGTTCTGCATCTGCCCAGGGGACGGTGAATAGAGGCTTGTCCCAGCGGCTGTGCATGCTGGGTTCCTCGTATCGGAAGATGAGGTTGTTGAGAAGCTCGGGAGGGTATGCGGGTTCAAGATCTTTTTGTTCTGATGTGCAAGTCTCATCTGCCTCTTTACTCCGTTGATCTCGTTGCAGTCGGGCTTCGTTATTCGCAACGCACTGGTCGACCGGTGTACCAACGTGAACCTTTAAATGTTAGCATTGGATATTAACCCCTTTGCTTAAAATAATATACCGTGCAAGATGCTGTTCCTAATGCCTTGGCATCACACCACAGCTGGTATCTAAAACCTTTGATATAGTTCATTCCATCGAGGATCACAATGCTGTCTCGACCCAGCGCCCGCTTGGCCCGCGACGAGGCAACACCACGAGCCTCCTTCTCCGTCCGAGCATTATCGTAGACAGTGCGCGGATACGATGATGAGTCATGTGATGCAACAATGTGAATCTTATAGCGGACTCTCGACGTCTCCGGTGAAGAGGCGAAGAATTCGTCTTGAGCCTTTTCGAACAGCTCCGCGAGCTGTTTGGCGCGGTACGAAAGCCCAGAGCAGGGGTATCCGGTTAAAACAACGAGCTGGATTCAACCCCGATCAGAGATCCTCTTAGTAAAATAAAAATATGAAAGACTTACCGGCATTGTGGATAACAATACTCAAGGTCGAAACAAATGCTTGTCAGAGGCAACTTTTTTCACATCGCGGGGTTGGTGGGGCGTGGCCGATAAGCAGATAGAAAAAGAAGACAAGATAAAATTAATCTATTGCACTATTGTACGAAAGTAATCTTTGTACTGTCTTGATCTCATAACTGTTGATATATGTCGCTAATATCAGAAGCTTTTCTCTATCCAACTTTGTAGTTCCTCCTCTACAGGTGTTCCGGGGCCCATCGAAGTTCGTAACCGAAGACAGTTCTTCGCAGTCTCTCATCCTATAACAGGTAGAAATGGATTAGCGGACCTCTCCTGGAAACAATGAAAGATAGCAAACGTACACCAGGGTCCTCTTCAAATAGGACTTGGTCCATTAACTTCTCAAAGATTTTGGTCACTGTAAACCCTCCTTCTTCGGCCAAGGGGAAGAATTTCTCTGTCTTGGGCAGCAGCCACGGCTCATACGGTGTAAAGATCACCAGGGCGAGCGAGTCGGGAGACTTCTTGAGCGTCTGCTGCATGGTCTTGACCAGATTGCCATGCTCACGATGGGCATAGACCACGTCCGCCAGGATCAGCACATCGAACCCCGTAGAACCTGCCGGCAAGTACGAGAGGAGACCGTCCACCGGGTTCCCCCATTTATAGCCATCGACGTGGAGAGTGGAGGATTCGGGGATGGAAGACGTGGCTAGCGAGGCGTTGTAGCGCATGTTCTCCACGAGCTCCGGGTCCGGATAGTCGGTCATCACGACTGTGCGGGCGCCCTTGACAGCACAGACAATGCTGGGAACACCCGCAGCCGCTCCGACTTCCAGCACATCCTTCCCGTGTAGCAGTCCAGCGGCTCTCTCCTCGAGGTAGTGGGCGCTTGTCCGGCCGGCGTTCCATAAGAGATTGGCCTCCAGAGTCGGTCAGTCGAGGTGTTCACTACCTTTCCAAGCAAACAAACAAAACAAAAAAAGAGACACTTCAACGCGACTGGATCATGAGCGGTTCCGTACGTAAAGAGGGTGGCTGCCCACCAGGCGCACGCGGACGACGTGGCCATCGAGCATTTGGTGCTCTGCAAAAGTTGGCTCCTGCTCTGGCTGATAGAAGCCTTCTGGGTCTTCGAACAGACCTCCCACCGCGAGGTCTTCCACCCGGCTGTCGTCATCCAGGTTTGCCATACTCTTGAGCAATAATCAAAGCAATCTGGCCGAACAATTCTTCTCCCAATAATCTCATGAATTCCTTCTCCATCCGATTGTGGTGGGGGAAGGGGGGATTTTCTTCCATAAACGGTCTAGCGTACTTCGATAAAAAAAACCCATGTCACATGATATAGATCACATGACTTCCGCGTTGGCGTTCCGAACCGAGGCTTGCCCTCTTACGGAGTAGTGCTCCGTACAATACCAAAACGGTCATATACCCGCTAAATCGGTCTGGGGCTGCGGGGTGAGACGGTTTACCGTACAGAGAGATATACATGCAGGTAATTATTGGCCCCTCTGTTTAGCCCCCCCATGCTTCCTCTCTCATCTTGCCTGGCCTTTCTTTGTACCACCTTCCGGGGATAAGCGCCAGCCTTATCAACAGCTGGTCTTGTTGAGTGTCCTCAGTCAGTGTAATATTTTATTGAGCGTTATCCCCTCTGATATTTTCTCGTTTTTGTATCTCAACTTTCCATCATTTATCGGGTGAACGACGAGAGTTTCCCCTCTCCACACGTCATCTACTACAGAGCCCTGGGTCTCAACCCCACGAGCCGTTAGCTTGAGACATCGCTCTTACTCCTCTTCATCCTTACTTCTATCCTCCGTCCACGTCACGCCCTTGGTGGTGCTGTCTCTTCGTCATCCGGCCTTGACAAGTCGATCTAGTGCGGGGAAGAGTAGTTATCGTGAAGTAATTACTCCTCTGGACCTACTTCCACCAGGGTGCTCCACCTGTGTCAGGCCATATACATATCGTTTGGCCTTATCTACGCTTCACGTCGGCCCTTGCCAAGTCCCTTTCGCTTTGCACCCTACACGATGGATCGAAACCTGAGAACTACCTATAACCTGCGATCGCTGAACCCGTCCAATCCAGTGATTTCCACATCAACAACATCATCCCATAATACCGACAACACCGACCAAACGTCTGGTTCACTGGCTTCAACAACCTCAAAGAACGATGGCCCACAGATGATGGGCGGACAGCATCAGACAGTTTATCATCATTATCACCAGCAGCATCATTATCATCATCAAAACCATCAAGCACAAGCCAAGACAGTGCAAGCTCCCGGTGTTATCGCTCCCTCTGCCATAGCCGCAGCGTATCCCCATAAGATCAATGGGATGGGCGGGCCAACTGCAACCACGCCGTTCTTGCAGGACCTCAAACTCGTGGCGGAGGCGGCGAAACGAGCTCAAATGTCGGTTGTCACGCGTGATCTAGAGAGCGTCACTCTCTAGGCTTCAGACTCTCGAGTCGGAGTCGGACCAGAGACTTTTTCCCTCTTCTTTCCCTTTCCCTTTCTCCCTATATATATATATATATAATATATATTACTATTGAAGCGAGCTGGTCTACCGAGGATCGGAGTATGGAAAGTGGAGCATGAAGATTTTACGAACACGAACCTAGCGACGACATCATATTGTTTACTTTTCTTTTCTTTTTTCTCTTTTTTTTTGGTAGTTGGGACTGGCGCAGGCAATCTTTCGATGGATACATCGCTTACAGAGCAACCAGACTACCTTTGCTATTAATCATCTAGTTATGGAGTTCACTTACGTAGTACCCAACTATTATAAACAAATATTGTTCCAAGATGTTTCATAGCTGAACCTCGGTACCTAAAAGCTGACGACATCAGGATTTACATTTGAAACACCACTTATGGCTAGGTAGTCTATGTAGTTACATAATTATAGGCACATAACTAGGAATGGTTGTACGCGTCGTCGTGGCTGCGCATATATGTATGTATGTATGTATGTATGTACATGGCTATTTCTGGGTACCAGGTAAGGTACGTGTTTCACAACACGTAAGTTGATCTGCATCTAGTTCAACTCTATTTATTCTCATTACTTATTACTTATTCATAAGTGATTTCATGGGTATCTACCAATAGATAATAGTATTGTATTAGGAACCATCCAGTAATCATATGTACAGGGCCAGACTGTCAATGCCATTAAGTAGTAGTAAAGAATGAAGAGAGAGGGGGGGAAAGCGAGAGAACCGGCAATAGAATTGCAATAATTGATCAAAAAGAAAAGAAAAAAGCACGAAAAAAATGATCGAATTGATGACTCCGCCAGATTATGCTCAATGAACCAGCCGTGACTCCTAAACAACTTTTCCCCCCTATGTTAACCCATCTTGCAGATCTAGATTCCATTCGACGAGCCGATAAGATTCGGCGTGGAGATGCTGGCACTCTGTGAAGTCTGGGGCCCCTTCCGGCGGATGAACGAGCCGCGCAACATGCTCAGCCGGCGTCTAGGTTTGCGCAGGTCCATTGAGAAGAGGGAGTTTGGCCGCGACGAAGACGGCGGCGGCGGGTGCGAACTCTGCGGACGGACGGATGCCTCTTCCTCTTCCTCCTCTTCTGGATGCGTTTGTGGCGGAGACAGCAGGGTCGGCTGGGACAGGTTTGCGCCGTCGAACATGAAGACGGAGGTGCGCTTGCGGATCTTGTCGGCTGCGAGACGCGGGTCCAGCTCCTCTTTGATATCGCCGAGGGCGTAGGACATGCGGTTGATCAGCCGCGGCTGCTTCTGGGTGACGGACGGCGAGCGTTGCACGAGGCCAAACACCTGCAGCGGAGTCGAGTCCGGGATCTCATCATTCAGTGGCGAAGAGTAGTACCGCCGGATGTGCACCCGGGGGCGCGGTTTCCGAGTCGGGAAGGGATATGGAGCGGTTCCCGAGGGGGAATTCATGGGTGAGACGGGCGATGACCGCGATGACCCGGTAGGAGAAGGTGTCGACATGCTGTGTATATATATATATGGAAAAGAGATGGGGAGGGGGGATGAGATGAGATGGTTATCGGGGGAGGGGGGGTGAGAATGGAAACAAGAGTATATATATAGATATGAAGTCACTGGTACTCCGTAGTAGAAATAAGGTAAGGTAAGTTTGAGTTATAGCTACTAGTTATGCAGTAGCTGATCAATCCAGTTGATGCGAGAGGAGAACGAAAAGGGAAAAAAAAGATCTGTCAAAGATATATATTTACGAGTGATCTTCTGAGAGATGAGCTGTAAGCGAATGGATAAGAACGATGCCTGCTAGAGGACGTAGAAAAAAAATACAGTAGGTGTTCGAGAGGAAGACGGGGAGGAGGGAGAAAAAAAAAGAAACAACAATGGCCGGAAATGGAGACGCAGAGGACCCCGACCCCAAAATGGAAGAACCCTGACTTATTATTAGCTAGCGAGGACTAGCTATTCAGGGCGTAGTACTACTTACAAGTTCCTTCTCCGTATTGCCGCAAAACAGGGGCATTTTCCCTAGGTAGGTACCTTGTTACCGTTGTACGATGGGGATTCATGCATGCTGCGGAGTACCAGAGCCACTGGTTCATGTCTGTTATGAGCATTGGCTGAGCTCTCCTGTCATCCGGTGACGGCGTGTAAACCTGAGACGCCGATGGAGCTCAAACCGTGGGTTGAAAGGGATTTCCTGATTGGATCTCCATGAGCTCGGTATTAGGGAATATTCTCGAGATGACGCGGCATCGTTCCACGGTGGAGAAACAATAAGAACTAAACAGTTAGCTCAGGGCTGCAACTATTTATTATTACAGTGTATAAGCCACTGCCTGTTAGGGTTACGATGCTCATACTTACCTAGTAGTTAAATACCTATGTAGTAGAGTGTGCTTACCTAGGTAGGCACTTCGTACAAAGCCTAGGTAGCTCTGTACCTTGGGTACCTAGGTAGTTCTGGCAGTCGAGTGAATACTCATTCCGATTGACTAGCTTCGGCTGTTTTGGTTCATCACAGCAAGGTGAGGGAAGGACCTCGGAAGCCCCGGTCCATAATATTATGAGCAACTAGTCAACTGCCAAGTTAAGCTGACTGGACATTATTATGTTTCCTGCTATTAATACGACTGGATGGAGGAGCAGGTGGAGCAGTACTCTGAAAGAACAGATCTCCATTGGTGGGACAAGCTTTTTTTTTGGAGCAAAGTGATGCAATTCCCCTTACTTTGTGGGGAGCTGGTAAAAAAAAAGCCCCCATCCGTGTCCGAAGTAGGCATTCTGTCGGTGGTGACTGGTAAGGTATGTGGTAGCTGCTTCGGAGTGGACGACGGCTGGAGAAGTTTAGACTGAGGTTCGCCAGGTTGTTTGGAACAGTTCCTGAATCAATGAATCTTAAAAGTTAAGTAGTTAATGCTGATTTGTCTTCTCCTTATCGTTCATTCCGATTGGTCTGAGATTGGAGCCTTGACGCTTGAAGGGCTTAGCTACTGGTTGAAGAAGAACCAACTAATAAGAACTTGGGAGTTTGGAAATTTTGAAGAATTGTAGAGTCACGTGTGTGGTCCGCCGATTCGGGATCTTAGGGCACAAGATTAGGGCTGCCGGGGGGGAGTGACCTTTAGCTGGCAGTTGCCGCGTTGGGTCCTTGAGACGCTCGGCTTCGTCTTTTTTTGGCAGTTCCTCCTACAGACCTGAGTACAAAGATCACTCACTCCGTTGAGTATACAAATTCGGTCGATGGCGCGAGACTAAAGCAAGGGGGAGGCTATTATCCATCATGATCGGATATGTTCCACGGGCAAGACTGCTTACTGCATTGTGGGCGGGTTGGCTACTATACTATTCGACGGCTTGTGTCGCCGTGTAAGTCAGCACAGTAGACTCAGCTACTTTGAATACGACACCAAAAGAGTCTTTGAGTCCGCAAATCGCCTTCTTCACCGACTGCCCATGCTAGCAGCAACACCAACGCAAAGTTCTCCAGTTCAAACTACAAGTACTAATCTAAGAGGTTACTCTAAATGGAACAGCTAGTCTATTCGTTTGACCATAGAGCAATCATGAATGCATTCATCTCATCTTCGCCTGAACGACCATGCCGGATATACGGAGTATTCCGTGTGCTATGCTATCGAATACAAAGGTCCGATACAATCCTCCATCACATGACAAAACGCAAATTGGTATCTAGGTATATCGTTAGCCTCGATTAATTTTTTCTTTTTCACTTCAATAAGGACTTACCTAAAGGATGACTACAGCTCAGCTGTGGTTTCTGGGTGTATTTCCCTTCTAACTCGGACCGGATATTGTTCAAAAGCTGGAGGTAGCTCTGGTGAGGCGCCTGCTGCAGGGTCTTGATAAACGCCCAGCTGAGAGCGCCTCTTGCTTCGCCGTCTTGGAACGTATCGGCTCTACATTACATCATTAGTAAAGAAGATCTGAGAAGAAAAAGCGTGGAGATGGGGAGGAAGGCAGTATCGTACGATGTCTGAGTGTCTTTGGAACCGGAAAACATGACCACATCTGCCGGAGAGGTCTTGGTCATGACGGTTCGCTGTCTGGCGGCATCTCCACGCGTGGCTTTCTTGAGGAAACCCATGGCTGTCGAGGCCATGCCGGAAAAGTCACCGTTTCCGTAAGAGCTGATAGCGCTGAACAGATCTTGAGCGGCTTCTTTGGCGAGATTAGGCTCTTTGAGGATACCCTACGCAAACAAGTCAGAATGAGAGAGTGGGGGGGAGTTGCTAATTCTTGATTTGCAAGACGAACCTGGGTGGAATAAACGTAGGGCAGGTCAAGAGCAGTGCCAGAATGACACGAGTCGAATATGGCTGTCAGTCTAACGCCCGGTTGTAAGGGGCGAACCCTATAATCGATTAGTATCGATGGGAAAACGAATTCGAGAGAAGGGTCGAGGGGAACCAACATGATCGCGTGCATGTCGTCGTCTACGATATGTCCTGTAGTCCGATAGTCGACGGGGTAAATCACATCATCGTATCCTGCCACGTATTAGTATCAGCATTCTCGCAAGTGCTTTGTACGTAATAGGTATCTTACCGTCATCCTCATCCCCGTCAAGATCCGGCGTCCGACCACCGTGCCCTATTGAAATCAGAATCAACCACAATATATAAAGGACTCCGAGAGAAAGAAAAACGTACCGGAATAATGACAGAACAGCGAATCATTGGGCTTTGCATCCTTCACCAACCACTGCATGGCGCGGAGAATATTCGCCTTGGTCGGGATGCTCATGGGATTTTGCTGGTCGTCGGTGAGGATGACCATGTCCTCCCTGCGATATCCATACCTCTCGTGCAAGAAATTAGACATTCTCGCGACATCGTTGATACAGCCCTTGAGTGCGTTCGGCTGGCCAATATAGTTGATACCGATGAGCAACGCCTTGCGACGACCAGTGCATGTCGAGTATTGAAACTGATAGTTGGCGGGGGCACCCTGACCGAAACTCTGGGCACCTTGGGGCGGCGGCGGAGGAAGGTTTGGGTTCGACGGGTTACTCCATGTTCCTACACCATACATTAGAAAATAGATAGGAGAAATGTTTAGTATCTGAGATGCTGCTTACTCGGGTGACCAGAAGAACTCAGGCTGTTTTGATGCGCACGGTGGTAGGGAGAAGGCGCCTGGGGGGGAGGGGTCGGCGTATGGTGATAAGCTTGCTGGCTGTATGGCGAGGGCACCGGCGTTGGGTAACTGCCTGGGACTGGCGGAGGGCCTGGAGGGGGACCTGAAGGGGGACCTGAAGGAGGGCGGTGGGGAGCTCCAAACGAGGGACTTGGCGAATGACCTGGCGGTGGAGGGCCTGGAGGCGGACGATGAAGGTGCTGCTGGTGATAAACTTGGGGTGGTGGTGGTCCCGGAGGTGCATGCCACTGCTGCTGCTGTGGCGGCGGGCGCTGCTGGAGATGATGCGGCGGGGGATGCGCTGGAGGAGCATGGCGACCTCCCCAACCGGGCGGAGGTCCCTGAGGTGGATGGCCGTGCATAGGCTGGCGATGGTGTCGTTTTAAGTATGAGGATGTTTCTTTTTTTTCCCTTCTCACTTCTTTCCCCGAGCCGATCGATGATTTTGTATCCGCGGTTCGGTGGTATGAGCGACTGGAATTCAGCTGCCGACAAACACTAGGTGCCAGGTAGTTATGGTGAATGAAAGAATAAGTGTAAGAGATCAAAGTCGACTTCAAAGTCTTAACGAAAGAGATCCGGAGTGAAAGACGACGCCCTTTTTAAAGATCGTAACCCGTTGGGGGTTTCAGTAGTGCGGAGGGGCGTCACGGGCCCGACAAGGGCTGGCTGACTGAGAAGTTCTTTTTGACTCGAGTTGCCCCCTCCCTTCTTCTTCTTCTTCTTCTTCTTCTTCTTCTTCTTCTTCCTCTTCTTCTAGCGGTGATGATATCCCACTTAATCCCACTCTTTGCCTCCACGGCGCAGCAGGGCGTTCTTTCTCCGTCTATCTGCGAGTCTCTATTGGCAAACCAGACTCCCACTTTTCCTCCAACCACTCGTTCGCACGGGGTGCCTGACTCTGTCTGCACTGCACACCGCCCTGTTACTTGTTCTTCCTCGACAGGAAATGTTCGGGAAGTTTCCGTTGGGGCTGAAGGGGGCGACCGACGTCAACAATTTTAGGCATCCACGATTCCTGAGATCGGCAAAGTGGACATTCCACGTCAAGTGCCGAATTGCCGAGTTAGTCTCCTCGGTAGGGCTGATTGAGTGGATAAAGTCACTACTACGGAGTACATACTACATAACTACGGAGTATAACTACTACATAGTACATAAGGTATGCTCCAGAGTAAACAGCCAACTGACTAGTAACTACTGCATAGTAGCCCAAACATAAACTACACTAAGTTAGGTAGGTTGTTTTTTGTTAAGTGCGTTGGATGGATAATTTCTCCGACAGCCATTATAGGACTAGTGCAGCCATATGTGATGATTAGAGACTTATTTGTATATGATTGGTCTGATCCTGCTGTTACTAACAGGTTAGGTACCTACCTAGGTACCTAGTACTGCTCAGGCGGGGTTTATAAGGGTACAATGCACTGTCTGCTTACCTTTGCAGTCCTACGGCTCTCACGCCTGCCCTAGCTAATTCACTAACCCTCGGCCAGACCGTCAATGTCACTTCCGCGACTGTCGCTCGACGGGTGGAACTGGGGGTTGAACGACGATTTCATAGGGTCCCTCTTGACTATATCTCATTCCCTGCTGTTACTTACTGACACTTACACGAGCTTGTGTGTTCTAGTATAAGATAACCAGCAGACGTGTTCAACCCTGGCTTCTGGATCCGGACGGTTGGCGCGGATGACAATATTGACGCAGTACATCTACGACTACTAGTTAACCAGTACAACTAGTACGCATCACCTAAAAAATGATAATGGTACATCCTTGAGCACAGGCAGGTATCGACGGGCTGCTGCTTCTCGAGCTGAGCGTCTGGCTGTGTCGGAGCAACGACAGCACCAACCACAGCCACAGCAGCAGCAGTACCACCCCAGGCAGCATGAAGATGGAAGAGATACTCGTTATACTTCTCTCGAGGTGAGGGAGCTGGATGGACAACAGCGGTACTTCGTACCCGGAGCTGCGATAAAGACCGTGGTGGATACTGTTCAATCAAATCAAGGCAATAAATAAGCGAGTATAATCTAATCATTAATAAAATAAAGTGTAATACTATCAACAAGGCTGTAATTAATATTAATAATAATTTCTTTAGAGCCTCATTTCAGTGAGTCCAGAAGTACTCCGCACCTGCGGGTGGCTACGGATCCTTACGCAGGAACATCCTGGTCCGTCTCAGGGGAACTGGGATGGCACATCCGGGAACTGGTCGTCTTGGCTTCCTCTTCCTGCGCGGTTATACGGAATTACAGACCACTCACTTCTTCTCCGCTCCATCTCGTCTCACCAGGCTGCATACAGTGTACAGGGTTAAATAGCCATGGATGTGAAACCCATGCTTGGAATACAGTCTAGACTCTAGAGCCTTGCTTGCTGACCAGATCTGAATAGGAATACGAGAATTCAGACCTAGACTGCTCTGGACTCTATCGGAATGTGGAAGGATGCTGGGCCTGGATTTAAGCAATTCGTATCTATTGGAGCACTGTATGAAGAAGAATCGTCGGATCTTTTTTTTTTCAAAGGACGGGAAAAGTCCTGCTACTTCCTAGATTCTAATATGTTTTTCTATAATTTCTATAGGTTTTAATATCAAAATCATATTTTACTCTTCTTCCATATTAGTGCTCATTTCGTGGAATATGGCTTTGAAATCGTATTTAGAGGTCTTTGCATTCCCCTAAACCCTAACCCTTATCTCGAATTAGTATTATGAGTAAACCCATTAGAAATGATAGGTGTAAGAATTGAAAAGTAATATATCAATGATAATATCTTTGCATGCGGCAAATTGCGTTCGAAATGTAATTCCATCGAAAAGCAAACCGGTCATTTGAAGACAAACAAAACAGTCCACCGGATACACCTGGAACGCTAACCGGTGTTGGGGTCTGCAAGTAGAATTCGATCCAGGATCGGGACTAGGTAGGGTTTATATTGTGGGAAGAAAAAGCAACCCGGAATCGGTCCGCTGCAGCCGCTTGGGCCGCAGTAGGCGATGCTCTGCTGTGTCTCATATGAGATAATATGGCAGACGTGGATTGAAGTTTTTGAAGTCGGTGTCGGATCAGCTGCAATGGCTTGAAAAGACGGACCAAAAGAAGCCATATGCTTGCGCCACTTGCAGCTTGGACAATACACTTGGCTAGTGGGCTATACTCCGTAGACTCTATACGGAGTAGAGAAGGGTTCATTACTCCGTAGATCATCGTATAAGCCAACTCATAATGCGCTGGTCTGAGTAATGGCTTCGAGGAGTTTGCAGATGCAAGCTGCCGGAGAGAGTTAAGACATGTCTCTCACTGGTTTATCTAAATGGTACACAGTAACTACTGTATGCTCGCAGGATTCACCAAACACAAGAATCGCCTGGGTATCAATGCGTTAAGCCAGCAAGGTGGCGGTCTCTTGATGGGCAGCTGTCTATTATTTCCTTAGACGGGTGTGTTTTCCTGAGAACGTCTGTTAGGATTCTTCTCACCGGTTAGCTAGTTGCAGAAATAATGCATAAGGACAGCAATACTGGAGTCATCAGTCAAGTTTCAACTGCATCAAAGCAAGAATTTTTGTCAAACTGCGTGCGTCAAGTCTTGTTTACCTGTCGAGAAGGTAAGAGTTTCGTCACTTTGTTGCTGGTTGTTGAGTGGTGCTAAAGAGCCTCACTCAGGGGGAAGGGAACATGCCCCACGACAACCAGACCTGACCCGCTGAGCGGCCTGTGAAACAAACACAGTCCATGTTTAATTGGTAACCGGTGATCGGGCTGAGAAGATTCAACAAAAGGTTTACGGGGTAAGACTCTCAAGGAGTGAACTTTGCAATTGAGGGTGGTTGGGAGACGCGAATCAAGGGAAGCGAAGTTGGGGCTCAGCCAGCCTGGGAGGCCCGTGACTCGTCATCTCCAAGCCTCAAGGCTTTTTTGAGCCTCATCATTCCAACTCCGGTTTCGACCGCTTTATTCACTCTCACTCCAAAGTCTAGTCTACACGCTTTCCACGCTGCTTTGGATAAGTGGCCTAATCGTTTGAGCCGCAAGTTATTCTACCACCCATTCACAACCGGGTTCTTGCCAGGATTACTACCATTGCCGCTGGGTTGGAATGCCTGTCCGTAGGGATGCCGGAGTCAATGCTGCAAAGAGAGGTAATTTCTCCACTAGGTTGGGTTCCACTGACTAGTTAGTATGTAACTAACACTAACTAACTACCTAGGGATTGGAGATATCTTGAGCATATTCAGGAGCCGGGCAGAGCCAATAATGACCCAGAGTCACAGCCGCATGGTCAGGTTATATTTATCAGGACTAGCATTCTTTAACGCCACTGCGGCTCTTTCCTGACATGAAGTGTCAAAATAGAAAGATATCATGTCCATGGTTTGTTTTTTCTTCATTGCATTTTATTTACGACATAGTTTCTAATGTTAATTAGGAGACTTGGCTGTCCCACTATCCCTTCACTACTATATACTCTTATCCCCTGCTACAATTTTGACAAGTTAACTGGAAGTTTCTCCTGTAACTGCAACACACAAGTATGACGGAGCAAAAAGGGAGGCTGGATACTCTCCCTTTTGACGTTTTATACCAGATTGTGTTGAGTCTAGACGATCAGGATTACAACAATCTTAGCTGGGTGAACAAAAACCTCAATGTGCAGCTGCGCAATGAGTATCTGGCGAAGAAGATTATTGACGTAAGTACTCAGAAGATTCTCTTGTGTTGTGGTGAGAAATCTAACAGTTTTATCTTAGCGATACGTGTTGCATACAAAGGAAGGGAAACAGGCTGTCAGAGGGAAGATCACATACCGACAGGCCCTGAGCCATTCGCATTGTATCAAAGAGGCCTTTGCTACCGGGCAGCCATATTTGGCCACGATCTTGGGCCACGGGACTGATTTTTTGTACAACGCTGGCGTCTTATGTTACTTACGCAGTGACACCGAGATTCGTGTGCTCAACGTCCACGAATCCGGTGAGACGGAACAAGTCATCAACCTGGAGCGTGTCATGGCTCGTATTACAAGGGATCCGACAACACCCCGCCTGGAAACTACCTTGCTATATTACAACGAGGGAGGCTTGTCAATACTGGTCAAAAATATAATGACGAGAACCAAGTACATGGTGCTGCTGGATGTGCAGCCGAATGTAAAGACAGGAAGGCTGCGCTTTTGGTCCTCGGTGCATGCCAATGAACGAACCTGGGCTCGTCACAATCGCACATTTCTCTGGTGGGGGGCCTATCATGAATATTACCATGATGAAGACTACAATCAATGGGCCATAGGCTGTGCCCATCTTGAAACAGGCCGTCCTATCACTTGCGATCCGATGCCCCTCCCATATTTCTACTCGGCAGGCGAGGTGGGCCAGAATATCTGTTTCGAGATGCATGGCAATGACCTCTTTGTGGTGAGCAACCTGGTTGAACTGCAAGCGAAAAAGCTTCAGCGGACCTCTTGCTATTCCTGGACCTGTCTCTCTCCCGCCCATCTGTTGGGTCAGTCCAAGATCTGCAGGTATTACGCCTGGCGCCGCCACCATGAAGAAGGTCCCATAAATGACACTTGGACAGATCTGTCCCTCGAGACTGACGAGGCTACTGGCCGAATGCTCATAATTGAGGGTCGCAGCGAATGGAGGAATGGTGGCAGTGTGCAATGCCGTACCTATTATCAACATGCACTTCCGTTTCCCGAGGAGATCTGCTCATCAGATGGAAATAAGGGGAAGGGGAAAGGTAAAGAAACAGGAGCAAGTGCCTTATCTGAGGAGGCATTCAGCAATACGGAGCCGAGAATCCGCCTCCCACGCCATTGCCATTCAGAATACGACGTCATCGACGACATGTCCCAACGGCGAGACTTTATTCTCGCCCGAACAAAGCACCACTCCTACAACCTATCCTCCTCCTCCTTTGTCGATCTGGTGAACGACCTCGAGACGGTCCCCAACAGCATGCACCCTCGAGACTGCCTGCGTCTGCGGATCGCGTCTCGCAAGCGCAAGCGTCCCGTTGACGAGGACGGTGAAGAGGGCAGGCCTGGCATGCTGTACTGCCGGGAGACTGACGAAGAAAGTGGTGTGCCGATCCAGTTCAGCGACGAACGGTTCGTCTCGCGCGGCGTCCAGCTATGGCCGCCTACCTCTGCGCCCGCTGAGCTGAAGCGCCTCCTGTGTCCTAATGGGGACACTAGGGACGTGCGTGCCTGCGCGGATGAGCGATCCATCATCTACTCGATCAATGACAGCACCGTCGACCCACGGTGCAACCAGCCGAAGCAGCTTAAGCGGCTTGTCCTTCTCAGCTTTGATCCTCACATCAGATTCCCGAACATGAAACCGCTACAGCTACACACCAACCAGCAACCTTCTACTCCGGCCTCGCCTTCATCATTCTCTTCCTCCTTCTCGTCCACTTCTTCTTCTACTACTACTACCTCTACCTCTACCGATTACTCTAGCCAGATGACAGGACCCTGGCTCTCGAATCTGTATCCAGAAAGACAGCCCTCAAAGTCTCTCCGACAGGAACCAGCGATGCACATGTACATTCGTGATGGGTTCAGGTTCCCCCGATGAAACTTGAAGCAAACAAAGCAATCAATCAATCAGATCCTTTAAGAAAAAAAAGCCTCCCCCAAAAATACCAAAATATAATAGGCAAGATGATGTACCTCTGTAAAACTAAGTTAGTAGGTGTATGTGCTAGGAAGTAGCCAGGTCCCCCCCATTCGATGATAGTATGACATCTAAGCCACCTGTCAGCCTCGTGTTTGACTCATGGTGGTCAGCGATGATTATCGATCACCCGAGGCACTGTCATGCGGGATGATTCACCTCTCATGTTAATCAGATGTGTTTGGTCTCTGAGACATGCGCTGTAAATAGATAATAATAGGGTTCTGTCCACAAACTACCAGGGCTGTATAATTGGGTAGCTAACTATAGTAAGTAACAAAGTAGAAATGATCACCCGAGTTATACTGTTCTAGCCTAATCACTATTATTTATCCGGTTCAGCCTGGGATCCCCAACTGCACAGCCTCATTAGAAACGCGTATCCCGTCGACGACGGTGTTTTTTGCTCCGTCGAGGGAGGAGGTTATAGAGTTACTTAATATTGTAACTAGTTTCTACACGCTTATGTAGATTTTACTGGATGTCTCATGTAGGCAAAGTGATTGCAAAACTCTAACAGACACAGGGGGGTATGAAACATTCCGAAAAAAGGAAAAAAAAAAAAAAACATCACAGGACTTGCAGTAAGTGCAAGTATACATAAAACGCCCACTGTTCATAAACAAGACCCAGATAGGACAGGGCCATCCATCCATCCCATCCCTGGGGGGGGTTCGATGACTGGACCATCGACCAGGGGGGGTATTCCGAAAACAAAATGCATCCCTTCTAAAGTACCATATGCAAAAACCGAAAACCAAAAAAGAAGCCATGTACAAAAGCATATGCAAAAAAAAAATAAGAGAAGAAAGAGTCTCGGATGAGGAGAAGTCGATCTTTTTGTGTTCTTGCTTGAAAACCATGTGCAAACCAAAAAAGAAGAAAAAGTATAGAAAAGAATTGAAAGATCCAAAAAAAGGATAAAAGAAGAAAGAAGAAAAGAAGAAGATAAAGAATCAATCGTCCACCCATTCACAGTACATATCCGAAGTGTTGTACACAAGTGGAATGCATTCAGTGAAACTCTTCGGCAACGAGGGTGTTCCCATTCCGAGAGGCCCATCCTACTTTCCACCTGCTGGATTTTGTTTCCCCCTCAGGGATCGGCATGTACAGGCAGCCGTGTGCAGTATCAAGGATCCCTGTGGCTGATTTCGCTAGCTGATTTGCACGGGCTGGTTCCGTGACTGGAGCAAGCATCATATACACTCCATTGAGGCGGTCCCCGCGGCTGATATCGCGGGATATTTGCAATTGAAGATAAAAAAAAAGAGGAAGTATAAGGACTGAAGAAGAAGAAGACTGAAAAGAGAAGAAAGGCTCCAGTAGTCACGGCGGTTGATCAGTTGCTCAATTGAGCAGCGGCCTGGCTGGCTTCGATGTGGCGGTAGTTCAGTCCCAAGGTGATCAGTTCTTGAAGGCTAGCATTGACCTTCTCGTGCATCGCCGAGTCCTGGGGTTGGATGCTGGCTAGTTCCTCAAGCAACCGAGAGCGACAGCTATAATAGCTTCTCTCGGCGTTCTGCAGTCTCTGGCCGTGGTGCGCGGGGATGTGGGCCACCTTTGAGACGCTGGTCTGCGACTGGTTGGAGCGTGACCGCTTCATCTGCGGAGCACCGGTGACACCGGTGACACGTCTCTTGCGTCCAGTGCTCTCCCTCTTCTTCGCAGCCTGGCCGGCGCTGGGGGAGTGTTCGCGGGAGCTGGGACGCTCGGACGAAGCGTAGTCGTGAACACGTCTCATGTGGTCATAGAGATTCCATCTACGAGGGAACCCATATCCGGGCACGGCTCTTTCGCAGCCTGGGAACAGACAGAGGTGGGGGTTGTCTCCATGGCCGTGGAATCCGTGGGCCTCGCGTTCATGGCGAAACAGGCAAGCATTTGAAGAGAACTGCAGCTGGGCATCCATGCAGACAGGGACTTTGCAGCGGTAAGGCTTCAAGTGGGAATCCAAGTATTTGCTGTTTGATGATGGTTAGTTATGGCAATCACTCGCAAAAACGAGAAACCAAGGATAACATACTGATAAGCGCACTTCTGGGTGGTTGGGGGGTGGTTGCAGGGCTTATCTCCAGAAGCAAAGGGGCAGTAGTATTTTCCATCACTTTGAGTCGGCAGGGAGTAATAAGGGTGATCACGGGGGTTCCTCAATTCAGCGCCTTCCTTGGATCTTTGGCGGAGAGGCTCCGCAGCGGGGAGAAAAATGTCCTGCTCAGACTTGCTCTGAGACTGGGAGGCAGCGCCGGACAAGGCCGGTCTGCGAGCTTGCTTTGTTGGCCGGATGGTTCTGAACGTTGAAAGATCGCATCTGTCAGCGCTTTCTTTCCTGGGCTTCAAGAAAAGAAAGGAAACTAACCTGTTGGGGTCCTGTTCGCTCAGGGGAGGGGTAAGAGGAAACATAGGGTCCCCAAGGTTCAGGCCTTGGCCGCAGATGGGGGTGGTAGTCACATCCCGAAGCATAACGCCGTCGTGAGGCATATATGAGGGATATCCAGAGTGTGGGCATGATGAGGTGACAGAAACATCATTGCTTGCTTCGGTCAGAGGGGGGGAGACAGGGGCAGTCTGGAAGGCATTGGACAATTGTTCCAGGGGAGATCCAGAGTAGTTTCCGGTGTCCACTGTGAGGGGCCATGCGTCGCTGGCTGCGACAAAGTGGCTGTCATCCGTATGAGAGCTGTGACCGACGGACAGAGCATCGTCGGAGACAGAGTTCTGGGATCCATTTTGAGCACAAGCATCATTTTCATAAGCATTGAAATCCACCATGGAAGCATAATTTTGGAAGTCCAGGTCATTCTGATCATTCATATCCGGCAAGCCTGCATAATCGGAGACGGCGTGGTAGATAACATCCGACTGGCTTCCAGCAGAGGGCAACAGCTGTTGCGACAAAGAAAAGGAAAGCATCTGAACTTCTGGGGACTCTGGCTCGGTCGAGACGGCGCTGGGGTCAATGATATCATCACTCAGAGACCACGCCTTCATCTCGTGGGAGGTTCCACGGCCATGCTGTGTGCTTGAACATAACGAAAAGTTATCCTGGCTGGAGAGTTCATCATCCTGGATCGCACGGGAAACCAGGCTGGAGACTACTGGCATGTAAGGGTTGTGTTGGGGCTGAGAGAGTTGATCCATGTTCTGCAGGGTTGCCTGAGAAAGAGTGACCCTCCCGGGTTCCGTCTTGACTCTAGGGGACATCGTGACCAAAGCTCCCAGATATCACTGGTAGGCTTGGTAAAATGATGGAATCTATCAGGGAGGAACCGAGTCAGTACATCTACACATAAAAAGACAAAACACAAAAAATCACGACACCACAAAACGAAGGCCAGTCCTGTTAGGTCCGAGGTATATGGTAATCTATCAACCGTTAGTTTTTTCACAGCGACATGAGAAAGCGGGCCCTGAAAAAGGAACGAACCAGTTGGGGTCTTTCCTTGGGAGAAAACCCAAGGCAAGAAAAGAAACAAAGGAACCAGCACCAGCATGTGGGAGAGGTCTCCCGACCATGTCAAATCCTAAGAACTTTGGAAGTTGGAGAGGTTGGTAAGAGGTCATAAATGCCGTCGATGGAAACCATAGATTGAAGGTCGAATGATCACTGCAGGTCAACGGCAAGACAGTTCGGAGGTTGTTGTTCCAAGTCACTACATGCCCGCCCAGACAGTGTATACGGGGAGACATCGAGACAGAAGCTAGATCCATTAAGTGAGGCGAAAGGAGAAGTAGTGACAAGCCATTTGAAATTTCCTAGAAGCTCAGGGGGGGGGTTCCTATGTGACAAGTTCAACGGTCGCAAGCGTATCCAGGGCAATTCCACGGAGTGGTATATCATAACACGGATAATCCAAGAGCACAAGTATCATTAACTTTTGTTTCAAACGATTCCTGGGCCTTTCACGGGGATTCCAACGGATAGAACTGGTCCGACGTCCGGCTTTCTTGTTCGGTTCCAAGGGGGGAGGGCCATAGTATCGGAGTGTGTCAACATAAAACAACACTCAAGTCATCCGTCACACAGCAGTTGCCATGAACGAGATGAACTCAAATTCCAGAAGGGAGTAGTTCATTCTCAGAACACGTATCTATCAAGGATAGACACGGAGTGATCCAGTATAAACGGCAGTGTCCACGGAGTAGACATTCCAGAGAATCCTTGAGGGCGTGGTAGGGTCCAGCGATTGTTGTCGAAGTACAGAAGACGGTACAGGTCCAGAAACACTTGGCGGTGCGAGGCTCGTATGAGGGGGAAACGACAGGGGTAAAAATATCAAAGCAAAGCAAGATATCGAAAAAAGGGAACTACCTGTTGTGAAGTGTGGCTGTAAGACCCGACTAGAGACCAGTCTGGGATCTGGAGTGAAAACGGTACTGGTGCTAGACAACGTCTGAAAGGAAGAACAATGCAGATCCTGTCCGGAATATTGGGATTCCAGTGGTAGAATAAGCTCTGGGGTGACTGAAGCCAGGGTCGGTTTTCTGTTCTCGGAACACACTAGGAAAATCCACGGGTCGAAGAGCGAGACAAGAGCAACAGCAGAAGAGAGAACAAAGCACAGAGCAGCAGAAGCAAGAAGCAGAAAAGGCCTGACGAGTGGTGCTGACGGGCTGGGATAACCTGGTGATGGGTTGAGGATGTTGTGTGTAGTGCAGGGCAAGATGAGTTTTGTGTTGCAAGACAGGATCTTGGGGATGACGAACAAGCAATACCTAATAGAGTAGGAAGGCTAGGAATGCTTGATATACTTGGGGGAGAGTAGGTCGATGGTAAGGAGAATATTCTAAAGAAGAAGGTTGAGGGGGGGATCCTCGTGCTTTTAGGAGCAGCCGGCCAGCATCTGACACGGACGTGGGGCATTTTCCTGTTCTCTACGCAGAGAGGGGCAGCGCCTGCAGGTTGTGTTGGCACACCAAGAGCGAGTAATTGTGTGATGCGCGTGCAGGAGGGCGTGAGCCCTGATGCCGCGTTGGGTGCGCTGACTGCCAATAGATGCAAATCGAGGCGTTGTAGCGGTGAGTTGGTTCAACTTGGTTCAACTTGGTTCAACTTGGTTCAACTTGGTTCAACTTGGGACCTTCCCGTCCCGTCCACTTGGCGCCCGCTGATGGTGACAAGTGCGTCATGGTTTGGGATCGATTGGCCTAGAGGAGACGAGGTTTTACTCCATTACAAACACCAGACTCCGCTTCTCGTGGGATCCAAATGAATTGTACGCCCCCTCCGTCCTTTAGCTGAAACCAAAATATCCACTTGACCGGCCGCCGAGACAAGGATTCTACGACAAGGCTTGGAGGGGTGAGGGAAAAAAACGCATTGCGGTGTGAGCGAGGGAGGGGAATGGCTGCCTCTCTGATAAGCGATGGGTCTCCATCAATCAAATCTACAAGAGTACAACAAGATGAAACAGATGGGAAGAAGGGAAAGAGTGTGTGGTGAGCGATAAAAAAAAGAGGGAGGGGGGGGTACGGATGTGATGAGAAATATGACATTCCGAGGTTACGAGTACCAAGTACTCAGGGGGTGCAAGATGGAGATTTATCTATCAACCGGTGCCGTCGCGAGTTGTGGTCCTACTGGCCTGGGCGTCAGGTTGGGTGCTGCAACCATCCTCGAGCCCACACCAGAGCCCAAGTTGGGCAGCAATGCATGGCTGCCCGAACTTCCGAAAGTACGGTCAAGGTCTGGATTGTAGTCGAGGGAAAGTACGGAAGTACAGAGAAGCACTGTGTTCTGTATACAGTCTAAGGAGACCGAAGAATCATGTTCCTAATTATCAGACTGGAGACACGTTAATTAGTCTGGACGGTCTCGAGCAACGTAGACAGAGTGAAAGTAAGAAAACAGCAGAAAACGGCCAAATCAGATAGGGGTGAAAGATGGTAGAAGGTTGTCGTTCAGCGATCTGGTAGATCTCAGTTGAACTATGCTTATGGTAATGGTGATCATCATAGAAACAGGCCGACAGTCCGTCCCTGGGGGACGCGGTGTATGACAGACAAGACGAAAAGAAAATTGTAAGTGGCTTACCTTGTCCCGTTCTCTGCGGCCTGACCAGCAAGGCGCTGGCTCTGCCGTAATCCCCCAACAGCGTCTTTACCCGACCTGCTTCGTTGAAGGGAAAAGATTCGCGTCAGGTAGCAATGGAGATAACATCCATCTCCATGATTCGAAGCTCCGAAGAGACCCGATGGTACCTGAGAGATGCAAGGTCCGTTCGTGGTTGGAAGAACAGGTGGTGCTGTTGAGAAGAGGAATCAAAGTAAAATTGCGAAAATAATTTGTGCACCAGTGGAAGCGAGAATGTCACGTGGTATATTGTGTTTGTTGTGTTTGCTCATGTGCTGCCTTGATGCCTTAATGCCTTGCTATGTACGAAATACCACGGAAGGCTTCCCACGGAACTGAATCATATGGGCCCGGGCCGAGCCGCCAAGATAAACGCTCAACGGTGGATATTGAAGCCTTTCCTTGGCGCATGTTCAGTCTCATCGAATTGCTTGAGTGCGAAGGAGACGTGGTGTATTGCGAGTTAGTGTAGAATATCCAAGTCTGCAGATGAAAGAGAGATCCCGCTACATTTAACAGACGACAGTCATTGCCAATCCTTTGGCTTTCTCTTTCTATACAATGCCATGGACATTGAAAAAACTTGATTGGGAACATGAATCAACTACAATGCTCATTTATCCTCAGTGAATGGAGATGGCTTGTTCTATCTTGTTCTCAGTCAGCCGGATCTTCTGGCAGAGGCAGTGCTCCGATGTTGCCTGTTTAAGCAAGACGCTTCCTCGGCGGAAGATTGAAGCTAGCCCTCTTTCGGCCATCGAGAGCCAGCACTTGACTCCCTTATGAGCCCGTCGTGACTTATCTCAGACTGTTTGGTTCGTTCTTCTGGCTCTACATGCATGCCTCGTCTAATAGCCTGGCTGTTCAGTCTGTCATCATTCATAAACAGATATGAACTACCATGAAACAGATGCAAGAATATCTTCGCCACTATGCAACAAAACCATCAGCAGAGGATTGAAAATGACCATGGCAGGCCATTGCGGAATATCAATCAGTCAGTTCTAAATTTTATAAAGTTTAGAGAGTTGCCACGCCAGGTACAAGGAGGTAAACACACTGGCAAGTTCAGTTCGCATTTTGAGGTATGCAAGCCACCCCATCGCTTTTTCGTTAGTCGACTTAGCTGACTTTTGAAATAACAGGCTATTCCCGTCGGTCCTTCAATAAAAGAGATATCTAGTCCGCCAGCAATAAAATCTACCCATTTGAAAACCCTCAAGCGCCATCTTCTCCAGCAAAGCGATTGGGCCGCAGTCTCCGTAACCCGTCCGTTGAAGATAACATCTACACGAGCAGACCAGCACGAGCACTTTGGCAAGAGACGAAAATTGACAGAATCGGACCGTGAAAGACTTGGACCGGATCCTGTGGGCCTCTTTACATCCCAGCGTGGAACAAATCGAAAGAATACTCTTCCGAGATCACGATGGATGGTGAATGGTCTTCATATTGGATCTGGGGGAATCAGCGCTGATACAGTGGTACCCTGTCAGAAAGACAAGTACGACATAAATGACCAATCGTCTCAGTCCATGCTGCTAGACAACGAGGAGCCGTTTCCTCCGCAGGAGTCAAGATACGAGTACTATAAAAGGCAACCTTCCCATTCGAACTCTATCCAATTCAACAAAAGCGCAGAAGCAAATCTTCTCTTTGATGATATAAGTAATTCTCCACAGTACCTCTCGCAAGCACCTCAGTTGAACAAACAAAAATTAAGACACTTCACGCTCGACGATCAAATCCTCGCCGAACAGGAAGGGAGACTACTTGCACACTCGAGCTCTGGCCGACTTGACTGGTCCAAATATATGCCGGAGGAGCCTGAATCGTCGAGCAACCAGCTCTCCAGCTGGCTTCCGGAACCTCGAGACCGGGTTCCTCTTTTGATTTATTCCAGGCCCGCTCGAAACTCTACCCCGTCGCCCTCTACTTGGAACGGGGGTGCCAACACTTCACGGCACGATTCTTCGCCGATTAAACTATTCGGACAGCCTGTTTCCCATGATCTTTTCGAGCCTAGTACGATGATACCTGAATTTGGTATTACTAATAACTGAAATAAGGAGGGCTATCACCACAGATTAAATGAGCCGGAACGTGGTACTATTGCAAGGGACTATTGAGCCATTAAACCGGACCACCGGTATAACACTGTCCACATGTAAATCTACATTTCAAAGTTTAGCAGGCTCCTTCAATTTTACCCACTTTGGGCTTGAGGGAATGTTCTCGTTTGAGAACTGATTACAGGGTTCTCATGTTATCACTGACTCAATACAAAAAAAATGCAAAAAGCTGCAAAGAACTGTCCGCCAGAACGATAATAGAACTAGCTAGGTATACTCTAGGAATGGTACCACAACTGTGCTCTACAACTTTGTGTAGAGCTATCAGTCGCGGCCTAGCTTTATAACTTTATATAGAGCCAGCAGGCGCTTGTTCTACAGCTTCGTGTAGAGCTAGCAGCCTGACCTCCCTGCTCAGCCACTTTATGGAGAGCTAAACTGAACCGCTCTTTGGCAGGTTCAAAGGAATGGAGGAAGTACCTATTTGGTCATTTTTTCCGACACCTATTCAGATATATGTTTTTGGTTTCCTCAGCCGCCATGAGGCAAAGTGCCAGAATTGTTTCTGCAAGCAGATCCATATAGTAGGGACTGTCGATTGGTAAAAGGTCGTATTCGGGCATCTTCAGGAAGGCATCTGGCTTTTCCCTACCACTTTTCAGATACTTTGCGTAGTTTTTGTTGTATTCGGGCATCGTCAAGTAGATCTCATGTCGATCCTGTGAGATGGGGAGATGCCTTAATAAGCTGATACCATAAGTAAGCCAAAGAAGAATAGCTGTTCCCTGTTTTGGATGAAAGTGATACCCCATACCTTGATATTATCGAGCTATTAAGTAGATTCAAGTGATATATTTTTGAAAGTAGGATTTCTTCACGCACGTTTATTCGGTCTCGCCATGTTAAGATGAGAGAAGGAAGCTCAGTGGGAAGAGGGGAGAAAATTTCGTCTTTTTACTATCTGGGTAGGCAGCCTGTGGACTTTCCATCTTTGGGGAGGTGCCGCCTGGTTCCTGCCTCAGACTTGGTGGGCGGGCGTTGGTGGGTGCTTCCTAGTTGGGCGTAGAGTTGATCTTACTACTACTTCACCTGCTTACCTTTCCTCTCTCGCCTGCGCGCATCCTAGATAGCATCATCATCATTCATCTATCCATCCATCATCATTCCGCTGAGCTCATCCCGGGGCATCGCCCCAACAGTATATACATGGCTATAACTATGTGTATACTACATAGAACAAAAGAGAAAGGGATACTATTCAGGATGCTAGGCGCGGCAACGCAAAGCGACTCAGCCTAACCAGGCAGAACCTACTAGTATAGAATAACTGACTATATATTCATTGGGAATGAAAGAAACCAACTAAGCTGGCAAACGCATCCGAGCAGTTGATTCAGTATATTGTAGCTAATTAACTAGTATCTAGTTAGTATCTCGGTAGTAACCTATATTAAGATTCGATAGATTTATCAGGTAGATTTATACTTTAATTCTACTTATAAGCACATAAGGTGTTTTAGCTGGCTCCATCATGGTCTAGGAGTGAGCTCACACAGGTAGTAGCAGATGGGTTTTCAAGGAGCGAGTCTTTGTTGACTCCATGACGGAAAGTGACATCAATTCCACCTCCCCAGGACATCTCATCTGTGTTCAAAGCCAAACAAGAAGATAACTATCATATTTCCTGCTTCTACTGGTTTCCAAGATACATATAAGGGAATCCCCCCCTCACGAGCAAATCCAAACCGTCCGCGACCATGCTGCTCAGCTGCTTTCAATTCTCTCCAAGAACAAGTCGACTACTTTCGAGATCAGCGAGCTCTCTAAGCTAGGCATCCAGGTGGTCAAAGTCGAACGCGGGGAAGAGGATATCTTCAAGTTTGAGCCAGCCTTCTTCCTGCCAGACCTGTCGCCATCTTTGCTCTCTGATTATCCCATCCTCGAGGATGAGGAAGAGAGCATCAGCATGTTTCGGGATCATACAGGCGAACCCGACTTTTCTGGCTCCGGGTTGAATGGGCATTGGGGTAATAAACATTGGCGTACCTACCTTACCTTCAGGTCCGTGGGATGAGGGATCAGTCATACAATACCATGTCGGTGTGCATCTCGTTGCGTACCGCAAAGGCCTTACTCATCTCCAAGTCTCCGGTCTTCGTAGAGACTTCAGACAATTGATAAAGCTCAATAGTGTGTATGTATCCACATCTCTCTTCGTTATACTTGAGCAAAGAAACCTTTCCTGACAAGATTTTGTTCTACAAAAGAAACCCCTTCCAGATATACATTCATTCTATGAAGAAGTATCATGAATGGGTTTGGTGGTGCACCTAACCTGCTTCATCGTTGCGCGGACCTTCTAAGCAATGCAAATGGGACTGATACAAGCATCTGTCGAGGTGAGGTAATTTCTATTCTGAGTGCTCTGAGCCAAGACTTTCATTTGAATCATTATCCTCGCTATAATACTCTGCCGGTGAGTTTCTAGAGTCGCTTAGCACGCTTCCTCCCCGGCTTCCAGTGAGATCACACAGCTCACCAAGGGGTTTTTTCTAGATTCTTCTATTCTCCTACATGGGGAAATTTCAGCCACGAATCCTCCAAGCTCATTCATGACTGCGATGCACAAAAGCTGGTCCTGCAGTATATACCGTTGGTGGACTTCTTGGAGAACACAACCGCTGCAGTCTCTCTCTTCATTCGATACTATCTCAGCCATGCTATCGGAGCGTCTTTGAGTAGTCTGATCATCAGATGAATACTAGCCGAAAGGCCACATGCGTGTCAACGTCAAGGGACTATCGAGAGCCGAGACGGTTGTAAATGGGGTTTTGACGTGCAGGCTCAGAGGAGGATAAAGGAGCTGCAAAAAGTCAACTGAAAACAGCGTTGAGAAGATGGGAAGGCTCTTACTGCTCACTTGCAGAATCTATTGTCTTGTTAAACAGTAAAGGGTGGTTCGATTCGAACTGCCCGCCCAAAATAATAATAGCCAGTTGGCCGCTGGCGGTCACTCGATCTCACATGACTCTTGCTCTTAGTTATCATCCTAGGCTTTTTGACTGTTTAATTCAACAAATTTCAAGCCAGCACATCTTTCTCCTGTGAGTCCACTATCGTGAGGACTTCCCCATCCTCACTCTTCCAGCACCTACTATCTAACCTGCTTGACAAGATGCTTGCACCCCTCTCATACTTAACTTTGAACAGAACGATCGATTTGCTCAAGCGAGAGATTCGCCGTCTCGACGTACAAGAACCAGACAGGTGAGAATCATGTAGCATTGGAGAAGCGAACATGATACAGAACCGCCAGCCTAGATCGTCGATTCCCAAGGGGGTCACCCAATACAATGAGTTGGTGCAGGTCGAGATGGCGTTGATGTTACTCAAATCTTGCAGGTTGATCCCGGCCGGGTACAACCAGGAGATCGCGAGGTAGGATGGTCATATACACGGTATAGGACGTGCAGACACACAAGCCTAGTGGCGAGATACTCTGCCTCGCGGCATTTGACTAGCTTCGGCCCAGATTATTCAATGCAGTGGGTTAAAACTAATGCTGTTCCAATCGCTGGTGTCATCCAATACATAGTCATGCCAAGACATAATAAACATGATAATCTACACACATTCGTTCCGTTCATCTATGCAGCTTCGGCTCCGGCTTCGGCTTCATCAAGAACACCCAAATCCGCCTCTTTCTCTAGCGTCGGCTTCTCATAGTCCACCCCGAGATCCTTCGCCCTGTTGTTCTCCTGCGTAGCCATGTACCGGACTAGACTCTCGCACAGCCGGGCAAGCACCCATTCGGGTTCCGTCCGCCCAGCGACCATGGGACTGTTCTCACCGATCCAGTCCCAGTTCAGCACGCCGTACTCGTCTTCATCGGCGTAGGAGCCAGATTCCAGCCCGCCAGCGGGTTTCGGATTTGTGAACTGGATGAGACGCGTAAAATGCACCCATTCCTCGTAGCTGTACTGTTTGGGTTCGTCCAGCAGGGCGTCGAGGGTGGTCTGCCGAATGGCAAAGGCAAGCTGTTGTGCTAGTTCGAGATCTGACGGGGCCAGATCACGAGCGAGCTCTTCCAGCGTGTGTACTGGCCGATCCGCGGCTTGCCTTGCCGGGCGGTTCACTCCGTTCTCTGCATCATCTGTATCATCAACGCCAACCTGAAACCCCTGTTCGACACGTTTCTTTTCTTCGTGCCGCTGCATCGCATTGAATATACCTGGGAACCTAGAGATGAAGTCCCGGTACTTGCCTCGCTGTGGCAGCACGAACCAATCCGCAAAGAGATCTGTGGCCTGTTTGAAGCCGACAACGACGGTGTCGCTCATTTCGGAAATCAGCATGGTCATGGTGGGGACGGCGATGGTCGACCAGACAATGAAGAAGGGTTTCCCTGCGTTGGTTGTAGGCGTGATGTCACCGTATCCAATAGTGATAAGCGAACAGAACCCAAAATACAGAGCTTCGAAATACGTGATACCTTCCAAATGCCAAAAGACAGCGGCACCGCCGGTCCAGACCACGCCAAAGGCAAAAAGACTTACGAAAAGATCGTTCCACCGCCGGAATCGTATGGTCTCGCACTGGATTGCTCGCATAGCATCGAATCTGTCCTTCTCTTCTCGCATAATCAGAAGTTTCGGCCTTTTCGCTCTTGCTTGACTTAGTGAGTGAATGGTAGCTCGGATTGGATGTTTTCGATGCTTTGGTCGAGGCCGGTATATAGAGTCGGATCCCTGGCGCGCACGCAGCGGTATCGGAGGCTTCACCTGGCTTTTGATCTCCATCTCAAAGTCCTCACCAACAGTGACAGACCGATCAAAGGCCATCTGTCGCTTCCGCTCGATGTGTCCCATGATAACGTTGTCGTAATGTAGCTCTTTGGCAAATCGATGGATACTTGACACCACAAGACCCAAAATAATCACGCCGATAACCGCGTAGGGGAGAATAAGGCCCCTGCTCACGTTGTTGGTGGCTACAATGTCGCCGAATCCCAGTGTCAAAACAGTGATGTCGGAAAAGTATAGACCATCTGCAAATGAAAGATTCATAGCCCGCGAGAAGATGGCAGCCCCGATCGTTAGCCAGACAACAAACATGGTGGTTTGCAAGATCAAAGTCCGCTGGTCATCTGTCAGAGCAAAGTGCTGTGGGTAATGGCCCAGGAAATATCCCAACATGTTGATCATGAGAATTATCGCTAAGATGAAGTAAAGAGCTGCCGCAATCACCGCACTCCAGTACGCTTGAGAATATGTCTCCGTCGGTGGTATCGGGGGGTTGTAGATATGTGTGGAAGCAGTTATTCCAACCAACTTGAATACTCGTCAGTTCCAGCTCTCTTGATGGATGGGTGGCTTGACTACTTACAATGCCTGTAGCGAGAAACCAGAGGATGATAGAGGCAGGTAGGGCCACAATGTAACGGACTAACTGCGTGAAGTTGAAGAGAAGAAAGATGTTGCCCACCACGCCGCAGACAAGCGAGGTAGCGTTGAGGGCAGTGCACCTGGCAAATGAATCAGTAGAGTGGAATAGAGCCATCCTGGAAATATCATATTCTCACCATTTTGGATCGTGTATACCGACTTGAAGGTAAGTTCCGTCTTGCGGTCCTGGTTTATCGAAAATGATGGTATCCCTCCAGGGCATCACCAGAGCCACGATAGACATCACATTGGCCAGAGGGCCTGTAGCTGCCGCAATCAATGGAATCGCAGTCGATGCAATCCACCACGTCTGAGGCTCATCGTCGTCTGGTGGCCGCATATGAAAATGGGTCGATAATCGCCGCCATAATGACCGATTGCCTGTACTCTGAGTACCAAGGTCGCCGTCCTGCATATTAGGCCATCAAAAGTCTAAGATAGAGCCCTTTGACTGAATTTATCATCGACATTAAGCCTCTTGGGGCCCTTTTATGTCCACTGCCTTTCTTTGTGCCTCCCTTGTGTCAAAGGAAACCGGCCATTGGTAGTGCTCTGCCAAACTGATAGGGCACAGTACAGATGAGAAACCAGTTCTTTGACTTTCAAAATAATTCTCTCAAGATTAAAAAGATATATTAACAATAATAAAAACAAATTGTCCCAATGGAATGAGCACTTTCGAGCGGTGCAAAGGTTGGCAAACCGTCGCATTCCGCGCCCGGGATCGGCTAAACCCTCGATCTTATTATGTCTTGCTATTTTCCCTCTCTGAAGGTTGCGTCATCGACTGACCAGCAGCGTCTCCCTTCCCTTGTTCTTCCCCCGACGCATCTAACCACTCATCAGTTTTTATCTTGCATCTCATTCGCGTCGATCGACGTGAGAGGACAGACGCCCCCATGCTCTACCGCGCCGGTCCTTGGGCTTTGCTCCTCGCCACCGCTTGGTCCGCCGCGCTCTCCGCGCGTCCTACGTCCCGCGAACGCAGCACCGAACTCAGGCCCCTACCGTTGGTGATATGGCACGGGCTCGGCGATAGCTTCGAAAATGACGGGTTGAAACAAGTGGCCGCGCTGGCGGAAGAGGTCAACCCCGGGACGTACGTGCACCTTGTGCACCTGGCCGACACGGGCAGCGGTGACCGCCAGGCAACCTTCTTGGGGAACGTGACAGAGCAGGTGGCAGCTGTGTGTGAGCAGCTGGCTGCAGATCCGATCCTGAGCACTGCTCCGGCCGTGAACGCTCTTGGCTTCTCGCAGGGTGGCCAGTTCCTACGGGCGTACGTCGAGCGGTGCAACTCGCCGCCGGTCCGCAACCTCGTCACCTTCGGCAGCCAGCACAACGGGATCGCCGAATTTCAGGACTGCGGTCTGACGGACTGGGCGTGCCGTGCGGCGGAGGCCCTGCTGCGCTCCAACCGCTGGTCGGATTTTGTGCAGTCGCGGCTCGTCCCCGCCCAGTACTTCCGTGACCCGGCCGAGCTGGACGCGTACCTGGAGCACAGCAACTTCCTGGCCGACATCAACAACGAGAGGGAGGAGAAGAACGAGATGTACCGCGCTAACCTCATCTCGCTCAACCGGTTCTCCATGTTCATGTTCGCCGACGACACAATGGTCAACCCGAAGGAGAGCGCGTGGTTTGCCGAGGTGAACGCCACAACGGGCGAGGTGACGCCTCTCCACGAACGGCCCATCTATACGGAAGACTGGCTGGGTCTCAAGGCCCTCGATGAACAGGGGAAGCTCGATTTCAAGACCGTTCCGGGCGCCCACATGCATTTGACCGATGACTGCTTGGTCGACACTTTCAACGAGTATTTTGGGCCCGTCGACGTCGACGTCGAGGTGGACGCTCATGCTCCGGCTCTTCTGGTCCAGCAAGCTGGCTTGTAGGATATGTATTGTGGTCTATTTCGCTCATTTAACATCTAAATGCAACCCTGTAGCTTTTTTCCACAGGTATAGTTGATTATATGTAGAACAAAGTCTACAGAAAATGGTATCTAGATCCTACAGTAAAGAAGCAGAGGCATCAGGGAGAAAAGAAATTGTGTTGATTAATTAATGAATGATATCTTTAAGAGACATTGTTTACAAAGAACAGTACAAATGAATAATAAAAAACTAAAAACTAAAGGAAATGGGAAGCAGTGGATTTGAAAACAGGATGGATGATATATGAAAATGGCAGGGTGACATGAACAAAAGTCTATCCAAAAACAAAGAGAAGGGCAAATGCAAAGAAAAAGGAGGAAAAGAGTGTATGTAGAACTGTAGACCAAATAATCATAGAAAAAACAGGATCATGGGTGCAATTATACAGGAGGGAATCAAAGATGAAGAGAATCAGTACGGTGGACGGCCGATACCGCCGCTGACGGCCCGTCGGCTAGACTGGCTGTTGAGGCTCCTCGTCTCGTGCAGGGAATGCGAATTTCCACGTTGGCTTGAGGGGGACAAGAAGCCATCAAGGAGTTTCAGAACATCGTCTCGCTGGCGGTCGTCGACGAGCCCCTCGCTGCCAATGGCGGAGCCAGCAAGACCGGTGCTGGACCTCGTTCTGTCCCTGTTCAGCGACCCGGGCGGACGGGAGCCCGAGGACGTAGTGGTCGCAGGCCTGCCTTTGCCCGGAGCAGTCGATGGTCGATTGGCAGAGGATAATGAACGTTGGGAATCGTTCGGGAAGCCGCCGGGGATTGACAGGGATGGGGGGATTGGTGGAACTGGGGGGATTTCGTCGGGATCCAGAGAAGATTGGTCAAATAACATTCCATTGCCGCTGAAGCCTGTCACAGATGCCTTTGGTGTCTCCGAACCGTCATAGTCCGAGTTCCCTGACCGGTCATACACAGACTGCGGTCTGCTGCCTGAGACATCCTCGGCTTCGGACATGGAGAAGGCACCGCTCACCATGCTTTCGCTGCTGTTGGAGATCACGCTGGTGTTCGATCTATCCAGCCGGCCACGCAGCGGACTCTGCTTACGAGTTGTTTTGCCTTCCGTGTTGACAGAAAGAACACGACGCAGGTCATTCATGCGAACGGGCGATCCACGGCCGGATATGTGGTCCAGCGACCCGCTGGATTCGGGGACGCTCATTCGCCGAGATTGCTTTACGCTGGTTGCATATGCGTACGAACCATGAGCACTTGGCGACGCAGTTCCAGCCGTGGGAGAGCCGTCTCTATTCCCGTTGATCTGGATGTAGGGCCTCCCACCAAAGGCGCCGCTTCGGGAGCCCGCGATGGATAACGTCTTGATGCTTTCCTTCTCAATAGCAGCAAGACAGCTCTCCTTCGACCAATTTGACAGCATTTGATTTGTGAAACTGAGCGGAAGAGAAGCACTCTTAGGTACCTCGGCCGTTGGCAGAATGTTGTTCATAGTAGGAAGATTATGAAGACCTCGCCCGGAAAGGTTGAGTGGATTATGAGAAGACGTGGTCGTTGTCGCGTTATACGACTGTTCGATCTGTCGGACCAAATCTTCCACACTCCGAAACGGAGGGAATGTAGATGCAGCGGGATTCAGGCTGCTGGCATCCGTCGGGGCACCAGATAAAATAGAGTCGAGTGAAGCGGGGGGGAGACGAACTTTCTTGAGCCACAAGCCCTGTTTCCTCCTTGTGTCGCTCTCGTGCAAGATTTCCTTTCCAGAGTTCGACGCTTCCAAGTTAAATTTTTCAACCACAGCTGACAGGTAGCCATATATCAGGCTTCCAATGTTCACTTTGGCAGCGAAAGATCGCAGTTTGTAGACCGTATTCAAATCTTCTTGCAGCCGCAAAACGACAGGAAGACCAAAACGGATAGCATTAACGCCCAGGTGCTCAACCAAGTTTGCAAGCAGTAGGTGAAGAAGCAGCACGCTAGATTCGTCCGTGGGATTTTCCAGCGCGATATCGTAAATCGTCAAGTGCAGTAGACGGAGAAAGTTGGACTGTGCGAGCACAGCCACTCGTTCTCGTTGGCTCGAAGTCGTCCCCATGGCAGCTTGCTTTGCAGATTTGTCTGCCGATTCGGACAGATCCCGCTTCGATAGTGATTTAGAAAGCTTTCCAGGCTCTACCTTGGCTTGCAGATCACTCTTGCTCGTCTCGAGCTTCAACCACGACAAGAATGCATCAGCATAGGCGTAGCGTACGGTTTGATCCGGGTCGCGCAGCAGCCAGTGAGTTCCCTCCCAGACATGGATACCTACTCGGTTTCTGGTCTCGACGCCTGCGGCGGCCATGGGGTGTCGGAGGTTAGCGACGACGAGAACGTTCTTAATGGATTTCAGGGCTGTGATTTTAGCGGTCGAATATGAAAATGCATCCGTGCTGCTCTCCTCGCTGGGTTGGCTAGTAGCTGCGAAAGAGTTCTCGAGATTGTTTGTCGAGTTTGCCGCGCTGTCAGTCGACGCCGACGCCTTGATGCGAGCCAGGATCGTCTTGATCGTGTCCGCAACTTGGTCACCGTAGTAAATGTGGGTGGCCAGATCGCCAATAGATTGCTCGAGAAGAGCGAGAAGTTTTCGCTGTGCAGCTGGCCCTTTGTACTGTTGCTTCTCCTCTGTATCGCCATTCAAGTTCTCCTTGGCCGGGAGCTGCAGGACTCGCAGGATGTTCTGCATCAGTCCAAGCAAGACATCCATAACACTGAGACCTATCATGTTCACCGAGGATTTGAGGAGCCAATCGAACAGATACACCAAAGTGAACGCCTGGCTCAGATTGTTTGCGGTGATATCGGTTTCCAGCAAGACTTCCATGGCCGTCACTAGGATGACGAAGCGGATCTGCACGGGACACCAGCTTGCAATCAGCTCAACCAGCGAAGATGCCCAGGTGCTGCTCGCCGCCACGCCTAAGACATGATCATACTGGTTTTCCGGTAGAGGATGCTGGCTGGTGATGAACTTGAGCACCGTTCTGGTCGCGATACGAATCTGGCCACGGCTGCTGCCGGACACGATCACACGTTCCAAACAACGAAAGGCCAGCAGACGCATCTCCATCTCTGCCTGCCTGTCCGCGTCGGCTGCAGTCTGCGACGCCAGCGCCGGATCACCCTCTGCGGTATCAGCCGTCTGCACGGTTGCAACGCTCACCCTACGCCGCCGCGCCAATTCTCGTTCGTTCTTTTCCGAGTCGTGAAGGTGCGACCGTAGGTTGACGAGCACATCGTCTTCGCCGTTGTAAAGATTCTGCAGGACGACCGGTAACACGATTCCCAGGAGATATCCGCCGTCGACAGCCACTCCCTCGGAGCTAACGACGCCCTTGATTGCGTGCAAGCCTACATTCTTCCAGCGTATCGCCATGGGGGCGCTCAGGGTTCCCTTTGCGTCGGCGTTTGGGCTGGTGGCGGCGAAAGCCGTATACATCCGTACGACTTCACGGTACTGGTGTGCGAGGTCCTTATCAGCCGACAGAGCGGCCATGTCCTGGTGTCGGCAGAACATCTCAAAGGTTGCCACCGACGCCTCTACCATTGAAATATCATTGGAGCGCAGAACGGTATCGATGATTGTGAGGATGGAGCGAGCATAGATGGGCAGGTCGCGAGGAACCTTCTCAATCAGTGCAGTAAGGATCTGCAGGGTAACCTGGACATTTCTATAGGTATAGAAAAAAAAGGGAGAGTCAGCCATTATAGATAAACAAAAAGCTTTCTTGTCTTCATCACAACGTACCCCAATCTCCGCCGCCAGACATCGCGGGCAGCCCTTTTTTCCAAGAACGCGCCGACTTTCGTCAGCTTACTGCGACGCGTACTCGCATAGTACAGGAGGTAGGACAGTTCGCTCGAATTCGGGATAACCTCCTGCACGCCTTTCTGGTATTTCGGATAACATTTCAAGATCAAAACCTGGTGTTTAGGCCGGCAGGACTGGCGGACGGACTCCATCGGGAGCGGCGAGAACGGAGGTGCCTGGCTTCTCTAGCGATTGTGAGAAAGGGGGGGGTAACAAAATCGATCCTGTGCACGAGGATGTATAATAGACAGCGAAACAACAAGACGATATGATTCAGTGCCGCTGTGGAGACGTGTCATTTGGGTGGTGATAGATTCAAGCGACGAGCCAGCGTGGAAAAGGGCTGCGAAGGCTTCAAGGTACCGCAAGGCACCAACGACGGCGGCCGGCGGGCTAATTACCAGGCGCGGGGCTGGTGCATCGGTCCTAAGGACGCTGGAGGGTGTTTTGTGCAGGGAAGGTCGAGCTGCACAGGAAGAACGAGAGCCAGAGCGATGACGCAGTGGTGCAGAGGCTTCTCTGAGGAGGGGGGTCAAAAGCGAATTGAGAGAAGCTGGCTGGATTTGGGCTTACGGAGTTAGGAGTTTATAGTTTATGTGCACAAGCTGTCACTGACTTATGTACACACTTTTGGTAGACAAATGAAGTTCAGGTCCTCAGGTGCTAGATATATATTGTTAATTTCTCGAGAATTAAGATATTATTCTCCGACTGATGAACCCTCCAACAGCAATACGAGTTCCTCGCATGAGGGCGTAAGGCGATTGCTCGGCTCCGATGCCGATGACGCAGCCACCGTATCGCTCTTTGAAAGCGACGGAAATAGGGAATACAGAGGGAGAAAACACAATGTGATTGTTTCTTTTACTTTTTATTAATACCTGCATAGGTGACTTGTAGGCTAATGATGGTTTCAGTTGTCTGTCGCCATGAGGGTGCCTTTCTCCGTGTACCAAACAGAATATATTCGCAGCCGATGCCTCCGCCAGTAGTGAGCAAATCGCCATTGCGTAACCCCCGCAGTTCAACGGATATCGCGGAGACCAATCCGTATGGACTCTCGGTTTTCGCGGCCTCATAATAAAACTCCTGGTGCCAATGGCAGTTAAACTTTAAGCTGATACCAGGCATCGATCTTGAGATAGGGCGGTTTGAAATGGCCGTATGTGCCTCGGTCAGACATTCTATCATCTGTGAAGCTGTCATGCCACTCTGTGGCTTCGAGAAGGATATTTTGGAAGTTTGGGTCGTAGGAACTGGACATGGATAGATAGGCAGGATATGGGCGTCATTCTCGCCTCGAGAAACTGGGTCGGTTGCCACCCTGGAATGATAAGGAGTCGCTCCATTGAAAGATTGTCGAAGTATACATCAAATATATCCATCGGCCACATCACGACTTGGGCGGATTTCCATTGTCGGCTTCATCTTCCACAGTCTCCCGCTGTGCGTTCTCGTCCGCTGCAAGTGCATTGGCATCGTTCCCTTCGCCGCTCTCATCGGGAATACCAGTCCCCGCGAGCGCCTCGATCACCTGCGGGCGGATAATATCGCGACGGAAGGTTTCCTGCTGAAGCAACTTGAGGGCACGTAGTGTTGCCCCGGGATGCGTGAGGAACTGCGAGTATTCGGGCGTCTTCCAGTACGAGTAGAGGTAGGCAAGGTAGGCCGCGAATGCCTGTGCGTCTGCAGAGAGAGTGGAGTCTGTGTCTTCGTCGTCTGTAGACGTGGAAATCCCAAGCAGGCCGGGATAGTTGACTGCGAGATGTGACAGGTAATAAGGGTTCGCGAGGGAGGAGACAAACTCGAGCTCGAGAGTGAAGCGTGGATTCGCGAGGTTCGCAGACGGAGGCTGCTGGTTTGGATCAGCAGGAGGAACAGGCTGAGCCATGGGGACTGTATTTTATTTAAACTGCTCCGAGTCAGTGGTCAGTAAGTAATCTCTGAGGAGGTAAGTTGGCATGGCAGCTCTTGTCTAATCGCGAGCGAGAAGTTAGCTGGGACGGGGGTGGTGGCCAAACTGTGTTTGGCATAAGAATCAGAATTTCAACCGCTTTGTCAACAAGTTGCCTCTGTGGTGTAGTTGGTTATCACGTAGGTCTCATATCACTGATATGACATTGGAGCAGCAACTCCATTGATATCCTAAGGCCGGGAGTTCGATCCTCCCCGGGGGCACTTCTTTTTGCTTTCTTTTTTGTCGCCAACCAACCAGTAAAATAAAAAAGCATCTCTCTCTCTCTCTCCTCCCTCTCTTTTACATTTTCTACTTGTGTTTTTTATTTTTTTCCTTTTTATTATATACCTGTTGCAGGATGCAATAATTTACTTTTTATTATTTTAACTAGGTAGGTAGTTGATAACTATATATACTGTCTGTCTATAATAAACATAACACCTAGTAGTGAAGTCAGTGTTAGCAGTAGTGGTGTTTATATATTTATTTACACGTGTAAATCAATACCTCAATGGCCACACACAGCCACAACAATAAAGTAACGATAGGACTATTTTAATGATTGATTCTTATCAGGCTGCGCCCGTTGCCACAGTCAACAGGGACCTTCTTCCCTTCCAACCGTCCTCGGGGAGTACGCGACATCTCCAAAGCCAATGGGTTAAGAGAACCCAGTATCGTGCCAGCAGCCGTCGAGCATGCCATCAACCAGCTCCGATATCGTCGGACGAGCCCATTAGCCAGATATTGTGTAGTACATAGGTATGGTCATCATACCATATACCTAGGCAGCAACAGACTCCCACTAGAAAAGCATAACTGTAGCAAAATCCGAGAGCTGGTATCTATCATCATGGACCCTTTCCTGGTTTAAGCGTCTTGGTGAAATAGAGCGTCTTTGTACCCGGTCCAGGGAATCAGCCGAATTAAACGATTCGAACCAATACAAATGACTAGACATCCAGGTCGATAAATGCATATATCATATAGCAGTACTTTTGTACACTGATAAACGACTGCAGGGGTCTACACGAGCGGGGGTTTTACCCTGTACAGCCACCATCAAACTGAACCTACAAACGTCACTAATTAGGCACCAACATAAAGAGGAAAAGGAAAAAAAAAATGAGCATGTTACAGTGGCTGGTCATCAAACCGCTGGGTATTTTACGAAGCGCATTTGCCTGGATGATCGAAAAGACCGTGCAATCTATACGAACCATCATGTCTACGATCCCCAAAGCGACTAGAAGCGTGATCGAGCAGCTGGTGGTGACGCCCGACAGGTGGGACTCGTACCCCACGATCGACCGGAGTACCATCCACAACGCTCTATTCCGGAACACGGACACCACCACGCGAACGACACGCTGCGTGCTAACCGATGTGACGGTGACGGGGGACTCGCGGCGCACGGAGATCTCGCGCAGCGAGTTGACGCGGTGCGTGGTGACGCGGGCGAAGATCTCACGGAGCCAGCTGGAGGACACGAAAGTGACGGACTGCGAGGAAGTGGGACGTACAAAGGCAACCAGGACGCAGCTGAACGGCGCTACGTCTGTGACGCGCAGTGATCTCGACGACACGATGGTCATGGGCCGTAGCTCGATGCATCGCAGTACGGCCGTTGGGAGTGTCGTGGCGGACTCGAGCCAGGTTGAGCGCAGCACGTTGGACCGGGTGATTATGACGCGCAGCCGGGTGAACCGCGCGACCCTGACGAACTGCGAGATGATGCAGTGCGAGGTGTACAACACCACCTTCGAGGGGATGACGCTCAAGTACGGGATCTGGAGGGATGGAGATCTGGTCGGCCGGACCTGCGAGGAGGAGGTGATCGCCCGGCCCAAGTCGACAAGCAGCAACAATAACGAGCTTCCGCGGATGGGCGGGATGCCCTCATCGTCATCGCCAGATGAGCCTGTAAGTTGAACTGTTTGAACTGATTTCCAAGCCCACAATCACATTTCATGTGTTTGTTTTTACTGTTTGTTTTTACTGATTGATGTTAGACCGGGGAACCCTCAACGAGTAGACCCCCCGAGAAGAACGCTCATATCTCAGATGGCGTGAGTGTGTCCAGCAGTTCGAGTGAGGATGAAGACCTGGACGAACGAGGCCCGCCGCCGCCATACTCTGACTACCATCCTGAACCTGCGAGGAGCTTCCGGGTTGGGAATGTCATTGTGGAGGGTGCTGACGACGAGAATGTTCGTCTCTTTTTTGGAAACGTGCATGCGCGGGAACTGATGTAGTCTCTATATTTAGTCAATTCATACGGGGTATACGGATAGTCAAGATATGCCGCTCAACTGCATGATGTTGAGTACTCCGTACCTAGTAGGTAGTAGATTACTTCGTACCCACGCTTTCAACAGACCACATAACTTAATAACTCTCTCATACGCCAAATACCGGCGATCCGTCGTACCTATACCTCTACAGAGTATTGATCGATACAGACTAGAGACCTGAGCGTCAGAGTTCACCACGCAAGGAGCCCGCCAGATTGAATGACGGACGGATCCAGTCTTCCCCTACGTCACGGACGAACTCTTTTTTAACATCTATAGAGCATGGAGTACACAGTGCACAGTGCACAGTGCTGAGCAGTTCGCGAGTCCACCCTGTATGTACCATGTACTCCTTTAGCCCGACTATCTTGCTGATAACCAGACGATCGCGTCGATCGGTGACATTCCGAGTGATGTCAGGATGGTATGCGTGCGCGTCATGAAGAGGGGGAGGAATTGGCTGTCTCGGTTTGAGATAACAGTCGTTCTCACTGGAATCTGAATAGACAGAGTACGTAGGTACTCCGTAGGTACTCCGTATGTAGTCTCGTTTGTTAGCCGTGATACAACGAGTGCTGACAAGGGCGGATCACGTAACCCGGACTCTGTTCCTGACTGAAACAGCATGTCGAACTAGGATCAGCGGCATTATTATTTCGAGTAGGTCTGGAGGTTGGCGACATGCAGGAGTCTCAATTATAGACGTCGAGCGCTTTGGTATTACTAGCGAGTCTCTAATGCAGGTACCCTCTGCGGTCCTCTGTATGGAGTACGGAGTACCGATTACCTTAGAGACTCTGGAGTCTGGTGTCTAGAGTACATTGAAACATAATTAGCAGTATCTAAGTAACTGGTTAACTAGTTAGTAACCGTGTACAGAGTAGTAACTGTGTAGTATGTAACTACTCTAGAGAACTATCACTAAGCGTTAGGCTTTAGCCCCTATTATCAGGTGAAGAACACCACCGAAATCCGGAGAAGATGGAGACCCGGATCTGCAGTCAGGGGTAGTGAATACGGAGTAAATATCAAATAACTAACTAGTAACTACTTAACTTCACTCGGAAAGTATAGAGTACGGCTATTCTGGATTAAAAATCGCCTCTACCTGGTAGTGACTGACTCTTTACAAGAGTAAGAGACGTCTGGTCCTACTCACGTACTCTGTAGACCCCGGAATTCCTCGGCGATCAATCCAAGTCTCGCGTGCCAAGTTATGAACTAGTATTGAGAATCATCCTGCGCACTGCAGACTCTCTCCTACATGGCTTCTTGCATTGTTGGTGGTTGAGAGAACCGCACAAGACTGCCCCGTACGCCCGTAATGTGCCTAGGTTAAGTACCTGGTGGCCTGTAACTAACTAACTATGGAGTAGGCAGTTAAGTTACCTACAGGTACAGACAGGTACAGGTATATCTCTCAGCCACTCCGCCGTTATTTCTCCCCTTCTTCTCCTCTGCAGTCCAGACCCTTTTTTATTTTAATTATCTTCCTTCTACTGCTACTAGACTAGACCATCGACTCTACAGACTATTACATAGTAAGTCACTGTTGGCTGACCTTTTCTTCCTCGCACTCCGCCCAGCCCCGTTCGTTCCCCTTTCTGTTGCCGGCCCACGAGCGGATCGTCTTTTTGCCCCTCGTGAATGAAGGAGACGGAGTGAATCTTCCTCTTGTCTGCCCACCCTCTTCTTCTCCCTCTTCCTTTTTTTCTCTCTTCTTCTTTCCTTATTCCTCTTCACTACCGACAGAATACTTTCCTCTCTTCCTAGGCGTCTACTGGGTTCATTTCCCTTGATCCCCCCTCCTCCCTTGTATTCCGTACTCCGTACCACAAAAGACAGTCAGTCCTGCGAGCAACACGATTTATGCCTCGTTTGCGCTGCTTTAGTTGACGGTCCTCCCACTGACATGATTAATCGCCTGGTAGCGCTTTGATCCGCGAACTATTTCTGGTCGCCACCGCTCGTTGCGTGTACTCCGTACCGTCGATCGGGTTTTTCGAGTCCAGACCGCTGAGGTGGCCGTCGCCTGCAATTAAATACTTGTCGACACTGGACAGCCTCAAAAAAAAATAAAATAAAGGCTCATAATAGGAGGGAGGTCTTTTATCAGCTCAGCGCCTAATAATAATAATACCCACCTGTCAGCTAGACGCCGCGTCGTCGTCCTCCTCTCACCCAACTTTTTGACCAAGCTTCCCCTGGCCGCCCACCCGCCGGGAACGGCATCGTCGTTTCAGCCTGAGCTTGTCAATCACCACCACCCTCTGCTTTCATCCATCCATCCACCTTTATCTCCCAAAACTTGCATTGTCCTACCATATTTCCCGGCCTCCTTTGAAAATGAACGCCTCTCAGCAGCATCCTCCAGTCTTTTCATTTCCGCCTGCAATGGGCCCGCCAGGTGCGTCATCCTGTTCCCCCCCTCCTCCCTTCGTTTCGCCTGTTTCTTTCCCCCCCCCAATTCGATGGCGTGTGATTCTTGTGCCTGGTCTTCGCGCTGGCCAGCTGTTTCAAGTTCGGCGGCATTCTTGCCCTGGCCCCGCTATCTCATTTCGCCTTGTTCGGGCCTACATCTTAAAAAAAAGCATATCAAGCAAGAAATAAAAAAAAGGTCTCGCTCCCTTTTTCTGACTTGGCTTTTTGCACATTCCAGATCGTCAAGGCTCGCCGCACTCGAGCATCAATCTTGCCTCTAATAATCCTTTCCGAAATCGTGCCCTTTCCCCTTCTATGAGCTCGACCCGATCCGGCGACCGTCCTGAACGCCCGCTCTCGACCAACCCTTTCATCGACGATACCGACATTCTCTCGCCGCAATCAGCCCCTGGAGGAACTGCTGCCATGTCGCCCTCGGCCGATACCCAAGTCCTGACCAACAACACTCGCGACTTATTTGTACGTCGGCCTCCTCTCCTTTCCCTTCTTGATTTCTCCTTTTCCCTTTCCTTTCCGCCTTTTGCTACTTGGATTAACCTTGCCTGTCTACTGCTTATAGGAGAATTTGTCCCTTGATTCTTCTTCTCAATCTAAAAACTACCGCCCTGCCCCCCCGCCTCCAGAAAAGCTATCGCAGCGGCCTGCACCTAACAGCCGACCGCCACCTTCACGTTCTGACCGTGACCGTGACCGTGATCGTGACCGTTCCCGTTCCGAGAGGACACGTGATATTTTTGCAGACCCTCCCCGCAAACCCAACGGTAGTTCTCGTCGACCGATGCGCCGTAACTCCGAATCGTCAATCATGGAACGGACCCCCAAGCTTCTCGATGTTGATGACGACAGGCGGCGTCGCGAAAGACGTCACCGGGAGCGTGAAGAGCGAAGCAAAGATAAAGATGGCAAGCCACGCTCCAAGAAGCCGAATCAGCGTCTGGATATCATCGACAAGCTCGATGTCACGAGCATCTACGGAACTGGCAGTAGGTCCCCCCCCTCCCCCCCTCTCATCTTCACACCATACATGGCTAACGGATGAAAGTGTTTCATCATGATGGCCCGTTTGATGCATGCAACCCGCACCGGAACCGCAAGGGTGTACGCACAGCACCGATGCAAGCCTTCCCCAAGGACTCGTCTAACATGGCTTTGGGTGGTGCGGGCCCGGTAAACTCTAACATCGATCTTAACCTGTTCCATGGCACAGGGACCGAAGGCTACAATGACTATGCAACCAGTGCCTATGACCCTCGCAAGCAGGAGACCACAGTTGTCGATGCCCATTCGCGTATCGACCCGGTTCACGGCGCCGCAAGCATGGGTTTGGGCACCAGCACGTTCCTGGAGGGTACCCCAGCCAGCCGCTCGGCCATGCAACGCCGCGAGAGCGAGGGCGAGGCGCAAATGGCGAGCGGCGGTGGTCTGCAGCGGAAGAAGTCGCTCGCTCAGCGCCTCCGGGGCATGAACAACCGCAGCGGGAGTGGACGCATGGTCTCTCCCGAAGCCAGCTACATCGTCCCCGCAAGCTCGAGCCACACGGGCATGATCCGCGCCAACGAGAAGAACCCTTTCTTCCAAGACGACTATGATGACGCGTGGGATAAGAAGGGCGCCCGTATCCAGCTCGCCGAGGAATCGCGGACCGGTGTTGATGGACCCAGCCGGGCCCGTTCGTCTAGCAGCCCCAAGCAGAACACCGGTTTGGAGCGGCGGTTCACCAACGAACGCTCCACCGCTGGGTTCGACGACAAGCCAACCGGATTCATCAACCGAATGAAGAGTCTGCGAAAGCCGCGGCCGGAGCGGCGAGTCAGCAACGAATGAATGCATTCACCCCTCGAGTGACTCGGATGAACTTGAGTGCAAGTTTGCGATTCGGCTTCAAAGCATCCCTTCACGATGACTTGTGTTCTTTTTTTTTATTTTTTCACAGTCGAACATGCAAACGCTGGAGATCGCGAGTCAAGATAACACAACGCCACAACGCGACGAGGGCCCGGCCGGTCCAAACGTCCCCCGCTCCCATGGGCGTCGATGTTCCTCCTGTGACTGCGCTCCCGGTGACCATGTCCCTGCAGCCATTTCTACAGTCTCTGTAGTCTCTGTGACATGTTCTCTAGACTCTGGGAACCCGACACGCATGAATGTGAAACATCTTATTCCCTTTTTTTCTTTCTTTCTTTGTGTTTGGATTGATGCCAGGCGGATTTCACAGCCATGAAAAAACGGCTTGGCGTTGGCTTATTTTTTATTTTTTATTATCTTTTTTCTTTGTTTTTCATCTTTGAAATTACCAACAAGTACCAGAATCATCGGATGGGGCGTTAACCAATTACTTATTTCCCTTTCGTCCTTTTCTTCTTTTTCTTGCATGTTTTCTTCTCGACGCCTTTGTACCCCATCTGGCAAAGGTACCGTACCGATCGACCATGTAAAAATACATGACCATCTATCTAGGTACGTATCGAGTATCATTCAGAGCACCTAGTGGAAATGTTATTCTTCTATGTTTACTAGAATTGAAGAGTTGTTCGGTGTCTACCTATTTACTATATTACTTGATTAAAAAGAAAACCACCTAGACCAAGAAAAAAGGGAAAAAAAGGATTTTCCATAAGACCAATACATAATTACGCCGGGATATCTAGAACAAACGATGGGTCATGACGTTTGAGATTTTGTAGGACGAGACCACAGAATTACCGAGCTGCTGTTCGCTGTCTTCTCGTGCTGTAGGGATCTGGCGCGGGAATACCTGCTCTGCGGTTCGAAAGCGGTTTGGGTCTGGAGAGGGTGTATCTGGAAAACCGGTTAGTGATAACGTACAAAAAAAAAGATGGGAATATATGAAAAGGAATAACTTACTTGGCAAATGCCCGAGAGAGTGCCTTCTTACAGCTGACCTTCTGGCTGCCGATGAAGGAGTCGACCGTGACGGCGATGGCGCGGTCGATGTCCTGCGCGGAGCAGAACTCGGACAGGCGCATCTTGCAGAAGGACTCGGCAATGCGCATGATGGCTTCAAGGTGGCGCACGGTGATCGGGTACGCGCCTGTCGCCAGCGACTCGCGGCGCATGTCGGCAAAGAGCCGTGCGATCTTGTCCTGATCGATCTGGTACAGCTTCGGTTTGCACTTCTCGCGCGCGTAAAGAATGTACTTGCGCAGCAGCTCCTGGGGGATTTCGCCCGCGTTCTCTTCCTCTGCCTTGCGTTTGCTCTCCATGCGGTCGCGCACCTCGTCATCCAGCAGCGGGAGACGCGCGCCGTTGCTATCGATCCGGTACCCCTCTTCGTCGATGAGGTCGCCGTTCTCGTTGACCAAATTGCCGTCTTGGTCGCGGAGACGGCGCGCGGGGTTGGCGCGGTGGTGAGACTCCACGACGAAGTTCGCTAGACGATCGTCTTCGTTGGGGTCAACCATGTCGCGCACCACGCAGAGGATATCAAAACGGGACAGGATAGGTTCCGTGAGTTCGACGTTCTGCGAGAAGGGGATGGTACTGTTGTAGCGGCCGCCCACCGGGTTAGCAGCGGCAATAACTGCACATCGTGCTTGCAGTGTTGTCACAATGCCGGCCTTGGAGATGGAAATGGTCTGCTGCTCCATGGCTTCGTGGATAGATGTACGGTCCTGATCGTTCATCTTGTCGAACTCGTCGATCAGACATGTTCCACGGTCTGCCAACACCAAGGCGCCGCCCTCCAGAGTCCACTCGCTTGTCAGAGGATCACGACGCACACTGGCCGTCAGACCGACGGCGCTGGCACCTTGACCCGTAGCGAAAACTGCGCGGTGAGCCGTCTTTTCGACGTACTTCAGCACCTGGGACTTAGCGGTACCCGGGTCACCTAGAAGCAGGACGTTGATGTCTCCACGGAGTGACATTTTACCCTGCACCTCTTTGCTGACACCACCGAAGAGTGACAGAGCCACGGCGGTCTTGACGTCCTGATGTCCGTAAATACTGGGCGCAATCGATCGGATAATCTTGTCAACAATATCAGGATCCCTGGCCAAGGCCCGGATTTTTTGTTCATCCTCGTCCGTCAAGCGGAAGCCAGCCAGCTGGTCGTGGGATTTAATGACGTGGTTCGCTTCGATGATGGTAGCGAAGACGGGGAATCCGTTCCTGTTGTTGAGCTGTGCATCGTAGCTGTTTCGGTAAATTCCAGTGACCTCAATCTCATCACCTGGCTTTGCCAAGTCGATAAGATCAGCTAGAAGGATGACTTCCCGCTGGCGTGGTAGCCGCCCGGCGGGTACAGAGCCAGGGGACTCCTGCAGCGTCAACTTCTGGTAGTTACGGTACACAGTTTTCTCCGAGTTGACAGTGAAAGGCCCCTTGGACTGACAACTCTGGCAGTAGGTGATCTTCACTTCGGTATTAGCCTCTTGTTGGTAGGGACCAAGAGTCGTATGGCATTTCTGGCACAGGAACATGACGTATTTCAGTTGAGGGAAGACGCCTGTCCGTCGGGTCACAACTCCAGTGACGCGGACGAGCGAGTTGAGGTGTGACTGGCGCAGCTCTCGTAAAGTGAAGCAGAGCGGCAAGTCGGTGATGCGCACATGAATCTCGTTGTGGATGTCATGGTACTGTGGGTAGTGGAATAAGGTGACGTCAAGAGCAACTTGATCAAACACTTTGAGAACCTCGGTGGGTTCGTTGCAGAGGAAGTAGGAGAGAGTGGCTCTGGTGGAACTGAGATGGTTGTATGAGACCTCGAGGGAGGCAGAGTTCACCTCACCGAGGGTTTTGATCCGGTTTCCGTACACTGAAGCACCGGCAGGGTCCGTGAATTCTGTCAGGAAGGCCTTGAACTCCCGATAGATGGAACGCAAAACTTGAGGCTGCGTGACCCAATCGGTGATGTTGTCCGCCTTAATGTCAGATAATTCTTCTAGAGTAAGCTCCTCTAAAGCATCGTCGCCCATTTCAATGTCTTCACGGTCCTCATCATAGTGATGTCTTCGGCGCCGAGGCTGACGAGTGAGATCCATGTTGCTATCGTCGTCATCGTCTTGCAGGAAAGCTGCAGGCATACGGCGCCGACGGTCAAGTTCGCGATCTCTTCTGTTCATGCGAGCTTCAAGCTGTCGACGGGTAGCAAGATCAAGCTCCTCCTGGTCCTCCTCATCATCGATGTACTCGCCCTGGTAGCGATCGTCGGCACCGCCTTGGCGGTAATCTCTTTCGAAATTGTCGCCAAACAGATCAATACCATCCTCATCCTCAGCCATCTCTTCGATGTCATCGATATCACCTATGAATTCCGCCCCTTCATCGTCGATCTCGTTGTCATCATCGAACGGGAGCATGGGAGGGGAAGAAGGGGGGGCTGTTCAGAATGTTCAGCAGGCTGTATTTTTTCCCCCCAGCGAATACACAACACAGGGACTGTCACCTACGGCTAGACGGAGGAACAATCGAAGAGGTCTCATCATCGGGCTCTCTTGATCTCTTGCGCCGATTCAGACTTCCTAAGCCGCGGTTCGCAGCAGAGCGACTGGGACGGAGTGGTGAACTGGCCCATGTTAGACCCTGTAGCAACGAGGACGAGGGGAAAAGGACGGGTTTTCTCCTTACCTCATCTTGTTCGTCGTTCACACGACTTGTATGTAATTTGCTTCGAATGAAGATTGTAGCCTGGAGCGAGAGAAGCGAGTTGCACGCCTGAGATGTAGCTGCTCGTGGGCTGGTGGGAGGAGATGCAGGACCAAAGGGCGAAACAGATTCTTGGCGGTTGTTGGTGCGCTCCGGCAACGACGCGTCAAGTCGCGACAGACACGCGTAAATTTCAATTAAGGCCATATTTGGAATAGTACAGTATCTACATCAGCACGGAGTATCAAGACACTGGCGCTTCATTTGAAAGCAGATGACAGTATCTATATAGTTAGTCAGAAATGGATTTATCTAGTTTATTTTATCAGTAGTTATATGATGTGTATCTTCGGAGATATAGTCTTAGTGGTGGAATGCGAGGTTGCGGCTTGCAGACATTATTAAGCCAGACAGGAAACAGAATCAATTTCCAGCTCAGCTATTTCATAGTCAGTGATTATGAATAGAATCCTTAGTTAAATAGGTGGTATTCCATAGTGAAGTATTACCTTGGAATCGCTTGTCCTAGAAGTTTTTAGTGACGAGGCTGCCTGCCTCTCTGATTCTTGGTGCAAACCAAGCAAACACTTAAAGTGCCTCGCGCCGGCGCGCCCTGGTTAATGTCAACGCGAATGAGAGATACTTCTTTGCCATCAGCACTGTTGAATGAGGGATCATCAACTCGGGTTTCACATCACTCTTGGCCAGACGAAATGGCAAGCATGAAGCCAACCGAGTCAGTCGAAGCGGCGGAGCATCAGAACGATGCCCAGACCTCTGGACGCCGTCGAGAGAGCTTTACCTCCCAGAACTCCCATACAGCCAGAGAGTAAGGCCCTGACTCATCTATGTATCATTGATCTGGTGGTTCTGGTCTTAGATGATTGCTGTCGAACTGTTCAAAATTCTAATTTGATGACTAGGTTCATTGATAGCCAGCTGCAACTCGAGGCAGACGCACGAGAAGTCCTTCCATATGTGAGTACATGCCTTTACCGCTGACAGGACGTATAGCCTCGAACTGACTCTGCTAGTCATTCGATTCATGTACCCAGCCTTTAGGACCCCTGCGACAGAGCCTTTTTGCTTGTATCACCTGCAACCCGCCTCCCTCGAGCCCGGATTTGCCTTACACCTCCGCCGCCGTGTGCTACTCGTGTTCGATCTCCTGCCACGGCGAGCATACACTGGTTGAGCTTTTCAGCAAAAGAGACTTTGTCTGCGACTGTGGAACCACCCGTATGCCTCCATCTGCGCCCTGCAACCTACGAAATGACCCCAAGACTGGCGCGCGAGGTGTCCACTCTGAGGAACCTGCCCCCGGCAACAAGTACAATCACAACTTCCAGAACAGGTTCTGTGGTTGTGGGGAGGAATATGATGCTCAAAATGAGAAGGGTACGATGTTCCAGTGTCTCGGCCTTGGAACTGCTGGAGCAGGGGGCTGCGGAGAAGACTGGTGGCATCCCGAGTGCCTTATCGGTCTACGTCGTGATTGGAATAAAGAGACAGAAGACAAGAAATCATCTGAACAGAATGAAGCAGATCAGACACCTGAGAAGAAAGAGGAGAATGTCGAGGAAGACGAAGAAACCCCACTCCCACCAGGATTTCCCGGTGAAGATGATTTCGACACCTTCATCTGCTACAAGTGTATGGACTCAAACCCGTGGTTAAAACGCTACGCGGGTACCCCGGGCTTCTTACCGCCAGTTTATAAGGATGGAGGGCTGGTGACAGAGTCCAAGGTAGCCGATGCAGTACCAGCAGCCGCATCACAAGAGCCACTCTCCAACTCCAAGAAGCGCAGGAACGACGAGGACGGCGAAGACGAGCAGCCAGCGGCAAAGCGTAACAAGGAAGAACCTGCCGAAAGCCCTGTGCAAATCAAAGAAGAACAAAAGGAGACTACAAAAGCGACTACTAATCCTACTGAGCCGCAAAAGAAGCACGACTCGCTTCCTGCGACGGCGCCCATGGGGTCGTTCTCCCTGTTTCTGAAGGAAGACTTCCGCGACCACTTATGCCGCTGTGCGCAGTGCTTTCCTCATCTCGCAAACCACCGTCAGTTGCGCGAGGAAGAAGAGACGTATGAGCCCCCGCTATCAGACGACGAAGAGGAAGCCAACGGCGGCGGCAGTACGGGGACAGGCAGTCTCCTGGATCGCGGGGAGGCGGCGTTGAGCAACGTCGACCGCGTGCGCGCCATCGAGGGGGCAATGGTGTACAATCACCTTCGCGACAAGGTCAAGGAGTTCCTGAAGCCCTTTGCGGAGAGCGGCCAGGCCGTCAGCGCGGAGGACATCAAGTCCTATTTTGAGAAACTTCGCGGTGATGAGCAGGGAATCAAGGATGCGGGGGATGCGTCTGCGTTGGCGAACCGGAACGGAGGCGATGATTCCCATGGCGGTAGTGATGACCGGAAGGAACAGAGTGGTACGTTCCTATATCTTAAATCAATTTATCTAACTGCTCTGATACTGACCATACAAGGCTATTAAACACCATCTGTCTAATGGTAAATGTCGGATTTCCAAATATTGTACATGGCAGGGTCAGGGATGGCGGTACGGATTGGTATGATGGGGGGGTTTTTTTTTAACTTTTATGTAATTTCTATCATCTGAACAAGTAATCTGAGATGACTATGCCTCGAGGGGTATATTGAACAATATAAGTAAAACGAAATCTTGAACCGTAATAATCAACGCCTTGCTAGATGTGTGTATGAAAGGTAGCTTACATCGAAACGCTTTGGATATGAAAATATGGAAAGAAGGGGCAAAGAAAAAAAAATTTCAACAACTTTCTCTTCAAGGTGAATGAAAAGATTTACTCCTTGAGGCGCTTCGCCGCCCGCCCCAAGAGCGCATCATCCGGCAACCCGCTGCGCTTGGTGCCTGGTAGACTGCCGGAGCGGATGTCGTTATCGTCCTGCGTGACGCGGCGGTGCGGGTACTTGCCCTCAAAACCCTCGAAGCAATTGGCACTGATGGGCCCGCCATTCTTGAAGTACGGATGCTCGAGGGCCTCTGTGGCGGTGATACGCTTTGTGGGATCGTACTCGAGGAGACGGGAGAGCAGATCGAACCCATCGGCACCGGGAGTGCCCGCACTCGAGGTGGATGAGTAGCCGCCGTTCTTCAGACAATTCTGGTACCAGCTTTCCAGGTTGGATGGGCGGTTGAAATGCGCGGGGGCGCGAGAAAGCGCCAAGGAGTGCAGCTGGGAGTACTCGGGCATCGATACTAGGCCCGGCCAGGTCTCCTTCCGTGGCATGCCAAGAATCTCAACGATCTTCATCATCTGATTGCGCTGGAAGGGCACCGTTTTCTTGCTGTCCATCTTGGCTTCTTCGCCCTTGAAGATGGGACGGAGCGAGAGAAGCTCGGCAAAGATACACCCGACTGCCCACAAGTCCACAGCAGGGGTGTAGTGGCGACTGCCCAAGAGCAGCTCAGGCGCGCGATACCAAATGGTCACCACCACTTTGTCGCCGGAGAAGAGAGAATTGAGAGGCTTGTAGAAGAGCCGGGCGAGACCCAGGTCTCCGATGCGGATCGCACCGGCGGATGTGACGAGAATATTAGCCGGCTTTAAGTCCCGGTGGAGAACCCAGTTGGTGTGTAGATAGAGCAGCCCATTCAGTAGCTGGAACAAGATCGACCGGACCATCGACGCCGGAATGGCATGTCTTTGCGGCTGCGTGTGATGGTGAATGATTTGGAGGAGGTCGTGTTCGGTGTACTCAAAGACCATGAAGATACATTTGTCTTCGAGAATGATCTCCTCGAGTTGGACAACATTGGCATGCTCCAGTTCTGAGCACAGCGCCATCTCCCGGATGGCCGACTGCGACAGTCCCGTGTATTGGATCAACTCGCCCTCCTTGTCGGGTTTGAACCTTCCAGAAACGTTAGCTATATTCCCGGGGCCTGATCTAGCAGTGGAAATAAATCGGTCAACCACCTACTTTTTGATGGCGAATTCCCCTTTCTTGCCATTCTTGCCGATAGCCTTGTAGACCCGTCCATAGGTTCCGCTGCTGATGAAACCGACGATATGATATCGATCCCGCACCCGTACCTTGGTGGTATACCCCATCCCCGGGGGTTTCCTCGCATCTATGCCATCTGGATGTGCTTTGATTAGCCAGAAGCCTCACCGACGACCTTCAACAGAGCCAGGAAAGAAAACCAGGAAGAAAGTGTAACATCCAGACACAGGGAGGGTCTAATTACCACGATGATACCCGCCGAGAGAGTTGAATAACGGAAAGTTCCTCCCAAACATGACGGGAAAGAGCAGGAGAACGGGGACACACACCTCAAGGCCCAGCACACGCCCGGCCTCGGGAAGCAGGATGGTCAGGAGATAGATAGAAAAGATATAGGTAATAATGTAGTGTAGGTAGAGACAGAACCACGCCCGAGTTTACCCCGAGAACATGCTGCGAACAGAAAAAACGAAGCCACGGGCTAATATAAGACAATATTACCATCAACCAAGGCCTGTTGCAGGGTCCTCTTCAGAGCCAGGCTCTGGCTGACAACCGGTCGGGAGGTGGCAGATAATGGACCTCCGGCGGACGAGGGCGGGTTTGTCCCACTCATGGATAGGCAAAATAGCCTTCCTTTCCAAGCTGGTGATGTGGGGGGTTTGGACAAGGGGAGGGGGTGCTTGAATGCGGGCGCCTTTCTCACGGGCCTGCGAGCCTGGGAGGGGGGACTAGGACTAGTCAGACGAGGATTCAAAGAAAGGAGTCGCACGGAGGGCCAGAGCCGAGCAGCAGCAGCAGCAGTCCCAGTGAGTCCACTGCAGTTCGTGGGACGATCGCGATAGTTGGGGCCATGAAGAAGCGGTGGCGTTGGCGGTGGTGATTGTGTTAGTCAGCGGGAGACAGCAACAGGCAGAGACTCAGAGACAGCAAAAGCAGGTCAATCAGCCTGAATTCGAGTCCAATCTGGTACAAGATGTCTGTCAAGATACAACTGAAAAGACAAACGTAATAGGAACCTGCCAAACGTTGTGTCTGTCGTGTCTTGTGTCTCATGTCTCGTCTCCGACCGTCTGGACCGGATAATGGCATGCTGACGTCCGGTGTTCCTTTCCCCTCTCTCTCCAATGCAACATGAGATGCGACGTTGCGTGGACACCACCTAGCTATTGCTGGTAAATCATCCTTATACGTTTCTTTTTTTACACTTCATTGAATTCATTCGATTTGCCACTGCCCTTTTATTTGATATCTTCCCGGATCTAATCCCTACGATGACCCCTGGCGAAGCTCCCCCGTCAAGGGTCACCACGTACCTTCTCTACCTGGTGCTCATCACCACTCTGGGCCCTCTTCAGTTCGGCTATCACCTGGTAATATGGCGTCTAGTCTTTTTGTTCATCGAGAAGGAGAAACAAAGAAAAAAAAACATTTGCTAACGTCATGTTTGGTGATAGGCTGAGCTAAACGCACCCCAAGCCGTCGTGACCTGCGAGAAGAAATCGATCATATCATCTGCCTCGACGACTGCGATTCAATTGCCGCAATGCATTCCTATGACTCCGTCGCAGTTTGGGCTGGTGTCGTCAACCTACACCCTGGGGGGCCTGGCTGGAGCCCTGCTGGCAGGACCTATTTCTACCAAGTATGGACGGCTGTTCGCGCTGCGAGTGACAACCATCTTCTTCATCCTGGGTCCTATAGTGGAGGCGTCAGCAGCCGGAATATCGGCTTTTAGCTTTGGTCGCTTATTGTCAGGCGTCGGTGCTGGTGCTGCTATCGTCGTGGGTCCCATCTATATTTCCGAAATCGCTCCTCCCAAGGCCCGAGGCTTTTTTGGTGCTTTCACACAGGTAATGTGCAATGTTGGGATCCTGCTGGCGCAGACACTGGGGTATTTTCTGAGTTACGGGAACGCATGGAGGGTGATTTTGGCAACAGCCGGCTGTATCGGTGTTCTCCAGCTGGCCGGGCTGTTTTTCGTCCCTGAAAGCCCGACTTGGCTTGCTGAACATCAACGCACGAATCTGGCCCGCCGGGTTCTGCAGAGGATACGCGGCAAAGATACGGACATTGAGCCAGAAGTGAAGGCGTGGCGTGTCTCGCTAGGGTCTGCTTTCAGACCTGATGAAGAAGATTCGTTGCTCACGCCAGCAGCAGCAGGCATGCTGCCCCCTAAACAGCAGCCTGCGGTCACGATTGCGCGTGTGTTTACAGACCCACACTACCGCCCGGCCCTTATTGCTGTGATTGGTGTAATGGTTGCTCAACAGCTGACGGGCATCAACAGTATCATCATGTATAGCGTGTCGCTGTTGCAAAGCATCCTCCCAACAGGGGCAGCTTTGCTCTCTGTGATGATCTCGGCAATCAACCTCGTCATCACTCTTGCCTGCTCGCCTCTGCCAGATAAGATCGGGCGAAAGGCCTGCCTGCTTTATAGCATCACGGGCATGGGCCTAAATTCCATCCTGCTGGCTCTCGGCATCTACTTCCATCAAAAGGCGCTCTCCGCCCTCGCTGCGCTGCTATTTGTCGCATCCTTCGCGGTCGGCCTGGGCCCCGTCCCCTTCATCCTGGCGTCAGAACTGGTGGGCCCGGAGGCCGTGGGTGCCACACAGAGCTGGGCGCTGGCGGTGAACTGGGTCGCAACCTTCCTCGTTGCACAATTTTTCCCCGTGCTCAATGACGCACTGGGCGGCCGTGGCAAGGTATACTGGGTCTTTGCAGCCATGGCGGGCCTGATGGGGACGTTCATTTACACGCGGGTGCCTGAGACTAGGGGCAAAGCCGATGCCGACGAAGTCTGGGGGCGGGAGCGACGGGTGGACTAGATGTGTCTTTCTACACGAAATAACCCGTAGCTCTGCGCGGAAGATTGAAGGACCTTGTACGGAGTACATTACTATATACATATCGACCAATTATTGGCTGTTCATTGTCCATCCCATGCTACGGGAATCGACTCAGCTGCAAGGGAGATCGGATCGTCCGATCAGGGGTAACTAACGTCCCATGGACCTAAATATAGCACACACCTGTTGACAGGCAATAATTACGGAGCTTTTTTTTCGCATGTTGATGCAGGGTCCACGACAATAAGTACAGAGTACTAATCACAGAATACGAGGTGGCCGTGGACTGCTTACTGCGTCCAGAGTACAGAGTAGTACTACTGCAGTGCTTACGGAGTACTGCATACCTAGTATTCAGCCCTAGTTACAGAGTATATCGTAGCCATTACTAACTAACTAGTTATTTTAACATAGTCTAATAGTTGACTATTAGTTCTTTACACTGAATTTACTTTGGTGACTGCCTAAAGTTACTTATTGACAGGCAGTGTTCACCGAACAGCACGCCACTAAGCCAAGACATATGGAGACCCAGTACATTATGGACATAGGTACTCAGGAAAGGGGCTCATTGACTCCTTAGCATTTATATAGAAATTCAACAAATAAGGTACTTATAAGTAGTATTTTGTAGTGTCCTCTATGTACTTAAGTATACCTATAGACAGAGCAGTACTAGTTGACCAGATGAACCACTTTTCTACAGTTATATCCAAGTACTTGGATATCTATTATTGACGAATTGAGTTTCCTCCGTATTGAGTCTATTGACAGGTTACGTGTCCTACTACAACAGTTAGACTCTGGGGAAGCACTCTGGAATCCGCTGTACGCTGCCAATCGTAATTATAACTCCTCAGTCTCCACCAGGAGCTGGAAAACACGAAGGACCATTCCTTCGCCAGAGCGTTCGGTAGAATCAATCACGTTATTTTTTTTTTCGAGTGATTATAATTATCCCGCACACAAGGCATCTCCTCTCCCTCAGCTATATTGCTCTGGAATTGATCTGTCCGTTGCTTGTCACCGTCTGTTGAGATCCACCGCCAGAACTGGTTCCCCCGTCCTGCTAGTCGTTAGTCAAGGCTTCGCCCCCGGCAGAGCAGTTGTCAGTGTGGAATAATCATAAATAATAATAATAATATAGGCCCCCTGTGGTTTTATTATTATTATTCCGATTATTTTCTGGATTATTTTTCTTGATTATTTAACCACACCCCGTTGCTGACGTCGTCAAGAGGAACCACTGACCAGCAACCTCCCCTCTCTCTCTCTCCACCCTCCCCCCGAGGCTTCCGCTATCAGGTTGTCGCGATTTCAATCCAATTGCCTTCTTCCTTTTGGTTTCTTTTTCCCTTTCTTTCCATTCTTTTATTCCCCGTCTCGTCGGTTCTCTTGCTCGAGGGTTAAGGTGGTACTCGTACCGTCACTGTTCTTCTCTCTTACCGCACCGAGCCGGTCGTTTCTTGATTGCTGCAATGCGGAACTCTCTGCCTCTCTAACGATCCTTGGAAACCGATTCTGACAGATACAATTGGGATTTCCATGTGGTGATTGTCTTGTCTCAGAAACCATCATCACTGTTCTCTCTCCCGTTGGGCGATCTGATCTGCTCGGTGGCTGCCCCCGGCCAGACCGAGCGATCAAACTAATAATTGGAATCCGGACCCCCAGCGCCCGCCACCTTTTCGGAATCCCTCCATTGACATCATCAAGCCAAGCCGATCGACGAACGTCATACTGTCCGATTTCCTCGAACGAGATACGAGCTGTGTGTGGCCCGAAACGGGCTCTCCTACCTGTCCTTGCCCCCCCCTCCCCCTCGTACAGGTAGTACCCCGCACTCCCGCCGTCCACAAGAATGGTCCGCCTCGCTCTTCCGCAGCGTCTCAGCACTCACCTTGGGTCGAGAAGTGCAACGCCCACGCCCGGCCAGAGCCGCAGTACGAGTCCGATGAGAATGGCTGAAACGAAGCCGTTGACGCTCAAGATCACAGTGGTCAAGGTGATTATACATGTTTTTTTCTGGAGATTGTTTGCTCACCACAGCTAACAATTTCTTGATAGGGGAGAAACCTGGCTGCCAAAGATCGAGGAGGGACCAGCGATCCGGTCAGTATTTATTTCATTTATTTTTTTATTTCATTATTTTTGATCTTTTCCATCCTTATGAATGTTCTCGCTGACGAATTTTCTTCTAGTACCTCGTCATTACCCTAGGAGAGTCGAGACAATCCACCCCTACGATTTTCAAGACCCTCAATCCAGAATGGAACGTCTCGTTTGAGATGCCGGTTATTGGCGTGCCGCTGCTGGAGTGTATCTGCTGGGATCATGATCGCTTCGGAAAGGACTACATGGGCGAGTTTGACATTCCCCTAGAGGAGATCTTTGCGGACGGTGAAATCAATCAGTCTGTAGGTGGAGATTCCGGTCCATATTATACCCTGTCTTGAGGAATATTCCGCGCTGACGCGGGGCCGGGGGGGCTGCCCGGAACATAGCCAAAATGGTACACGCTCAATTCGAAACGTAAAGGTGGCAAGAGGAAGAAGGATAGCACCGTCTCGGGGGAGATCTTGATACAGTTCTCTCTGTATGATCCGGTCAACCCGGGCGCGTCCCCGACAGAGACCTACCACAAGTTCCGGAGTGTGGTCTGTGCCGGCGAGGAGGACACCTACACCTATGGCGATGTGGACAAGGATGAAGACACCTCGGACGAGACGGACGACCCGACCAAGCCGGAAGTAGTAGAGAAACGAAAGCGCAGGTTACGGCTGGCTCGCCTGAAGCGCAAGTCGCTCGCCGCGAGAGCTTATCAGTTCTCGGGGGCAGGCAACGGGGTGCAAGGCATTGTTTTCATGGAGATCGTCAAAGTTACTGATCTGCCCCCGGAGAAGAATGGTAGGGATTTTCCTCCTCGAGAGGCAGATGCTCCTTTGGTACTAATTTTTTTTTTGGTATAGTCACCCGTACATCGTTCGACATGGATCCCTTTGTCGTTACCTCGCTGGGTCGAAAGACCCTCCGGACGCCTGTCATTCGTCACAATCTGAATCCCATCTACAATGAAAAGATGGTCTTCCAGGTGATGAAACATGAGCAGTTGTATACAATGAGCTTCACCGTAATGGACCGAGACAAGTTCTCCGGCAACGACTTTGTCGCCTCCGCCTCGTTCCCGCTGCAGACTCTCATCCAGGCCGGTCCAGTCGCTGACCCCGAAACGGGTCTGTACAAATTCCAGACCCCAACTGGGTCTCCAGATCTCTCGCCATCAACGAAACCGACCAACCGTAATGGCATGAGCCGGTCCTCCTCCAGTACGAGCATTGTCAAGTTGTCTAGACCCATCCTCAAGTCCCGGGGCTCGGGTGCATCGCTGTCCGGCCAATCGGCGCAGGAGCAATCGCCATATCTGTCCCCTCCCCCGGCCAGCGTGCCCGAAGAAGGTGGCAACATATCCTTGTCAACACCGAGCATTATTACCTCTGCACCCAGCGGAGATCCTACTGACCCTATTCCGGTGCTGGAGATTAATGAGTTCAAAACCTATGTCATCCCTCTCACCCTCAAGAACAAAGACCGCTGGGAAGATAAGCACCTCCCAGAGCTTTACGTCAAGGCTAAATACCTGCCCTACCAAGCGCTGCGCCAGCAGTTCTGGAGATTGATGCTGAAGCAGTACGATGCAGACGAAAGCGGACGCATCGACACGGTGGAGATGATCACGATGCTGGACACCCTCGGGTCGACCCTGAAGGAATCCACCATTGATGGGTTCTTCCAGCGGTTCAGCGCAGAGAACCAGTCCAGGGATACCATGGACCTCACATTTGACCAGGCGGTGATCTGCCTGGAGGATACCCTGCAGGCTCTCCAGAAGAAGAATGCGCGCCCGGTGCTTCCAACGGAACCCCTGACGTCGTCATCGACGGACAGTCAAGAGAGCGAGGAGCAGTACAGCAGCGACGAGCTCGCCCTGGAGTCCAGCTCGTCTCTGCCGGCAAACCATGATCCCCAACAGACCGTGGTGCCCACGCTACCAAACGAGGAACAGCTGGGCTCCCCCGCCGACGAATATCTCCGCCCAGACGATTTGGGCGACGAGCGCGGCGAAGAGCATGTGATCGAACTCCGTGAATGTCCCCTGTGCCACCAACCGCGGCTGGAAAAGCGTTCGGATGTGGACATCATCACCCACATTGCAACCTGCGCCAGCCGTGACTGGCGACAGGTTGACAACCTCGTCATGGGCGGCTTCGTTACCTCCAGCCAGGCCCAGCGTAAATGGTACACCAAAGTTATTACCAAAATCTCCTACGGGGGTTACAAGCTCGGTGCCAACTCCGCCAACATCCTCGTCCAGGATCGCATCACCGGCCAAATCAACGAGGAGCGGATGAGTGTTTATGTGAGACTGGGCATCCGCTTACTTTACAAGGGTCTCAAGAGTCGGGAGATGGAAAAGAAACGAAGTATTATCCCCTTCTTTTCTTTTTCCTTTTTTTTTTCTTCTTCATACTAACCAACTATAGTCCGCAAAGTCCTCAAGTCGCTAAGTATCAAGCAAGGCAAGAAATATGATGACCCTGCCTCGGCAAGCCAGATCCAAGACTTTGTCAACTTCCATCAACTGGACATGTCTGAAGTCCTCCAGCCTGTGGAAGCCTTCAAGACATTCAACGAGTTCTTCTACCGCGCGTTGAAGCCCGACGCGCGACCCTGCTCGGCGCCGGACGAACCGAGAATTGTGGTCTCCCCTGCAGACTGCCGCTCCGTGGTGTTCGACCGGATCGAGGAGGCGACAGGGATCTGGGTCAAGGGCCGGGAGTTCTCCGTGGAGCGACTGCTAGGCGAGGCCTATCCAGAGGATGCGCCGCGGTACCGGAATGGGGCTCTGGGCGTGTTTCGGCTGGCGCCGCAGGACTACCATCGCTTCCATATCCCCGTCGACGGGGTGCTGGGCACCCCCAAAACAATCGAGGGCGAGTACTACACCGTCAATCCGATGGCCATCCGTTCCGCCCTGGATGTGTACGGTGAGAATGTCCGCGTGCTGGTGCCCATCGACTCGGTCGCGCACGGCCGCGTCATGGTCGTCTGTGTCGGCGCCATGATGGTCGGAAGCACAGTCATCACCCGGCGCGCGGGTGAGCAGGTCTGCAGGGCTGAGGAGCTGGGCTACTTCAAGTTCGGCGGTAGCACGATCCTTCTGCTTTTCGAAGATGGGGTGATGAATTTCGATAGTGACCTGGTGGACAACTCCAAGGGTCCTCTCGAGACACTGGTACGTTTCTTTTCTTTTCTTCTTCTTTCTTTTGAAACCAAAACTCAACTGACAATTCTTCTAGATCCGAGTTGGCATGTCCGTCGGCCACAGTCCTGAAATCTCCCAGTTCGAACCCGACATGCCCAAGAAAGCCGAGCATGTCACGAAAGAGGACCTGCAAGACGCGAAGCGGCGGATTGGGGGCAGCCTGGCACCCACGCCCCCTTCGGATGTTTCGCTCAACTAAAAACCCATGACTCTTTTTCCTTTCCATTCCTGGAGTTCTACAGCGAGCGGTTTCATTGGATTATCATTATTCATGGTCATTCCCATGGTTATTAGAGCCGTGGTCATCAATTGGGCGCAGCTTACTCTACTTATAAGGAGCCGGGCAGGTCATTAGATCAGTATAATAGTCAATGTCACATTATAACTACCATCAAGATGAATTTGTCTTCTCAAAGTAAACGCAGATACCTAACTTGGGTACTTGAATACTACTTGAAAACTACTTGGGAGGTACCTAAGGTAAATGACTAGACTGTAGTAAGGCCTACCTAAAACAGCCTAGTGCCGTCCCACGCGCCACGACCAAAACAACCGCGTGCTGCGCCCGGGAAGTCTCAGAGTCAAATCCCCGTCGTGGACGGTCATCGCGCAAGGAGCCAGGCCTGCCCTTTCTGAAGCCCATCGCTTTTTCCACTTGACGTGCCATCCCTCTCTGGTTCTATCTATCTGCAGGTCTTGTTGGGTGCGGCTCGCGGGCGGACGTGGACTTAGGCGCCTTTCCCCCCCCCTGGCGCGACCGGAATTCCAACACCCACCCCGACGTATTCCATCTATCTACACGCCTTCTTACTGCTTACGATTCCCCCTTCCCCCACCCATCAACGTCTCTTTGGCTAGGTCATTCGATTATTTGGTTTCGCCGGGAATTCGATTAGCGGCTGCGACAGGATTGAAACCGGAACGCGTGCACTGGATTGCGGACATTTCGTGGTGGGAGAAGCTGCGGGGACTGACTGGGCTTTGATTTCTCGCGTCGCGGGTTCGAAAAAAAAAAGAAAAAAAAAGAAAAAAATCATCGCATACGAGACCATATACTCTCAAGGGAGAGAAAGAGAGAATTAAGGCGAACGGGAACGGCAGAAAAGGCACGACAGACACGATTGAGTCGGGAAGGGTTGGAATAGGCTGGCGAGGGATTCAAGAGACGGGGCGTGACGCCAGCCGCACCTCATGAGCATCACTGTTCTGGCGACTTCCACGAGAGAGAGGCACGCTCGCGAACCTCTGCGAGCGATTGATATGGCGGCGTCGCAGGCGCGTCCTGCGCCGTCCTCTGGTGCGGGGAGGGGTAGGGGTCGGAGGCCCAAGGCACCCCCCGTTCCGGTCCAAGAAGAGGAGGAGGAAGCAGCAACAGCAGCAGCAGAAGAGCAGAATGGGGAAAACTTGCCGAATGAAATGAAGAAGAGAAAGGCCGGTGAGTCCGAGCGGGGGAGAGTTCTGTCGACCAGTAGTAGGTCTTGGTAATGCTAATGGTCAAACAGTCTTTGATGAGGATATTGAAGGCTTTCAGTTCTCGCGCAAACCCTCGAAAAAACCCAAATCAACAACAATTGACGCCATGTCCGAGATCTCCGAGTCGGTGGAGCACTCCTCACCGCCGAAACGAGGCAGACCGAAGAAGAACACAGCGAAGGGACAGGAAAATGCTACGGGGTCACATATCACAGCGGCAGTTCCGACAGAACCTGCAACAACAACAACAATAACAACAACGGCGGCGGCAACGAAAAGGACACGACGTACATCGCAGATCGTCGCCGAGGCGGCACCAGAAACATCAATCGCGAGCACGCCGAGGAGCCTTCGTGCTGGTCGCGGCCCTCCTCCCCCGCCGGTAGAGTCACTGCCGCCGGAGAAGAAACGCAAGCGCGGGAGACCCAGCAAGTCCAATGTCGAGGAAACGAATGGCTATATATCGCCGGAGCCAGAACCGTCCGGCACGTCCAAGATTGCGCTACCGTTGGCCGACACACCGGTGATCCAGCGGAATAAAGAGATGCGAGGGACAAAATCGGGGAAGCAACGGCGAAGCAGCCTCGGGATGCGAGGCCGGCGAGCCAGCTCGTTGATCGATTCTGGCGCTTCGAATGGTGGGAATCCCTTTCCACAAGAACAACAAACTCATCCCATCCTCCTCCCCATTGCTGATATTTCTGTTCTCGTAGCACTCCCACACAAAGCGGTCGGCACCGCAGAGTTTTACAAACATATTGCGGCCGACCTACCGGAACCTCGGAGAATGCGCCAACTCTTGATCTGGTGCGCAACCCGGGCAATGGGTGATAAACCCTCTGGATCACGATCGGAAGATGAAAGTGCCAGACTGGCAGGTTTGTGCCCCCTCCTCCCTTCTCGACCAATGGAACAAGAAATGAATCTAACTTGACTGCAGCTCGTGTGATCCAGGAAGAATTGCTCAAGGACTTTGCAAATAACTCGGAGCTCTCGAATTGGTTTGCTCGGGAGGATGTGGCTCCCCCGGCTGTGGTGGTGAAGAAACCAAATCCCAAAAACATACAGAACACGGATAAGATCAAGGAGCTAGAAGAGCAAATACAAAGGTGTGTTTGCCATTATACATTCTTTTCGTCACTCATCAATGAAGAATTGTCTACTGACTGTGCGAAGATTACAAAGAGAGAGACACGCGCTGAACGCTCTCCTTCGACTGCCTCCAATCCCGTCAATACAGCCTCCTCCTCCCCCTTCGACCGAAGCGCCGACAAATGGCCAGCAAAAATCTCCGACGGCCGAGCCCTCGGAGGTCTCGAATCAAGAAGAAGTCAACCCGTCATTGCTTGATCCCTCTCAACAAGCCATTCTGGCACTGTTTCAAGGGAAACAAGAACAAGAGCCGACAACCTCGCCGGACCTCTCGCTACCACCTTTCCCGCCCTCTGCAATATCCTCTCGTCTCTCCCGCCTAACATCCAGCCTTGCCCCGACCTTTGATTCCTTCGCCGCAGGCATTCACGACATCGAACTCTACCGCACGACGGCCGACTCGGTCTCATCACGGATTCTGCGCGTCTGTGCCGAGCGGCTCGATGAACGTGATGCCCGCAATGCCCTGCGCAGCCTTGTCCTCGACGATCACGACGGCGACAGCAGTACCGATATACAACCCCGTCCCGACACTGCCGCCGCGCGTGCCGTCCAACGACGACGGCCCAGACCACGAGAAGATCTCGGGTTGATTCTCGGGGCGTTGAGTCGAGTGGAGAGGCGGTAAGCCTTTCCTTCCATTCAGCCTGGAAAATCTTCTGTTTTTCTTTCTTTCTTTCTTTTTTTTTTCTCAGAAACAAATCCCCTGGTACGTACATAGGAAATCAATGCTATGGATTTTTTGACGGTAGCGGTCATGAGAGACTAGGTGATGTTTCAATCTTTATCATCTTCAGTTTTCCAATTCGAATCAAAATGATGGGCTCTGGAAGGATGTTATGATATTTCATCCCGCCTTCTTCTTTTTATTTGTTTGTTTGTGTGTTCTGTTACGTGTGTCTGATGTGTCGTTGCATGCCAGCGTTGGAGTTGATAGCGGTGTTAAACCATGACGGGTAGATGATACTTTAGGAGAGAAATGAGTGTGTACTAAGAGTTGTTAACTAGCTTACAGATAGTCGGTAGTCTACATGTCCGGTCTGGTAGACTCTTGAAACAATTGGATATGATTCTCTATAATGGTGAACTAAAAAAAGAATAAATGTCACTGATAGTTACATCTGATGAGAAAAATGTTCTAGAGTCTTGTCAACCTGGGCTAAATCCTCCACCATATCTTTCCAGAATCGCCGCATGAATGCGTTCCCTGTATCTCCATCTAGAAAGGATGCCTTCCTATCATAGTTTTAGCGGGTTGCTTACTCTTCAAAAACGAAATCAAAGATATATCACTCACGTATCGACCGCGTTGCTCTGTAGGAATCGACCATGGGTTTCACGCCCAGCCACAGCCGAGGCATTGATGACGGTCCGGGCACCGTCCTCGGTTGTTCTGGCCAGCATCTTATTCATTGTGTAGACCAGTGGCTTCAACCACAAGGGCAGATTGCGATTGAACCCTGTTGAGAGCATTCCGGGACACGAGTTATTGACGATGACCTCGGAGCTAGGCACAATCTCCGCCAGGCAGCGGATGAACGCGTTGACGACCAGTTTACTATCCGAATAACGCGTGAGGCCGCTATAAAGGCGCTGGTCATCGAAGTGTGCCAGAAAATTCTCGCCTTCACTCAGCGGTGTCTTCTTCAGGCTGTGGTGGTACTGTGTGCCGGATCCAACAAAGTTCAACCGAGAAGCGCTCCCTCGCTTTGCTGCTGTTGCTTGGAGAAGGGGGAGGAGCTCGAGTGAAATGAGGAAATGCGTATAGCAGTTAACTAAAGATGTGGTCAGATCGCGATACTCGGTTGAGCCTGTAGTTATTTGAAGTATAGTCACCTTGCATTACCCTCTCGTGCCCGCTCTTGCTCTTTTGGTAGTTCATAATATTGACACCACCATTGCATACCAATACGTCCAGCTCAGGCACCTCGCGCTTCACCCGCTTAGAGAACTCCAATCCAGACTGATAGTCCTCGAGATCCAGATCAAAGGCCTCAATCACCGCAGACGGGTTGGCCGCTTTTACTTCGGGGTCCGCTCGAAGGGCAGAGACAGCCTCCTGGCCTCTCTTCTGGTCGCGGGCCGTGATGATCACCCGAGCCGCCTTGAGGGTTAGAAAATGACGACTAGTCTCGAATCCGAGGCCACTGGTCCCGCCAGTTATAATGATGGTCTTGCCAGCTAGGCTGGTACCGGTAGGTGTAGGGAGGATGGGGGGTTGTCTCATTGTACGTGGTAGATAATATACACTAACGGATATGAAAGGTAAAGAAAAAAACTGAAGCTTCCGGATAGGCTCCAGAGCTATTATATATAAGGAGAGAGACTTTTGTTTCTCGCAACCTCCAGATTGTCTATGCAGCAATACTTCTTTGGGAAGGTACGGACCAGTCCATGGATACGGGTCCGCTTGAGTAGCGCTAACCTAGGTATGGTTAGATAGCCACCTACATTGGGGAAAGCGGATGGGCTCCAACCATTCAGACATTGTTAAAACGACAGGGATCGGGCGCGCTAAGCAGGGGTCGGCAAAGGCAGTGGGCACGTTTTGCCTGAGGAATCCATTATCTCTCCACCTTCCACAACCTCACCTCCCTACTACATAGGAACCTTCCTGAGGCCGCTCACCCAAGGGGCTGATTATCAGCGCCTTCGAGCCCTTGATGGTCGTGGCTGTGGCCCACGACGGCCTATCTGATAGCCGGGCCCAGACCGTCTGCTTATCGTGTAAAGAACGCAAGCAGAAGTGTGACAGGTCGTTGCCCAGCTGCACCCGCTGCGAGCGGTATGGAAAGACCGACTTTTGTGGCACGATCCCGCTCTGCACATGCTCATGAAGTCTACAGGTTACTCTTGAAATGTCGCTATCCAGAACCGAGAGTATACTCTAGTCGGACGACGTCTTCGGGCTCCGAGAGTGTTTCGTGCCCATCGCCTGTGATCGACCGCGACCAAGCTTTGGCCAATGACCTCCGCCTTGTCTTTGATGGATCCCAGTCTGGCCTCCCTCAATTGGGAGACTTAGTCAGTAAACATAGAGAGCAGTTTGAAGCCATGGCGGATGTCTTTCTTTCCTCTTGCCAGAAATGGGTTCCCATTATCCACCGACACACATTCCGGGAGCACTGCAAAGCGCCCCAGACAGAGCTTCCTCAAGGGTTTCTTGCCTTAATCCTAAGCATGGGGTTGATGACACGCCCTTTGATGGACGGCGATAGACCGGACTCACTACGCGAGTCTATGTATGTGGCAGCGAGACGACTCTTTTGGGATGTGGAGTCTGTCGCACAGCCGACACTGGCTCTCATTCAGTGTGGACTCTTGCTGTCTGCGTATGAATATGGACAAGGGCTCCTGAATGCTTCCTACGTGACGATTTGTGTCTGTTCAAGTATGGCGCAAATCAGTGGGCTCTGCCCAACACAACACCCACCATCTCTTCCACTCCCGGGCCCCTGGGCGCCGCAAGACGAGGGACTGCGGACTTGGTGGGGAATTTTGATTCATGAGAGGTTTGTGAAAATCACCAATGTGAACTTGATACGATGAATACGGTCTGGTCTGGCCATGGGCTAAGGCCTTTTGTAGGATGATTAGTCTGAAAAGTGGCGTTCCCATCCGACCTCTGGGTATTAGTGACTCAGAAGTCATGGAAGGCGTGGACGTTGAAGCAGAATCCCGCTTTATTGTTTCGAACATTGATCTCGATCCGTTATATGCTTCTTTCTATCTCCAGGCAAGAGCTGCAACCTGGCTGGAATTGGTTCTAGACGTGACGCGCAGCCCTCAAACACGGTCCTCGGAAGGCCGGCTACGCTTTCAGAATCTTGATAGAGGTCTACTACTCTTCTTGATGACCCTGGTTCAACTCGGCCTGGGGTCCTGCTGTGAAGCCATTGCCATTAGCCTCAGGTGCGTACAATCACAACCTAGTCTTCCAAGAGAAAGGAATCTCGAAATATACTTATACTATTTTCATTCAGTGCCTTTATTCACTTGCACAGATGGCGTCTCACATGCGATAGCCCCTTCTTCTCCCAGCAGGATTACCTGGAATCATCAAGGGCGATTGAAACGATCCTCAAGGTCCTGTCAGATCTCGCCCAACACCGTGCCGAAAGCGCTATCTCCGGAGAAGACAATGAGCTAGACGCCGAGCAATTCCCCTATTTTATCCATATGATCTATCAACTACTAATTGAAATGCGACAACAGCCACGCCTGCAGTATCGTCCAGCAACGGACACAGTCCCATCGCATGCGTTTGAAAAAGAAATGAGTCTCCTCTATGGGATCCTCCTAAAACAGACCGACCGATGGCAGATTTCACGTACGCAGGAGTTGCTCTTTTTTGCTTTTGTTTATTTTATTGATTTTATCTATCTATATAGCAATACTGACTCAGTTGAATAGGGGAATACCTTGCCATGCTAGATGGCGGGTAATGATATCATCTAATATCTATAAGAACTCGACAACAACGGTCTGCGCAACGAAGAGAGTCTACTAACAAGTTTATACGATGATCTATCAATGAACATAACTCTTGTGCTTCATGACTTGGTGGTTTGAAACTCGATTAGTCGATGCTGTCCAGTCTTTTGGCTTTGATTGAATGGAAAATGAAGAAAGAAAATTATGCGGTATGAAAGATAGCCCCTTCAATGCATAGTTGGGATAGATTCGCCTCCGTCATAATCTACTTGATTGACAAGAATATATAGAGTAACTAGTTAGGTACTGAATGCATCACATGTCATAGAGTGGACACAAGAATGAGACAGGGCAACTAGCTAACTCAAGTGATAAGTACTTACTTTGTACTCCGTACTCAGAACTGAGTAGAGGTCTAACATATTCCATACCTTCCATACCAGCCTTCGGAGCGAAGTCGCGACGCAGTGGCTGGATTGGTTGGAGGGAAATTAAGAATATTCATCTGAAATATGGATGTGCGTACCAGTCACTATTGTTTCAGATTGGACCAAGATGGAGAACATGCGCAAGGGATGATCGTCGTGATTATCATTGCAGAGCTTAGTTTGATGTTCTCTGTACTACAATCACTACGGAGTAGTTGATTAGTATGTAACTACAGTATACCCCGTACCGAGGGATAGCAGAGTAAAGCCTGCGTACTAATATTAATTAGGCGTGTCTTGGAGGAGAGGAATATTGATCAACATGTTTTGGTCTTGATCTTTGCATCTGAGGTATCCAGGAAGGTAATGATCTGGTCCATACCAGACAAGTCATGATTGGAATATATACTTGATGTAAGCGATGAGTACGCTTTAGATTCGTACAGAGTATTTTGAGGCTGCGAATCAATCAAGATCAGAATATGCCGGGAAGTCAGTGGCTAGTGTCAGAAATAACAGTCATTGAAATCATACGCCTCAAATTGAATAGAACTTGTGAGTCAAAGGTACTCCCTACAGAATTGGGTCCGAAGGTACGCATTATGGATTACTATGAATAGTAATCAAAACAAGTTTTCGGTGGCAAAACAGAGATCATATCCTCCGAATGGCAGCCTGGCTTCCAAGTTTAGACATCCGTTGAATCCTTTGATCTGACATGTTTATCTGTATCCTGTTGATGACGCGTAATGTCGATGGGACAAGGTTAGGGGTTTGATGAACGCTATAACCAGTGACAGGCATGCATGGCTGTCTACTTGAGGATATTGCACGTGTGGTCCTGCGCTTCTTATATATCGACAGTCAATCACCGGGCCAGATTTCCAGCATGGAGTGCTACTCCGCAATGAGCTCTCTAGACCCCGCGTAAAAATCCGCCTTCCCGCGAGAGGAAGTTGTGGCCGGGTTGGAAACGCAACGACAACCCGGGCCACTGCAGGCTGCAAGGGTAGGCTGCGAAGCAACGCTTCGGCAACGTGTCCGGAGGCTACACAGCATCCGGACGGATGATGAGCACTGAACACATGCGGGGGTGTATGTAGGCTTGAAAGGGCACCTTCGAGCCGCGGTCCAGTGCAGCGGCGGTCCTTTCGATGAGTCAGTGGACGGAGGATATAGACAATGGTCCATTTGCACATTATCATGCTGCCTAGAGGGGTGCATCGGTGGAGAAGGATTAGTATTATGGTCGAATCGAGATAAACGTTGAGGTCTTTGCGCTAGATGGAGGTGGCACAGCCATCCTCGGCTGTCCACTTGGATGAACCCGCCACATGGTAACGCAAGCTTAAGCTGCGGTGGTATCGCAGGTCTAAGGATTGAGATGACGCCTTGAAGCTGGCCCGAGTGCTTGATGCCAGGGAGGAAGCTGAGACTTGCTTCTTCAAGTGTTGGCATCGTCAATACTAGGTAGCTGCTGCTGATGCAGGTTATGACAGCGCCTTGCATAACGATGGATCCAATGGGATACAGTGAATGAGACATAACATAACTAAGACGCTCATTCGGCTCCTCAAGCAAAGGTCACATTTGATTCGCTGTATGGAGTGCAGTGACCCGTGAAGTCTGATCAATTCATCCGACCGACAAGTCTCTTGATTCGTACTATTTTCTCCAGTGTAAGCCCTTGGACTGTATGGAGTATTCCGTACCCCATGCAGCCTTCCAGTCCTGAAAATGCAGCTTGCAGTTCAAATGATCGTCAATAACATTGATTCTCCACCTTCTTTTCTCCAAAGGCCCTGCAAAGGGTGCTCCATCCCCAGTAGCTGTCCGGAGTAGCCTGTAGCACCTCGACGTTTGGACTCATTTCATTTCTGGTGACCCTGTGTAACCACATGATGCCTACCACCCCTTCAAGATTTGAGACATCCTTTTTCATCACGCAGGGAGAAGAGATTGGTAGCACACTGCCGCGCGGCAGCAAACATACGCCACGGCGTCCATCTTCAACCTCCACTATGGAGTACTCTGTTCCCTGACCAACGGTCTATTGCTTCCCAATGCTTTTATGGAGTCCTGGGTACGCCAAACGGTAGACTAGGTATCTCAAATTCCTTTGATCAGCCATGAGTCAGTGGAGATTCAGCGTTGTTTCAAACGCTGTACGGAGTATAACGCAACCGAGAATGCGTCAGTGGCGTAATTGACGGCGGCAGCAGTCTTCCACCAGCCCAGCAAGGAGGTTGAGAGCCGTCTCCACGGTCGGTATCTCCCAATCGGAGTGATCTGCGTAGCAGAAACAGCTGCAGCTGCAGGCGCAGCCAAAGATCCGAGAGTGCTCAGTGCGCGACGTGCAGAAACGGCCGCTGATCGACTGTCAATCGGTCAATAATAGCAAGACAATCATTTGGGACAATCCATACTAGTTGGAAGAAAACCGGGGATGAGTTCTTCAAATGATAGGCAAATAGCTAGCGATGGACAGACAGATAATCGCAAAGGAAGGAGGAGAAGGGGATGTCTTGGGCGGATCCGTAATGTCGTTTTGTCGGATTTAGGCTTTTAGCTCGCTCCTTCTTCTCTGGTAGACAACACTGTCTCCCTCCATCTGTCGTTGATCTTCCCCCCTACACCACGAACCCACCGGCGCTTCGTCATCGACTCGATTGGGTTCCTGACTATCATCTGGCTTTTGGGCCTTCATCGCCACAATATCTATCCTTGATCCGCCCTCCTGACCGTCATTCGTTCGGACACCAGAGCTCCAGGTACCTCTGGCCCCTCAGCCCACAAGCAGCAGATTTTCTAAGCCGGTGATGTCTATGGCAGAGTAAAACCATGGTTTCTATCCCTACGGCCCGGTTCGGCAGGGGAATAAGCGATCCAGAGTCTTTGGCGGGTTTCTGACCCATGATCGACTAGACCCATACCCACCGGCTCTGCCATCCAACCTCAAACTCTCTGTTGACTTCTAGAAGTCCAGGCAGTTCGAGAACAGTGGAGAGCGTCAGACTATCACACTCGGAAACAGGAAGCTTAGACTTTCAGATGCCGTCTAGTCTCTCGGCTGGGCCCTTTCAGACGCAACTATTTTGGTCACTGTGGCACATTATCGTGGAACCGTCGCACCGGCAATGAGTCGATGACCCGTCGCAGCGAGAGATTGTAGGTAGCAAAGCTCTCTTTCCCCTCTCCACATGAATGGAGGCAGTGGGAAAAAGCGCAGAGAAAAAAAATAAGCCTGAGCTCATGGGATAGGGGTGTCACCATGATGTCCATCCTCCGTGGTGCCCAAAGGGCCGAGGGTTGTGTCGTCAGCAGCAAGAGGAGGCAACATGACTTCTTGCTTTAATTCCCCAATCCTCGAACTGTCTGTCGAACCGATTTACCAGCACGGATCGATCCTGCCGTCGAGGCAAGAGCCATTTCATCCTCGGTGATTTTTTTATCATTACCTACGGGGCGGAGTCCATCCCATGAGCTGTCAATAGGAGACTCCTTCCTTCGTTTTTTTCCACAGACCATTCTGCATATTCTCCTTATTGGCCTGCTTGGGTCAAGGTACAATATAGTAATCACCTCATTACCTGTGCCTTGCGGTAGCCAGACGCCTTCTTCCTGCCTCTATCCACGTTTTCCTTCCTGCATCCACCCACAGTGACAACCCTTTTCCCTCGCTCTACTCCTCTTCCACAAGTCTCAGTTGCCATCACCTCGTCACCTTTGATTTATCTGATCTCTTCCTGATACTTGTGCTGCAAGTATATTATCCGTTTCTTTGACTATGTATTCGTGACGTATTTTCCTCATTCTTTGTAGCGGGACCATTCGCATCCCCCTCCCCTCCTCCCTTCAAGACCGCGTACAGCGGTTAAGTGCCGCTACCACACTGTCCGTGCCTCATTTCTCACGATCCAAAAATACTGGTGTAGATTGTGGCGTGCTGTCTGCCTTGGTGAGTATTCTGACTCCATGTGGTCCCCTTTCCCCCAGCGAAAGCTAGTCCACTGTTCCTCGTGATGCAGCAGCATATCTGACCCGTTGCTAGGATACAATCGACCAAGTTTGCCGGAAAACTACCCCTTTTGCAAAGTGCCCTCTACGTAAAAACTGTGTGGTTCTGTCTATCTCCCAAGACAGGCGAAGGATATAGAAATCATGGCTGGAGGCTATTTTGAACTTCCTATATCTTCATCCCGACGTTCGAGCCTTACAGATACATCAGGTGGAGGAGGCAGCAGATTATTACCGGGTCCTCGCGCATCACCCATACCTCTGGCTTCCAATGGGAGCTGTGCAGAAAGACCATCTGAGTCCACAGGAGCTCAAGCTCAGGCCAGGGTTCGGAATGCAGGAATTTTGAAGCCCACCAATCGAGTCAAGTTCACGATGAATGAACCCGAAGGGGAGGAGGTCCCCAGTGGATCAACATCAGATACCCAACCTGATGGAAGGGGCTTGCTGCTCCCTCAGAGGCCGTTACCCATAGCCAACATTCCTCCTACAGAGAAATCTTCCGCGGATCACCAATCGCTGCCATTGGTAGTCACAAGCTCTTACGCGTCGACAGCAGATGTCACGGGCCTCTCAATCCATTCGAGAGCTAGTTCACCGGGGATCCTTGATGACGATGGGATCAGCAGAGAAAGAGGTAGAGCTATCCACTTTGCTCAGGGAAAGGCTCAGCGGCTCGCTTCTCTGTTGCGTCGTTCTCAAAAATCTCCGAAGCGAAGCCCTCACCCCAGCCTGCCGTCATCGACTGTTTCAACGCCTATAGAGGTAGGTATACCTGGAGACTACGGGGATGACATCCCTATGATCAGCTTGTCTGAAAAGCAATCCCTGGATTACTCTACCGACGAGGATGAGGAAGGCCCTATAGACCGGCGATCTACAACGCGCACTTCCAAAGCTCATAACCTCGTGCAACAAATGACTCGAAGAGATTTTGGTTTCTTGTCCAGAGTTCGTGCTCCATCTCCTGGACTCAGTTCTGGACAGGCCGCATCCCTCGACGAGAGGGATACTGACACCTATGGCGAACGACCAAGTCACTACAGGGGAGGAATCCTCTCTTCTCTCCTCAAACTTTATGACAACGAACACAATAGCGGCAGCTACGGCCACTGGCGATATGGCAGCCGTTCTCGTCAAGGCAGCGAGGGGGGGTACAGTGGACGTGGCGTGTCCCCGGACCCTATCTGGCCATCACCGCAGCGACCCAGAAAGTGGTACGACAAGTCCCCTAACGTATCTACTACTTCCCTGGCCGGTTCAACTGCAAAGAATTCCGAAACCTCACCGATCTCCGGGCCCAAGCGGTCGCGCAGTAGTGGTGCGCTAGGGATCCGGCGTTGGACCAGACCTCAACTCGAAGATGAGATAAGAATCACTGTCCATATTGCCGAACTCCTTTCACGGCAACGGTATCTTCTCCTACTTTGTCAGGTGTTGTTGAATTACGGTGCTCCGACACATCGGCTCGAAGAGTACATGAGGATGACTGCCCGTGTGCTCGAAATCGACGGGCAATTCCTATATATACCTGGCTGCATGATTATTTCTTTTGACGATGCCTCCACTCATACCACAGAAGTCAAGATTGTCAGATCCCCGCAGGGAGTTGATCTAGGCAAGATGGCTGACGTTCACGAGGTATACAAGGAAGTAATCCATGACGTTATTGGTGTGGAAGAAGCCATTCAGCGCCTAGAGGAAATCAAGGGTAGAGACAACAAATTCCCCGTCTGGTTCCAGATCTTTATGCACGGGTGCGCCTGTGCTGCCGTGGGACCCTTTGCTTTTGGTGCACGTCCAATTGATCTGCCTATTGCTTTCCTGCTTGGAACACTCGTCGGGACGTTACAGTTGGTCCTATCTCCACGATCGCAGCTGTACTCAAATGTCTTTGAGATCTCTGCTGCGGTGTTGACTTCCTTCCTTGCTCGTGCCTTTGGCAGCATCCGATATCATGGCGAGCACCTCTTCTGCTTTGCTGCCTTGGCACAGTCTTCTATCGCACTCATTTTACCTGGCTATCTGGTCTTGTCTGCGAGCCTAGAACTTCAGTCGCGCAGTATGGTGGCCGGATCTGTCCGTATGGTCTACGCGATCATGTATTCGCTCTTTCTAGGATTTGGAATCACTATTGGCACTTCGGTCTATGGCCTTTTGGACACCGGTGCAACGGATTCAGTCTCATGCCCCGCGAGCCCTATCACCAATGAATATCTCCAGCATATCCCATTTGTCATCATCTTCACCTTTTGTCTTTCGGTGGTCAATCAAAGCAAATGGCGACAGGTGCCGATAATGCTTTTCATATCATTATCTGGGTATGTGGTGAACTACTTCAGCATCAAACGCTTCTTTGCCGAGCCTCAAGTCGCCAATGCCCTCGGGGCCTTCGTGATTGGCGTGATTGGGAACCTATACAGCCGAATTCGACACGGGCTTGCTGCTGCTGCCATGCTACCAGCCATCTTTGTCCTGGTGCCATCCGGTCTTGCAGCCAGTGGCTCCTTGGTATCGGGCCTTTCCTCGGCGGAGCAGATGGCCGGCAGCTCAACGACCGTCATCACCAATGGAACACAGGGGTTTGTTGCTGTCGCTAAGAATATGACCTCGACCTCACAAGCCCAGAATAACGGACTTGCATTTGATATCGCCTATGGCATGATCCAAGTTGCGGTTGGATTCACTGTGGGCCTCTTTCTCGCCGCTCTGGTCGTGTACCCGTTAGGCAAGAAACGAAGCGGTTTGTTTAGCTTCTGACGAGAGGCACCTCGCACCTATACTCCCATCATCTACCCTTGACAAATTGATACGTTGATCTAGTGCTTGGTTGTCTTTTCCACTGTCTCCTGTTGTTTGACCACAACCATCTATCTATCTGTCTGCCTCTATTTTTCCAGCGTGATTTTTTTCCCGACTTCTTTCTTGATATATCCAAGCCAGCAACACCCTTGTGCCTGTGAATTTCTCTCCTTCTTGGACCATCTATCTACCGGGCCCATATATTGCATGTATGGCATCTGTCATGGAACAGCCTACCACTTGACATGCAACCTGGTTCATTTATGTCGTTTATACTCAATCGTCAGGGGGTGCTCTGATCTTTGACTTTCAACTTTTATTTTATCCGATGGTTCGAAGCATTTTGCTTCTAAAGAAAAAGCAAGACTCTGGAGGGTGTTATTATCTTGTTCTTTCTTCGATTGGGAGTGAACGGTGTTTTTTGGGTTCCCTTTTCTTTTTTCTCATCGGCCTTCAGTCTATACCGACTCATCCCCTCCTCATACGGAGTACATAGAAGATACGATGTTCACGAGCCATGACCTGAATTCGAATCTCATCAACACTGTCCTTGGAGATGTCGGTAGTGCCTTTGACAGATTTCTTTTTTTTTGGTGTTTTCTCCCTCTTTTTCTTCTTCTCTATTTCGTTTCCTTTGTAGCCAAATGTGTCCTCGTTTCTGTTTGGTGTTTGGTTCTCTCTAGCCACTCGGTTTTTTTATACGAAATTGGAATTTTTTTTACTCTGTGCTATCTTGCTATCTATTTTGTTTTGGAATTGTTCTAGTAGTCTTGCGTCTGTGTGTTCGCCAATCATTATCTATCTGAGCTTTGAATACTAAAATTATAATTTGCCGGTTCCCATCTGGATCTGCCTCAGATAAATGAGTCTGTATATTCTCGTATCTTTCTGTAGTATGTTCCGGAGTATCTCCACCCATGCCGGATCTATCGTCCAAAGACTGTATATACACAAGACGGAGAGAAGATAGCAGGTAGGAGCAATGACATGCTACAGATAGATGCATGACTTGATAAAAGCTCTGAATTATAATGAGACCCTCAGTTACATGTTCAGTGTAAGGTAAGGAACTATGTTCAAAAGTGTATATCATTCAGTTATAACTATTGTGATCATTCGACCAGCGAATCATGCATTACCCTCGAGCTATATCAAATTGAACAAGCAAGGAGATACTAGGCCAGAATAGTGGTTTCGGATCGTGGTTCGTCGGCCTGTATGGAGTACTGAGGGTGGGGTGCCTAGCCTCGACATGCTAGGATTGTAGCTGGAAGGGGAGAGAGAGAAAAAAGAAAGCAACCATCCGACCCGCGAGGTTCATCAGGAAATATAATCGAGATGAACAAAACAAAAAGACACAGGTGGAGATGACGGTGACAGAAAATAAAGATAGAACAAGCTTTGGTATATCGTCTGACGACATTATCGTGGACTGGGCTACCAGATCGCGAGGATCCCAAGATACATCCATATTCATTGATTCGGGGAAAAAAAAACCCTCGCGAGGCAGAGATCAGAATGAAAGAGAAAAGTACCGGCAAGGTTATTTCCAAACCTGCGTTTCACATAAGAAGTATCATTGAGCAGAATAGGGTAAACCAAGGAACGAAGAGTATAAAAAGGGAAGGCAAGTATAAGAGGAAGAAAAAAGGTAAAACAAACAGACAGACAGATCAATCATCAGATTATTGCCAAGCAGACTCACATGAGTGTGGTCTTCCGCTTTTCAGCACTAGACAGCACAAGCATGGGAGTCTTGCGTCTCTCCTGGCCCTTTGCAACGGTCCTTTGACCGGCGACGACAGAAGCCACCGAAGGCGCCACCACTCCGTTGGTAGGGGAAGAGACTTCGGCAAGCTTGCCACCGAAGAAACCGCCATCTTCACTGGTAGGCGTACCCGAGTACGGGCTGTCGAGGGAGTTGCGCTCGCGAGAAGACCTTTCCTTCCTCTCCGAGCCAATAGCACCGTTGGCAGCCGCACGAAGACTTCCCAGGCTTGGTTTGCTGGAGAGACTACCGCTGCTACGGACCGTCGCATCATCGTTGTCCGGAAAGGCAAACTCCTTCTCACTCGCAGGAGTGTTGGTACCGCCGCTGCTGTGATAGCCTAGACTGCGCGATTCGCCACGGCGTTCGATCCCAGCACGAACAAGGTTGTGGACGGCACGACGGCGCTGACGAGTCGCGAAATTTTTGCTACCCTCGTGCTTGGAGGTAGGCTTGGCGACAAGCTCTTCCAGCGAAGGCGGGCCGCGAGGCTGACGGACGGGATGTTCGCCAGCGCGATTCTGACCGGGTCCAAAGGTTCCGGTGAGAGGAGTCTGAGGGGGAGCAGCCGATTTGGGACCAGTTCCGGTCAGGTTAGCGCGCGACACGTCATTGTTGTCCTTGAACTGAGGAGCCATCGACGAGCTTTTCCTGTGGCCTCGTCGGAAAGCATTGGCGGAGGGCGGAGGCAAGGGGGTCACATCCTGCGGTGGGGAAGGCGTTGTGTGCGGAGGAGACACGGAGTGCACAGGAGACGATGATTCTCGAGGAGGGGAGACCTCTGCCCGGAAAGTTGGGACCTGCATCATCGGGTACTGGTCTTCCTCCTGGTAGAGAGGAGGGGGCGAGCTATCCTGCTGGGCCGAGTGATCGAAGACGTAGTTCTGCTGACCGGTCAGAGGGTTGTACACGGAGTAAAGACCTGGCTGTCCGGGAACAGGCTGGACCACCGGCTGCACGCCCTGCTGCAGCTGCTGTTGGTAGAAGCCCATGCTGGGGATGGAGATGGAAGCGGCGGCGGCCTGCTGCTGCTGCTGCTGATGAAGCTGCTGCTGGTACTGCGACTGGCCGATGGGCACGCCCAGGTTGAGACCCTGGAATTGCTGGGCTGCGGCGGTCACGCTGATGAGCTGCTGCTGCAGGCGCTGCTGCTGGGCTGCAAGGTAGAGGTTGGTTGACATGAGCTCGGCGTACAATTTCTCATCCATCGTGGTGTCGACACCAAGATCGATGGCCGGCGGCGCAAGCACCTGTTCGGGGAGAGTATACATCGGGTGATTCATGTTGAGGCCCATGTTCCCAGCGTTGACGTGCATGCCGTACCCCTGCTGAGGAAAGCCAGTTCCCACAGTGGTGTGCGGGGCACGCTCCGCAGCACGGCTTGCATATCGTCCGCCATCAAGGCCGAGATTTTGCTGGTTATAGGGTGCCGACGCGGGAGGACCCGTGGCCGACTTGGGTGCAGTTCTCAATCCGGCCAGAAGGTGAGAGCGGCTGGTACGAGGCGTGGCGAGGGGGGCTGATGCTTGTGGATCATCAACAGAGGAAATATGAACCGGGGGCACACTCAAACGCTTGATATGAGACCCTTTACCACGAGAAGCGAAACCAGACGCAGGAACACCGAGGGAAGAACCGTTGAAAGAAGTGTTGTAAGTCATTTGAGCAAGACCGCCAGCGTCCATACTCATGGTCGTGGGGAAACCGTAAGAGAAATTATGTGCAATACCGCCAGGCGAAGAAAAAAGTCAAAAAAAAAAAAATCGGATATGTCAAAAAACGGCGGATGAACCAAGATGGTCGATGACGTGGGAAAAGGTTCACGCGATTATTCTTGTCGATGGATTAAAATATTATGGGCGGTTTTGACCACAGCAAAATGCTGGATGAATGTCGAGCCAACAAAGCTGGTCCTGGTCGAGTATTCTAGAAAGAAGAATAAAGAAGAATAAACAAAAGGACGAATATTCGGTATCGCTGAAGAGCAAAGTCCTGTTCCAGGCAGCACCCAGCAGATAGTTAGCGAATGATTCCAGTACCCCCCGGTATATTCACAACACTTGCAAGAGCAAGACCCACCAGGGAAGATAGACGGCGAGGCAATTGAGCAACAAGGTACCGATTAAAAGAAGATGTACAGCGAAGATATATGTTCCGTTGGATGCCCGGAGCGTGTGGTCGACCACTAGGGTTCAGGGCAAGCCGATTAGACGATTAAAAAAGAAAAAAAGGAAAGACGGGCGATGGAGGCGACCGGAGGAGGGTCGAGGAAAAAAAATCCCAGAGGATGACAACACGAGCGATCTGCAGGAAGAAGGCGAGATGGAAGAACGCGTGGGATTGCTCTGCAAGCCCCAGCAGCACAAACAAGGACGCGAGACCAAAGCGGGCCACACGAACGACTCGAGGGAGGTTGCGAGGGAGAGGGAGAGAGGGTGGGAGGGGGGGGGAGGGGGGGTCGTGGAATAAAATAAACAAATAAGGTAGCGAGCTCTGTCGGCAATAAATTGAATAAGGTGAAACCGTCGTTTAGTTAATCAAAACCACCGTTGGAAGAAGAAGTAAGGGGAGGGAGGTGTCTGTCTCGACGTTGTGGGCAAAGGTGGTTTGAGAAATAATGTCGTTCCGGGTCTCCGCCAGACACACGCGCCGACACCTGGACTTTTTTTTGCCTTTTTTTCGTAATAAATTCTCCTTACCAGGCAAGGAGGGTCTCGACTGAAACCAGTCAGAATTATAGAGAAAAAAAAAAAGGGAACAAGTCTTTTTCTTTTTTTAGAACTCGCAAGAGGCAGACGATTCCCACGAAGAAGACAGGTGTAGAGAATGAAAGAATGCCGGTGGAAAAGAAGGTCAAAAAAAGAGGCGCGACAGAGGAGGGCCGGAGAAAGGAGGAAGGATGGAGGGAGGGAAATGAAGATGGAGCATCGAAAAGGCTTTTGGTTTTGGGGGGGGGAAAGAAACTCGGAAAAAGACCTGGACAGACTGCAGGAGGCGTGCCAAGACATTTTTGTGCCTAAGGAATACAAGCATATTGACAGCGTTGATTGGCTGGGACTACGGGGCTAAGCTTGTGCGGGGAAGGTGTCTGTCCGCAGTGGTCCAATCAGTTCATTGGATTGCGCTCCCAGTGGATCTTGCAGCCAATCGGCAGACATGGTATTTCCACTTATTCTAGACTTTACAACAAATTACTAATAAGAATAATTATTAGGTTAGGTACCTAAGGTAGGTACCTGTTTGTAGTACTGTACATATAGTTGGGCTGGTAATAATAATAATAATAATAATAATAATAATCTACTGTTAATTACAACGTGACTCGCAACAGTTGAAACTTGAACGCGTCTTATTCGTGGACCAACCACTTACGATGGGATTTCCTCCGAAAGGCGGTAGCCAACCAGACAGACCCAATCGCCATGGCTGCAGGCCAGCACACATCAGTCCTTCAGCCCCCCTGCGCCATGACTGGTCCGTTGCTACATTTATAGCCCGTCTAGCGCTGTCCAACGTGGCTCTCCTGGACGCACCATCTCATTTGCTCAGGAGCCGCTCTTCGCCAGGGGGCGTTACGGAGTACGGTTGATCAGCATCTCGTCTCCAATAATAGCTACGGAGTAGGAGAGTACGGAGTATACCCCGTAGTTCATCTCCCAGCTCGTAACCAACCTAATTCGTTAGTTAGAGATCATCTCCTAGCTAGCCGCCTATCATAATTTGACGAACTGGTCAAAAGCACAGAGATGTGTCACATGATATACGTGGTACTTACTACTTACTACTTACTACTTACTTACTACTCGATGGTTTTCTTCGGTAAAAATCCATTCAATCAAAATACTGTCCATAAAAATGGGTATCTGATGGTAAAAACTGCTGGTATATCACCGTCAGTCCGCCAGCGCAAGGTCAAAAGAAATAGAATGACACTGACGTGTCGAACAAAAAAGACATGAGACAAGGAAATATCAGGTATCTTTGCACAAGCTAGAAATATATCCAGCCCTTGTATAAACAGATAGATAATTACAAACAGAACTGGAACAGAGGACTCATGAAGTCAAAAAGGAGAGTAGGATGTTTCTTCGCATGGAAAGGGAAAGAGAAAGAAGAAGATGGGTTCCATTCAGACATCGACTGAGACTGCTGGTCCCGGCAAGGGTCTCGATACTGGTTCCTTCGACGGTAGCTGTCGTGCACCCTCGGGTTCTGGTGACTCGGCACCGGAGCTCTTGCCGTTCATTCGGTCGAACTCCAGCGTGTCTGCAAGCTCGGCGGACATAGGATCGAGTTCCTCCTCTCTCAGCCCTGTCGCAAGTGAGACAAGTTTACGATGCACGTCCAACTTGGTACTGGCGCCGGCATCAGCTGTCTGCTGGACAAAATCCCGTAGGGCGGCATGCCGTGTTTTCTGGGCAGAGCTGAGTTGCCGAGCGAGATGGTAAAGCCTGCCGAGCTCGGCTTGGTCGGGCGGTGTTACTTTAGAATCCTCCGCCACAGGAGATGGACCTAGTGCGCCTCGTTCGAAGAGACGGGCTCGCTGGACCTGCTCCAACAAAGACTCGTAAGTGCTTTTGATCTTCCCATATCTCCGGAGCTGCACGTCGATCGGTTCACCCGTGGCCTCTTTCACGGAAAACGAGGCAGTTTGAGCTTGTATCTTTTGGCGATCCACCTCGAGCTGCTCGTATAAGGCCTCTGGATTGGCAACATCATCTGAATCTTGTTGGTTGACTTTCGTGCTCCCATAGTGCTGTGCAAGTTTCTTATTTGCCTCGGCCATGATCGTTCCAATCTGCGATAGTAAGGTGGACGTTACGGAAGAGGATTCCGCTGCGAGAGCGACCGAATTATGGTCGGGATTATTGACGGGGGGGACCACATCACCCTCCATGTGATCATTTCCCATGGTGATCGACGAAGGCGGCGGTGGGATTTCTCGATCAACATTCTGTGACTGGCGAACCATGCTGTTGGCAGTTTCGCCTTTTTTGTTAACCAGGTCGCCGGCTCTTGGGCAATGCATCAAAAGGATATCGACCAGTCGGAATGCAGCATTTCGGGCAGCGACAAGCGCAGCTGTATCTCCATGCTGATCTTGGCAGGACAGCAACAGAGCGACTTCGTCCTGGGAACAGGTATTCCGCAACTTTTCGAGTAGGATTTCGCTGTAGTACCGCGAGCTCTTCCACTTCCCTTTGCTCCTAGTAGTCTCCGCGATATGGTGGAAAATGGTGGCACCAAACCAGTCCCTGAAAGAAACCGTATCCAAAAGAAAATCCAACAGCGCCGGGAAGGTTCGCTTCTCGTAGTTATTCGTAAACAAAACTGCCCGAACAAGTGGGGTTTCATCGTGGATTGAGAGAGCTTTGACATCAGCACCTCTACGAAGAAGATCTTGCACGATTTCCAAATCACCCATCGCGCAGGCCCAGTGCAGCGCTGTGTTGCCCGAGTCATCAATAGCACGATCAACCTGGAAATGAGCCGGTGGCGCTGGAGGCGGGATCCTTGTTGCTTCAGGCGCATCCCCCACGGTCATGAAGTAGTCTAGCAGTTGATCGCCATACAGGATATGCTCCTGTTCTACAATCGACATTGCGGCGACTTCATTGATCCCGCGCTTCCGCTTCCGTGAATAAGCACTATGCTGAGACATGGGCATCATTTCTTCATCTGCCACCATTGAAGAGGACTCGAGAGTTGCCTGCTCAATCGCATCGTCTTCGTCGAAGCCCGGATGCATGTCATACTGTTCATGGTGAAAGGTCGGCGGAGCCATGTTTCGAGCGGGTTGAACCTGGTTGAACATGTCTCCAGAGGCGGCGGCAGCAGCAGTTGACCTCCGACTAGCCGCACCATTTTTAGTACCCTTCGCTCTCGAGGCGGCGGACGTAGTATGTTTCGGAGCGGGCGGAGGACTTCGATCCCCTGCCACGTAGTCTAATATCGGTCTCAACACATCAATGACATTATTGCGTTCAGCTAGAACACGGCCTTCATGCAACGGTATCCACGTTCCTGATGGGGACCCTTGTTAGTCATAGTGGCAGAAAACTCATGCGGCTTGACGACGGTCTACCTTGATATTTGCCATATCCACCTTGTACTTTTTCATGGACGCCTTTTTGTACTTCTCGCTCGAGAATGCGTGTTCGTGCGGGCTTGTCAAACCCGGCTATTTTGAGGATATGAGTAGCATTAATCCAATTGTCTGCTCTCCTTCGCATAATGCTCTCGCCATTGACCTTGAACTCATATACCGGGACCTAGCCAGCACCAAAAAGGTCAGAGTCAACGTAATCAAACGGGGGGATTTGGCAAAGGAAGCCTAGACGTGCACCCGGAGTACTCACATTGCTATATGTAGCGGAGTAAACTCTCGCTTCTTCCGCCCCCGCCATGATATGTGCGTCTCCGTGGGCCGCTGTTGACGCAGTAGGTTGCCGACCAGCAGACGACCCAGTCTTCAATTCCAGGCCCTATTAATTTTCCGGTCTAAGAAATACGCCTTCAAGGACAGCAGCAACAAAACGAAAGGCCTATCACTCAAGTCGTCACATTCATCACCAGTCTAGACAAGGAGGGGCAGCATAATCAGCCACTGGTGGCTCGTCATGGGCATCTTCGACAGAACGCGATGGATTGTGAGCGAGACGCGCCTGGCGAAAGGGAACCGCGTAAAGTGGATTTACAGCGCTAGTCCCGATCCGGGGGGCTGTTGTGGACCGTGAATCTGGTAGTCACGTGCGGTCACCTGACAGTCTTCGGGGCGGAAGGCACAGCACGGCTGCAGCAGGAGGTGCAAACGTCGTTGTCTGCGATTTCGCTACGAACCCCAAACCCTTTTCCGCCTTCCCAGCTGGCCAAAATGACTGTTGTTGAGTCGTTGAAGAGTGCGGTAGGCTTTGGCGAGGGTACCGGTATGTGTTTGCGCTCAATTGAGGCGTGCAGCCTCCATTCTGCTCTCGCTTTCTGACTACCATCTAGGTGCCACCGGACAACAGATGAGCGATGCCCGTCTGCCGATTCAATACAGAGACTCCTGCGCAGGTCTTCTCATCCCGCTGAACAAGTGCCGAAGAGAGGAGTACTACCTGCCATGGAAGTGCGAGGTATGGCGCCGTTCAAAGCGTTTTTTTTTTGAGGCCCACCACAGCAATTGAAAGATGCTGTTTTGCTTTATTTTTGCCTCTTTTTTTGGCAGAACATTAGCTAACTCCCCCCTCTCTCCATTTACAGACTGAGAGACACAGCTACGAAAAGTGCCAATACGAAGAGTTCAAGAAGCGTGTCGCCAAGATGGACGAGCTCCGAGCCGCAAAGGACGGTGCCCGCAGCAACTAAACCGAAGAGGGAGGATGTCGAAACGTGCAGTAGCATATGTATGTACATAAAGAGAATTTCGAGACAACTGCGTCCCATACAATCTGGCGTTGGGAATGGGTTCAAGATGGAATGTCACCGATATCGTTTCATATGCGTGTCTACATCCACACAACGGTCACTTGCCGCTCTGTCTGGGATACGGATGCTACTTCCTTGCTTCCTTTCTGCTGCTTTCTGCAGTCACGTCAGATAGCTCGACGTGGCTCGAATGGCTTCTTCAATAGGTCGTGTATGCAAGCCCCGCATTCGGAGCTCACTGACAGGCAGCCGCACGTCTGCGTAGCGTGGGAGCTATCTCTGCAGCGTCTGATGAAATGGACTAAATGATTCGGATTTGTCATGCAATCTATTAATCGTCTGCTTGGGTCGCTTGAGCGACCATGGCGATCACTGGCACTGGGTGGCCAGCAAGTCATAGCTACACTCGTAGATGGAAGAATATCTTTCCCTTATTAGGTATTCAGGGTGTTCACTCCCTGTAGGACCCATGTCTATCTGATACTTAATTCTCTTCCCAGCATTTAAACACAACAACCCATGCATAGGTCGTATTGAGGAGCATCTCCCACTTTGCGCGAGGGCGTAAACCCCCACCCACCTCAGTGCCTTCGAGCCGCTTCTATCATAAATTGGATAGTAACTCCCTAGGTACTAACTAATAGTTAGTTAGTTCACTTACTAGTAAGTATCTAAGAGAGGTACTCGGTACCTCCAAGTAGGAACCCTTTGCCGAATAACCAATCACACATCCGACCTGCCAGAACGGAAGGACCTTGCTTAGAAATCATTAATAAGGGAATTGTCTTACAGCAGCGGAAACTGCGTTATCAATAATGATAAAAGAGCAATAAATATGCCCCGCACGGCGTTCCGCGTTTTCGCTGATGCCGAAGACGGATTCCTTCAGACGAGGCCAATGCCCGACTAAACCATCGCTACTTCTACTGGAAGCGAGCCACTGTGCACAGGAAGTGAAGCTAGGTTGTGAATGACACCAGAGGAGCAGCATATTGGATTTTGATTCTTGTCCATTGCTCCTGTGCTTGTTCTACACCACTTATCACTGAATTTTCTCCCCCCTCATACCGGACGCCGGACACCAAACGCCGGTCTTCGGCTGGGTTTTCCTGCAGAAGTCAGAATTCCGACTTCTCTCTGGGCGTCAAGTGGGATTTTAAGAGGCAGGCGTCGAGACAATGGGCTTGCTGTACGCCGCTTTTCTTTTCCTCTTGTTTTCGTGAACTACCTACCCCGCGCTGGATGTCACTGACCAGCGGGGTTCCTCTAGAGCACTCGGCACCGCCTTGGAATGGGCCGAAGCGAAGAAGAAGGCAGCCCAGGTTCGCGAATGGGGAATCGAGGTATTTTCACCCTGCCTTGTGTGGTTTTTTTTTTCTTTATCCTTCAGGCTCTGCATCAAAGGCTAACGCGTTGTAGCAACTCCTCGCGAACTGGCGCCGTGCAAAGGGAAAGGAACGAGATGCTCTGCTGTGGGGCGACGAGGTACGGGATAAAAGAATGTGCTGTGGTTCAAGGAGTTTACACCGACTGATCCGACGACATTGCCTAGGTCGAGTATCTGGTCGTTGCGGTGGACAGCGAGGCGAAAAAGGCCCGGTTATCCCTCGCCCAGGCGGAGATTTTGAAATCACTCGCCAGAGACGAGGCATTGTGGAAGGCAGGAAATGGTGGTCAAGACCATAGTATGGAACAGTGAGTGCGGGACTTGAGATCATCTTTGAGCTAGAAGAAAGGATTTTATAACAGTTGGTAGTGATGGAGAAGCGCTCCCTCATTTCCATCCGGAATTCGGCCGGTTCATGCTGGAGGCCACTCCCGGCCGGCCGTGGGGGATTGACTTCAAGGACCTGCTGAAGGTGGAATCGAATATGAAATGGAGGTAGGGTTTGATCGACTGCTGTTTGGTTGCTGTCAGGTTGACTAATGTCTCTCAGACGCGAGATTGCAAAGGCTCACATGGCACCAAACGAGTATCCGATTACTCTTACGACCTTTCCTCGTCTAGGGACTCGGGATGACTTCATTGTTCCCTACTACCCCCCGTCTGGAGCTGCATTGCGGTCACAATTCGTCCCGGACGAAATCGCCAATCCTCACATTCGGTTTCCGACTTTGGCAGCCAATATTAGATCCCGAAGGGGCCGGAAAGTCGAGATCAATGTCCCTATCTTCAAAGACACAAACACACCTGTGCCATTCAAGGATCCCACCGTGGATTACGATCTGCACCTGTGGCCTGAAGATGACGATGTGAGAAACGGTGCAGCCAAGGCTGACCATGTCTACATGGACGCGATGGCATTCGGAATGGGCAGCTGCTGTCTACAGATCACCTTCCAAGCCAAGAACATGACCGAGGGAAGAAAGCTGTACGATCAACTAAGCCCTTTAGGTCCAATCCTTCTGGCGTTGACTGCTGCTACTCCCATCTACAAGGGGTTCCTTGTGGACACCGACGTTCGGTGGAATCAGATTGGCCTGTCCGTTGATGACCGGACGCGCGAAGAATTGGGAGAAGCTGTGAGTTTTGTTTTGCTGCCCTCCTGGTATTAAATTGTCCGATTCCAAGCTGATGACGATTTCCATATAGCCCCTGGAGAATGACAGATGGAGGATTCCGAAATCGAGATACGCGTCCAATTCAACCTATATCTCGCAAGACCCCAGGCTTCGGGAGGAATATCTGGACCCCAATCTGGTGGTTGATGAGAAGATCAAGAAACGACTGATGGACGAAGGCATGGACGAGCTTCTTGCAACGCATTTTGCTCATCTTTTTATCCGGGATCCACTGGTCATATTCTCCGAAGACCTAGACGAGTTAGATCTCAGCAAAGGCGACCATTTCGAAAACCTGCAATCGACCAACTGGCAGCACATGCGGTTCAAGCCGCCGCCACCGGAGAAAGACGACATTGGTTGGAGAGTGGAGTTCCGGTCGATGGAGATCCAGATGACAGACTTTGAGAACGCAGCATTCAGCATCTTCATTGTGCTGATCACACGCGCCATTTTGAGTTTCGATCTGAACTTCTACATCCCCATCGCGCTGACGACGGAAAACATGGAAACAGCACATGCGCGCGATTCATTGTTGAATCGCAAGTTCTACTTCCGCAAGGACCCATTCACTCGGACAGCCCCGAAGCAAGCCCTGCGGTCGGTGAACGGCAACGGCAGTAATTTCTCGTCGACCGCCTCGTCAGCCGTCAACACGCCCCCACCGTCACCGCCACTTGGGCCGGTGGAACTGGAATACGACCTCATGACCATTGCTGACATTGTCAACGGGTCGGCGGATGGGTCGTTTCCAGGCTTGATTCCGCTGGTGGAATCGTACCTGAACAGCGTCAAAGTGGACGTGGAGACCCGGTGTGCTCTGGCGCGCTACCTGGACCTCATCCGCAAGCGAGCCGACGGGACGCTCTGGACGGGGGCTCATTGGATCCGCGACTTTGTCGCAAAGCACCCTGCGTACCAGCATGACAGTGTGGTCTCCTCCGAAATCTGCTACGACCTGGTTCGCGCCGTGGAAGAAATCACGGAAAAGGAAGGTCGGGGGGGCAGTTTTGGCTGGGAGCTTTTGACGGGGAAAAATCTATAGACAGCCCGTACATGAATAATACCGAAAATCGAAACATTCCTAATTATCATCTCATTCCTACTAAATAACTAGGTTAATCTGCTACTTGTACTACTGGTACTACTGGTACCAACTACTAGTTACTTCAAACGCACCTTCTCCTCGTCCGTCGGCCAGCGACACGAATCTGCCAGCCCGGTGACTTTCCACTCGCCATTAATCTTATGCAAGATGAAAAGCTCGACGCCGACATGATCCACGACGCCGTTCACCACGGAGCGAAACGGCGCCCACACGGCGGCCAGATTGCCCGCCCCATGCACTTTCACTTCTGGATCCCAGATGCGCTCATCGATCTCATCCTTGACGGCTGAGACGCGCTCGACAAACGCCCCGATCGTACAGAAGCGCAACGGGCTCGCTCCCGGCGGCGACAGGGCCATCCCCCCTGCGGCGACGCAGTGGCGTTCAAAGCTCTCCCTGGACTTGGCAGAGATGGCGGCGAGGAAGCCCTTGGCTACGGAGATGATGGAGTTGACTTCATCGTTTGGTGGAGAGGGGGGGTATGGTTTTGATGCCCACATGATAAGATCAAAGCCGTTACTATATTCATGTCAGATCTATCACTTTGACTATAAGTTGATCACTTACAGCTAACCACTTTTCTTTCTAAATGCTTTATATTAGCATGTCTATAGAACAAGTCAGTCTATGTATGCCTCATTTATATACTGCATAGTTATAGCCTCGGTCAATGGCTTCTTCTCCTGCTTTACCACCCGCTCTCTGCTCTAGAAAGCAACAGGTTTTCCACCCACCCAGCGATCTGTTCTGGAAGCATGCGTTCGCGTGGTACATGTATCACTTATTTGTCCCGACGGGCGGACCATCCAGTTCCGAGTCACACAGAGCGTGTACCTGGCTAGGAGGTAGATTCGCATACCTGACTATATCGAGGGTTTCCTGCAAATGTTACGTAGGACTATCAGAAGATTGTCCTACTTGACTGTGAAGTAACTGTTGTCCCACATTCACAAGTGGGCATGGACATGGTCTATAGTTCTTGCCTAGCTAGTTGGATGTAACATCATCATCTATAACTATATAGTATATCTAGATGATTGATTAGATGTAGACTGCCAGGAATACTAATAGCAAGATATATTATTAGATATATACTACATAATAGATAAATAGAGTGCACAATACTATATAGTAGAATATTCTATCTGTAACTCACTAATAAATATGGTAGTTAATTAAATCTTGACTGTTGACTGTTGACTGTTGACTTGACTGTTGCCTAGTCTAGCATCTAACCGAGTCACCGCTAAGCACCGTAAGTGCCGCAGTAACTCCCGTAACTCCCGTACTTGGAGACACTTACGGAGTGACTAGTAGTTCTTGCCGAGTTGGAAGTAACCTGGATGAACCAGTCCATGCCTCTTCGAGAATAGTGGAATCTCTGGCGAGCTTCTAAGCTGAGTCTAGTCGGAGGAAGGGCCTGTCTAGCTGCATCCCGTTAGTACCTACTCGTTACTTGATTCATGCTAGGAGAGAGGTCTGCCTCATAAAACGCTCGTGGGTTCACTTGCAAACCCCCGTACAATATCCCCCCTTCACGCGTCAATACTTACTACATATGCAGTTTGAGCATACTCCGTATAACCGTTTGGTTGAATAGCTAGTAGCTAGTAGCTACTACTCCATACTTTATAGTCATACACAAATGAACAATCATTCATCTATCCGAGCCCTGTTTGCTGCTTCCGCGACAAGGAGCTTTCGGCCGAAGCAGCCGGATTGTCCCCGAGGGCCCCTGATACTTTTGTTACGACAGGAGTTAATATAAAAGTACCCCAGTTGTAGGTTCTAGGGTGACCACTGCCTATAAAATAAAATAAAAATCCTGCCGAGACCATTTTTGAGAGCGAGCTACCGTAGAGACTAAGACTCAAGGAGATTAATGTACGAGACCTGTTCTGGAATCGCTGATCGTGCAGACGGCCCAGGGGAGTGGATGCGTTTCCACATGACAGCTAGCTATCAGAGATTTGACACGACTACGCATTAATTAGACTTGACGGATCAGCTAGTAGTTGACGGACCCGGGAGTAGAGTGATGGATATGTTAGTTGTGGAAGAACTTGGCAGTAGGTAACTAAATAGTAGTAAACACTACCTACCCTCCAGAAGTGTAAGTCCCGTTGCGTCGCCCTGCAGAGATGGCGTGGCCATCCTGGTGCTTCGGAGACTTTACCGTCCCGTGGTTGTGCGGAGCCTGCTCCGTACTGACAACCTAACAAAGCAATTGACCAGGTACAGAGCACCTAACTGACCAGTGACTAGGTGGTTAGTTACCTCTGACTACTCCGTAATTGTGTTCGATCGGCTGTCAGTATGATAACAAGGTTCCACAGGGCCGCTTCGGCACTTGGCCGTGCGGGCTCTGCCGCCAATCTCAACGGTTGCAACGGTCGAGCAGTTGGGCGAGTTCGCCTCCCCTTCAGTTCCTCCAGAGCTCCCCTACTTTCTTCGTTCTTGCGTACGATCGACATGACCGACTGGGCCCCAGGTGTCAATCCCTTTCTCGATTCTGAAAGAGCGCCACGCTGGGGCCCGGTCTAGTGGCGTACCCGACGGTCCTGCCGTCCCTGGCCGTTTTGAAAATCTTGGTACGATGGGGGGAGGGGGGTCCGATCCTGAGAACCTAGAATTCCCTGAGCATATCCCCCCGTTTGACCAGTCGATTTTTTCTCTCTCTCTCTCTCTCTCTCTCTCTCTCTCTCTCCTCCCCGTTCAAACCCCGAGGCCTGTAGGGATCTAGCCTCTTCGGTCTCAGGTGCGATCGGCAGACGGACGAAGACGGATGGAGAACTCCCAACTCTTAGTCTTGACTCTTGAGTCGTAGAATGGAGTACGGAGTCTGCTTGCTATTCCGTACTCGCTCTCGCTCTCTCGTTCCCTTCCTCTTCCCCCGGGAGGTAATCGTATCCTAAACCGGTATGTCGGATCCTGTCAGTAAGATTGACATCAGCGGTGGGCCTGGTCATGGCAGGATCAAGGGAACACAGGGGAAACAACAAGCTACAGGCCTTTTCCAACGAACTCCAGGCAGAATTCTTCTGCCTGATGACATCTGGGGAAGCCAAGAGATGGCCAGATGGTAGTGAGTTGCGGGATCGTAGGTGATGGTAGATGGCAGCTGGTAGAGCGCGCCAAAGTGGTAGGAGTGCATTGGTCTGACGTGACGAAGCCACGCTGCAGCTGCAGCTGCACCGGTTCGTGTCAGGAAGGAACGCCGTCACTCAAGTGTCTGTGCGCATGGGCTGATGAATACTCCCTGCCTACTAGGCTAGGTAGGTAACTACTACCCAGGTAGGTACTAGGTACCTTAGTTACGGAGTAACTACCTACCTAGTTTCCTAGTTTTTGTAGTAGGTAGTAGGTACCTAGGTACCTAGGTACTAACTAAGTACTACCTAGGTAGGTAACTATGTAACTACTGGGTATTTCTACGGAGCAATTACCTAACCTTAGGTAGTGTCTTTGAATCCTGTACGGACTACTACTATCCGAGTTACCTTGATACCTACTACCTACCTTACTATAATGTACACCATCTACTTAGTGGCGAGACCCACGAAAAACGGCCAGTCGAGACCGTGTTGATCAACTGAGTAAGTACGTAAAGTTCCACAGTGATAGTAATAATGGACTGAGTACCTAGACTGTACGGAAAAGTATGAGTCTGTACAGACTACAGTACAGTAGACCCTGATGTGAAGTAAACTACATAGTTACCTAGTAGTTAACTACTTACTACTGTGTAAGTAGTTACTAGCAAATTAGCAATGTTTATTTGTAAACCCGATTAGCATGTTTCACATCGCTACTAGTAGGTAGACAAGCATGCTTGTCGTCGTAGGACAGGATTAGGGAGCTACCCGGTAGTAAGCGCTGTAGACTGTCACATACGGTCCCTAGGTACTAGTGACATATGGTGCGGAGTACCTATAACTACCTAGGAGTTACCTAGTTGGTTGTATTGGTAGTTATATTACTCCGTAGTAGTTATATTAGTGGTTATATCGGTAGTTATATTAGTTATTCTAGTATGAGCATACTAGATCTACTACTCTACATGGAGTATCCCCCCTGAACCATCTTTAAAGTCTACACACCTCAAGTAACTATTATCCAGTCTGGGCGAGACATACTCAATCTCGATGGGTGGGACGATCGAAACCGCCGGGAGGGTTTCACATGCGTTGAGATCGCTAACTATGTATGTACTAGGGCCACTGGGCACTAAAACTAACTCAACCCACTGAGTCAACTAAAGTTGGTTGGGGTAAGGAGTTACTTGACTAAGGTAGGCAGTTTACCTCTTACTCCGTACAGACTAGTTTACTCTCGAGTAGTAACTACGGTCTACCACATACGTATCTCGATCATGCAGAATGCCGCCGTGATAGGCATCTACCCCTGCCCATTGGCCCGAGGGGGGGGGGATGTGTGGATGCCACTTGGACGGGAGCATAGGCGGGATGCTTCAACGGGGTGGGTATCGGATATGTATTCAGATCTGGTTAGTGACTTGGTATACCATACTTAGTTGATAGAGTACTCCGTAGATATATGGAGAAATATTATCTTATTAGATGGAATAATAGTACTCGATATTATTGTTTCAGATTAACAAAGAACGGTGTCCAGAACTAGCCAGTTAGTTTTACTCGGTAGTGTTCCGTATCTAGATACCTTCCCCTCCTACCAGGGTACAGAGTCACATCTCATCTCTACCAAAGGGATTAGTTATGTAGTTTAGGTAGTTAGTTGGTACCTACATACCTCACACACGTCATGGTGGGGAAGAATCCATGTGTCCGAAAGAGAGGGGGGGGGATGGTGTCACCTCACAAGCGGCTGTGCCCGAGATCTCCAGCAGGACGGGGGAAATAAATGAAATAAATAAAATAAATAATACGGAGTTTACTACTAGGTACATGTTGTAAGAAAAATAAAAAAAGAGCACTCGTGGGCCGTTGCTTCGCTGTAGGACCAGGGACTGTCAGATCGATTAATAACCGTGGATAGGCTAGTCGTACCCTTGCTATATAGCCCGTTATTAACTAACTATTAGTTGAGGTAAGGTTAGGGAGGTAAAACTACCCAGGCATCTATGTATGTACCTACCTAGTAGGTACCTAGTGACTATACTGACAGGCTTGATGAATCCTCCATGGTGAACACAGTGAATCATGGAGGATATAATAATGATTATGGCATTTGCTCTCTACTACATAAGGTTACGAAGTACCTTGAATACTCCATACCTACCTAACGGAGTATACAGAAGCTAAGATGCAAGGCCATCCTAGTCGATTCAATGCATATCGATCGAGATCTAGTAGATTAGCATAACCTAATCATCAGGTATACTTTGTAGTACATATATCTTTTTTTCCGTATCTTTAGTATAATAGGATGGAATATAGTCTATAATACCGGGATTATGTCTGTGCCTCTTATGTAGTATACTCCATGAATAACAATTACCTATATTATAATAGTAATAATAGATCTTAGATCGGTCGGTCGCATGATCAAGACTCGTATCGATCTCGTCACGTCGTACGGGGATCCTTTCAACGGTGGAGCATGCAGGTGAGATTGAAACTGTAGATAGTTTTTTTTTTTTTTCCCTCGCGTATGAGAAAACTAGAAGATATAAGCATAATAGACTGTAGGTAGACGCAGCTTAGCATTGAATACAGTATACTAGGTACCTAAGGCAGGCGAGTATAATACAGAGTACCAAGGTATCATACCTAGAGTATAGTACAGTTAGTAAATTACCTTACAAGTATCGTATTTTCATTCCCCTGGTCAGGTCCGCCCCATCATCATCGCGTCTCCACCGCTGCGATATTCCAAAGATCCCAAAAGGCCAAATCTCCACATTTCGTCGAAGATCCGCAGTTCGCAGCCTGTAAGACCGTCGTAATTCGCCGTAACTTTAACCTGCTCTAGACGATTCGACGATCCCTCATCCCGATTACAGGTCTGAGCTCACTGTCTTGTGGTGTGTGAGAATACACAGTCCAGCTGCTCCCTCCTGTTTAGAAAAACTCGTTGGTCTGTATGTGTCTGTGTGTGCGGGCCTTGCTGTGGCGGTATTATTATTACTATTACTACTACTATTATTATTTTATTATTCTAATTAGTTAATTTATTATTATTATTATTATTATTATTATTTTAATCTTTTTAATTTTTTATTCTAATTATTTTTCCTTCTGATTTATTTAATTCTAATTATTTAATTCTAATTATTCTGTAATAAAATATCCTCTTCTGTACTCCCCTCCCCGTAATCTTGTCCTGGTCCATTCTTGCCTTTCCCGCCTTTTTTTCCCTTTAACCATCTGGCATTCCAGGCAAATAATAATTATTCCTCTCCCTCCAGTCTTCTTCTTCTCCTCTCCCTCCTACATACCCCGTCTGGTACGCCGTATCTTCTCCCAAGGTGCTGCTACTACCTTACTCTCTCACACACCTCCCTCCCCTCTCTTCTCCTATCAACGGTCGCCCTCCCCTTCAGCTTCCATCATCCACGCGGCATATCTATCCATTCCTATCCCTTGCTTGGTCGTGCCGCTCGGCCCCTCTTCTCCCGCCCGCAACTCAGGCCGTCGCCAATTCGAATCACAGACAAGGGAAGGAAATAGAGAACGGCGCTTTTGCCGCAGACCTGCAGAAACTTTGGGGGCTTTTTTTTTCCTTTTACTTTCCCTTTTTTTTCCCTTTTCGACCCTGCTGTCGTGGTCGGTTGTCTTGTGTCCTGGAAACCCTCACTCCTCGCTGGGTTCCCCTCTCCTCCTCCACCCCCCCTGTGCAAGCGTTACCCTCAAGCAGGTGATCATCATCCGAAACGCAGCCAGGACAACGCTCCGATCTGATCTGTCTGTTGTGTGTCGTGTTGTCTGCCTGTAGCAAACTATTCGCGAATTGCCTGGGATCGCGATCTTGGGGAATCCGCTTGCTTGACCCAGTCTTAACGCCTTTTTTTTACCCACCCACCACCCCCCTCCCGAGATCTTCGGCAAATAGCACCGCGCAGTTGACACACTTCTGAGATCCTTTCTGAGCAGCTGTCTCTTCCCCCTGCTTGCTCTCTTCCACCCCCCTCTCACGTTTCTTTTAAACACAAATACACACCCTTCGAAGTGTCAAGGGTTTTCCGACTATTTCCCGGTGTCGCAGGCCCCGCCCGTTTTCCACGACCTCCACCGACAGAAACGCCATCACGTCGCTGAGCCATTTCCCCCTCTTCCCCCGCCCCTTCTCTTTGGATTTGAAACTCCAGGGATTCTACAACTGGCCGATCAATATACCGGTGTGGATGACGTTGCGGACACAAGGACAAGTACGACTCTGCTGAAGTCATTGGCGTGATGGGGTCCTTGGAAGCTGGACCCAGACACAGGTTCGTGGAAATACATACACACACATATACACAGAGAGAGAGGGTGTGTGTGTGATTCTGGATCGTCGCGCTGACCATGCTATTCTTGTTTTGTTAGGGACCACCTCCCCTCGATCGCGTTTCTGGGAAAAGACGGGTCAGGTTACCCTCAGAATCCCGTCACCGCGGGCGCAAGCGCCTCTCCCACGCCTCTCATCAGCCCGACCACCATGTATCCCGGTCAACAAGTGCCTTACACTTACCCACCCTCATCAAGTGTAGGACATCAGCCCGGTTATTTCTCACCACCTGATTCCCACGCCCGTCGACTGGTGGAGGATGAGAAAGAGAAACAACAACAGCAGAATGCGCAACCGCAGCGGCAATCGCTACCATCGATTCACGAGGCTCTGGGAAATGACAACCTGCCCTATCCTGGGCCACCGACGTCGGCGCCGCAGTCTCAACCACCCTCCCATCACGCACCTCCCTCGCTATCTTCCAACCTGATCAGCCGTCCGGGGACCGAAGGGCCTTCTGGCCCGCCCAACCCCTTCTCCGCCAACGGCAACTCCTCCACCCCACCATTTTTCCATCAGAATAATCAGTCAACGCCGCTCCCACCGGATGCCTCGCGCTCAAGCCTCACGTCGATCAACACTCAAGATTCGCGGAATGCCTCACTCGTCTCCCACGGCTCTGGCAAATCGCCCACCCAGAGCATGAAGACAGCCATTACCTCGATCACCGGCTCGCAGGCCTCCAACAGCTATGATTACAGCGCTCCTCCGTCTGCCGGCAGCGTCGCCTCGCCCAGCGGATACCCCTTTTCCCAAAATTTCTCCTTCCAGCAACCGCCCAGCAGTGCTCCCGCCTATCCACCCGCTGCCCCCTACGACAACCGTCAGTACACGCCTTCCCACTGGAAACCCGGACCCACAGACCCGGCGCGTCCAGAGGAGCAGCACAAAGCAGGTTTGGCCGGTCCGGCTGGTCCTCCCAACATCGCCGCGCAACCCAACAGCGATTCTGTCAAACGACACCTGGAAATCTACGATGTGGAAACCTCTCTCAACGAGGTATGTCTTGCCTTTTACCTCCACCCTTCATCTTCCCTTTCCCCCTTTTTTTCCCACTTCTTTTCAGAATTTTATTCTTGGCCCCGTGCTGACGAGTTTAGATTACGGAAATGAGCTCTCGGACCCTTGATTTCTCGCGTCACTACGCAACGAGGGCACATCAAACCCAGCGGTCCGGACCCATTCTAGGGTCACTCCCGTCTCTCAACGAGGTTGACGAAATGCTCAACATGCAACGGCGCAACCAAGACGCTTTGATCCGCATCCGCACGGCGATTATTAACCAGGAGCATGCTTTGGCAGAGCAGATGGCACAACGAAAGGTCTTCAAGCCCGGGCTGCGCGAGGATGAGCACATGGGCATGTACCAGGAGGAGTACAAGGGTGGTGGTGGTGGCTTTGCGGGTGCTGACACCAAGAAGCGGCGAGGGGTACGTTTCTACTCTTTCCTTTTTTTTTCACCCCCCCCCCCAAATAAACATTAACGGCTACTTACTTCTGAACAGAAAGCCGCCCCTCCTGGCCGTTGTCATAGCTGCAACCGCGCTGAAACCCCGGAATGGCGCCGTGGGCCCGACGGCGCACGAACCTTGTGCAACGCCTGTGGGCTACACTATGCCAAATTAACGCGCAAAATGGGCGCTAACAAAGCATCCGCGCTGGGCTCGAATCTTAAACCCAAAACTACGCTCGACTCGACGTCGGCGAACGGCCGTTGATTCCCCAAGTTCCTGCATGTATGCATTTTTCTCGTCTTGCTCTTTAAAGGTGATACCCGGCGTTGAAAAAGAAAGGGCTACAAGAATTAGAAGTGTGTTCTTTTTTTGTTTTGCTCTTTTCCTCTGGTTTTACATGTCTGATCATTAAATTTTGATGCTCTTCGATCGTCGTTTTTGATCCATCTTGGCGGACATCATTTTTCCATCTAAGTTCATCTGCGCGATCCATGTGCCCCCCTTCTTTCTTCCATCTTATTGTTGAATTCCCTTTTTCCCATTTTCCCCCAATTCTGGTGGATCTTTTCAATACCCCTTGTGCTTCGAGAATGTTATGGTATCCAAAATAGACTCCCGGTTTGTGTATGTGATATGGTTTCATTTTGTTTGAACCGATTTGCCTTTTTTCTTCTTTTTTTTTTCTTCCTTCCTGGGCTACTCTGGCATTCCATTTAGTCAGTCACTTTTCTTTCTTTTCCCTCCCCTCTCTCTATCCTGTGACTGAGATATATTCCGTACCACCCCACTTTTGTCCATCCGTGGAACCGATATGTCCTGGGAGGGTTTGAACTTTGAAGAAACGCCCACCGGTCATAGCACACATGCCTCTCAACGTCAGTGCGCATTTCATTTCGGGTGACAGCATCAGACCAGTGTCAAGTCTTGTTCCAAGTGGCGGTTGTGGATATCAAGTGGTTCGTTCAGTGGATCATACGATCAGCCTTGAATTTGGTATAAGCGAAGCATAGTGATATATGTACATGAACATTGATACCTAGGTAACTTAGTATACCAAATGTATGACAGTTGTATAATAAAAAAAAAAAAACATAGTTCTGTGGTCAACAGCTCATGGTGACGCCACCGTGGCGACGGTCCTGTCCATCGTACTCCGTACAAGGAAGTACGAAGTAAATACCATGAACAAAAAAAAGAAAATCTGCCCCCCCAAAAAATCAAGCAAGGATTACAGATGCATGGGGACATAGAGAATAAGTCTACATTGACTAGTCATGTAAGGTAGAAGTGATAAAGTAGTCGATCTGACGGTTGAATCTCGATCGCATCTCGATCGCAGATCGGGCACGATGCGAGATCTGACACGAGTCGTTAACTGTAAGTGTACGGAGTACTCTGTACAGCACAATACCTGTGTAGCACTACCTACCTTAGGTATGTAGTAGTGCTCTACTACCTAGGTAATTAACAGGCATCAGCATAAGTTGGTACATACCTGCTACTAGATGCTATTTAACTATGGTAAGTAGGTACCTTACTTATGGTACCAGGTACCTACCCCGGTACACAGTACCTAGTAACCAACTAGGTACAGTACCTTAGCCAGGAGTACCAGTGACGGATGGTACGGTACCTTGGGTAGTACCTTGGGTTGGATAGGGAACTTACCTCCCTTACAGGAGGGCAAGTACGGAGTACTTAGGTACCTACGGAGTACCTACAGCTGTGACACGTAAGACCTGAACCAGGGACCAGGGTGGGTGGCTGGCTGTGTAATGAGAAGTGGTATTTTTCGCTTCTTCGGGCGTTCTAGAACATCGCTGTACTGAAAGTACTACACTGACTTCTACACTCCTCTACGGAGTAGAGTCTAGTAGTAGTTAGTGGTGGCAACTGAATAAGACATTATAAGATACTGCAGCTGAAAACCATTTGGTATATAGTTCAGTAGTGCTAGGCTACTAATTTAGGTGTGGTTGCCGGCGCAGGGACTAGCATGCTACCTGGTAGGTACTACTACTACGTACTCCGTAATGAGAATTCTGTAATAGGTACTAAGGTACTAGGTATGTAGTATAGGTAAGGTACCTAGTACCTATGTGGAAGAATTTAGGGATACCCACAGTACGGAGTACTATGGAGTACATGAGTATTCCACAACCCCCATGCCTTGCCTGCCGGATTGAGTAACATCCACGACCTCATGCCCTCTTGTCCTATAACTACATGACCACTACTCCGTACATACTACGGATTACACCCATCTTATTATGTCGTACTCTGGGCCTTAGGTACTAGGTAGTTAACTAGTGACCGGTACCTACCATGTATTCCGTTGTAGATCGACTTGTCTCTTGGGCCTCGCGCTAGGCCTATTCTAGCCGCGCTTGGACATAAAGGCGCGCAAACAAACTTCTTCAGCGTATAGCACACGTGTACCAAGATAAATAGGGGTAACTAAACTCTTTACTAGAAGGGAGAGCTAGCTTATCTCAAGTTAGTGAGTACAGAGTATGGTACATAGATAGTATTTACCTAGTTAGTAGCAACTAACTAGTTACTCCGTAACTACCGGAGTAGTAGTTAGCTAACTCACCATCTAGGACTCCGTACTCAGGCTCATGCCGGCCCGCTCTCGATCCGATCTCAGCTGGAACCAGTCAGCTAGTCCGCGGTGACCCGTTTGTCGGGCTCCATGGCGGCATGGCTTTCATTGAACAATGAACGGCGAGCGAACAGCGAAGCTCAAAAAAAGCGGGTGAGCGAACCGTGGAACAGGTAGCTCGAAACGAGTATGAATACGTATTGGGTTCTTATAAATACGCAGACTATATATATTACTTGTATTTACGGGTATGGTTACGGGTACTACCTACCTAACCTACTCCCTTGGTAGGTACCTTACTCCCTACCTTAGTAATTAACAGCACCAGGTCACTTACTCTATTGCTAGGCAGGCGCTTCTATTCTGTACATTTATTGTGGACATTTATTATGACAATTATGGGCAATTCTGTATACAGTACTGTCATAAGGCGAGATCCGCTAGAAATGCAAGATCTCGATCCGGTGCAGTCCCCCCGACGATCGATCAGCACCCATCCACGAATCTAGGGCGCATTAATGGGACCAAAGCCGATCGTCACATTGCGGTGAGATGAGCGGCGAGCCCTGCCGTCTCTCAGGAGCGGCGCCGCGCGACGACGATTCCAGCTGGCTGCTCCCCTACAATTTCTCCGTACTGATCGGCTCAACCTCCTATTAATTATTTGTTGGGATACGAGTAGCTGTTTAGTAGGTCAGTAACTAGTCTGCGAGTAATTATAGAATGTACTACTAGTACATACTACTATCTACCTAGGTAGATAGTAGTTACTAACTAACTAATTAATTAACTAACTTTGGTAACTAGTTGACCATTGTCTACGGAGTACTCCGTACAAGAAGTGATTCCACCATCATACGATCTTGTATCGGGCATCAATAGTCATTGTTGTGGAGTCAGTGATCAAGCCTCTCCTCGGTTCTACTAGTTAAATAATTACAAAATAAACCGCTCGCTTCTATCGGACTGGAGAAGGTGACAAATTCCGGTTCGGTAAGTCCAGCAAAGACCAGGTTTCTGCCCCGCCGGATTAGCACGAGCCCTGTCTCATCAAGGAAAAGCAACAGCAAGCATCGTTAATAGGTAGCCACGTCGCTAACGAGGTCAACTAAAGCGTAGTCCTCTACATAACGGGTCATCCGTACCGGTGGTTAGTGAGGTATGGACTCGGAGTCCTTCTCCGTTTACCAATCCAACAGTTCAATCCCGTTAACTTTGTTACCTAGGTACCTTACCCTGTTAATAGTACCTCATACTAAATACTCCGTACAGAGTACAGAAAATACTAGTAAATACTGAATCCCTTCTTAGTCTCGGTAGTTGCATCAAGCTAACGGCTAGACCGAGATCTGCCGTTGGTCCTCGATCAGATCGAGTGACACCTGCTGCAAGGGCTGGCGCTGTCGGCTTGTGCTACATACATAGTACGGAGTACATACAGTGTCCTCCATACGGAATATTTCGAGGTACTCCGTATAGTAACCTGATTACCTTGTACTTCAATATATACTACCTGGGTAACTCGGTACTTCGGACTCCGACTCTGCGCTGCTAGAGTAATAAAGTTGGTTAGTTCAGACTACGGTTTGCTCCTGGTGGTGGCTGTGTGCATACCCTGACCTTGCAGCGTGCATACCGTGATCGACTTGTCTGCATATGTAGTATAACTACTAGGTAGTTACTACATAACTACTCTGTACGGAGTACTTCGTGTCTATCTCTCTTTTGTGGGGCAGAAATTAGTATATGATGAATACCTAGGTACCTACGGAGTAGATACGGAGTACAGGAAGTACAGACTGAACCTCTGTGGACTGAAGTGAATCTGTGGTTATCGCGTACTCCATATGTACTCCGTACCGAGTACTATGGAACAAGTACTGCTCCATAGACTGTGGAGTGAAGGATGCGCATCCTTGACACCTTGACAGCTGCATTGCACTGGTCACATTGGGCCGAATGCCCTGCGTAGTAGTACAAATAGATTAGATAGTTCGTCTATATCCGCGGAGCAGGGTATGTACCTACGTGCAGAGCACGCAATAAGAGACGGAGTTGTACGCGGTAGGTGGTACAAGACGGAGTAGTATTCCGCAGTATCGAGTTAACTCTATGCCTAGAATTATGATATGAATTTGTGTTCAATAATGACTAGTATTTATTGCTGCTCAAGGCAAAACAAGGCAACGAGGCGAACCATGCCAATAGTCCCAATAAAACATGACTTGAACCACATTATTATTACGGGGTATTTGATATTTAGTAACTAGCAATACGGAGTAAATAATAAAACAAGATGATGAGAAATAAAAAAAAAAGAGATGAAGAAGAGAAAAGAAACCCTTCACTTCCTACTGAGTACTGCCTCTTGAGGCAAAAAAGATAATGACAAGGGTGGGGTTCGAACCCACGCATCTTTCGATAGCAGATCTTACTGTATGATTATTAGTAACGGGATATACGGATTTTTGATTGGGCAGACACTAACAGACTGCCGCCATAACCACTCGGCCACCTTGCCAGTTTCACTAATTTTTCTTTTTTTGACAATATGACCTGACATCTGGCGTTTCCTGCCAGGGATTCTGACTCCGTGGGATATCTATCGAAAGCTTAGTTCCTACTCGAAGCTCACTGCAGGTCAATCATGGTATTTATAGGTATCATAAACTTTGGCTCTTCGAGGTGTATTGGAGGTAAACGGTGTCGATCCTGAGAATAAGCAGTCAGCCTTTACAAGTCTTTTTTTTTAAAAAAAAAGTTCGATAGTTCTCCCAACCATTTCCCCTTTTTGAATCCTACGTTCTTCAACCTTCCTCGTTCCTCGAACCCCCGATCCTCATACCATCTCCTCAGTCCCTCGCCCCGCTCTTTGCCATCCGTATTCAGCGCCATACAAGCTATCACGTTCCGTACGGGAGCCGACAGCGCAGAGTCCACCAGCCCGGTAGGCTCCCGTGCAAGATGCGCCACGCCTTCCTCTGAATCGACAATCGCCAGCACCGAAGATAGCAGCCGGCTACCTGCCCCCTTCGAGGTGTACTCGCGATGTACGAAGAGAGACAGCTCGACTGTCGGGGCGTACGACAGCATCGTGCCTCGGAAGGGAGAGAGGTACGTATACCCGACCACCTTTCCCTGCTCCACGGCGACTAGATACGGAAGTCCCCGCCAGGTGATGTCTTGGAACTTGGACAGCGTCGATTCAACAGGTGGGGGGGTCTGCTGGAATGTCATCACCGTTTCGAGCACATAGTGCTTGTAGATGGCGTGGACGTGGGGGATATCGTCGCTTGTAGCTGGTCGGATGTCGATTGCCATTTTGTCTAGCACCTATCTGGATAGTATGAAATCAAAAAGAGAAAGAAAAAACTATCGTCTAGTACCTGGTGGTGCTTTTGTAAATTTTTCGCGGCTGAGTCACCGGCAATGGTTTTTATCTTTTGCCGTTGCTACGTCAGATACAAGGTCTACAGAACCACACTGTTCACGGGCGGTTCATTGGCAAGTACCTAGACTATTACATCTAGTCTGGCGATACTTCCTATTGGCTTTGACCTCGTATTATCTTCAAGCATGAGGTTGATTTCAACAGCGCCCTTCTGGTCAAATCAAACTGGACGATAAAGCTTCGAGTTCTAGACCGATAAGACGCTGATCAATGATATGTTGATAAGCAGCAAGCTACACGTTATCACGTGTGCGGGGAGGGGAGCTCTCCTCGCTCTCTGACAAGTCGCTTTTCCTGCCCTTGTTGTTCAGACATCATTGCCTGGCCCTGGCGGAGCGTTTTTCTCTTTGGATGATATTCTTCATAAATAGCCCTAGGTCTGACTCGTGGTAATAATTAACAAGCTCGCCTTCTGCTGACTGGTTGCCGCTGGTTAGTATCTATCAACTCGACCTATCTTACTTTGAATATTTTATATTTCTTTGACTTCGAGTTAAAACTACCCCAAACAAGAATGGAGTATACGTGCTTGCCTCTCTCTGAAATCCCGACAGTCTCGTTGCTTTACAAGTTGAAGCGCTTGAACCAGGCTGCCTTCCCAGTCGCGACTCCATCACAGACTTTCAACGATATCATCTCCCACATACGTCATGATATCACCAACCTGCAGGTGGACTGCATCGTGAATGCGGCCAACAAATCTTTGTTGGGCGGCAGCGGCGTGGATGGAGCCATTCACCGTGCAGCTGGCCCGGATCTAGTGAGGGAATGTCGTGGACTGGACGGTTGCGAAACCGGAGATGCAAAGATCACGGCTGCTTACAGACTTCCTTGTAAGAGGATTATACATACCGTGGGTCCCATCTATCAAATAGAGGTTTCTCGAGGTATTCGTCGTCCCGAGAGCCTGTTGAGGAGTTGTTATCGGCGCAGTCTTGAGTTGGCGGTCGAAAACGGGATGAAGAGCATCGCATTCGCGGCAATCAGCACCGGCGTCTACGGATACCCCAGTCGTGGTGCTGCAGAAGCTGCCATCGACGAGGTTAGGAAGTTTCTAGATGAGCCCAACAACGTTGGAAAATTGGAGAGAATTATTTTCTGCACCTTCGAGCGGAAGGACGAACGGGCATATGAAGAGACCATTCCGTGAGTGATATCCTATTCCCCATATTTCTTGTTGCTATGAAAAGAATTCGTTCTGAGACAGGAGGCAAAAAAAACAACAGCCAATTTTTCCCTCCTACACAACTTGACCATGAGTCGCTCGTACAATCTACCAACGGCGAGTCTTCGCCATCCCCGGAGCTCCTGGCAGCTACACTCCCCGACCCGCCCACCATGGACCCTGTGCCAGATTATGAGCCCCAACCTAAACACAAGAAGATGAAGATCAACTCGGGGGACTCTCCACAGGTTATTGGGGACAAGAAAATTGAAGATGATTGGGAGGAGGTCGGCCATTCTGAGGATGAGCCCATCGAAACGCTAGATGATGAACCAGTAGAGGTTGACAATGCTCCCTCTGCGGCCGACGTACGCAGTGTGCAGTCTAGCAGTATTCTCGACATGGACGACTCGCACTCTTCAGAAAACCTGTTGCAGAAAGACTGGTAGTTCAGAGAGATTTTCCAATACACCAGTCATCCTTCTTCTTCTTCTTTTGAATTCCTACGACCTGAATTTCGGCGCTATATTTTGCCTTTCATATTCAAGAATGTTAGCGAGAAAGGCGTTCCTATGTTCTTCTCGAAGATCACAATTGTTCCTGTTTGTATTCAGTTGAAAAGCACGTGAGCTTGATCTTGCGCGAGAATCCATCGGCAGGATAGCTTCCTTATAAGAAATATTCATATCAACACCTGATACTCTATTATTTAATTCCAATGAGTCACCTGCACTTAACATTGACTACCTGTTGTATACCTTTGCAGCAACTAGAGATGCAACTTGATATATACTACATAGTAATGTAGATGCAAACAATGCAAACAATTCTTAACAGGGATCAAGCTCCGGCGATCTGCGCATTATCCCGACAGACCAGCAAACTTGCAACAGCCTCGATTTCTAGAGACTTCAATTGTTTCTATAGAATTATTCGTTTTCAATAGCTCATTTGCCCTAATATCATAATGTTGTGAAAGTGCATCAAATCCAAAGAAAACCCTTTGCAATACCTTCAAATCCACCTCACGCCGACAAGATAATCGACCACCATCCCGCCAAATCACGAGCTGAAGGACCACCACGCCCGTCGATAATGGCGCAGACAAAATCCGTTCCATCCCAATCCGCTGCGAAACCGCATACTTCCACATCTACCTCCTCCTCCTCCGCCGCCGCCGCCGCCGCTAATAGACCATCTTTCTTCTCGCGCTTCCGATCCCGCTACACCGCGCTCCCGCCCCCGATGCGCCGGTCCCTGCTCTTCTTCCGCTTCCTGGTCCCGCTGGTACCCATTGCGATGTTTGTCACCGAGCATGGGTACCAGATAATGTGGGTGCGCGGGCAGTCGATGACCCCGTACTTGAACGAAGACTATGAGGAGATGCACACGAAGAGCGATCTAATCCTGGTCAATATGTGGTCGAATGGGGGGTCACTATTACCCTGGGAGAAGAAACGGAGGTTAGAGAGGGGGATGATAGTGACTTTTCGGTAAAAAAACGCCATCTACCCGTTTATTCAAGGAAAGTACTGGCTGATCTTTCTTCTAGATCACCTGCCAACCCTAGACATATGGCTCTCAAGCGCGTGGTCGGGTTACCGGGAGACCGAATCACAACGCGAGAACCTTGTAGGAAGGAGTCGCAGATCGTACCGTTCAACCATGTCTGGCTGGAGGGCGATGTGGAGGACCCGAAGAAAACGATAGACAGCAATACGTACGGGCCTGTCAGCGCTAGTCTCATCACCGGACGGGTGATGGCTGTCCTCTGGCCGCGGGCGAGACTGTTACGATGGTCGGATTGGGAAGGCGAGTCGGAGGATGGTGTGCTTGCGGCGGATTATCGACATGAGGTCAGGGAGCGGGTGGTCAAGGAGGCTGTCAAAGCGGAGCGTCCCTTTTTCAACTAGAACACTTCATGGCCTGCTATTATGTATATCTCATGTCTTGTATTTTAGATCCCTGTATAGACTGTATATTAAAGAATCTTACGAATGGGATTAGGCACGTAGCCATATCTACTCTAATCTTGGTGTACTATGGTCGTTTCAATCTCAGATTAGGTATAATATAGACGTTTGAAAATTATTTACATTGATTGTAGCTCCCGAAACTACGTGTTTCTCAAAGTTCCGTCTATATACCAAGCGATTCTCTCTGTAGTTTCTTATTAAGGACCAACGATGCGAATATCCTCAGGCTTCTCCTCCTGCAGCCGGTCAATTTCGGATGCAATGCTCAGCACCCATCGGTCCTTTTCTACACGACTTCGGGCCTTGAAGACGATGCTTCGGCCATGTACACCCAATGCGGATACTTGTCGCAATGTTTTCTTGGTCTGACCCTCCTCTCCGACCTCCGGGGCTCGAAACAGGTTCCTCCTCCGAGGTTGCCAGATAACAAAGCTGATGGCAGTGTCTTCGTCGCTGCTGGTATAGGCATCCGACGCTAGATACACGCGCGGGAGAGCATGGTGTCCGGGGTGGTTGCTATCGAACGTTTGGTTCGAATATAGAAGGTCGGAATCCGTCAGCAACCCGGAGTAGATATAACAGTCGTGGAGATCGATTGTCATCTCATGTTCTTGATGGATGGACGGTATCTCGGTGCCGTTCCGTTTTCGCAGGGCGCTGTGGTAAATAAGTAATTTGCCCTCGGTAAGAATCAGGTGGCATCGTCGAAAGGTCGAGCGCCGTTTGGGTTTGCGGTACAGCTGGCCGGACATCTAGTTGTCCATTGTTAGAAGGAATGTGGGCCATAACAGAAGAAGCTATAGATGTTTTTACCTTGATCGTTCTGCATCCAGACAATGCGCACATATTATGTATCTGGGGAGAAGCCACCGCCTTCTTGACCTCCCATTTCCTTCCAAACTGGCCCATAAAGGACTCCATTTCTTCGTCAATATCCAGTGACTCAAGGTTGCGCTGTCGGACCGCTTTCAGTTCGGTGATGTCTGCTACAGTGCGCTTCTTCCAATACTTGACGAGAGAGTCTAGTCGTTTCATCCACTCATCGCGTGTACTAGAGTTGTATGCCTGCAGGCGAACGACAAGGCCATTGTGCAAGAGTAGCTCGAGGGTTCTCTCATCATCAAACTGGTTCGTGGATCCATCTTCCCGAGGTGTATCTCGCTGCTCCGGATGGAATTCAATATCTGGTCCCTGGTCCATGTTCGGGTCAGCAGAGCAGCTCCCTCTTCGCACAGTTCTCACTTCTTGCACTCGACAGAGGTCTATAAAACCGTCTGATTCGCTGGTGTTGTGAATGTTCCTCTTGAATTGAACGTAAGCTTCTTCGTCATGACCTTGAACGTGCTGTTGATTCCCGTTATCCAACCACGAGATTTCACCATCGGCAATGGTATATGGATCCACGTCGAAAGAGGTAGGCATCGTGTCGAGAATTTTCTGGGCTGAAGGTACGTCCGAGTTGTTGTCGAGACTAGATCTGGGAGGGGCCGGTGGCATTGCCTTTGCAGGCCTGCAAAACAAAAGGTAATGATCTTGAGTGAAGAAGTATAACCGTTTGAAGAACATCTTGTTCAGTCGCTGATGTACCCCTTTCTGAGACGTAAGACGGATCAAAAACCCTTCTATCGGGGAAGGCTCTTCCGTTTTAGTGTTCTCCTCGTGAACAGCTGTTGAGTAGTGTTGTCTGGGTCGTAGCTCGAGCTCATGAGATGTTTGCATTGCTATCGACCCGTAAATTTTCTCTGCATTCACACCAACAATCCATTCAAGCCTGTCGTAACGCTTCCAAGCAAGTCCCATTTTCTCAGTCCTAGACCACCGTTTCAAAACATCTGCCCATTCTGATCGGCCCTCTAACATCTTCATGCAGCCCCGTACAATCGCTGAAGCTGCAAAATGCTCTTCTTTAACGGCTCCGCCATCTTGATCCGTCGAAGTAGAAGAGTTAGGCTCCAAATTCTCAAAAGGGTTTTTGAAAACAAGGGACACTCCAAGATCGGGGACGCTGATAGGAAGCGATTTCGGACGCTGCCATCCAAGACACTGGCATATGAAAGTGTACCACTCAACTGAATGTGCAGCAGACCGTGGTCGTATAATGTAGATCTTGGTACCTCGGTCAGAAGGACGCCATAGTACGAGTGTCTTGTCGAGCGGAGAGTAGAGATTTACTCTGGTCGTTTTGTGATCCAAATGGACTTGGTGGCATGGTTTCTTCTTGGATCCGGGCTTTTGTACTTCTGGAATGACGCGTGTCTTGTACATTTGAAGACAGAAAGATGTATGCTCATCCGAACCCTTCCGGCATACGACAAGATACTCGCGCCACTTATCGACAATTCGCGTCTCCGTTTTTAAGCTGTCATTTTCCATGTAGTCGTCGGGCAGATGGGTCTGCGGGGTCTCTTCGACTCGAACTAGCATCTTTTCTGCTTTTGCAATAGCCCCTTTCTGTGCTTTTCGCTTGTGTGGCCGATTTGAGGATATATTATCATGCGTTCTGGACATTTTAGCACGGAGTCGTTGTTGCTTGTCGAGGATGTTGTCATCTAGATTGAACCTGGCCACCCTGCTCGACAGAGGTTGCAAGATATCCCATTCCTCACGACCTCCACTGCCTGCTGAAAACTCTCCAGCGGTATCTTCACTCTGGGGTTCTTGTTGGGCCAGGGCACCTGTCGACGAGGTTGTGGGCTTGCCCTTCGTATTGGACAGGGCGCTTGATCTTAGCAATAAGGTAGACGAGTCGGCTTCACTTACTGAAGCTATCGAATTCGGGCGGCCTTGGTCTGGAAGCTCAGGGATACTTGAGCTGTTGTTCTTGCCTTTAGTCTTGTCTTTCCTTCGCTGTTCCTCAGGACTTGTGCCCTCCCGAGCCGTAAAGTATGACGAGGCAGCCTCTTGCGAATTGTTTCTTGGGTCATTGTTCTGGATTTCAGTGCTATCAGAGATCTCGGCTGCATCTGAGAACGGCTGTTGCGAATGTTCTTGAGCAGATCCAACCGTCTCGTGGGATAGCATTCGTAGTGGTGAAGACGAATCTACAGCCAGTTGATCCTGCGGCTCATTTGATTGTTCTGACTCGGTTTCTTCGTCGTCTGATTCGGCCTGGGGATCCAAGGAAGGAGGTGCAATCCGATCTGAATTTTGTTTATAATGGGTGGCCACAGGGTCCACGGAGAAGGTAATTGTTCGTGAGGTATAATTCCTGAATCTCAACCGAGACTTATACCATGTCTTTCTGTGGTTTTGCAACCAGCCTTCGGGGATTGGACCTATAAAGAATCGTCGGCTTGTCAGGTGAAGATGATGCGCTGACGCATGGCGCTGTCAAAAAAACGTCAGGAATACGACCAAGTCCATCTATAGTATAACAATCATACCAGTCGCCGAGAAGTATATGACTCCTCTTCCAGCCCACAATAACCATCTTGCGACCAGCTGTTGCTATTCGCTTCTGGTCTTCCATTACCATGCGAATCAGAGCCCTGTGGAGAACTCATGACACCCTGTAAAAGGTTCGCAACGCTCACAGAATAAAAGCTCCCGTTGCAACCACTCCGTTTTTCTATAGTATCAAAGAAAACAAACTGTTCTCCTGCTGTGTTGCTCCTGCAGCGTTAGGGGGCAGCAGCTTGTAGCTAGATGGCAACCTCAAGCGATGACGTCGACGGTCCGCCCCTTGACCTGTATTGATTTGGTTTGTTTGAGATGTTTGCAGGTTGCACCTCTAGAGGGGTTCAGGGGCAGAAAGATCCGCCATTGGCCGACCGCTTGCGTGTCCCGCAACCAGCGGTGACAGCTCATCAGTTATGCCCACCTTCAACTGACATTGGATTCCTTTTATCGAGTGCTAGTCTACTGTATCCAAAACCTTTTGTTTCTTGTGCTTACTCACTTCGACGTCTTATTCTCTATTAATTCAGTCATGGCTTCCGCTGTTATCCCTCCCGGAGGAACCTGGTTCGACTCTATGAAGAAGTCCTTCGCGGACGTTCCTATCGACGCTACCAATCATAATGCTATCTCTACGACAGAGTTCCTCGAGGCTGCCGAGTCTCTGGTTGCTCTTTTTGGTATGATGTCCTTGCCTTCGAACGTGAATCGATGATTTGATCATTAACGTTTCTTGGGCTGCTTCAGACATCCTCGGCTCTGTTGCTTTCAAGCCCGTCATTTCTGATTTGACCAACAACATTAAAGTGAAACCATCTTTTTTTACTGCGATCAAACAGCAAATTTTCTGACTTGTCTATGCAGAAAATCAGAGATAGACAGCTCGCCGCCCCAGCTGAATCGGAGACCCTTCAAGATCTTGTTCGCAATGAACTGAAGACCAAGAAGCACACCGCTACCGAGGGGTTGCTCTGGCTTATTCGGTATGAACATATGATCTTCCTTGACACCATCTTCTATATATTGCACCATGAAAGTAGATTATCAACTATTGGGAGGGATTTGCTAACGATTGCTTGATTAATCTAGTGGCCTTGACTTCACCGCTCAAGCCCTCCGTCACAACATCAATGACCCCGCCTCCGAGCTATCTGTCTCCTTCCGTGATGCCTATGGCAAGACCCTGAAGCCTCACCACTCTTTCGTCATCAAGCCTATCTTCAGCGCCGCCATGTCTGCGACCCCGTATCGCAAGGACTTCTATGCAAAGCTTGGGTCTGACCCCGAAAGGGTCAACGAGGCCTTTAACCGTGAGGTTGAGTCTCTGGAGAAGGTCGTTGCTATTCTGAAGGCTTTCCTCGACACTAAGGAGGCGAAGTGGTAACAATACCTCGATAAGCTGGTTCCTGAAGCACCTGGAGTGTTGGACCTTTGACCGGTTCGGGTCATTTTATTTCATGCACCATATTCAATGTATTGAAGATGTATATTCTCATGTATACAGTTATCAGCCTACCTACCTAGGTAAGGCGGTATATTGTGACCTCACCAAGAGTGAATTGAAAACGGGATTTCTGTCGATACCTCAACATCTGGGCTTGTTTAAGAAAGGTTCTCGTAGACATGCCCATCTCATCTGATCAGCCTGACACAATGAGATCTCAAAGCTGGTGAAACCCTAGAACTCACAGATAGATACATGATGCGTACTCAATACCATGTAGTCTTATAATGTTTACCGAGGTGATTGATGCATTATCGGGGCTTCCAATCCCCAATATATTGCTGCCTCAGGCATGCAGTCGGAATTATGCTTCTCCGATCCCTATCAGCGGCACAATGTTAGTGGGTGGCGGACACCAATCATCGGGCAACCCCATCTTGGGCGGACCGGCGGCGACAGCTCCGAGAGGAATTTCTATCATTGAGAGGTGGCTTCTTCCAACTGCTTCTCTCAACATCTGTCTGGCATCTCGAGCAGTCTCGGCGGCCAGGGGATCTTGCGACTCTCTTTGTTTCCTTGATGAGCGAGTAATCCCTTCTCTGTCTTTTGTGCTTGATAACATCAGACCCCGAGTTGCGCGGGTCGACCGACTGCCATCATGTGAGTATCGCATCGCTTCCCCCCAGCATCACGCGCGGCAATTTGAATCTAATCTTCCTACAACAGGGCGAGACTTGTCGATGACCACCAGATTCAGCATGCATCGCTCCACAATCCTTTGCCTCTCCAGCTGCACACTTACGTGTGGCCCTTTCTGATCGTTTGGCCGATTTTCTTCGCGTTTTACCTCTCCCCTGAACGCTACGACGAATATATCCAGGGTCAAGAATGGACGTTTGTTTGGTCGGGGTCCATCATTACGGCGCAATCCCTCTTCTGGCTCATGACAAAATGGAACATCAATATCAACACTCTGTTCACAACAACCAAGGCCAAGTCCGTCGACACAGCCCGTCTGGTTAAAGTCATCCCAATCAGTAACGCCGGATCTGCCGAAATCTGTACTCTCGAACGTGACATCAAAGGCGGAAAGAAGACACTCTCTTTTCTGTTCCAGAAGCGTCGTTTCTTGTACTATCCCGACCGCCAGTCGTTCGCCCCCCTGTCCTATGTGCTTGATGAGGAGCCCAAGCCAAGCATCAAGTACTTTCAGCAGAGCCATGGATTGACGACACAGGAAGAAGTCGAACGCATCGGCCACCACTACGGCGACAACAAGTTCGATATTCCTGTTCCTGGGTTCATTGAATTATTCCAGGAACACGCGGTGGCCCCGTTCTTTGTCTTCCAGATCTTCTGTGTAGGTCTTTGGATGCTGGATGAATACTGGTATTATTCGCTCTTCACACTGTTCATGCTGGTTGCTTTCGAGAGCACTGTTGTCTGGCAGCGTCAGAGGACCTTGAACGAGTTCCGGGGTATGAACATCAAACCGTACGATGTGTGGGTCTACAGAGAACGCCGGTGGCAGGAAATCACCAGTGACAAGCTTCTTCCTGGCGACCTCATGTCGGTCAACCGAACAAAGGAAGACGGCGGTGTCGCGTGCGATATTCTCCTGATCGAAGGCAGCGTAATTGTCAACGAAGCGATGCTCTCTGGTGAGAGTACCCCGCTGCTGAAGGACTCTATCCAGCTCAGACCAGGTGACGATCTGATTGAGCCCGATGGTCTGGATAAGAACGCCTTTGTTCACGGTGGAACCAAGGTCTTGCAGATCACGCATCCGAACAACCACAGCGATAGTCCCGAGAACCCTCAGCACGTCGCTTCTGATGTTCCAAACCCCCCTGACAATGGTGCGTTGGGTGTGGTCGTGAAGACCGGATTCGAAACCAGCCAGGGCAGTCTTGTCCGTACTATGATTTACTCTACTGAGCGTGTCTCTGCCAACAACGTTGAGGCATTGTTGTTTATCTTGTTCCTTCTCTGCTTCGCTCTCGCTGCCGCGTGGTATGTCTGGCAGGAGGGTGTGTCTAAGGATCGCAAGAGATCCAAGCTGCTTCTTGACTGCGTCCTTATTGTCACCAGTGTGGTGCCTCCCGAGCTTCCCATGGAACTCAGTCTTGCTGTCAATACCAGTCTTGCTGCTCTCAGCAAGTTTGCCATCTTCTGCACAGAGCCTTTCCGGATCCCATTCGCTGGGCGCGTCGATGTTGCATGCTTTGACAAGACCGGAACCTTGACCGGTGAGGATCTTGTTGTTGACGGTATTGCCGGACTCAGCTTGGGCAAACAGGATGCGAAGGTTGAGTCGGATGGTGCCCACACAGAGCTCACAAAGTCTACCGATATCGAACTGGACACTACCCTCGTACTCGCCAGTGCTCATGCTCTCGTGAAGTTGGATGAAGGCGAAGTTGTGGGTGACCCTATGGAAAAGGCTACTCTTCAATGGCTTGGCTGGACTCTTGGGAAAAACGACACCCTCACTTCCAGGAGCGTATTGTCTGCCACCACCGGCACCCGCCCTGTGGAGTCTGTTCAAGTCAAGAGACGGTTCCAATTCTCCTCGGCTTTGAAACGCCAGAGTACTATTGCTACAATCACGACCAACGACCGCAAGACATCTAAAAGGTCCAAGGCCACATTTGTGGGCGTCAAGGGTGCACCTGAAACCATTCGGACTATGCTTGTCAACGTTCCTCCCCATTACGAAGAAACATTCAAGTATTTCACTCGAAACGGAGCTCGAGTTCTTGCCCTTGCTTGCAAGTATCTCTCTACCGAGGCCGAGCTATCTCAAGGACGTATCAACAACTACGTTAGAGAAGAAATCGAGTCTGAATTGACCTTCGCTGGTTTCCTTGTCCTGCAATGCCCCCTGAAGGAAGATGCAATCAAGTCCGTCCGCATGCTCAATGAGAGTAGCCACCGTGTTGTTATGATCACTGGTGACAACCCGTTAACTGCCGTCCATGTCGCGCGCCAGGTTGAGATCGTCGATCGCGAAGTCCTGATCCTCGATGCACCTGAGAATGATGATTCTGGAATAAGACTTGTGTGGCGAAGCATCGACGACAAATTCAACCGCGATGTCGATCCCTCCCAGCCTCTTGATCCCGAGATTCTCAAAACCAAGGACATCTGTATCACTGGATATGCTTTGGCCAAGTTCAAGGGCCAAAAGGCTCTTCCAGACCTGCTTCGCCATACCTGGGTTTATGCGCGTGTCTCTCCCAAGCAGAAGGAGGATATTCTTCTTGGTCTCAAGGATGCTGGTTACACGACTTTGATGTGCGGTGACGGTACCAATGACGTCGGTGCTCTCAAACAGGCACACGTCGGCGTTGCTTTGCTTAACGGCTCTCAGGAAGACCTTACTAGGATTGCTGAGCACTATCGCACCACGAAAATGAAGGAGATCTATGAGAAGCAGGTCGGCATGATGGAACGCTTCAATCAGCCTGCGCCCCCTGTGCCGGTACAAATTGCTCACCTCTACCCTCCCGGACCTAGAAATCCTCACTACGAGAAGGCCATGGAGAGAGAGGCACAGCGCAAGGGTGCTGCCGCTGGCGCCGCTTCTGGAGCCACTCAGAATGCCAATATTCCAACCATCACTTCACCCGGCGCACAAGCTTTGCAACAATCCACTGCTTCTATGACCCCTCAGCAACAGCGACAGCAGCAGGCTTCTATGGCGGCCGCCGGGCTTGCCGATAAGCTTACTTCCTCGCTGTTGGAACAGGAGATGGATGATAATGAGCCCCCGACCATCAAGCTGGGCGATGCATCCGTGGCCGCTCCCTTCACCAGCAAGCTTGCTAATGTCATCGCCATTCCCAACATCATCCGTCAGGGTCGTTGTACCCTCGTCGCCACCATTCAAATGTACAAGATCCTTGCTCTCAACTGCTTGATCAGTGCATACAGTCTGAGTGTCATCTATCTCGACGGAATCAAATTTGGTGATGGTCAAGTCACGATCAGTGGCATGTTGATGAGTGTTTGCTTCCTTTCCATCTCCCGTGCCAAGGTATGGTTCTTTTTTCCCAATACACATTGATTTTTTTTTTTTTTTTGCTTGAGGCTGACATCGATTACAGTCCGTGGAAGGCTTGTCCAAGGAGCGCCCTCAGCCAAACATTTTCAACCCGTACATTATTGGTTCGGTCCTTGGACAGTTCGCTATTCACATCGCGACTTTGATCTACCTTTCGCAATACGTGTACTCTATTCAACCGTGGGTTGGCCTTTCGTCGGTATTCTCAAGATATGATTTCTGACCGTGATAATAGACGCAATGACGATATTGATCTCGAGGGCGAGTTTGAGCCATCGCTGCTCAACAGTGCCATCTACCTGCTGCAACTCATCCAGCAGATCTCAACTTTCTCTATCAACTACCAGGGCCGGCCTTTCAGAGAGTCCATCCGCGAGAACAAGGCCATGTACTGGGGTCTTATTGCTGCCTCGGGTGTTGCTTTCTCCTGTGCCACCGAATTTATTCCCGAGTTGAACGAGAAGCTCCGTCTTGTGCCCTTCAGCAACGAGTTCAAGGTCACTCTCACCGTGCTGATGGCCTTGGACTATGCTGGCTGCTGGGCTATCGAGAATGTTCTCAAGAACCTTTTCAGCGACTTCCGACCCAAAGATATTGCCGTTCGCCGCCCGGATCAGTTGAAGCGTGAGGTGGAACGCAAGAAGCAAGAAGAGCTTGAAGCCCAGGCGGAGAAGGAGCAGAATCGGAAGGTCTAGTTTGTGTGTGACTGTTGGGTCAAATAATGTTATTTGGGTATACTTTGCTTATAATGGGAAGTACGGTATAAACTCTTTTCTTACAGGTGGCTAGATAGTACCAATGCGTTTTTCTGGTTGGCATTCCCATGGAGATCTCAAGAGTCTAATCATGGGTCTGGCTCTTTGTTCATGAAAAATAAATACAACAATTCTAGTATTCGCTTATGAAACATACCCCATCGGATCTTTCGAGTCTGGTAATTGTAGACGGTCTAATCTATTGACTTCTTTTCCCGTATGGCCTACGACACCACCACCACCACCACCACCACCACCACTATTGACTCAGTCATATTGACGCAAAGAATCACCACGAATTCTTACCTCACATCTGGTGAAAATCAACGGATGGTGGTGGCTACTTCTCGAAGATTTGCCCTAAACGGAGCACGATGCAGCCAAAGACCAGTTTGCAGACCCAAAGCAGTGGTCGGGAATGAACATACCATGGCAACAGAAAAGCCCTTCTAGAATGGTTTCGAAGCTGACTGATATTGTCCTTTGAAGTCCATTCCGGCCGCTCGCGTCTGTTTGCCGCAGTGTAATGTGATGTCAATCCATGATCATCAGTGGCCTCTTGCAACGCCACAAGGGGAATATAAACGAGAAGATTTCTCTAATATCTTTCTGTTGGATCAGATTCGGTTCAAAGATTGAAATTGGATCTCTGATAAAAGCTCAAGAAAGAAAAAATAGGATATATATATAAAAAACGACATCATTATCGGACGAAGGAATACCTTTCTTCCAACGACTACGATCAAGATGACCGACTACAATTACCGCACAACCGACGACACTGGCACCTATGACACCACCGGAGCAGCTCGCTACGGTACCACGGGCTACGGCACCACTGGATACGGCACTACAGGGTATGGAACTACAGGGTATGGCACGACTACAGGGACGACCGCGGATACCACGGGCACCACCTACGGCACCACCTACGACACCGGCTACGGGACTACCGCGTACGACCCCAGCACTGGCGCGTACGACCAGCATCTAGACTACCGCACCGACGGTTCGAACCGTCACCACCGCGAACGAGTCGACTCGGACGGAACATACAGACACCGTGATGTTGATCGGAGAGACGACGGCTCTCGGCGTGTCCACCGAGAGTACGACAACCCGAACACCGGGACGAGCTATCACCGTGACTATGAGAGGTAGATGGGGATGGGATGAGGTGATATGGATGTTGATCCAGGCTCAATGCATATGATATGGAACGAGGTTATGACAACAAAACAGAGAGAAAAATGGATTGGGTATCAGGAAGGCATAGAGAGAGACGGTTCAAGTCCCATCCAGAAAAAAAGGTGAAAATTGAAGTAAAAGAATCAAAAAAAGGAGAGAGAAAAGTGTTTGCTGTATATGTTTTGATGCTTCTTGTCGTGTTATTTAGCGCTTGTATATAGAGAAAAACCAAAGAAACCAGAAAAAGATGCTTTGCATCAACCAAACCCCCCCAGAACTATAGTATATTAGTTTTAGTCTCTCTGTGTATAAACAATGATTCTCATAGCTAGCAAAAGATACTCCTTTATGTTTGTTGCCTGGGGCATCAACCCCCCGGATCAAGCACCGACCAAGTGGCGGAACGAATAAACGTAAGACCTGCCAAACCTCCCCCCTCCGGAACAAGGCAATCGTCCGGTCCTCGTTGGGAAGCGGAGGACAACACCGCCCGACCTTTCATTTCTTCCGCTCCTTGCGGACTTTCTCTCATGCTTCCTTGAATCATGTCCCGGAGGACGCTGGGTGGAGGCCGTGTCCTGGGCGCTGCAAAGACGCTCTCTCCAACGGCTTCAACTCCGTCTCCGCAGCCCAAGCCACGCGTTCTCTCACCGTCCGCTAGCAGCGTTTCGCTCAGCTCACAGGCATCTGCATCGCAGTTTTCATCAGGGACGCAGGACCTTACTTCGCGCATATCCTATGAGAATGGCGAGACCTCCATCTCTGCTGCGCCGGCCACGGCCGGCGCCCAGCTGGCCTGCCCTATCTGCAGCGAAGAAATGGTATGTGAAGCCGGCTGCAAGAACTTTTATCTCTCTTTCTTGGTTACTAATATGAACACCTGCAGGTGACTCTACTACAACTGAACAGGTACTGGTTTCCTTTTCCTTTCTTACTTTCCTTTCGGTTCCAAAGGCGTGGTTCCAAAGGCTTTGTTAACCTCTCACAGACACCTCGATGACGTACATAAGAACCTCGAAAACGATCGGCAGGATGAAGTGAAGGACTGGTTCAAAACGCAAATGGTCAAGGCAAAACGGTTCCAACCTTTGGCGGTTCTAAATCAAAAGCTCAAGGGTCTGGATGTGTTTGAATCGAACGAAAATGCTACTCTTCCTTTTCCGACACCTACGCGGCCCCTTGCCCCGCACGCAAACGCAGCGGAACCTCCCAGAACGCCCGACCCCGATGAAGTCATCACAAGGGAGCATTGGCAAACACGTGGTCTGTATGACACTTGCCTGGAGCCGTCTTGTGAACAGCGCCTCAATGCGACCAACGGCTGCGTGAACTGCCGGAAATGCGGGAAGCTGTTCTGCGAGGAGCATACTATGTACCAGATGAAGCTGTCACGATCTGCCCAGCATGAGCCGGTCAGAGGGTTATGGTGTCGAGTTTGTGAGACCTGCTACAAGTCTCGAGAGGGGTATAACGACCACACCGGTAGACTCAACCCTTGTCCTTGATAATATTTTGCAAAGAACGGCGAGGAAGCTAACATTAAGCCCTCTGTCAGGTTTGGTGAGAGATCAAACCCAGGCATTCACGGCTATGAGAAAGCAGACCGTCGACAAGGCCTTTTTGGAGGCCTCACGCCTGGAAAAGAGGCTAACACGCCTGACTCAGCTGCTGGTCAATCTACCAGCAGAACAGATCCAGTCCGGTGCAAACAAACGCTGGTCAATTGCATGGCAGCAGAATGATCACAGAAAGGCTCTCGAACAGACTGTGGTGAGCTGGCAGGATGACGCTAGTGTGCCCAGGTGTCCATTCTGCCAACAAGACTTCACCAGCTATTCCTTCCGGAGACACCACTGCAGGACTTGCGGGCGGGTTGTATGTGGTGATCCGGCCACGGGATGCTCTAGTGAGATTGGCTTGACCGTCAATTCTTGTGGGTATCCTCGAAATGCACAATATCATTGTTTGCTGTAACTAACTGGGTTCAGTGTCGAAAGTTTCCACGGAGAAATCTTCACCGTCTGGAAAAGTCAATATTGATGTAAGGCTCTGCAAGGAATGCCGAGCAACTATATTCGATCAGCGAGATTTCGAGGCGGACCTGGCGCGGAAACCACCGGATCAAAAGGCCTACGAAACCCTCATCCAGTTTGAAAAGGGGATTCGTCTTTTGCTTCCTAAATTCCAAAAGCTTTTAATAGCTTTGCAGTATGTACATCTTATTGTGCTCACTATACCGTTCAATCATAACCCGGTTATTAGGAATCCCAGGAATCCTCCCTCGAGTGCACAGCTTGCAGAAGCGTCCAAAGTTCGAAAACGGCTCATCGACTCTTTCTCCCAGTACGATGTCGCTGCCAGACGCCTTCGCGATTTGCCCACCAACTCCCCCTCTCAGAAACATCTCCAGAAAGCTATTTATCAACAAGCGAGCAGCTTCCTCCACCTTCACATGCTCCCGTTGAAGTCTCTCCCCAAGATCCTCAAGCACGCGACACCAGAGGAACGCCCTTTGAGCGGCGCAAGTACCCCGACTTTATCCTCGAGAGCTAGCCCGATGGCTAGCATAGCAGCCAGCGGTCGACCTCAGGAATCAGGCCTAGCATCAATCAAACATAATAATATCGCTGTGAGCACCAGCACCAGCAGCCTTGCAAGCGACAACAGTAGTGCTGTCTCGGCAATGGAGGCAGAAGAAAAGGCGTTGCGCGAACGGCTTATGGTTCTGGAAGAACAGAAGTTCTTTGTTTCGGAGATGATAGCTGACGCGAACCGTCGGCGGAAGTTCGACGAGGTCAGCAGTCTTGCGATGAACATCGAGGACCTCAGCCACGAGATTGACCGCATCAACGGCATGCTGAACAGGTTGGACTTCAAGGGTCTTTACACAAACGCGAAGACTTGAATTTTTCCTCCATTCATAGCTCTACCTACCCTATGTGTTGTTTAGGATCTATAACTTGGCTTTGTCAGCGTCATACATTTAAAGCGCTATATCGCACGCTTACTGTTTTTTCCCTCGTTTCTACGTGGTTTTGGCGTCTATTTCTCTATTCTATTTCATTGCATAGCCTCAGGCGTTGCGTTGCCCAATGGGGTTTTTTTTTCTTGAAGGGTATATAATTATATAGTCTTGCCGTGCATACTTATACATGGTATGCATATACTAAATTGGACATTCTTATCACACTTTAGTATCCCGAGATATCATGAGGTGTCTGTTTTTACATGTAGTAATTACTAAGTAGAAAATATCATTATTTTTTGGGTTTGTTAGGTATGTTTTCCAGTATTGTTTATTTCTTTACTGTGTATTGGGTGTCAACTTCATGTTATAAAGGAGGAAGCAAGGGGGAGCTGGGATACGGCGATTACTGTGATGACTTGGGGACTCGGGAGATTTATAGATACACAAAAAAAGAATGACGAAAGTCCAGCCAGCCCCTCTCAAATGAATGTAGGAAGAAGTAGAACAAAAAACTGCAAGAGCAAACAAAAAGAAAAGGCGAAGCTGCGCTGCGAATGCGCATGACGGGAATCGAACCCGCGATCTTCTGTTTACGAGACAGACGCCGTACCACTTGGCCACACGCGCTTCTTGTTGTGGCGAGGCAACTTCTTAATCTATGAGCTCGTATCTAGATATCTCCTCTCCTAACTTGGTCATGTTCCTTTCTACTTGGTGCTTTATCGCATTCGCTCTTCGGTACATCAAAGAGCTGGTCAGAGAATCGTGGGGGTATGTATCTATGATGATTTATTTATTCTTGCTTGTTATAATCGGTTGTATGTGCGATTTTCTCTGTGTTATAGCATCTTACTTGTGATGTCTGGGACAACTGTTCGCGGTGCAGCCATTTATATACATACGAAACCACGACTCTGATCGGAAGAAACCACATCCAACGGCACCAATACCTCGACAATACTCAAGACAAATTAAATTCACGTATGGGATATATGTCCAAGAAATATATAACCATCTGCAGATGCTTTGGTGACCTCTTGATAGGTGTTTCGAGAACCAATTCCACATCCAGCTCAAATACATGGGACCCGGACCCCCCCCCCCCCCGAAAAGCAACCGAAAGCGTACCTACAGGTTAGTACCGGCAGTTTTGACGATGGTGCCAATTGGGGTGCTGATAGAGGGCAGCCCGACGGTAACAACGAGGGAGACAACGGGGCCGCTCAGCTTGACCAGGAGGGCAGAGCCATCGGTGTCCACAACCGAGACAACGTTCCTCACGTCAGGGGCAGTGTCATTGACAAGGTCAGCAACAGTGCTGGCAGAGGCAATAACGGAGCCGAGAGGCACGCCGAGGGAGGCAAGTTCAAGACCGGAAAAAAGTGAGGCGACCTCGGAAGAGAGTCGGAGCACGAGAGGCTTCAGGTCCTGGCTGATGACGGTCAAGGTGCTATTGACATCGGATGCGAGGTCGCTAAGGATTCGGCCATCGGTGCGTTTGATGTGAGAGCCAACGGTGGCAAGAATAGCGCCAACCGGAACGCCAACGGAAGGAAGTCCGAGACCCGAGACGAGGCTGGCAACGTCGGCAGAGAGCTGGACCAGGAGGTAAGAGGTATCCTCGCCGATGACGGTCAAGAGGCCTTCGGCGGGAGAAGCCAGTTTGGCAAGGAGGTCACCGACAGAGCCGGCAGAGGCCACAACAGAACCGACTGAAACGCCAAGGGCTGGCAGGCTGACGCCAGCCAGAAGCTCAGCAACATCGGGGCTGAGCTCGACTAAAAGGGTCTTTGAGTCCTGGCCAGTCACTGTCAAGATCTGATGGACGCCAGGAGCAAGGTCCGTAGCGAGCTGACCGGTTGCATCGGTGGAGGGGATGGTGGACGGAGCTGTGACAGAAGGGATGGAGACAGTAGGAACAGCTGTAGGAAGAGCAAAAACAGAAGTTACCAGGGCGGCAACAGCAGTCACAAAGGTGGTCTTCATTTTGGCTAATAGAAAGAAAGCAAGGTGTGTGGATTCTAAAGGAGAGACTGGGGTTTAACAGAAGGCTGCAAATTTTAAAAAAAAAAAGGACAGAGAGAGCGACTATGACTTGCTTGCTGCTCGAAGAAGAGGAGGGAGAGCACCAAGGATCATTTAAATATAAAACCCTTCAAGAAAAATGGGATCTCCATGTGTATATCTATATTGCGTAAAAGCGTGTCAAGCGGAGTGCGGAACCAACAGAGCAGTCATGTACCACTCAGCACTGCAGGTTTATGCCTTCATCTCCAACTCGGTCGATCATGGAATCCAAGCTTCAACCTACCAGAAGCTAACAAGGATGGAGCAACATAGGATGGGTGTCCTGGTAGCCACTAGGCGGCATTACATGATCACCTCGCAAGAACCGCAGAGCTTGCAGTAACTGTTCAACTCTAGACCCCCCCTGGTAAACCCAACCATTGGCCTGAACGCCCGAATCTCTGACATCCACCCTTTTGGGATGGTGTATGAGACATGCTTGTCCAGGGAATTTGATCAGAGACACGACTTCCAAAGAGATAATGACTGGAACAGGGAGCCCGATAGCAATTGATCGGCGTCATGATTGTTGGAGGGAGCCTAGGTGGGCGGGGGCAATGACCCAAAGAACTCTTTCATAGGAGATGATGCAATTCATCATCTCTCCGTGATAAATAGCTTATATAGAGGTACGTAGGAGCAAGCATGGGATGATCATCGCAGATCCCCATGTGGTAAACCGCCCAAGGCACAACACCAAGGCTGACCAACTGCCGAGGAATAGGTATCCCACCCCGTCGATCATGGTTGAATGCCGGGTCAATCGTCTGAAAGCACGAGGTCTTGGAAAAGTCACCATTTAATATATGAATCTGCAAACCCATCGCGCTATACGGATAGTAAATAGGGATCGACGGCATTATTTTCTCTAGATGAAGGTAAACACCCTCTCATATTCACGAAAGTATTGCTCCGAACCCACATTCAAGGCGTCAGCAGCGCTAAACTGTTCGCCTGAAGCTCTGAGCGCTGAGGTGAAAGGGTCCACGCGCGACAGCTGTCTCAATGAAACCAAGCGGTAATGGATGGGTTGTAGTGTCTCTGGACATACTTTGAAATATTAGCAGAAGGAGAAATCTCATAAAGGTGAATTATACCTTATTGAAAACCATTTCTATACCGATACTCTATTGCTGGAATCCGTATCGCATTTGAACTGGACTATTTATCTCCTTTGGAACGGGTAGGAAAAATGTATGATGTTGGTGAAGAGTGCAAGGCAACGGTATAACTTGAAGTCGGTGACCATAGGCCCAACAGGTAGCTTTCAGCGCCTGTCTTAGCTTAGGTTGATATAGCCAAATATATTTCGCCTCTTCAACAACAGCCGGGCTAGCTCAATCGGTAGAGCGTGAGACTCTTATATCTTGCGATCTCAAGGCTGCGGGTTCGACCCCCGCGTTCGGCTTTCTTTTTTTTTTCTTTTCAAGACCTCACCTACTTTTATAATATTTCTTTATTCAGATCTCTAAATGACCTAAAAACCGTCAATTAATTGTTTCTACCTCCGATAAACCCAGCCATCGCCGATGCGATAGCTTGATACCCAGCCATCAAAGTGCTGTCCATCTCGCCCGGCTTCATGGCCAGCAGTTTGGAATGCTGAGCAGAAGCCTCTGCACATTGCCAGGTATGATTCGCACCCTCTTTGATATCCAACGAAATCGTAGCCCCGTCGCGCTTCGCATGGTCCACGAAATCTTCAATGTCGTATCGGAAGACGAGTTCCTCGGATCCGGCCGAAACCCATGTCTGAGCCGGGAGGATGTCTTTCCAGGAAGCGCGCTTGTCGTTGTCGACAGCGAAATTGCCGTAGACAGATTCAAACTCGGATGGGGTCCCCTTGAGCACCATATCGCAGCTCTTGTCAAGGGATATCTTGAACAGACGTTCCTCCCAATATAAGGATAGGACTCGAGGGTGAGAAGTGTACAGATTCACCCAGGGACTCACAAGGAACGCTGCTGCTGGCTTTGTGCTGCTGGGAGGCGTCTCCTTTCCAGTGCAGGATGATGACCTCGATGACCTTTCATGAAGGGCTGTCAGCAGAGAAATCACCAGATGTCCACCTGCCGACTCTCCGATGACGAAGATTTTCGCCGGGTCAATCTTGTTCACAGGGCCAGTCAGCCAGTCATAAGCAGTCACAGCTTCGTTTATCGATGTAGGCAAGGTAGCTTTGGGCGCAAGCGTATAGTCTAACGAAAAAATGGCGGTCGAGATCCCCTGCTGAGCCAGGATCTCGGCGACAAAGAGATGCTCAGGCGCCGAGGCCCCCGGGTGGCCGGCCACATAGCCACCGCCGTGGATCTGGTAGAGAACAAGATCTGCAGTCTGCGGGTCGAGTACCTCGCTGGATAGCCCTCGGCAGAACCAGAAACCGGCGAACTCGGGGGTTCGGACAGGTCGATAGATCTGGGATCTGAGATGAGCGTAGCGAGTTGAGCTGAGGAGCTTGTCGCCATTGCGGTCGATGATCCATCCGACACCCGGAGGCGTGTTGTTCCCGATACTGTGTTCAGTTTTCAATATATGTTCTTTCTGGGACTCCAGCTGCTACCCACTAACCAGGTCATGACATGTCGGAACAGATGCTCCCTCAGAGGCGGGGGTTTGTATGTGCTGAACGGCGACCAGCGCCTCGCAAGAGTCGTGACAGTGACCCATGGTATGCGGAAAAGATAAGTGATGAGGACTTGGAATCGATTGCTGGTAGTTAGTCTGGGGACTGGGTTGGGCTCTGGGAGGTCCTCCATCAGCCTGTACCGTGCTTTGTAGCGCTTTGAAGAAGGATATTTTGGAAGGGTCCGCGGTAGAGTATTTCACCTGCCTAAATGTATTTCCGGACTACCAGGATGTATTGATCTCTAGCTCTTTTCATAGTTGAGTCAACCCGAGAGGAGGTGAGCATGGATAAATTGGCCGGGGAATTTATCGGCTGAATGCAGGATTATAGCCGATGCTCACGATGCTTTACCTGTTGGGCTTCAACTTGCTTAGAGAATGATTGGACAATTAATAATAATCGAGACCTGTGAATAGATCCAAAAATTGGTCCGTCACCGCAGTATTGATTTATACAGATACAAAAAAATTAGAGCATGGAAATAGAGCATTTCCACCTTCACAATATCCAAAGCGTAGGTAGGAATGTATACACTGGAGCGAGGAAACCTCCAAACAAGAAAGGTTTCGCTTTAACAGTTGTTGTTCATCGAGGAACCCCGAGAGGAGAAAGACCAGAAAAGAGATTGAATATACGCCCGCATTGCGCTTCCATGACCCGCCACCGGCAAGCTTCCATTCTGTTAAGACGACGGACAACTCTTCTCAAACCCTTTCTCAAGTCGCCGCATCTGTACCAGTTGCGTTGGAACCATTGGCAGTTGTGGAAGCCTCGGCGGATTTTCCCTCAGTCAAGGTCCTGACCAACCTGGTCAATTCGTGGACCCGTTCTTTTAACAACAACACCTCGAGGGTACAGTTGTCCATCTGGATATTTGGTTTGGTCTCATCGACGGTCTCCTTCCAATGATCGTCGATGTCGAAGTCAATTCCTTCTGCAATGCTTTCCCACTCCTGAGGTTCGTCATCGTCTGCACCTCCGCGGTTGCGGTTTCGGTGGATACGGCGTGCCTCACGCATTTCGATCCATGCAGTGACGCAGAGCATCGGGGCATAAATGATGCCCATGATAATCTCGTTGATCTTGGCGTAGTATTTAGGCGCGAGCCACCACTCGAGTGGAGCGATAAGGAAGACAATTTCCAAGAGATTGAAGGCTTTTGGAACATAGATCAGCCATCTGCCGTCCTGTCATCAAATGTATTTCAGAGGAAAAGAGACTCACGTGGAATGAAAACATTCTCATCAGGGGCCCGGACAAACTGCATCGTCTTTTGGGCGAAGATGGCCATGTACTCATCGTCTGCGTTTCCTGAGATATCATCGTACGCGCTGTTGTAAAGAGCAATTAGGATATTCAATAGAACTGTTTTACATGATTAGCAGCCACGTCTTGCAAGATCCAAATCGCTGGAGCCCGTACCGATCATTACGACAAAGTTGAATAGATAGTAGAGGATAATGCCAAATGGAAACGCAAAATCTTGAAATGCGTCGAAGTCGGGACTCTGCATGACAGAATTGGCCATTCCCTGGACGATAATTCTTGTGATCGGCACATCATCATCGACCTGAGCCATCCCAATGAATGCCTGGAAAAACCCGATCAGGACCACAAGGAGGAGTGCGAAGAAAATGATGCTCTCTTTCATCATCACCCTCAGTACCACAAACATGGCGCCAAAAAACCGGAAAGTATCCAAGTAGAGCATCATCCGCATCCAGAACATCGGGCCCGCAAAGGCAAGGAAGTTGTAACTTAGCTCGTTGAACATCCGTCTCCTATGGTCGTCTGCGTGAGGCGAATGAGCCAGTGCGACGACACGGAGGATAAACGAAAGGGCCAAAATCACATAGAGAGTGCAGTTGAAAGCATTCCAGAACTGGAGGTAGTTCCAGCCAACCTTCCAGAGTTTGCTGACCTCGTCGCAAATGAAGGCAAGTGTCATGGTGTAGAGAATACACTCGACAGCATCCAAATCTCCGCTGGGGTTGACGGTATTGATGACCGCAGTGTATAGGACGAGATAAATCAAGGAGAAGATGATCTGACACGCATTTTGGTACAGTGGGGTTCGCATTCGATCCGGGTTGAAATGAGCCCAGTAGTGAACATTGTCCTTATGCTCATACGGGACAAAATTGGCCGGATTCTCTTCTTCCTGGCAATACCAACCGCGCCACAGATACCTGATGCATCTCTGGTAGCCGGAAGAGCCGATAACCCGCAAGGCATGGAGGTCAACTGCTCGTTCAATGACGTTCATAGGGTCCGTTTCTTCCCCGTTGCGAAAAATCGAATACCGCTTCAGAAGCGCATCTTTGAGCAGGAAATCTTGATCCTCTTCACTTTCAATGCTATAATGAAACCCAGTGAGCATCAAGAATAGAGAACAGCTTATTCGCTGATTGAGGGGTTCCCGTACATTCGCTTTGCGATTACCTCACAAGCCAAGGCGCGACATTGATGGAGCTCGGCATCCCACAGCTCAGCGATTGCCTGAATCTTGAACCACCGTAGACACACAAGCAAGCAATACAGAACGCAGGCGCGGTACTCCTCGCCACCGGCTTCCCGCGCCGTCTCGACGACGTGTTTCGTGATGACCCGACTGTTTGGATCGGTGATCACACTCGCGGACAGTTCACAGGAAACGACCTGTTCGACCTGGTACTTGAGCTTCAACGCAACCTTGGTGACCTCCTTTGCAGGGAGCGATTGGACGACTTGATCGGCATTGTACGTGGGCAGCACTATCCGGTCAGCATTGGGATAGCCAGCTTTGGACCGGGTTTGTTTGGGGATGACGTACGCCGCCGGCGTTCGAGCTGTAACCGACGACGAGACTCGTTCAGCTCATTGCCAAAGAAATTCCGCCATTGGCCCATGGTGATAAAATGCCCCTGGAATGCGCCAGGGAGAATGTTACGAAGACACCGAGGAAGAGACGCGGGAGGTGGAGGAGGTCTGGTCTCTCCCAGCGCTTCGGCCTTCCGCGATCCCTGCCTGATCCCTGCCTCGGTCGGTTCCCCGCTATCAATCCCGATCGAAACTTAAACGATGAAACAACGAATGCGTTCAAGGATTAATTACGATGATCTTCAAAACTGCTGGTCTCGCACTGCAAGCTGATGATCTAGCTGTTGCCAAATGGAATCATTACGTAGGCCAATCTGAAGACAGGAACAAGCCTGGATTGCAGAGTTCTAGAGCTGCCGCTAACAGTGAATCCTGGGATCCATATGAACATATGTACATCGAAACTTTTGGCTCGAGCCCCAAGGCCGAGTTGAGTCGAAGCTGTCAAGGGACACCCGGGAGCCGCCTAGGCCCCATAGGAGGGCTGGTGCTAATCATGGTATAGACCCTGCTGCCGGCTGGCGCTGGTTTGCAAGCATGATATTACCGTCTTTCGTTTTCGTGAATCGTATCAAATTTTTCCAATTTTCTAATCATTCATCCTCGGTGATTTTTGTTATCCTTTCTTCCCCTAGAACCCACCAGGCGCACCCAAGGCAGCTAGGCGAGGAAGATTTTTTTTTCTTTACCCTGGCGTCTCTTTGCGGACCGACTCCGAGGCAGCCGTGAAGGTTGTTGAATGCAGTTTACTCAGGAACGCCCTCGTCGCTCTCCGACTGGCTCTCGTCTCCACTAACCTCCATGTTCTCGCGCTCACGCTTCTCCATAAGCTCCTGGAGGGCGGCGTCATCATGCTCGGTGACAGCCTTGGGTGCCATCTTGACAGAGCAAGCACCGCCACTCTCTTTGATCTTGGCTTCAACCCGCTGAATCGCTTCCTCGAGCATCTGGATACCAACGGTCTTGTCGAGGCACTGGCTGGTCAGAACGTACAGGGGAGGGGCGACCAGTTTGACCTTGATCTGGCTGTCGGCGGTGTTGTTCGCCTCGGCGGTGCGAAGGGCCTCCTTGACGGCGTCGATTCCTTCGTACCCGAAGCAAGTGACCTCAATATCGGCACGGACCTTGGTGGGGGCAGGGGTAAGCTTCTTGCTGATGTATTGTAACAGCTCGCCCTTGACGGCTTGGTTGGGGAACTCGATTTCGGCCCACACATCAGGGTTGCTAGCGAGAACAGATGTTAATATATGCCATGCAACTGAAAACAATCCGAACGAATCCCAGAAAATGTGTGTCTTACGTGATCGAGATCTTGAAGGCATCGTGGGCATGACCGTATTTCCGGTTCAGGGGCCATCCGATCTGCTGGTATAGAGTCTCCAGAGGGGTCTGGGTAGCCTCGGCAACGTGGCGCATGATGGAGTGGACTGCCTTGCTCTTGTTGTATCTCTCCTCACACTTGATGACATCTTCGGGGGACACACGACGCTTGGAAAGATCAATGTAACCTATGAACACCCGTCGTGAGTCAGCGGTCAAAATTCTGTAACGGTTCGAGAGCAATGGGTCTGCTTGCCCTTTTCCTTGTCGACACGCAGAACGATGACAACCTCGTTCCGGCCAATACGGATCAGCTTCTGGATACTACGAATACGTCTCCGCGACAGTTCCGAGAGCAAAATCATGCCGTCGATGTTGTCGTATTCGAGCAGTTTCACGTATGCACCCATCTCGGCGATCTGGAATTCAGATTCCACGCATTAGCCACCTCATATCGTGCCATATAGGAAGACCACAGTCCCTACCTGCTTCACGTTGACCATGACATAGCTATCCACCTCCGGATACTTGTCCTCGTAGAAACGGCAATTTGTTAACGACATCTTGGCGGGGTTGCGCCTATCTCGGGCGGAGGACTCAAAAGACTCGACGGGGGAAGAGAGGCGAAGTTCTGGCACTCGATCCGAAAATACGGCACGAGAGATCTTTCCGTAAGCCTTGAAACCGAGAATTCGGGGGCGATGGAGACGTGGTCGAGGATCTGGTGGCAGGCCACTTTTGTTCACGGGATTAATGCAAATCGCTTTGTGGCGGCTCAAAACCCACTTGGTGCACCGTAGAGATTCTCACGGAGGGCGACAACGACCATTGGCGCAGAATCCCACGTGATCAAAGCGATTCGCCCAGAGGGCCTCAGGCACACTACACCAGCTGTCATCGGGAGAGTTGATGGGGCCCAAGGGTTGTTTCTCCCTAATAGCCACCGAGGATGATAGAAGAATGCAATCAAGCAAGTCTGTTGTGGCAATTCACAGCTGCTATCTCTGAGTGACGACCGAGGGCCTCTGACCAGCTTTACTACTAGTTTTTGATGCGGTTGAAGCTCTTCTAGACCTGTATGTCATTGTTGTGAGGTATGCTTACAATCTCGCTGACTAGTAGTGGCTGCCAGCGGACTAGCGTTTGCGGATTCGCCATCTTAAATCGCTCTTAGGATAGACAATCTTCATCTTCTTGCTCGCTGATTTCTGTGCTTCTGAAGGGTAAGCCCCATGGAGAGAGACTCTTTAATATTTCCGAATTAACACCATTGCCAGCCCACAGCCGTGTGCTTGCCCAGAATGTCTGAGTCCGACCCTCTACTGCCGAATACCGCAGTGCCACACCGCTCTCTTCGAAACCGAATGCTAGGTGTCTTTCGCGGCCCCGACCAAGACGTAGCGGGTGAAAGTATACATCAGGGTCAGGTCGGAGGAGGGTCTTCTCAGGAAGATGCAGATGCTAGGGCTCGGCTGCTGGAATCATACTACCACCATGACCCTGCGTGTGGTGCAAAGTCCTGTAACCATGGGACATTCTCTCCACGGCCCGAGGATGGGGGTGAGAGCATAAGCTCGCAGCAAGGGTTTACATATACCAGGCGAATTCGTCCTGCGCGCGACGCTTCCAATATATATCGCTATACTGGGAGCCATCCGGAATCTGTGGAAAGCTCCGGGAGTTCTTTCTTGTCTCAGCCCCGGAAAGACCGGAAGAAGTTGTATGTTTAGCTTCTTGTTAACCCCCTGCGCTGCATAGCTGGCTAATGGACTAACTTGTTCATCTAGATACCTGTCGTATTACATCCCTTTCCTTAATTGGATCGGTCAATACCGCTGGTCATTTTTTCGGGGAGATCTTGTCGCAGCAATCACGATTGCATCGATTTACATTCCAATGGCATTATCGCTCGCGGCAAATCTAGCTCATGCTCCTCCGATCAATGGACTTTATTCCTTTGTGATCAATCCTCTTATTTATGCGATTCTTGGAAGTAGTCCGTTACTGGTTGTCGGGCCTGAGGCGGCAGGTTCCTTACTTGTGGGAACTATCGTCAAGACAAGTGTCAAACAAGGCCACGCGGGTGAGGATGACGATGCTGCGAATGCGGCTGTTGTGGGTGTGGCTACCGCTATGGCTGGAGCCATGATCTTGATTGCGGGCATTACTCGACTTGGCTTTCTTGATAACGTACTGAGCCGGCCGTTTCTTCGGGGATTTATCACCGCCATTGGATTCGTCATCTTCGTCGATCAACTTATCCCGGAATTAGGTCTCGCGGATCTAGCTAAGGATTCTGGGAACGTTGCTCATGGAAGCACAGTGGATAAACTCGTGTTTGTCGTCGAAAACATAAGACACAGCCATGGCCTTACCACTGCATTGTTCGTTGGCAGCTTCGCAATCAGCATACTATTCAGGTTAGTATTTGCTCTGCCAGTCTGTTGCCTTGATCGTATATGTTGACTCTCGTCTCCTAGGTATATAAAGCGCTGGCTTGAACCGCGTTTTCCGCAAGTCGTTTATTCTCCGGACCGATTCCTTGTTGTCGTCCTCTCTGCTGTCCTGACGTACCAACTTGGCTGGGAGGAGAAGGGGGTAGAGATCTTGGGTCCGATGAGGAGTTCCACCAATGGCTTCTTCCGCTTTGAATGGCCGTTCAGCTTCTCCGGTATGAAGCATGTACGGACTGCGATGAGCACATCTTTCATCATCGCCCTTCTTGGATTCTTTGAATCCTCTGTTGCCGCGAAAGGTTTGGGCGAGGGAGCCCCTGATGGAATCAAGAATCCTGTCAGTGCAAACAGAGAAATGGTTGCATTGGGCGTGGCGAACGTTGTTGGTGGCTGTTTCATGGCATTACCGGCCTTTGGTGGCTACGGAAGGAGCAAGCTCAACGCTTCAACAGGAGCACGCTCTCCCATGAGCAGCATTTTACTGAGCATTATCACCTTGGTTTCCATCCTGGTGCTTGTGCCCTACATGAGGTATCTTCCGGTATGTACTTTCTCTTTTGCATTGGCTCAGAAAATAAAGGGGAGAAGCTCATTCTTGTTTCTCTCTCTCTAGAAAGCGGTTCTTTCCTCGATGATCTCGGTGGTTGCCGTTTCTCTGATCGAGGAGTGCCCCAAAGACATAGCCTTCTTCTTGCGCCTGCGCGGCTGGACTGAGCTGGCTTTGATGCTGCTAATCTTCACGTCTACAATCTTTTACTCCCTGGAACTGGGAATCGCGCTGGGCATTGGACTTTCCATCCTGATCCTCATCCGCCACTCTACCCAACCGCGTATTCAAATTCTAGGCAAAGTGCCTGGCGAACCTGACCGATTCGACAATGCGGAGCTTCGCCCGGAGAAAGTCGTACTGATCGAGGGTGCGCTGATTGTCAAGATCCCCGAGCCACTGACGTTTGCGAATACCGGTGATCTAAAGAATCGGCTCCGTCGTCTGGAACTTTACGGATCCAACCACACGCATCCCTCTCTGCCACGCGTGCGCGACCCCGAGCACAATAAGAACATGATTTTCGATGTCCATGGTGTGACTAGCATTGACGGTTCCGGTGCACAGGTCTTGTCGGAGATCGTGGATGATTACTCCCGCCAGGGCGTCAGGGTGTTTTTCTGTCGCGTGCCCAATGACAGCGTCATGCGCATGTTCGAGCGTAGCGGGATCGTGAAGTTCTGCGGCGGGGAGGAACATTTTGTCCCATCTGTCGAGGAGGCATTACAGCTGGCCGAGTCGGAAACTCAAACGTTGGAAATTTGACCCTTGACCTCTGTCTGACCTCATCCCGGCTCTTCCTTTCTGGTTTCGGTTCTGTTTGGAGAGACCGAGACTCCCTATGAATGATGTATACATGAGTGATGTAGTAATTATTTTTTTTGGACACCTGCTATCTTTATGAAGCTGAATGTTTTAACCTTTTTTCTTTCTCTTCATTTCTCTCCGAGTATTATGACTTTTTAGTTATGCCCATACTATTAACATAACATATATACCCACTTCCAGATGCGGTTATTTCCGCTTTCTAGCGTAGCATCTTTGATATTGGCAGGCTTTTAGTAGCTCAACACCATGATTCTAGAATGACGACATCTATTATCAACCAGTAATAGAATCATGTGGCTGTAGATGATTTGGATGATCAGGATCATCGTTGGCTAAGGTGAGCCTATATCCGAGAAAGGGAATACTCCAATTCGTGTGTCGTAGAGCCGAAGCCGAGTTGGTGTGATGATTTGTACACTCATGGTTCTACCAGGGTGCAGTATGGGGACGGGGGTTGGTTCGCAATTAGCATCTTTTCGAAAGAGTTCCACATAGAGGGTATTCATGTTGTTGCATGTTCACCTGCAGCCGCCCTGTCAATGATGGCTTGTAGGAGCTCCTTACACGCAGACAAGACACGCAGATTCTTTTGGCTGAGAGCTGCCTCGTCATCGTCGTCCTCGGCTAGGTTTGCAACCAGCTTGAGTCTTCCTTCCGTGCCGAGGACAAAGGCACTGCACGCAACTTTGGAAAGGCGGATATATTGATGAGCCAAGGTTTTTTGACCGGACAAGTCGTCCAAGTCGAGCTTCATCGCAAGATGGGTCTCGAGATAGGTGCCAAGACTCGTTAAAAAGGGCGTTTTGCTAGCGGCAGGTGCATTGGTAGAGGGAAGGACGAATTGGGAGAACGACTCGCGAGGAACGTTGACATTCAGTGACTTTAGCGAGGGTGCAATTGGTTGAGAGAATGACAGGGTGAGCTGCATTTCCTTCACCACATCCTCTAGAATGAACCTCGGATCGCTGCTAGGGTCCATGACAGGGCCCGAAGAACCTCCCGTCAGATTATGCAGATACCTCTCCAGCCCCGTACACAAGAAATAAGGGGGCAGCCGGAGCAGCGCGCAATACACGTCGAAAGTAGCAGAGAGAAACGTCGTGACCGTCTGGCGCAGCGCGTTCGGCAGTCGTGTGAGGAGTAAAGGGAGAGCGGTCGTCGCGTTATCCCCACGACTGCCTTGCCCGTCTCGCCCCGCTAACAGCGCAGCTTTGTAGACTGCATTCTCGTACTCGAGGACAATCGAGATCCCAGAGATACTCGATTGGCCGTCCTCGTCGGGGATATCGATGGGCTCCCAGGTACACGCCTTGAGCGCGCCGGTCTTGGAAAGCGCCTCCTCGTCCGCAGCAGCAGCCAACGGGGTAGTGCCGATATACGCGCCCGTGACACTGTTGCCGATGAGTTGCTCGCGTAAACGGTTCGCATACGTCTTGAGAGCGACCTGGTTGCCAAGAAGGGTCTGGAACTCGGGATGCTGCAGAGGAGAAAGTCGATGGAGCGTCCACGACGTATTCAGCAAGGGTTGCACCGACATTGCTATTGCAAGCTTTACTCAAGATAGCCGATCTAATAATTGACTTTCTAGAGAGCAATTCTTATCATAATCGTGGTGTCATTTGGTGGTTTACATGTGAGTATAGTCGACGCGACGGGCGTCTTGCTAAGCAAACATGACAAACAGCCACGCCAAGACTAATTTGGAATGTAGGGTTTAGGGTTTTGGCGGTCCTGTCTTCCTTCCTACTAGTTACTGCCCCCTGCTACTACGAAAAAAGAGTCGTCCATTTCGCTGATGATACCAGATCATAATATATATCTCGGATTGTTTATACTGTCTAGAATATGATCAATGTACAAGATAAAGCTACATTGTGTGCAGATATCATGCGTGCCAGCCCACTGAATCATTACAATCTGGGCAGCCAAAAAGGATAGGTATCCCATTGCAGATCCACATGGGCTCCATGTCATGCGGCAAGGCATTTCTTCGAGCCAATTCCTGTTTGGCAGCATCAAACCAAACATCGTTAATCGATGAGTGCTGGTGCCCACCGACGGGATTCTCGAAAATCAGCGAGCTTACCTCGTCTTTCTCGCTTCCCCGGAGATCATTATGGAAGTTTTGCATGAATTCCTTACGTTGGAGTCGTTGGTTGCCGCCGTCCCCGATCTCGGCGGAGAAATATTCCACAACTCGTATGAATGGCGAGATTGTAAGTAAGGAGTGAATCCAGCTGTTGTCCGGTACTATCGATTCGTCCGGAGGCACAGTATGGCACAAGTAGGAGACGAGCAGCTGCATGCAATGGTGGGTAGAGATTAGTGTCGAAGTGTCGGTGAAAGGAGGCGATTGGATGATCTCAAGCTGTAGAGCCTTGTTCATCGTCTTGCGTTTGTTGAGAGGGATCGGAAATGGGAGCTGTCGGGTCTCAAAGTCACGCAGAAGGGTATTTGTCTGCTCCCGCCGAGCCGAGCAGTACGTTTCCAGAAAATAGAGAACATAGTACCTGTTAAAAATCCGAAAAAAGGGGATATCAGTTCAGTGCCTGTGTTGGTTGATAGGATGGAATTTCTGAGAAGAGTCTCACATGAGAGGGGTCAAGTTGAACCACAGACTTGCGATGCCACGCTTTACGAGGGCGTTGCGCTCGCTCTTGGTGGGGAAATTAGCCTTAATAAATGCCGGCTCACTGTGTAACAGCCTGTCCATCACACGGTCTGCAAGATAATAGCACAGCCTAGAGCAGAGCTTCTGTCGCCGTCTCAGGCTGAGAATGTATCGGAATGTATATAGATGGCCCCCCTTGACGCTACTCGCCGGCATAAACAGGTCCGAGAGTAGCACAACATCATCTTCCGGGTTTCTCGTATACGTCTTCTCGCTGTGGATCGGAGATGGGAGGGTTCCGTGCCTTCGTAGGCGGAGATATCTCCGAGAAATCTGGCGTTCATGCACGCTAAGGATCTGGTGGAATGCTCGGCAGACCAGTTTCAGCTGCAGCAGGTCTTGGATGCGACAGTGGGCGAAGATCTGGATCTGTAGCTCCACGGGCAGGGTGTCCTTAAGTGGGGAGATAGGCACAAAGCTGACATTTTCGGTACTAGAACGATGTGTGTTAGAAGAAGAAAACAAACCCGGGGATTCCGGGCCTTTGACTCGGCTGCACAAGCAACGTACCTGGGGAAGTAGCTCGCTTGTTTGGCATTGGATTTTCGGCCCTTGTCGAAGGCAGCACCCACTTTTTTCACGTGTGTTAGAAGCTGGAGTAGTTGTTGACTCATTCTCAGGCTCCAGAAGGCATGAGGAGGCCAGCTCCAGCTTCAGGGCGCGCTTCGAAGCTTCTTCCAAGCTGCTGCTGATCAATTGCTGCCTCTGCATCCGGCCGTCGTGGGGGAAGAAGGCTGACTAAGCGTCAGCAACGCGATCTAGATTCGAGATGATAGCGCTCGAAAACAGATCAAAGAGGCTGACCGGAACTGCTGTTGGTGCTCGGGATATCACTGAGAGGAAGGCCTGTATTTCATGCAAAAGGCTGACGGGGTCTCGGATGATCTGACAGTGTGCCTTTAGACCTCCGAGACTCTCGGCGCCAGCAACGCGTCAGCTTGGGGATTGGGGGGATTGTCAAATAAGAAAATCAAATCCCTTTTCCTTTTTCACGCGATTTCTTCTTTGCTTTGAAACCGAGAGCAAGATTTTTCCTGTGGGAGAGCAACTATAGGTTGATCAATAGTCTTTGAGGCATTGCTCGGCGCCACCAGAGACCAATAGGCTATTTATAGGCCATGCTTGACACTACTACATAAGTATACTCCATAATTACGACGGGAACATAAAAAGGATTGAAGAGTTGGTGGTTGTTTATATGAGATCTATTTTCTCTTCTTATCTCCTCCTGCTCCACGAGAGGCAAGGTTGAATAAGACCAGCTTACGAGACGGAAGCAATTCATATAGTCTATATATAACTGATCCAGCCTTCTATAGTATTCCGTACAACCTTACTTTGTACGAAGTAGTACAAAGTACAGAATAGATAGTTAAATTCTAAAGATAATATGATCAGTCAATAATATTTGATGTAACGCATAACGAAAACAACTCCCAATACTTACGTCATCTGTCCAGACGTTGCGTCAAGCAGACAGGTTGATAAGAGCAGATAAGGCGATGCCCCTCATTGTCGAGGTACATACAGTAGGGAAGCATTTTAGCTGGGGAGCCTTTTCGATCTTAGATTGTCATATTGGCCTGCAGATATTCAGCTATACAGGATGTCGCAGAGTGTCCTTGTGCTGGGTGCTACCAGGGGCCTTGGGGCCTCCCTGTTGCAGCTGTACGCATCCAAGCCGTCGACAACAGTGTTTGGTACAACACGATCCAGCACACCGCCGGAGATTCCCTCGCAGCCCAATATCGCCTGGCTGACGGGCATTGATGTTGCCAAGCAGGACGCTGGGCAGGAGATCGTCCTCCAGCTGCCATCATCAACCCGGGTCTCAACCGCCATCATCTCGGCGGGGTATTTCGGCTTCGAGACCTTCGACGAGCCGGACTGGGAGAAAGAAGTGAAGATGTACACTACTTCGGCTATCGGACCGGTGTTTATCGTGCACCACCTCGTCAAGGCCGGGATCCTTGGCGAGAGGAGCAAGGTGATCCTTGTCAGCAGTGAGAGCGGGAGCATCACGCTGCGACATGAGAAAGAAGGCGGCGGCAATTTTGGACATCATGCCAGCAAAGCAGCGTTGAATATGGTGGGCAAGCTGTTAAGTCTGGATCTTAAAGACCGGGGAATAGCTGTTGGACTGGTCCATCCGGGATTTATGCGGACTGAAATGACGCGGAGCGTGGGATTCGACCAGTATTGGGATGACGGTGGAGGTGAGGCTTTGTTGGAGCTCTCTCTGTCTCTGCGTTTGGTACGAATCTCAACTGATGTGTTCTTCCTGTAGCTGTCACGCCAGATCAGGCGGCAGAGTCCCTCGCGTCATTTATTGAGGAGTTTGATATCAGCAAGACCGGCCAGTATTGGGCACCAAGGGGTCCAAGGCGAGTCCCTCCCCTCTTCATTTATAGACGAATTCAGATCTGACCCTTTATTAGAGATATTGGCACTGCAGAGGACGTGTTAGGGAAGAACCTTCCCACTCCGCTGCAGCTACCATGGTAAAGTAAGATATTACAAGCTTCCATATTGTCTGTTTTTGGCCTCTTGGAGACGTGGAAGTCCCAAGAAGAACTTTGATCTGTAATTTTAAACAAGAGAATCAAACTTCGATGCCCTCTCCAGAACTTGTATTCGAGTTAAAATCAACCAACAGCCTTTGCTATCCAGTGACGAGAACATATATCAATATATTCTGGGTTTCCAGATAGTTTGCTGTTTCCTCTTCCCATAAGTCTGGGCCGATTTGCCCTCTCGGAAGTGAAAGCCGCCGGGTTGATATCTCGGTCACTTCCAGCATCCTCTTAGGAATTTGCCTGCTCCAAACGGTTCTTCCTCTCATTCCCAGGCATAACAGTCACCATGAAATCCCAGTTGAATGTGAATTCGAAATATAAGTTGCACTCCGGTTATGAGATGCCAGTCATTGGATATGGGGTGAGTTCCCCCCCGCCTCGTCATATCGGTATCATGGGCAACACCAGAATAATCCTCTGGGCTACAAGTTTTAATTTTGAGACATCTGTCTTGCGCAATCTGCTAATGGTTTATAAGCTTTATTTGACGTGAGTTTCTTGCTGTCCGGACAGTTCCAGTCAATAGCTTAGACAGGAACACTTTCAGCCCGGCAGCCATTGCAGAAGGGGTCACATTAGAGGCATTAGGAGCGGGTTACCGCCTTGTGAGGGATAGAGATACAGTATTTCGTTTCAGTGATACTCTTGAGCTGATATTTTCACCAGGTGGATTCCGCGGTTTCATATCGGAACGAAAGAGCGTGCAGTTTCGCCATCAAGCGGTCTGGAGTTCCTCGATCAGAAGTATTCTTTACCACTAAGATCCCGCCTAATCTTATGGGCTATGAGAAAACTTTGCAAGCAGTAGAGACTAGTCTGAAAGAAACAGAGCAGGAATACTTCGACCTGTTAGATGAGCGAATCCCCCCCCCTTTTCATAGTACTTGACTATGATAGTTGACCGAGCTGTGGATGCAGGATTCTACTCCACGCCCCCTTTGGCGGTAGAGAAGCGCGACTTGGTTCCTGGAAAGCTCTAATTGAGTGCCAGAAAGCCGGAAAAATACGGTCCATCGGTGTTTCGAACTTTAACATCCATCATCTGACCGAGTTGGAGGAGCATATCAACAGCGGTATCGGCGGCAAGATTGATGTCGCCCAATATGAGCTTCATCCATGGCTGGCGCGACTTGATATCGTGGAATGGCTTCAGAAGCGCGGCGTTGTCATACAAGCCAACTCGCCTCTAGCCAGTGGTACCAAAGTCAACGACCTTCTGCTCGCCCCGTTGGCAGAGAAGTACTGCAAGACCGGGGCTCAGATTTTGATCAGATGGAGTTTGCAGATGGTGAGTTGAGATATTTCCCAATGTTAGTTCTTTGGCAACTGACCAAGCTACACGCAGGGATTCGTTCCGCTTCCCAAGACAGTAACGTCGACGCGTATCAAGGAAAACGCGAATGTGTTCGACTTTGAAATCTCTCCCGAGGATATGCATACTCTCGAAACGGGCGAATACGTGCCATCGACATGGGATCCTACTGTCGATAAGAGTTGAAGCCTTTATCCAAGCAAAGCTGCGGACTTTAAATCGTATTTCTCATCTATATGCAGGGCTTTTGATTCTGTTCATAGGCTGGTAGCATAGAGTAATATTGAGGAATCATATTTCAGTCAGAAAACTTGGGTTCGGTATTGTCTTTGATAAAATATCTGCAGCAAATATGAACTGCATTCATTCATGCCCGAGACCAAATATCATACATTCAGTAGAAGCATCAGTCATAAATCGAAAAGCTGGGTTTGTGAAGGGAAAGGAAGAGAAGAGCGTGCCTATTCTTCCATTCTGAAAGCGGATCGCGGGGCTGCTTAGCAATACAAAGTGATAACCACCTCTCTATCTATTCAACCCCACGGAGGGGATCTTCGGCTTCTTCCCACAGCAGATGACTGGGCCCTTTTGATTTATTCGCACGAAACCTTGCATAATTCTCCTAAGACCGTCTTCGTCGATCATCGCCACGATGAAGCTGATCCTGTCTACCTCGTAAGTGGCAGATTTGACGTTCTTCGTCTCGCAAAACGCAGGCTGAAAAGAGTGCAAATGGGTAGCTGATATGTGATGGTCGATTGTAACCCTACAGGAATGTAATGAAAGGTGGCAGTCCGTCTGTCATTCGAAAGATAGGAGCCGAAAAATCCAATGTCGAGCTGATCAACTCGCTGCGGGCCAATTTTCTGGCATCGCAGCATGTTGAGCCTGTCACGCCTTCTTCTTCTTCTTCTGAGGAACAGTCGACGACGAACGGCACAACCTATGCGAATGGGCAGGCCCGTGAACAGAAACAAAGATACCTGGAGTGGACGTCCCAGCAGGACGGCGCGATGTACATCCCCGCGTTGGACTTTTCTCAGGCCGGCTTATCGGAGGAACGATCGCAGTACGACATTACGGTGAAATTGTTCTACCTACCGGGAATCCCGGCGTCAAGACGGTGCGCACATACAAGAGAAGCGATTGATTTGGTATTGAAGGAGCTACATGTGGACTCGATCGATCTGCTGATCGTCTCCTTTCCCGGTATCTCGTTCGATGCCGATGACGACGGCGAGGAGGAGATCTCGGACAACGGAATTGAGGACCCAGATGACTTTGACAACATGCTGCAAACGTGGAACACCCTGGAGACTCTGTGTGACCAGGGAATGATCATGCAGCTTGGAGTGGCAGAGTTTGGGAGCGAGAAGTTGGCCAAGTTCCTATCGCATACCAAGATCAAGCCGTCCGTCGATCAGATCAACGTTCGGGACTGCTGTGTAGTACCGAAATCCTTGATCCTCTATGCAAAGCAAGAGAAGATCGAACTCCTGACACACAACGACTGCACGGACATCCTGCCTGTAGGTGCGATACGGGAACTGCTAGGACCCCACGACAAGGGCGCTGGGATCCTCGCCTCCGCGCCAGACGCCAACGATGGAATCCAGGGCGAGATCGAGACGCAGTGGGTAGTTAAGTACACCGCAGTCATCAAGGACAGAGGAGTGGTGGAGAACAAAGGCTACTTTGCACTCGCTGATGTTGGGAGCTGTGTCCAGGAACAGTCATGATTCATCTTAAAGTAGTAAGATTTGAGCCTTCTGATCTCTTATCTTTCTGCTCTTTCCATTATCTCAGTCGCATAATTGGTATTTTCATGATTTCCTTGCATTAAAAGCGTGGCGTTCTCTGATAATTTTTTGATTTTTTTTTCTTTCTGTTTGAATGAATATCTGCTGTCCACTGCCAGGCGAAAGGGGGATATAGAAAGTACTCTAGAGACTTCAGCGCCTTGAGTTTCTTTCATCCTAGAGAGCCGTAATAGATAGCCCCTTTTCTCTCTATTCTCATCCAAGCATGCTTCTCTTGCGACCTCTCATCCTCACCTCTTCAAGCTTTTTCAAAGCACCCGCGGCTCCCTTGTAGCTCTCCCGGTAGCCCTGTAATACTTCCGGGAAAAGCGGCTCGGTGCGAGGATGTGTGCTTCCGAACGCCCTCTCCAGGACATACAGGTCGACGGCTCGGTCCTCATCTGACGCGCTCTGGCCGGCCAGCCCGAAATCAATGAGAACGATATCTCCGTCCACGGAGGGACACTCCCCAGCTTCTAGCGCTACCTCCGCATCCGCTTTCCATGGCCGAAGCATCAGATTGCTCGTCGTCAGATCACCATGGATGACGCCCGCCTTATGCAACGCGCCGACAGTCTGTCCGACTCTTCTCAGGAGGTCGCGCACGCGCGTCGTCCCCTCCTGATACTGCGGCGTGTTCTGCTCCGCCAGACCCTTGTTCTTAGCTAGCCAGGCTTCCCATCGCTCGAGCGCAACGCGTACAGGCGCTCCGTCGATCCATTCCATGAGGATCCATGACCCCCCCTGTCCGCTCTCGCCGTTTTGTCCCTCCCAGTCCATTGCCAGCACCGCCGGGACATTGACACCTTCCCTGATGAGTTTGACTAGACAGCGTGCTTCGTGGAGAACGCGCTGCCGTGTGAGTCGTCGATCGAGAATAGGATGCCGGTACGGCTTTGACGGGCGGATCTTGAGTGCCGCTGGCGTCGATGCGTCCAGGAAGACGGTTTTGTAGAGATGTGCTTCGGCGCCCTGCGTGAGCAGCGTTGGTGGTGGGGTAGTTGTCGCGAAGAGAGAAGGCAGCGGAGGAGGCCTGTACGTCTCAGTCGTGGTCGTCATTTTGCAGAACTGTGTAGATCAAGCTGGCTTCGAGGTATAAAGGAATTCGAAGGTGTTTTTTTCTATCTCTAAGTGGTTAATTCCCGTTGGTGATAGCTCTCAGAGGTTGGAGCGAAATCGCAAAAAGATGGGCAATCTATGGTGGGGCAACGGTTCCAGTCTTTACAAAACACTCTTTTGTCTATCAACTAACTGATGGCTGATTTTCAATTCATTAGAGGTATGGTACAGAAGATTGCTCTATATAACACAAATTCTTGATACATGACATCAATGGCCAGCTATTTGGCCAAGAAGGCCTGGAATGCCTTGTGTTCAATCACTACATTGCCCACAGCCCGGAGCCTCTTGCGCCCTTCTTTCTGCTTCTCGAGCAGCTTGCGACGCCGGGAGACATCACTTGCATGGAGCTTGGCTAAGACATCCTTTCGATAGGGCTTGATCGTCTCTCGAGCCACAATTTTGCGGCCCACTGCAGCTTGGATGACGATTTCGAACAGTTGTCGATCCACGTGCTGTTTGAACTTTGACACCCATTGCTTTCCCAGTCTGTCGATCTGACTCAGATGGAGAAGACGCGAGACAGCATCCACAGGAACTTTGTTCACGAGGAGCTGGAGCTTGACTATATTGCTTTTTCGCCAGTCTGACTCTTCGTAATCCAGACTCGCATAGCCCTTGGTGGATCCCTTGAGTTTTCCAAAGAAGTCATCAACGAGTTGGGCTAGAGGTAGCTCATACTTGAGGATGACCTGACTTGAGGTAAAATACTCGAGGCTTTTCTGCTCACCGCGATTCGCCTCACACAATTCCATGACCTTGCCAAGGTATTCATCGGGGAACGTCAACGTGGCTAACACGTAAGGTTCTTGAATCTCTTGCACTTTGTGACGAAGGTCATCCTCATCCGGGAAGCGAGCCGGACTGGTGATGATCTCTTCCTTTCCTTCTTTCCAAACAATCTTGATCGGCACAGACGGAGGAGTGAGAATGATGCTAGCACCGTGTTCCTGGCGAAGGCGATCCTCAAAAACAGAGCAATGCAGAGTGCCCAAAAATCCGAGACGGAAACCTGCACCGAGGGCCTCGGAGGACTCTTTCTGAACAGTGATACTTCTATCGTTCAGAACAAGTTGGTTGATGCTGTCTTCCAGATGCTCAAAGTGATCCGCATCAACAGGATATGCGGCTACGAAGACCATGGCCTTGGGTTCCTCAAACCCAGGAAGTGGCTCCACCTTCTTTTCAAAGCCCACTTTGGTTAAGGTATCACCGATCTTGGCCTCCTTGCTTCGTTTCATGCCCGGGTTGAAATAGACATATCCGACCTGACCAGCGCGGAGGACAGTTTGAGGTGTCTCGTTGGGATACATGATCCCTACTTCTCCTACAATGTATTTGATACCGGTTGCGAAGGAGATGATCTGATCGCCGGCGCGGATCTCGCCATCAAATACACGCACAAGCAGAATCACACCTTTGTAGGTGTCATACCAGGAATCGACGAGGAGCATTCGAAGCGGATTTTTGTGGTCGCCAACGGGGCTGTATAACAGAGTCAGTGGGAAAAATAGAAAAAAAGAAAGCTTCTCAGTGAGCTTGTACGTACGCTGGGATTTTCTCAATCACTGTGGGAAGTAGCTGTTCCACATTCAATCCTGTTTTTGCTGATACCATGACCGCAATATCTGTATCCAGCTCAAATGAGTTCTTCATTTGCTCAAGAGCGCGTTCTGGGTCTGCGGACGGTAGATCCACCTTGTTGACCACTGGAATCAACTCAAGACCCTGAGCAAATGCCAGATAGAAATTTGCGACCGTTTGTGCCTGGACACCTTGACTGGCGTCCACCAAGAGCAAAGCTCCCCCACAACTGGCGTAACTGCGCGATACTTCTGCCCTGAAGTCCACATGCCCCGGTGTATCGACCAAATGTAACAGGTAGTCCTTCCCCTGGTGGTTGTAGATCATCGTGCACGTCTGTGCCTTCACTGTAATGCCTCGCTCGCGTTCCACGTCCAATTTGTCTAGAACCTGTTTATTCGAGCCGGGTTGAATCGTGCCCGTCAATTCAAGTAATCGATCGGAGAGCGTACTCTTGCCATGGTCCACGTGTGCGACGATGCAAAAGTTCCGGTAACGTTCGATTGGAATATCTGAGATTCGTCTCTCTAGATCCGTAACCTCTCTCGAGGACGCAGCCTTCCTCCATGTCGCTGAATTGGCGAAGAACCGAGTGGTCTGCCTATAAAGACTGAGTCGGGGTCCGAGGAAGTTCGCAGCGGCGGAGTGTCTGGGCGCTGCGCTCAGCCAGCTGGCTAGATGCAGACATCCTCGCATTGGGAGGTCTGCAGCTGCATGGGCAGGTTTTGTGCCTCAGCAATTGGAGAATCGCACACAAGGATCGATACGTTCTGTTCAATCCCAAAACGCTGGGGGAGCAAAAAAGTCCGGTTGGCTGCTCTCCGCGGGCGGAGAAAATTGGTGCTTGGCCGGGGGCGGCGTATTAGTTATTGCTGCGGCGACTATCAGTGTAAACAATCGCTCTTTTTCGGCTGCTCCTCACGCATCTGGTTTTGACTCCAGCACACACGACATACAAGAGATTTACGAAACAGAGACTCATCGTGTTCATCATGTCTGCTGATAAGGAAAAATCGAAGGTGCACAAGCTGTCCTTGAAAGGTGCGCAACTTCTGAAATCCTAGTGTTTTGCTGTACTAAACACACTCCAATTCAGGGTCCTCGAAGCTGGTGGCAGAATTTGTAAGTGAAGGAATTCTCTCTTGATCGTCTGGAAATCCTAACGGATTGATTAGTTTGAATATTCTATCAACTCGATTCTGTAAGTTACGTCGAGCGGACAGGCTCGAACGTTCTCTGACTCGGTCTCAAGATTCCAGCGTGGGGTTTATCCCCCTGAAGACTTTACAACGTGAGTAACAGCCTGAACTTCATAGTTGGTCATTGAAAACTGAAATTTGGACAGGGTGAAGAAATACGGTCTCAACATGCTCGGTCAGTCGAACGCCGCCCTGCCCCCGCGATTCCCCCCCTTTAACCGTTGAACAGTGACGGCCGACGATCAGGTCAAAGCATATATCAAGAAGATCATGTCTCAGCTTAATAAATGGATGATTGGAGGGAAGATTTCGAAGCTTGTGGTTGTTATCACAGACAAGGAAACCGGAGAACATGTAGAAAGATGGCAATTTGATGTACGTGCGACGTATGTACAAGTCTATGGCAAGCAAACGCTGACAGGAGTAAAGGTCCAAATCTTCAGCAAAAGCTCGAAAAGCAAATCTTCCCAAAAACCAACTGATAAGGAAAATTCTGTTCCGGGGTAAGAAGGGAATTTTTTCATTCTTTAGGCCTGAGCTGACTGTACGCTTCTCACAGAGAATCAAACGCCCAGTCAACAGCTCCAGTTGAAAAGACAGAAAAAGAAATCCAAGAGGAGATCCAGGCTATTTTCCGACAGATCACTGCATCTGTGACCTTCCTTCCCGTGCTAGACGGGGACTGTACATTCAACGTACTTGTCTATGCTGATGCAGATTCGGAAGTGCCCGTGGAATGGGGAGATAGCGACGCGAAGGAAATCAAGAACGCCGAGAAAGTCCAACTAAGAAGTTTCAGTACTAACAACCACCGCGTGGAGACTCTTGTCAGCTATCGACTTGCGGATTAACAGTTTACAACAGAGTAGCTGTATTTCGGGCGTTTTGGGACAGGGTCATCACTGGAGGAATCTCCAGGTCAATCATCTATCTTCTCAGAGGATTTCGGGTTTTCTTTTCTGCTCCTTATATTTTATTTCTCACATAGATGGTGACACAGAAGGCCAAGAATAATGATTTATGTCTGAGTTACTAGCAAATATATGCTTTATATGCCTATTCTTTTGCAAAATCCCGCCTTCCTCAGTCTCCCCTGTAAGCGATTACCGACACCAAGGGAGCTGATCCATCTTCGTAAATAGCTCATTGCCCTTGTCTCCTCCGTCCCAGCAAATCAGTTGCTCCACGGCCGGCTCTAACCCGGCGTTGACAAAGAGATCCTGTTCCATGCCGAGTTCCCAGCCTCTTTTCACTCTTTTCCCAGCCAATTCTGGTCCGACGCCATATATATCCCTTCTCCATAGCCCGATTCCACTTGTCTCTTCTCCGGTCTCTAGCGATGCCCTCGACGTGACACTCTCCGGAGGATCAATGCCAAGGATCTGGACTTCTATGAACGTTTCAAGCCGAGACTCTTGACTGTTTGCCATACACTCTTCAGCCTCACACGCTGCGATGCCAATAGCTGGGAAATGGAATTCCAGAAACCGCCGCCTTTTGAAATCATGTGTCACGACGGTTATGCGGGCCGGGTAACGGTTCGTGTGAAGCCGGAACCGCATGAGCGAGAAGAGCACATTTTGATACGAGTCTGTGGCATGCGTTTCGGCGAGGATGTTGACTGGATTGGTCACGTCGGCGAAGCCGAAGAAACTGTTATCCCTCGCAAGATTCTATGTGAGAGCGTTAGCACTGCACGTATAGTAATGTACTTTGATTAGCATCACTTACTAGGTACGATTCTCCTTCAGTCAACTTGGTTCTGTCCCTCTTCGTTGCCCCTCTAGAAGGTAACCTAGTTAGTGAGACGCGATACCACATCGACAGGAAACGTTTGTTTCTGGGAAATATATAGATACCCTGAGAAAATAAGAACTGCAGATGAATCCTGTGCTAATAGTTCAACACCGGCTCTTGCGTGTTGTTTGAATGTCGGCGTCTCGCCACGTTGAAACGGCTCAATGAGCCTGTGTTGATCTGATTAAATTTTTTTTTTAAACACGACAGGAAGGTAGTCTAAATAGTTAAGCCTACCATTCATCCTCTGATTCACCATGAGCCGGGCCACCCAGGTAAATTGCATGGCAGCAGACTACTATCAGATGCGTGTATTGCATCCTGATCTATCTACCCGGCTGTAGAGACCCTTGTGTCGTTGTATGGAACAAGAACCACAGAAAAATAGAGGGGTAGCAAGTGTGTCTTCGGATCTCGAGGCTTCAATTCTATCTGATGCCAGATTTACTTCATATATAATGCTCGTTCGGACACAATGTAGCGAGTGATCTCTGTTTTTTCAGACAATAGTTGAATTGAAATAATAAATGGATGATGATACCTCATACCCCTGGCTTTAGGTAATCCCGAATCCAAACATTGACCAATTACGGAGCCATGTCGATATATATGGATTATTTTCTTCTCTACAATTCTTTGTCGACCTTATCTAGTGATCTCAAAGAGTAATCTGGACAGACGTTGAGGTGCTTCAAGCGGCGTATCTTCTGCATTATCGTTCTACTTACTTGCGAGTAAAGGTCCGTGTCGACCAGTTAGGAGTTCTTCTATACCGTACACAGATCCTCCCCACCGAGTCGAAACAAAGGCAAGATTAATTAGTTTTCCTTTCCTAGCTTGGCCAGTGCATCCTGAAGAAACTCGTTGGCGTTCATGAGCTCCGTGCTGCCATAGACCACTCTGCGTCTGTTAATGCCACTGAGAGGCCGACCATCCGCACCGCCCTGGCCGTTCGTGCGCAGGACCCAGTCCTGCAAATTTCCGTACTCATCCATGCTGCCACCACCAACCGTGAAGACGATAGCTTCATTGAATGCCTGTCGACGCTGGCCAAAACTGGCTCCAGTTCCTGGACCGGAAGACCCGAGAGCGCCGGGCATCTGTGGATTGCGGGCTGCAGCCGCCGGGGGCATCGCGCCGCGGGCATTAGCACTTCGGGGATCAAAATAGAGGTAGTTCTCGGTCTTGGCAATCGCGGAGCTAGATGCGGATGCAGGGTCCATGATAGACTCGGTGATCTTGGTCACGGTGAGATCCTTGTTGGCGGGCAGGAAGTTTTTGACACCAGCAATGAGAGAGTCAAAATTGGCGCCCAGGGCTCCCGAGGTGATGCGGTCAGTGAGCCGGTTGGACAGCGACGAGAAGCCGCGGAATAAATCCGACGATTGCTGCTGCGGTGCTGCGGCTGCTGTCGTCATCATTGTCATGCGAGTGATTTCTCGGACTCGTCGAACATATGCAAGAGAGCTAACATCCTGGACCCCTGCCTGCGTGAGCGCTTCTTCGAATTGTGTCATTTCTGCACGAGACAGTTCGGCTTCAGTGCTAAGGAACCAGATTATGAAGAGACGTAGCTTGTCCGTTACATCACTTCCCTTGGCTGAGTCGTTAATAAGCTCCAAAATTTGCGCCTTGGTTTGCTTCGTAATATTTTCCTCCAGTTCAAAGAAGTTGTCGAGTTGTCGATCTTTTATGCCCTTTAACAAAGCGGTTGCGATATTCATGTGCATATCCAAAGTTGCTTTGCGATCCCGGAGCTCTGGAAGTAGAGTGATGGCCGCTTTGAGGTGCTGTGCGGAGGCACTTGTATCATTTTGGAGGTCTTCGATCGACGAGGCACCAGTCTTCTTGGTGATCTCGTTTGCATCTTCTTTGTAACGGGTTAACTCAGCATCGATATCTTCTGCCACTTGCGGGAACGGAGCCCCAGCGTTACGCTTCCAAAAAAAGTCACTCGAAGTCAGGTCATATGACCTTTTAGTAGAGCCCCTTTCAGGATTTGACCCATCCACCGCCGTCTCAACTGTAATGCGATTAAGGCGCATCTGAAGAACATCTTGGACGAGTGATTGATAGGTCCATGAATGCGAAAGCATCGGAACGAGATCCACGTTGCGATCAACAATAATCAAAACAGGGCGAGATACAGGAACTCCGGGAGTAGACTTCTTGTTGCTGGAGAACAGGTTATCTTTCGAGTTCAGGATATGGTCGCGTAGCTTTCTGTCCAGTTTTGTCGCTATCAATTCTGCTGCGCCGCCTTTCGGGCATCTGATGATAGGAATCGTGCCTACAAACGGGTTCAAGTGTTAGAATAAGGAGGTCGTATGCGGAGAGCTGAAGCTAGAAGTAACACATACCCATAGTGACGCTCACGCTGAACAGACCACTCACAACCTTATCCACAATAGCGTCCAGGTCTTCATCACTGGTATGCGCGCTATTAATCTTCCAATACGCATCGTTACCAAGCCCTAAGCTGAAGAGATCCGGCTCAGCCACGATGAAGTTCAGATACTGATCAAAGACCTGCGCGATATGTTCTGCCGTGTTTGTCGAGGCTATCTGAGAAGCGAAATCTTCGAGGAGCGGGCGGGGTACCGAGGACAGGAAGTTGACATGGGCAGGCGAATAGAGGCCGTGTGATAGATCATTGGTGATCAATTTGAGATTCGCAGGAGTTGGCTCCACCAGATATACGGCAGGCACATCGGGGATCGGATAGCGAGTTGAATTAATATTCCTTGGGGAAACGAAACGCGTCAGGTCAGTCGATTCGAACCGCTTGGGCAAATCATGATACAATGCGATAGGGCATGACACACAGATGAATGGTAACTCCCCACGCACGGAGATCATTGACACGCAGAACGCTGCTAATCACATCTCTCCCCATGTTATCAAATACCAGCACCTTCCAAATCGGGTCGCCATCCTCGTTTAGAATCGGGGTGGAATGGGAGATCAGGCCATGAGTGGATGGGTCTTGGTGCGATTCCTCGGCCGGCTGGGGATCATGGTTCAGGTTGAGGATCTTCTGAATGGATACTGAGTTAAAAAGTGAGCTGATCAATGCTTTGAAGTTCAAGGAGCCCTCTCAAAACTTACAGATCTGACGGTCTCGGAGGGACATAGAGTTCGCCATGATGGAAGGGACCTTCAGGGGGAGTCTTTCAGAGATCTGAGTTTCATGACACGTTGGCAATCTGTGGGCGAGACGGCGTCATCAACAGTAAATCATCAATCGTCTCGCAAGACAGCAGAGAGCATCCCGGGAAGGGGGACTTCTGATGACATACACACTCGACTGTCTCTCCACCTGGCATCCTCATCCTCACGAGTCACGAGCAGCCGACAGCTGACATAACCACCGCATGCAAACCAAGCAAACAAACCATAGCCACAGAGCCCCACGTGACATTTCCAGGAATGGGTTAGCCTAGGCTCACCCCCAAATCGTTAGCGCCCAGGCTTTTTCACTCCCGCCCGTCCACCTTCCATCTTAACCACCGCCAACTTCCCGACCCAACCCCTTCCATCACTCATCGTAAAGCGAAAGATTATGCTGCTTAATCGCGGCTTTGAATGGCTCTCTGTATGAGAGTCCTTGTTGATTTTTTATTAAGGCAAGTTTAAGCAGAGAAAAAGGTTGCTTGCAGCGTGGCAGGACGCGTCGAGTTGACCGCACGCTCTCCACGCAAGAGAGGCCAGAAGAACGGGGAAAAGTTGAGGTGGATTGATAAACAAAGGGCTCGGAGAAGAAGCTCGGGAGTTCTCTTTTCTACGTCTACTATATTGTCGGTGTATACGAATCTGCATCGGGGGGGCGTCTTCCTTTAAACCTGAACGTGACTCACGGGAAGGGAACAATAACGCAGTCATCAGTTTTTGGTGCCTGAGGCCCTAAAAGGTACTTTTCCCGCGTCTTCAGGTTGGACGCCTCTCGCGCCGCTTAGGGAAGCCGGAGGAGCGCCGTCCACCTTGCCGCTTTCTTTCCGCGGCCTCGGGGCGTATCGGCACTGTTATCATCTCATAACCTACCATTATTCCGTCTCCTAGCACTCTGCAATTGCCTGCTGCTCTTCTTACTTGGCTGCCCCCAATAGGTTGCGGCCGCTCCACTCCGAGGCTCTAATTTCGACCCAGAGAAAACAAGGCAGCGACGGTTTCTAGCCGCAAGGGGAATAGCGCCCCGCCATAGGACGCACGTGACAGGTACCTGTCAAGGACTCCCGGAAAGACAAGACTCAAAAACATGGAACGATCAGCAGGACAAGATTCAATGTCCAACCTGCCTCGTGCCTCTGTAACGCAGGCATCGCTACCTCCTGAGTATTGGAATGGTATTGATTCGCTGTATCAGCAGCCGAACCATCATCCCCAGCCAGAGAGCCAGCAGCCACAGCAGCCATTGGGCATTGACTGGGACCATCCCATCTTTCAACAACAGCAGCAGCAGCCGCCGCCGCCGCAGCAACCACACCCTCCTCCAGACAACATCTCGCCCCCGCAGGATGTCAACCATGGGATTTATTCTCGGGACCCTCAGGTTTGGCAACAAACCCCCCTCCATCAGCCCTTGATGTCGCCCGCATCTCAAGGATATACCGTGTCCCCGCAATATCAGGTCCCGCACTACCCACAGGGCCAAGTGACATTGGATCCTTCCGAGAGCTCACCATTTCCACCGTATTCTTTCCCTCAGAGCTTTTACTCCCATCAGAATCTCCCGGTGCAAGATGCCTTCTCTCACTCGGTATCAAGGCAGAGCATCTCGGCACAACCATCTCAGCCTACCTCTTTCCAGCCCGCGACGCATCGATCTTCTATCCCACAGTTTTATTTGCCTACTGGTTATTCAGATGGCCTCTCGGTATGAATATTCGTAGTCTACATGAATCGCCAATATAGTATGGAAAACTGACGAGTTATTGTAGCAAACAACCGTGAATTTCCCTAATGGATATAACGAGTCAATTCCAAATGTGGCTGGACAACAGACTATCGATCCGCAGTTTCTGAATCCGATCCAAGTCCAGACCAACCAACAGCCCTTGACAACTGACTTTCGCTTCATCACGCCGGCTGACTTTGAACGTGCTGGTGATGGAAAGTAAGTTAACTCTTATTTTTCGCCCCCCCTGTCAGACCGCATACTCTCTCTCACAGATGCTTACTGCCGCAGGACATACCAGCAGTATTATCGCACAGCACAGCACTTGGACCCAGCTGGGATTACCCAACCAAAACTTCTCCCAAATTATAGAAACATTTCGATTCTTCCACAAGGTTTGTCATAAGTCTGTGAGTCGTTCGTTCCAGAAACTTTGCTTATACTGGTAGATCGTGGCGCCCCACCCCCCGTCACCACAGTAAAAAAGGTAGAGGTAAAGAAAAAGAAGACTAGTTCAAAGAAGCAGACAGCCAAGAGTACGACCAAGCTTGCTGCTGTCAACAATCAGTCGGATTCTTCGGCTTCGGATAGCGAGAGCTCTGATTATTCAGACCTCGAGATCGAAGCCCCCGAACCGTCCCCTCTTCCACCTACTCGTCCTGGTGAGCCTATCCCTGCTGCGCAATATGACGCCATTCAAGCAGTATGGTCCCCCCGTAACAGACAGCCAAAGAACGACGACATCAAAAAGGCCATTGTTGCCTTTAACCAACTCGTCAAAGCTGTAAGGGACGTCTGGAAAGACAAATGCCAAGCCATGAAAACAGCAGAGAGTAAAGGCGAGAAAGATAAAGTTGCTGCACTGCAACAAGAGGCTTCCCTTCAACGCCAGACGATAGATGCGATCATAGCCGCCACTCTCAAGGAAGGTCACCCAGCTATCGTTGAGAAGTATGTACCACCCCCGCCCTCCCCTTTCCACCCCGCTTCTACACCACTGGCAGTCCTTCTGTATGGCAATAGAACTTCCAAGCCAATCAAGCTTCTTCCGTGTAATTATACTGCTGTCTGCACTCAGTATGCCTATTGAATAATGGCTCTGAGGGGAAACACTGGTTGTTTTGAGCGAGCCGGCTGGGCTATACTTCGTATACGTTGACATGAGCCAAAGAAGGCAGACTCTAGATCTGACTCCTCTCGTGCCCTCAACACACGGACCCCATCATCAATTCTGTTCATATCCATTGCGTTCTATAGCATATGCTCTGAAACATTGCTATTGATAAACCTCCCCCCCCCTGCATTATTGACTGTACTGCTACTGTTCTACCGCTTTGCCCACATCATCAAGTATGGCTCTCAGATCACTAATCTATTATGCTTAGTTTGGGTGAGCACCCAATGACGGTGTCTGTGATGTACTCTTTTCTCCTTGATCGCCATCAGGCTTCTGATAATGACGGGGGCCTCACATTGAACATACTCAAGGTAAATCTTCTTCGTACCCTCAAAGATAGTGATGCGAAAATGTACTGAACCTTTCGATTTAGCTGCTTTCCCATTTTGTGACAATGGACGAGGATGTCCTGCAGAAAACCAACATCTCAAAGCTATTGCCAAGACTTGTGAAGAAAGGAGCAGCAGCTGTAAAAGAGCTCGCTCAGAAAGTCATGGACAACGCAGCCACATCAACGAAGAGGAAGCAAGAGTTGACGAACACGGCGCCAAAAGAAGAGTTGCCCAGTAAGAATGGTGTTCTCAATGTAAATGGCGATGGAAACCGTGCAGATCTCGTTGGGTCGAAGAGAGGGCGAGAGGGCGAAAACAACGGATTGCCTCCTAAAAAAAGAGTGGGCGTGACGCCAGTTGTAAAACCTCCTGTGAAGCCCGCTGCTGTAGGAAATGCCAGCCTCAAGGTGTCAAAAGAAACGCCTCAGGACACCAAGGTTGCATCCACTGTGACCGCACGCCCCAAGGCGAACATCGTTGCTCCCAAGCCCACAAATCTCTTCGGCAGTTTAGCATCTGCATCCAAACGCCCCGGAACTTCTAACGCTGAAAGGGCAGCAGCAGCGGCAAAGGCCAGGTACGTCAAATCTGAAGATATCATTTACTTCCCCGGTGCTGACTTAGTGCCAGTTCTACAACTGAAAAGAAGGAGACTGTGTCTGCGCCATCAGCCAAGCCAGCATTTTCACTTGGTGACATTATGGCCGATCTTAATAAAGCAAAGGGCCCTGCGGCTAGTAAGCCGGCAGAAGAAGCCCCTCCGGAGACTGAAGAGGAACGTAAAAAGCGGCTTCGTAAAGAATCCCGACGGAAATTACGTGTTACTTGGAAGCCGGACAGCTCTCTTACCGAGGTTCGCCTCTTCACCCATGATCCTGAAGAAGAACTTGCGCCGAAAGATGGCTCGCGGGGTGGAGACGTCAAGGGCGAGGGTCGAATCCTCAAACTTCACCGGGACATGGACGAATTGGAGGAAGAAGAAGGCGTTGTTCGAGAGGAGGAACTCCTTCCGTACCACGAGATTTCTCTGCTTGAGTATGACGAGATTACAGCCGAAGACCGCTCGAGAAGCTTCATCAAGCGTGCAGGTGTTCAAATCCCAATTAGCTCTGAGAAGGATGCTCAAGAGCGAAGGGAGGCCACAACCCTGATGGTATTTTACACATCTCCTGCCGAATACCCATCGTCTCCCAAAGAACCTCCTGCACCAGACCCTGAGGAAGCTGTTCCCGAAGAAGTTCCATTTGGTGATCTTCCGGAGCATGTCAAGAGTCGGCAAGAACGTTACTACGCCGTCCTGAACCCGAAGCCTGCGCCCACTGTGCCCACTGTGCAGCCAACCGCATCGACCGGTCAGTTTGACATAGCAAATATACTCAAAGTCTTTCAAGCGATGCCAGGCCAGCAGCAGCAGCCAGCTCCACCGCCCCCTGTGCAACAGCCTGCTCCAATGTCCGACCTGGAGCGAACAATTAATCTGTTCCGTCAGCAGCAGCAGCAGCAGCAACAACCACTGCCACCCCAACCGCAAATACAGCAACCTCCCCAACTTGCTTCTAGTCAACCTGCGGCCGCACAGGGTCTCGATTTCCAGCAGATCCTTGGTATCCTCAATGCCCAAAACCCCATGCAAGCGCCTGCTTTTCCTCAAGCAGCTCCACCCCAGCCAGCCATCGCGCAGAATTTGGCTGCATTGGTGTCTCAGTTCACCCATCAGAGTCAACAAGCCAGCCAGCCCCAGCCCCAACCATCGCAACAGAATCAACTCTATGAGGATGTCGAACGGAAACGCGGGCACGACTATGGCGGAGGCTATGATGGGGCTAGTGATGATAGATACACCCTGCCCAAGCGAAGTCGCACCAACGGCGACAACACGAAGAGACATGTAAGCTTCAAGATCTCCCGCCAGTACGATATCTCACCAAGATGCTGACTGTTTTAAATAGCCCAAAGCTGGCTTGCTGCCTTGCAAGTATTGGCGAGAGGGACATTGCCTAAAGGGCGACAAGTGCACCTATCGTCATGATCGCCTGGATTGAGAGAAAGTCCCTCCTTTTTCCTCTTCCACGTTTCCTATTTTATCTACTCCTTTTGTCTTTTCTTGATACCCTGACCGTCAAATCTCTCTCTGCCGCATATCACTCATATTCTTCACCCATCTCTGCATTTCTATCCATCCATCCAGCTCCGGTCAAGTCTTATATTTGCCTATCTAGAATGCCTCACAGCTGTGTTGGTGATAGGTTCGTGGCGTTTACTTCTTAGACTGACGGGTCTGTTTCAACCGGCATCCATCGGCGTCATCATGCATCATGCATTTGCATTCTACTCCATCCATCTATCGGGTTGAGCTCTGTGCCCAGTGCTTATTCTGTCGAGGTATCGGTTGCACCTTCTCCCTCCCCTTCTACAAGGACCCAGAACATAATCAATCAATACCTTCCCCTCATCGTTGTTTCTAGTTCGGTTGGGGCCATATGTACACTAGATTCTCTTAGGTTCTCCTTTCCCTTTTCACTTTCATTTTCCCACATCCTGGGGCGTTACCAACTTGAATTTGTTCTCTGGGAGACAATGGCAAATATGATTATAAATTCTAAATGCATGAATCGGTCCTTCTCCAGTAAATACTTTCTTGATGTACCTATACTATTTGCGTACGCTTTCCCTTCATCCATGTGGATGTGATCAAGTAGAGAGAGACAAATGGTAACCAAAATCAGGTCAAGGATTAAGTATAGGCCGTTTTTAGATAGGATGTGAACATCAATTACTCTGAGAAACCTATCTGACAAAATAGAAGAATACCTTATTCATGTTTCATTCCTCGTAGAAATGAAGAACAGAAGAAAAAAAGACCATCCCTTGTCCACATCACAACTAAACCCCTTCTGCCTCCGAAGTCGTACTCTTATGGTAACTATGTACTGAAATATCATGCTCGACGGAGATCCCGCCTCCGGATTCAAGATCAAAGTGCTCCTTGATGGGACGGGAGTCGCTGAAACAGTGGGTGCGAGCTGCCTGGGAGGCGATAGTCGTCTCCCCTCTGCCGGAGGTCTGGAAAGAGAGCATATTCCATAGGTTGCGGGCGGAAGAAGAAGAAGAGGAGTGGAATGCAGGGCCTTTCTTGGTGAGGGAGAAGCCTGCCCAGATAGACGACAGCGGGAGCGAGATTGAGACCAGAGTTAACACGTTGGAAGACAGTTCCGGCGTGGTGGTTGCATACTGGAGGATGGAAAACAGCGCTGACTCGGTGTTTAGTTTTGATACATAATCCAACAAGAAAAGAAAGAGGACAAGACTTGCTTACCTGGAATGACAAGCGTTTGGCATCCCATGACGAAGATGACTTTCATTGGTCCAAAGTCTCTGACTCCAAGCCGCTCGCGCTGTTTGATAGCGAATCCCAGCTTGGTGACGAAAATGGCACAGAAGAAGCAGATGCTGACCGTGATGACGATGTTGGTAGCGCTTTCCAGCCACTGGATGTCGTCTAATACCCGCTTGCCTAGGATCTGCATGGAGTTCTCCACGGTATACGCCAGTCGGAATCCGATGGGAATCAGCGCCATGAGGATTGATGAGCCGAGAATCGCTCGCCGGTACATACGACGCAGCGTCACGCAGATGAGCTGTACCTGAAGCACTAGAGAGCCCTCGATACAGAGCAGCATCAAGAAGGTCAGGACAACGCCGAGGATGGAGTCTGCATAGGCGCTGGCCCCAACGCGCGAGTAGTCCTCGGCAAAGAGGGCGTATGGATTCTCGAAGCCGGTCGTGAAATAGATGACTTGGCACAGCAGTCGTCCGATGTTGAAAAACAAAGACAAGCTATTGAGGATAAACACATGCGACCCGCGCTTTTCAGGCCTCGTCAGGAGCATCAGAATCACAAAGAGGATGATGGAGGCACCGAGCTGCGCCCCATAGTTGATGCAGATCCGAATGCCATATTGGATGAAGTCGTTCAAACTTGCCAGAGGAACCGGGAACGGAGTCCCATCCGCATGATGGAAGATGAGATTCTGAGTGAAGGGATCGAAGTCGGAGGCCATGCTTGCGCCTGCTAGAATCGAAAAGTGCTATGTCTGGTATGAAGAAAGAGATACGAGGTTTTTTCGATGGAAGAGCTCGTGATAACACCCTGTCAAGGTGTATTTGTAGGAGAATCTCAAGCATGTCGAGATAAAGAAGGAGAGTCTTGGGAAAGACAGACATCTTCAGACTCACTTGTGTGTCGAGCTGAACCGGGTCTCTCTCTGGTGGGTGGGCATATTCTTCACCATACTGAGACAGACAATATAATCAAAAGTGGTGACTTCGTCACGGAACAATACAATAAAGGATAACTGCATACAGACAATGATAAGTGAAGATAAGTGGATCCATCCTCAGACAGGCTTGTATCTGCTCTCCTCTGCCACAGTCAGTGCGTCGGTGGTGGGGAGAACAATATCAAGAACGGGGAGAACAATATGAAGCCGTAGAACAAAGACACAGCACCACAACCAACAGTCGAGTAGAGCTCGACTCGCAGCACCAAATTGAATCGAGCTTTCCGCCGCTACCATGGTTCAGCTGATCGTCAGCTCCTTCTTTTCTCTAGGAATAGGACTCTGTGGAAATAAATGCACTGTTTTGCCAGCTGCGGAGGCCACCGCATAGTCGATCAATGCAGATACTCCAATGCTGTAATTTGACAATTGATACTGAGACATGTCGAGATTTTAAGACCTAAAGAGAAACCGTTTAGCCAGTGACTCAATCAACAGCTTTCACTCAGACTGTAGGAGCTGCCCATCACCGTTTCTAAGAGGTCAAGAAGGGCGAATAGGTGGAACACTATATTATTTTGAGGACATTTTTAGATGACCTTATCCAAATGTATGCCAATCCAGACAGTACTCAGGGAATTAGCAACGCTGATGGCTGTTGCGAGTGAGTGCAAGTTCGAGTGCAGAGAAGGAGGGATGGATGCCTTAACATGATGCCAAATGATGCCTTAAAATGCTGCCTGAAATAATGCCTTATGATGCCTGAAAGTGATGCCTCAAAATGATGCCTTAAGCCAACCACCAGCCAAGAATCAGTGCGGGGGAATCCAAGCGACGGCGTCAGGAACGTTGACAGCCCGCTCTGCTTTCTGTTCTCTCGCAACGCTGGTCTCATCATGGCGACTGTGCCTCAGAGGACTCTGAACTGGCTGTACAGCGTTCTCACAAAGGTACGGTCTTGCGGAATGCCCTTGTTCCCTGCGAGTTTCTGACCAGACGCGGAGCAGGACCACCACGACCCCAAACAAACGTATCTCGATCCCAACCGCACGTACTACGATGTCGCCAGGGCGCTCACTCAGTATCCCACCCTGTCCCCTCGGACAGATGTCTACAGTGAGTATCTCCGCGGGTGTCTGCGGCAGCACAGGGCTGATCGAACCATCCCCATGACCAGCATACGAGAACGGGTATTCTGCTCTCCTCCTCCATATCGTGGGCACGCTTCCTGTTTCCTTCCGCGGCACGGTATACAACTTTCCAATAGCCTTATGGGTGCCGAATTCCTATCCTCGAGAACCGCCGATTGTCTATGTCACTCCGACTCAGGATATGGCTGTTCGCATCGGCCAACATGTGACGCTGGAAGGCAGGGTGTACCACCATTACTTGGCGCATTGGGCGGAAGCATGGGATGTCAGTATATCATGATCATCTGGGCTATATGAAGCTGATAAGGATTCATCTAGAAATCTTCCCTTGTCGACTTTCTCTCCATCCTGCGGGAAGTATTCGCCAAGGAACCGCCGGTCAGATACAAGCAACAGCAGCAGCAGCAACAGCAACCAAGACAGCCTGAGCCAGTTCAAACCCCGCCTCCTGTGCCTCCTTTACCGGCAGAGCTCGCATCCTCGAGCTCTCCAACGCCTGCTCCGCAAGGTACAACACCAACGCCCCCTCGCCCTCCGAAGCCGGGACAAGCCGTTGCATCCCCCGCAGAAGGTCGATACAATTCGCCTCCGCCATTACCTCCATTACCTCCGAAAGACCAAGACGCTAGACGTCTGTCCTATCAGCCGCAAGCAAATTTGAATACCTTTAGCCAGCATGTTTCTCAACATGTTCCTGAAAGACCGTCCAACCTCGGGCGCGCGGTGCACGCTTATCCATCGCAACAGCCACATCAACAAGCTGCACCTGCACCTGCATTAGCACCGCCCTATCGTCAGGGACCGACCAATACCTTTCCAGTGCAAAGTAATGCTTCCGGGGTACGCGTATCACCGCAAGCCCCCCGTTATGGAACTCAATTTACATCTTCACCTTCCCCTACCCAGCGATTTCCCAATCAGTATCCTCCGCAGCAACCAACACAGCAGCAGCAGCAGCAGCTACCACCACACTATCCTCATCAAACACAGCCAGTCCAGCCAGCTCCGCCTCCAAGTAAAGTGGAAACCCCCGATCTTCTCACGTCACCCTTTGAGCTTGAACTGCCGTCCTTTGCACCATCGGGACCTGTCCCACCCATCCCGCCGAATCCGCAGAAAGACGCCCTCCTGCACGCAGTCGCGCGCACGGTCACCGAAACGCTGCAGTCGAATGTGGCGCAGTCCAAGTGCGCGGCGCAGTCGCTCACGTCGCAGTCCCAGAGTCTCCTCGCGGCCATCGCCACTCTGCAGGGCGAGATGGCCGCCCTGCAGAGCTTCCATTCAACCCTACAGTCGAACACGTCCATTCTTCAGCAATTCATCCGGCGAGCCGACGGCGTCATCGCCGAAGCCCAGGCGCGGATCTCATCGCCCGCTCCTCCTCCTTCATCCGCAGCCTCTGCACCCGACGGGCCCTCGTCCTCCACAGGATTACCACCCATCGACGACCTCCTGGTAGCCCCGACTGTAGTAGGCAAGCAACTGTACGACCTGGTTGCCGAAGAGCGCGGCATCGAGCAGGCAATCTATGCGCTGCAGGCGGCGCTGGTGCGCGGGATCATCGGCGTGGAGACTTGGTCGCGGCATACGCGGGGGTTGGCGCGCGAGGCGTTCCTTAGGCGAGCTCTTATTCGGAAGATTGGTAAGGGGATGGGATTGGAGTGACTAGTATACTTATAAAGTAGAAAGAAGAATATGTACTGTACAGAACGCCAGTAATGCTAGGAGAGCAACAGGGAGGGTATGTATAGAGTTAAAACATATTACCTCCTCTTCTTTTCACAGACCTGGGTCCAAACATCTTCAAAGACGGTCTTCCGGGCACCCAACTGGCCGTCATAAAAGTTCATCCGGCGGACAACCTCCATGGCGCCCGTGCCGAGGGAAACCGTCTTGCCCATGATGATACACTCGGAGACGCCCTCGATGAGGTCGACGCGGCCTGCGCCACCGGCGTCGAAGAGATGGTCGGCCGTCTTCTCGAACGAAGCGAGCTGGAGGACCGAGTCGCGCATCTTGGCGAGGCCGAAGCGCGTGATGCCCAGAACCTCGCCCTTGTAGGTCATCACGTCGGCGAGGAGTTGCATGTGGCGCGGGTCGATGCCCATGTCCTTCATCACCTCGCTGATCTCCTGGACGATGGTGACGCGCGCGGCCTCGATGCCCAGCACCTCGCGCATCTCCATGACGTTGTTCGTGTGGGTGTGCTGCCCGTTGACACCGAGCGTGTTCATGCACTCCTTTAACCCGTACCCTTCCACCAGCAGGGTGTTGGTCGTCGAGGTCTCGTCGGTGCGGATGATCGCCCGGTTCGCCTGCGGGTGACCCAGGACCTGGATGTCCGGGAGCATGCGTTTCAGGTGCTTGAGGCGCAGGAAGGGGTCGATGCTCGTCGCCGCCACCTCCGTCTTGGTCAGTAGCTTCTTCGAGTTCGGGTCCAGGTCCATGTAGATGTGGATGTGCGAGCGCGTGTGGTCGACCACCAGGTCTTTCGCCTTGAAGCGTTTGTGCGTCTTGATCGCCGCCACGATCCGTCCGATGTTCAGCTCCAGCGCGAGGTCGCGGATCGTCCGCCAGTTGATCTTCACCGTCAGGTACGCCTGTTTGCCCGTCCACACTTCGCGCACGTAATGGATGATGTCCCGCAGGTAGGTCTTCTCGATCCGCCCCTTGACGATCCGCGCCGCGACGGTGCTGTCCTTGGTCACCAGGTCACACGAGATCACGGGCGTGCTGATCTCCTTGGACGCGTTGATGATCTCCTTGATTCGCGGCACACCTTGCGTGATACTCATGCCCGCCACACCGGCAAAGTGGAAGGTCTTGAGGGTCATCTGCGTGCCCGGTTCACCGATGGATTGTGCGCCCACGGCGCCCACGGCGTGACCAGGCTCCACCTGCGCCTTCTTATACTTCATCAGACAGAGCGAGATGAACTCGCGCAGCGTCCGCTCCGTCAGTTTTGCCGTGTGGTGTAGCCCTTGCAGCCCGCGCTCCTCCTCCTCCTCCTCGTCGTCGCCGCGATCCCCGCCGCGCGAGATGAGCTTGTCAGCCTTGGACTGCACGTAATTCTGGATCGAATCGAGAAAGTCACGCGCACTCTCCAGCTGGTCGATGCCGTAGTCGCTACGATCCATGTAGTCAAGGGTCGCGCCCATCAGGTCCTTGCGGACCAGCTTGGCGCGTTCCCGCGACAACATCTCCTCGCACACCTCCATGATCTCCTGGGGAAACAGACTGCGTTCGTCGTTGCGGAAGGTGGTCGACTCGGCGTGAATGAAGGTCCGGTCGAAGTGGACGGGCTTGGCTTTACCCTCCATGTCGACGGGATCCAACTTGTCGTCGCCGTACTGGAACTGAACAATGTTGGAGGAGGAGTTGCGGACGGTGTCATCGTACCGACTGGAGAGATCCTCCAGCGACTTCATCAGCCGTCGCGACATGTAACCCGTCTCGGCGGTCTTGACCGCGGTATCGACCAGACCTTCACGGCCGGACATGGCGTGGAAGATGAACTCGTACGGGGTCAATCCGGAGAAGAAACTGTTGCGCACGAACCCCTTGGACGGCGGCTGCCGGGCGTTCTTGGGGAAATGTGGCAGCGTACGGTCCTGGAACCCATCCTGGACTCGCTGCCCGCCGATGATCTGCTGCCCGACCAGGGCCACCATCTGAGAGACGTTGATACTCGAGCCTTTCGATCCGGACGTGGCCATGATCAGTGGGGAGTTGTACTTGCTGAGCTGGGCGATACACTCGTCACCGGCCTGCTGACGGACCTTACTCAGGATACCGGACAGTTGGTTCTCCATGGTCTGCAACTCGTCGCAACCGGGATACTTCTCCAGCGTCCCGGCCTTGTACTTGGCGATGACGTCGTCACACTGCGCGTAGGCGGCCTCGACCAGGTCGTTCTTGGAGCGGATGAGGCTCGCGCTCGGGTAGACGTCGGTGATGCCGATGGAGAAGCCCATGTTGGTGAACCAGCGGGCGGACAGTTTGGAGAGGCGGTTCATGCCCTCGGCGGCGGCGGCGGGGCCGTAGTCACGCAGCATGATGTAGAAGATGTTATCCTTCTTGCCGGAGCCGATGGTGGACTTGTCCATGACGCCGCACATGACCTCTGAGTTGCGGACGACCAGCCAGCCGTCATTGGGGTCGAGATCCTTGGGCCGACCGTTCTTGGGGGGCTTGTACTCGCGGCAGGCGGCGTCCAGGTTGACCATGACGGGGTCGTCGAGGTTGGGCCGCATGAGGATGTTGAAGACCTGCTTGCCCGTCCAGAGCATCTGGGGCTTCAGGGTGGCGGGCGGGGGCAGGTCGAAGCGGGTCTGGGGCCCGAGCATGTACAGACAGATCTGGGTGAAGGAGCGGCGGTCGAAGAAGTTGTCCTTGCTGCTGAGGATGTAGGCGGCGCTGATGAAGTCCTGGATGGCGGAGATGATGGGTTCGCCGTTCTTGGGGGTGGCGAGGTTGTTCTTGACGCCCATCAGCTCCATGGCCTCGGCGCGGGCCTCCTCGGTCTGCGGGACGTGCAGGTTCATCTCGTCGCCGTCGAAATCGGCGTTGTACGGGTTGCAGACACACTCGTTCAGGCGGAAGGTGCGGTGCGGGCGGACCTTGGCGAAATGGGAGAGGATGGAGAGCTTGTGCAGCGAGGGCTGGCGGTTGAAGAGCACGATGTCGCCGTCCTCGATGTGGCGCTCGACCACGTCGCCCTCCTGCAGCTGATCGGCCATCATGTTGAGGTTGCCGTATTTGAGGAAGGTCTTGTGGTCGGAGCCGCGCTTGATCAGGTAGTTGGCGCCCGGCCACTTCTTCTGGCCGTTGCGGATGCGGCCCTGCAGTTTCTCGCGGTTGTAGCGGGTGACGACCTCCGGGTAGGTCATGTTCTTGGCGACGAGCTCGGGGACGGCGACCTCGTCGACGCGCAGGTTGGGATCGGGCGAGATGACGGTACGGCCGGAAAAGTCGACGCGCTTGCCCGACAGGTTGCCGCGAAAACGGCCCTGTTTGCCCTTGAGCCGCTGGACGAAGCCACGGATGGGCTTGCCCAGATCGGCCTTGTTGAAGCCCGGGACATCACTGTTGATATAGACGGCGATCTGCAGCTGCATGTAGTCCCAACATTCCATGATGGTGTGGACGGGGGCGCCCTTGAGCAGGGCATTTTTCAGGTTGATGTTACTCTGGACGATATCGCCGAGTTTGGCGGTCAGGTCGTCCTCGGTGGAGGCGGCATCCTGGCCGACGGAGGGACGGATGCAGACGGGGGGCGCCGGGATGAACTGCCAGAGGAACATCTCCGGGCGGGCCTCCTGCGGGTTGAGGCCGAGCAGCTCGCAGTCGGTGTCGGAGATCTTCTTGAAGAGGTTGAGGACGCGCAGGGCGTTGAGGTCATCCTGGGCCTTCTTGTAGTGCTTCTCGACCTCGGCGTTGGAGCTGCGGGCCTCTTCGAGGGAGCGGTCGAAGACGATCTTGCTCGGCGGGGGCACCTTCTTCATCGAGGTGGAGGTGTTGAAGGCGCGGAACTGGTCGTGGGTGATCTTCAGGGCACTGGTCCCGGCCTTCTTGACGACGCCGTTGATGGCGCCGCAGGCCTCGCAGACGCGCGTCTTCCGACAGCGGTCGTTGATGCGCTTCGCGATCTGCATCCGGCGCAGGTTGTCGAGCGCCGGGCGCCGCATCTCGCGCAGAAACGCCCGCCGCTCGGCCTCGGGCAACAGCACGCGCGAGCACTCCTTACAGATCTCCTGGAGGATCCCGATCACCCGCTTGAAGTAGCCGACGTGGAAGGCCGGCAGGACGAGGCGCACATGGCCAAAGTGCCCGTTGCACTCGGCGAGTTTATGCCCGCACGTCGCGCACGACGCCGTCTTGTTCGAGATGCCCATCCGCGTGTCCAACGGGCCGTTTGGCACCACCGTGCGGTCATGGTCGAGATCGAAGAATTTGCGGTCCGACACTTCGACGACAGTCTGGCTCACGATATCATCGTTGGACCTGTCAACATCGCAATTAGCAATTATCAATGAGCAATATATCATAGAAAGGGATATTTTTTCATACAAAACTCCAAACTTCAACTCCTTGATCACCTTCGGGACGCTGTCGATGACCTGGGCCTTGCCCAGGTCCACCTGCACACCTTCAGGAGGCTGCATCTCACGAGGGCATACCGGGAGCGACCTCGAGTCGAATCAATGGCTTTTCTGCTGTTATCGCACAGGCAACTCGCCGGATCGCAGCTGGAGGTGAGGCGAGATGGTTGGTGACTGGCGGGGTTGGCCACGAACTTTTTTCTGAGGCTGGAAAGCTCCCCTCCAATCACGTGTCACCTGGCCAAATACTAAATAGTAAATACTCTGAGTAATAATAATACTACAGAGTCCATAGAATATATTCGAAAGAAGAATTTGAAATAGTTAATGGTTAATAAGACATAAATCAGTTTACGTAGTCAAGATGTTGAGGTTGTACTCATACTATATATACTGTCTACATATTGTCTATATATTGTCTAGCATATCTCACATGGATCATCTGGTAATCATAGGCTAGGTATACAATAGAAGTACATGTAGTAACTACTATAGAACACAGTAAGGGTAAGAGAACTAGTGGTTGGTAGTCTAAGAATTCGTAAATACAGGCAGACAGTGCTGCACATCAGCAAATCCACGGTGGGAAGGCCGGGAAGATGATCTCATTCGGATCAAGAAGGTAGTGGGCGGGTCAAGAATATAATATAATATAATATAAGAATTCACAGAAACCATCGCGGCAAGAGGAAAAAAAAAAAAAAAAAAAAGAGAAGAGCCCTATTTCACCTCGTTCGCGTCGGAAAACGGACTTTCCCCGCGGATAGGGAGGTCTGCCACAAGTCCCGTCGAGCTCATGGTCCGGCGGTGGCGCTCTTTGGCGGAGACAGCCTCCTCCTGTTCCTCGGGTTGATCTTTGAAGGGGCTCTGCTCGGCATTGGCATTATCATGGGAGATTGTGACCGTGACTGTTGTTGCAGTGTCGGTCTGGTTGTGCGTGGGGGAAGAAGAAGAAGAAGAAGAAGAAGGAGAAGAGGTTGCTCCATCAGCGGTGGTTGGTCTGGACTCGGGCTGCTCCTCGGTGATGGTGAGGACCGGGGTGGCACCGGCGGTCGGGGCGCTGGGTTTGGGCTTGCCCGAGCGCGTGACGGTGACGGGTTTGGCGGTGACGGTGCGGGCAACGATGGAGCTATTGTTCATGGAAGGGCTGGAGATGGCCTGGGCGTGGGCGATCTGGGTCGGGCTGATGGCGGGGACGGCGGGGACGCCCGAGAGCGAGGTGGCGGCGGCGTCGTCGTCGTCGTCGGCGCTGGTGTTGTGGATGCTCACGACGGCGGCGCGGGAGCGCATGATCTGCTGGGCGGGCATGGGGCTGACGATGGCGTTGTTCCGATAGATGGTGGTGGCGACGCTGCTGCGCAGACTGGGCGAGATGCTCTGGTGGCCCGACAGACCGGACCAGGCGGAGTCGCGGAGATCGCCGGGCATGAAGAAGTGTTGATCCGGGGCGGCGCCGGGCAGCGGAGGCACGGGGGGCACCAGGTGGTCGGGGGTGTCGGATGGGGAGCGGTTGGTGACGCCGGGGATGTATGCGATCTGGATGACGTTGGAGGCGCGGGTGAGGACGGTGGACGCGATGGAGTTGGTGGACTTGCGCGCCTGTTGGGCGTTGGACAGATTGCTCTGGCAGTCAACTTTCTCGTGGACGGAGCGCATGCTGGTATCCTCTCGGGCGATGGTTTCCTCTTGCTGGCGCTTCTTGCGGATGACGAACCACCAGACGAGGAAGGTCACGATGGCGACCAGGGCAAGACCGCCGATGACGCCGCCGGCGATGGCGCCGGCGTTCGTCCCGCCCCCCGTCGATTTTGCTGGTGTGCTGGCGGCAGTGGTGGTGGTCGGGTCCTTGACGCAGGAGGTGGTGGCACAGGCGGTACACGACTCGCTGGTCATCGTACAGGTGTATCCATCGGCACAGGTCGGGCATGCGGGCGCGGAGGACGAGCACGAGACGCACCGTTTGAAAACCGAACGGGCAGAGAAATCGATTGGAGAAAACGAGTCGCTGAAGTGGAGAGACATGGTGGTGGTGGTGGTTGGTGGGTAGGTAAAAGAGAGTACGGGTAATCGTTCGTCGTCAAGGGGGATAACCAGAAGTCGAATAGAGTATATAACAATTGAACAGAGAGACGGAGAGATGAGAACGAGAAGAATCCAATAAAAATCGCCGTCAAGATTTTTTTTTGAATAAAAAAAATAAAAGGAGTGGCAGGCCGGTCAACGGCGAGAGACGAGAGCGAGGGAGGGACAAAAAGCGCAGATGCTCCAACGAACGTCAAGTCGTGAGCGATTTGGTCATCAAACGAGTGGAAAAAAAAAATACAATAAATGCAATAAAACAAAATGGAAACAAAAGGAGTGTCTGGGTAGGATAGATGTTGATTCGCAAGTCAGGGACTGATACGCATAGTTATTCCTCGCGATCAACCCTCACTGATCGAGGCGGTCGCATACAAAACGGGCGGTTGGGGGGGTCGGGTACTGAGGGAGTAAAGCTGTCGACTGAGAGGCGAGAAGACGGCAGGAAGATGGACAGACGTCGTGGTATCGTCTGGAAGGATAAGATGGAGATGAAGATGAAGAGGAAGATAGAAATGACGATGAAGACGATGGAGACAGGACAGGAGAAAAGAATTGGCCGTGGGCGAGAAGAGGAGAGAGAGAGGGAGAGAGGGAGGGTGGAGGGAGGGTGGAGAGGGCGAACGTGTGCAAGCGTCACTAGCTGTCTTGGGTATTGGCACGCACTGCTAGGTACCTAGTAGGTCCTAGTTATTATTAAACATACTATAGTATATAGTTACTACATAACTATAGTATATAAAATATACTAAATATTTACTAATAACTAATGAATCTTTGAAGAATAGACATCTGAAGAATAACCATATATTATGAAGAACCAGTCCTACTAGGTACTACCTATCTGTCCGTCTAATAGTGGCACTGGCAGTACTTTGGTGCGTGGCATAAGCGGCCCACGTTCCTCCTGGCCCGCCCACGCACACGGGAAATTAATTAATTTCAGCCTTCTGGATTACCTGCAGACGGCACCAACAGTCGAGACCAGCATCAACACAACATGTACTACCTAACATTATGAACTGATTGTTATTATCTAGAGTGCTCCGGACGGAGTACTCTGTACCACATGAAAATAATGGCTACTACATACTCCGTACATACTCCGTACTCTGTTGTCAGACCAATATTGTTGACGACCTGCCACGCGGCCCCTTGTTCATATGGAGGAACGGAGTAGGGAAACTTCCGAGTGTAGGTTCTTACTAAGAGGAATAGTATGAATATTATTGCATATTATGAATAGCAGATCTACTGATCTAGACTGCTAATCCAGCCTCAACAACTTAATCTTATGCCACAGATCAGTAGTGAGTACTTACTGATAGAAGTCTTTCTACTCTACCGAGAAAATAACAATGCTTGAGGCATGAGATAATTATTCTGCAGTCATTCGACTGTGGCTTAGCCTCGTGAGACAGGATCGTGCTGCTAATAATATGTACGGATCAACGCCTGAACCCTCAGGCACCTTGCTTTGAGAGAGGTAACTATATAGTATAACCATAGTAACTATATAGTAATACCTAATTACCTATACCCTATGTCTACAATTCAATATACTAAAATGACCAAGTAGTCAGTTATAAATATGGACAGTCTGATTCTAACTCTAGCGGTGGAGATTAAAATCTAGGTGTCCTAGTAGACGGGTAGATAATCTTCTTAGTTGTCTAGAGTGTGTATCTTAGTACTAGAGTCAGTAAGAGTTAACAGTACTTCACTAGTTATACTACATATTAGTTCCTAATTATTGATACAGAGTACAGAGTATTATACTCTATATAGTTATATGCTATTTATCAATGATAGACTACAGGCAAGACACTTCTTGAATTGAACCCCTGCACATCATCCAAGAATAGAACACAGGCTTAGTCAGGGTTATATTTAGAAGACGGTACTATGGTACTGAATTGTGGATAGGATCAACATAATGGTAGGACTTGACTTCGCTAACTAATAAGTCATCATTATACTCGGTAAGTAATGATATATAAATCATAGATAAGAGTATGAATATCAACAGATATAATCTAGCCGAAGAGATCCATAGAATGAAGGGATGGAATGTGATCAATCCATGGCATCTGAGGTGCTTCCTAGGTAATTACTAGGTACCTACCTACTGTAGTGGCTCTCCCTGACAATACCATACATACCATACATACCATACATACCATACATACCATACTCAATAATCAATACTCAATACTCAATACTCAGCTGCAGTGGGGCCGCTAATTACCCCGTAACCCGCCAGACCCTGACCAAGGGTCTTTCAGGGTTCAACAATTAGCTATAGCTGAGTCTGTCGGATTCAACGGGAGAGAGATGAATGGATGGTGAAATGAATAGATGGGAACAATGTAAGAGATGGAACCCTCATCGATCAGCAGAGACCTACCGCAGATTCCACGTATTATTGCCATACCAAGTGAGCAGCAGGTATGCGTGGCGGCCTCGGGCACAAAAAGGGTCTGAAGGGTCTGAAGGGTCCGAAGGGTCTGAGGTCTGAAGGTCTGAAGAGTCTTCAAGCACAGAGGAAAAGAAATGTCTGTGTAGATGTAGTAGAATCATTGATTAGATCTCTCTCTCTCTCTCTCTCTCTCTTCTATTATTATCATCTCTGTTATTCTCAGTCTACACCTGTCAGGGTCCGAAAATTAATACCCACCCAACCCAGCCTCAGCCAGTGTTCTTCACCCTCCAACCACACAGCCTCCAGTGCTGGACCACCTTTCTTTCTTCTGAAACCACCCTGCCTCCTTTCCCCCCCCCCCCTTCCTCTCTGCTCATCTAGCGTCCTGTTTTTATTTTCTGTACTCACTACCTACCTTTCTGCTGCAAGAAGGTACAGAGAATATTCCTCTCTCGTCTGCCACAACATCGTCTTTCGTTGAGAAACAGGCGACAGGCATCATCCTTCCTAGTGGGCTTCCTTCAGCCCTGGCGGCTTACCTCCTCCTCCTCCTGCTCCTGCTGCGCCTGCGTCTCCATCTTTGGCTTGTCTTGCCTATTTTTTATTTTTATTTTTTTGCTTTCTTGCTTTCTTTCTTTTTATTTTATCGGTCGCTGGATCTGCTTTCGTCAACACTTCCTCCTCCTTGTTTCGTTGAGATACCCGTCGGCCTTGCTTCGTCTGTTTGGTTCGATCATAACAACTGCTTCTCCCTTGCACCATGGCGTACAGTGGCACAGGTGCACATTCACCGGGGGCCTACGATGAGGGCCAGGGGAGCCCTGAGGGCCACCGACTGCAGGATCTGGGCAACTCCAATGTAAGTGAGATGGAAATCTGGTTTTTGATTACCCCCCTCCGAGGTGTCGGTCACCAAACTAACTGCCTGCCCTGCGCAGTACGACGATGAGGCTGCTCGAGGACTCCTCAGTCAGCAGGGCCCCTTCACCGGCGGGCCCTTTGACGACCCCCACCAGCGTGGTGCCTCGCCCGCACGACCCATCTCGGGCTACAGCTTGACGGAAACGTACGCCGCAGACGCGCCCGCATACCATGACCCCTACAACACCGCCGGGTCGACCTATTCGGCCCAGTCTCTCGAGAGCCCCGCGGCCGCGTTTGGCGTCCCCGGCCGCGTTGCCTCCCCGTATGCGCGCAGTGAGACCTCGTCTACCGAGGCCTGGCGACAGCGTCAGGCGCCTGGCGGAGCCGGTGGTGGCCTGCGCCGCTATGCGACTAGGAAAGTCAAGCTGGTCCAAGGCTCCGTCCTCAGTGTCGACTACCCGGCCCCGAGCGCCATCCAGAACGCCATCCAGGCCAAATACCGCAATGATCTTGAGGGCGGCAGTGAAGAGTTCACCCACATGCGATGTAAGACCGTTTTATTCTTCTTCTTTTGCAATTCCCTTAACCTCAATTAGATACCGCGGCAACCTGCGATCCCAACGAGTTCACCCTGCACAATGGCTACAACCTGAGACCCGCCATGTACAATCGCCACACTGAGCTGCTCATCGCCATCACCTACTATAACGAGGACAAGCAGCTGACCTCCCGTACCCTGCATGGTGTCATGCAGAACATCCGCGACATCGTCAACCTCAAAAAGTCGGAATTCTGGAACAAAGGTGGTCCCGCCTGGCAAAAAATTGTCGTCTGTCTCGTGTTCGATGGTATCGATCCTTGCGACAAGGATACCTTGGACGTCCTGGCTACCATCGGTATCTACCAGGATGGCGTTATGAAACGCGATGTTGATGGCAAAGAGACCGTCGCCCATATTGTAAGCCCTATGAAGAGAAGTTACCTTTTTTTTTTTTTTTTTTTTTTTTTTTTTTCTTTTCCAAACTAACACCCGCAGTTCGAGTACACCACACAACTATCGGTGACCCCGAATCAGCAGCTGATCCGGCCCACTGACGATGGCCCGTCGACGCTGCCTCCTGTGCAGATGATGTTCTGCCTGAAACAGAAGAACAGCAAGAAGATCAACTCGCATAGATGGCTGTTCAACGCATTTGGCCGCATTCTCAACCCCGAAGTCTGTATTCTGCTCGATGCAGGTACCAAGCCCGGTCCCAAGTCCCTGTTGCACCTGTGGGAAGCCTTCTACAACGACAAGGACCTCGGAGGCGCCTGTGGTGAGATCCATGCCATGCTGGGCAAGGGCTGGAGAAACCTGATCAATCCCCTGGTCGCCGCCCAGAATTTCGAGTACAAGATCAGTAACATCCTCGACAAGCCCCTCGAGAGTTCTTTTGGATACGTCAGCGTGTTGCCCGGTGCCTTCTCAGCCTACCGCTTCCGCGCCATCATGGGCCGTCCGCTGGAACAATATTTCCACGGTGACCACACCCTGTCCAAACAGCTCGGCAAGAAGGGTATCGAGGGCATGAACATCTTCAAGAAGAACATGTTCCTGGCCGAGGATCGTATCCTGTGTTTCGAACTGGTCGCCAAGGCGGGCTCCAAATGGCATCTTTCCTACGTCAAGGCCTCCAAGGGTGAGACCGACGTTCCCGAGGGAGCGCCCGAGTTCATCTCCCAGCGTCGTCGTTGGCTGAACGGCTCCTTCGCCGCCGGCATCTATTCCCTCATGCACTTTGGTCGCATGTATAAGAGTGGTCACAACATCATCCGCATGTTCTTCCTGCACATCCAGATGTTGTACAACGTCTTCCAGACCATTCTTTCCTGGTTTTCATTGGGTAAGTCTTCAACGCTGTTCCTTCTTCACCCAGCTAACCCGGTGTCTAGCCTCGTACTGGTTGACTACTTCGGTCATTATGGACCTGGTCGGCACTCCCAGCGCCTCCAACGGCGAAACTGCCTTCCCCTTTGGTGCCACTGCCACTCCCATTGTCAATACCATCCTGAAATACATCTATCTTGCCTTTTTGCTGTTGCAGTTTATCCTGGCGTTGGGTAACCGTCCCAAGGGGTGAGTTTTTTCTTCTTCTTCTTCTTCTTCTTCTTCCTTCTTCTTTCTTCTTCCTTGTGATTGAGAGGTTCTAACTCGTCTTCAGATCCAAGTTTTCATATCTCTCCTCGTTTGTCGCGTTTGGTGTCATCCAGGTCTATATCATCATCGATTCCATGTACCTCGTTGTGCATGCATTCAGCGGTGGCACACCCATGGACTTTGTGACCGATCAGGGCGTGGGAGCATTCCTGAAATCCTTCTTCTCGTCCACGGGTGCCGGTATCATCATCATTGCGCTGGCCGCGACCTTTGGGCTGTATTTCGTCGCGTCGTTCATGTACATGGACCCCTGGCACATGTTTACCTCGTTCCCGGCCTACCTGCTCGTGCAATCGTCGTACATCAACATCCTGAACGTCTATGCGTTCAGCAACTGGCACGATGTCTCGTGGGGTACCAAGGGTGCCGACAAGGCGGATGCCCTGCCCTCGGCCAAGACGACCAAGGACGAGAAGAGCAGCGAGGCCGTCATCGAAGAGATCGACAAGCCTCAGGCCGACATCGACAGCCAGTTCGAAGCCACGGTGAAGCGAGCCCTGACGCCGTACGTTGCCCCGAAGGAACACGACGAAAAGACGCTGGAGGACTCGTACAAGAGCTTCCGAACCCGCCTGGTCACCCTGTGGATTTTCAGCAACGGCCTGCTCGCGTTATGCATCACCAGCGATGGTCTAGACAAATTCGGTTTCACGGTAAGATTTCACATTCAATAGCTTCCATACATGAAGGGATGGTACTAATCTAATTCTTTCTCCAGTCCTCCGCCACCGAGCGTACCTCCCGCTTCTTCCAGGCCCTCCTGTGGGCCAACGCCGCCATGGCCCTCTTCCGTTTCACCGGCGCGTGCTGGTTCCTGGGCAAGACGGGGATTATGTGCTGCTTCGCCCGTCGGTAAACGGGCGGTCATGTTCGCCACCTGTCGGGCTGGCGGACCCCGTCCTTGTGGCACATTCCTCGATTTGTATTCTACATACTGTTGTCTGCTTTTTTTCTCCACACTGGTCTTTACGTTGTTGTTTTCTTCGCGTCGATCTAATGTCAGGGTGACATTTACGTCTTAGTCTTAGCGATACACGAATGGACATTATGTCTAGCGTAACCACTACTGGTAAATAGGAGTCTGTAAATCTGGATTGTAGGGACGGTCTTGGTCTTGTCCTTGGGTGATTGAAGGAGATCTTATCGGGTCTCGTGTGGCAACCCCACTAACTCCCACCGAGCTACAACCGTCTCAGCCTACAGTCGACACTGTATCTTGGATATTCTCTAGCATATCGTCTACACACACAAAATGTTGAAGATATGGTCTATGGTATGTATGCTGTTCCCAAGCCTGTCTCCTCACTGCTCACCTGTCAGAAACAACAACAGCAAAAGGCCGAGAACGCCGAGGGGGGCAAGAAGAAGAAGAAGGTGACGGCGGCACAGCTTAGAGTGCAGAGAGGTATTTTTTTTTTTTCTCCTTTATCATTTCTGATGTTTTCTAATTCTGATTTTTTCTTTCCCTCTTTTTAGATCTCCAAGAACTGGCCCTCGGGTCGACGATGAAAACGACGTTCCCCAACCCGGACGACATCCTCAACTTCACGCTGACGATCGAGCCAGACGAGGGCATGTACAAGGGCGGCACGTTCAGCTTCACCTTTACGATCAACCAGAACTTCCCGCACGACCCGCCGAAAGTGAAATGCTCGCAGAAGATCTACCATCCCAACATCGACCTGGAGGGGAACGTGTGTCTGAATATCCTGCGGGAAGACTGGAAGCCTGTTTTGAATCTGAACGCGGTGATTGTGGGGTTACAGGTAACACTCTATTCTCTTCTCTATACCCTATACTCTCTATTGAGTGTGTTCTAAAAGTCAATAGTTCCTCTTCCTTGAACCCAACGCGTCAGACCCCCTTAACAAAGAGGCAGCCGAGGATCTCCGACTGAACCGCGAGGCGTTCAAGCGGAATGTCCGGACGGCCATGGGCGGGGGGGCAGTCAAGGGGATTACCTATGAGAGGGTGATATGAAGTCTAGCATGATTATGATATAGATTACGATTGTACGATTGCTATGATGAGTCTACGTGTAGTGTAAAGTCTACGTGTAGAGTGCAGTGTACAAGTGTAGAGTGTTAAAACAGTGTATTCACATCCTATCCCTCCCGATTATGCCTGGGCAAGACGCTCCTGCTCGAGCTTGGTGTAGTAGGTATCACGGGCACGAACGCGAGGCAGGTGGAAGCCTAGACGATTAGACTATGAGGATAGAGACGAGGATAGAGCGAGGATAGAGCGAGGATAGAGCGGGGATAGAGCGAGGATAGATGATACGTACCGTACCACCAGAGGTAGCCGAAGGTGGTGCCGAAACCTGGACAGAGTCAGTACGGATTGTCCGGAAGTGCAGGACAGAGAAACTCACCAAAGGCAGTGCTCAGGTCGAGGACGAGGCCGCGGCGGAGCATCTAGATGATTTATTAGCGATGTCCATTGCTGAGGTCTTCCATCTGAAGTTCTCGAAATCGAAATCTCCAGTCTTTTTGAGTCAATTGCTTGGACTGAGGACATACGCCGGTGATAGGAGGAAGAGCAGCCATTGTGCAAACAGCAAGGGGTTTCTTTTCGATCGAGAGAGGAGCGAGTAACGCGGCGTGGGTTCAGACCGAGAGGAGGTGAAGACGACGGGATGGGAGGAATGGGATGATGTTCGCCGGAGAAGCTTTGCTGCGTAAGCGAGGGAGGGAGTGGTCTGACGGAACGAGATTAGTATCGCTGGCTTGGTATTGGATCTTGTCGACCAGATGCACTGAGTCTGGGTAGATAGATGGATATTTTATTATCTTAGTTTAATTCTAGACAGTATAATAATTACAAACTATTCACTGGGCCTCAACAGTTCCTGTGAGACTCTGCCACTTCTTCTGTCAAGACCGCATCCCTTATAATACTCCTGTTCCGTCACGTGATCCAGTTCTGCCGCTGCGGCTGCCATCTCAGACTCGTCTCTCACCCAGATGGAGGAGATATTGGATACTCATCTCCATCGTCATGCCCTCGCCAGCACCTGTGATCAAGCGTTCCAGCTCGTCAGGCCCTGTGCCCGCCCTCGAACCGGACGCCAGACGCTTCAAACGTCCCTACCACCACCACCACCGTCTGCTGAACCCTGTCGTCCCGGCGCTGGCAGAGCCCGCCGTCACGGATAATGTCTGCGTCGAGGAGCTGCTGAACCGGTCGATCGGGCAGGCTCTACGGGAGTCTGGATTCGACCTTGCGGATCCGGCAGCGCTGGAGAGTTTCCGGGTTGCGACCGAGGAGTGTAGGCGTCTATAAAGAGAGGAGGAGAAAGAGAGCTACAAGAATTGTATCAAGTTCTAACGTTTTTATTGACGGTCTAGACATCATTCGCTTCTCTTCCTATGTACGCCAGTCGATGCTTTCCTGCCGTCGCATCCAACCGATCCCTCAAGATTTTGAACACGCCCTGCGTCGAAACCGACTGCACTCCGACGACCTCCTACCCTACCTAAAAACCGCACAGCCGACGCCGACCTTACTGCCCAGCCCGCCGCCGGAGGACGAGGAGGTGTTCAAACCCCTGCCGTTCCTTGGCCCGCAGTTGAGCGGGGAGGACGAGCGCGTCCGACACGCGTACATCCCGTCGAATTTCCCCGAGTTCCCCAGCAAACACACGTACTGTCATACACCGGTCTTCACCGAGCGAGAACGCGACCCGCGCAAGATCCGGGAGCGCGCCACCGAGGACGGCCGCCACGGCGAAGAGGCCCTGCGCAAGCTGGCGCGCGCCGCGTTCAAGGACAACCAGTCTGCAGCGGCTGGGCGGGACAAGAAGCTGTGGGGCCGCCGCATGGAAAGCATGGACAGCATGTTCGAGAAGACCATCAAGGGCCTCACCAAGAAGATGCACAAGGAGTCGTCGGCGGTCGCGGTCGGCGGGGAGGTTGACCTGCCGGGCGAGGCTCCCACTCGCACCAAATCTTCCCTTCTGAGCCTCGAACTCGGACCCATCGTCAACTGCGAGCGGGACTTGTGGCGCCGAACGACAGCGGGCAGTCGTCGGGTCGAGGAGAAGCCTGTCGAAGCGAAGGACGTTGCGACAACCACCAGGGTCGAAAGCTGGGTGGGCACGTAACCTAGCACGTTATGAGCGGAAGCGTTGGCGTTGGCGTTGTCGTTGGCTTTGGCGTTGGCTTTGGCGATTTTCTTCTTCTTCCTCTTTTTATTTGTCGATGGCAAGATACCCAAGATATTTCAATAGAACATGCCCGATCCGAACCCCCGTTTTCCACACCGAATATGCAAGTTATGCCGTAGCTTTCTGTGTAGCCTCCAAGCGAGCCCGTTCAGCCTTTTCCTCTTCAGCCAGCCGTATCGGTTCCCAAGCCGTCGTCTCAACCGTTAAACCATTGGCGCATCTAAAGATATCAACACCTGACGCTTTTCTCTTTCTCTCTCGTTTTCCAGACGTACCTCCTGAACAACCGCACAATGGGTGTACACACGACCTGTCCCGGGCTGGGAACCCCCTTCTGCGGCGGATTGCACGAGTACTGCACCATTTCAAACAGCGGGCAGTCCGTCAGGTTGACCTGTGGTCCCTTGCGGCGTTTCTCCCGGTAGTTCTTCGTCACGGTGTTGACATGGTCGGGGAGGGTTGCGACGTCGAACATGGGGACCAGGGGGGCCATTTTAGAAATCTCAGTAGATAGAAAATGTTATTTATGAGCTGAATACGGAGTACAGTGTATGTGGTGATGTGATGTGATGTTGGGAAGGAGGTTGGAGGAGGTCAACAAACTCGGATAGAGATTGGGCGGTAGTTATCTCCATCACCTAACTCTCATAACTAAAGAGCTCTCATAACCAACGAACTCATAAACAACGAACTCATAACAACTACTTCTTGCACCTCTTCTACCAGCAAATGATTGCCGCATGGCCGCCAGTATTGGGGAGAGCTTGCTGTCTCAGGTGCACGAAGAAGGGCTAGACGGGGTGAGCATTGATTACTGCCTACGCTGGACATGGCTGATATTTCGCCCGATAATCTAGCTGCTTGATGATCTGTGGGCTCTCTCCAACGGCCAGGACGGGCCAGCGTATCGATCCGGCGTGAAAGGGCTGGACAAGCTGCTCGCAGCCCAGGCAGAGAGACGGCAAACCGACGATGAGAACCGGTCTACGCCGATCAAACGGGGAGACCCCGTCGTGGAGATCTCGAGCAGCTCGTCGGGAGCCGGCAAGACGCAGCTGCTCTACTATCTGGCCGCCATGGCTGTTCTACCCACTACGTACGACGAGGTGATGCTGGATGGACAGCACGCGGCGGTGGTGTGGATCGACAGCGACGGGCGGTTTGACGCGCAGCGTCTCCGGGTCGTCGGCCGGGGGATCGTGCGTGAGAAGTTGCTTGATGACCAACAGGGAGGCTCTGCTACCGATGCAGAGATTGATGCCCTCGTGTACGCTTCCTTGCAGCATGTGCACGTTTTCCGGCCGGAATCGTCATCGGCGCTCCTCGCGACGCTCCGCAGTCTAGAGACGTACCTGTTCGACGAGACCCGGCATCCCTCTGCCGCACGGAGACTCCACGGCCTCTTCATCGACAGTGTGGATGCGTTTTTCTGGCAGGATAGACTGCGCGACGAGGTCGCTCGGATCGAGGAGATCGGCCGGCCGGTCGCTGAGACTGCGGCGGAGCGAGACACCCGGCTGAGTTTCGTTCTCTCGACGCTGCACGCCGACCTCGTGCACGAGCTGCAACGCCTGCAACGCCTGTTCCATTGCGCCGTCGTCTTCACCCGAGGCCCTGGCCGCCCGGTGCCGCCGTGGGGCGCCTTTCCAAGTCTGCGTCTTGCAGTGCAGAGGGATGTTGTTCGGCGGTTTGCTCCCGAGATGTCGGCGAGGGAGGCTGAGCAGGAGGCCGCCCAGCGACATGCGGTGGTGAGTCGGGGACGGTTTTCGGTTCATGCGATGGACACGGGATTTTCCTTCTATGTTGGCGATGACGTTTCTTTCATTGATTCGTTCAATGAGTGATGAATTGTTTCTGATGTCTTCTTTGTATATATAAGTGTATTAGAATATGTGCTCTAAGTAAACAATTTACCAATCGCCTCGACGGTGGTATTGCCTCCACTAAACACGATTCCAACATCCCATCCCTGATCCCCCCCCTCTTTCTCGACGAGACGTCTGAACTCCTCGTTAAACAGACACACGGCCAAGCCGACGACAGCGCTCGGCTCGACGACGACCTTCATCCGCTCCAGGACCAGCCTCATGGCAGCCTTGATCTGCTCCTCGGTGACGGCATACACGCCCGCCACTTTGCTAGGATCCGAAATGACCGCCCAGTTCAGGATCCCGACGGGCGTGCGCAGCCCGTCCGCGATGGTCAACGTCTTGACGCTCTCCACGCGGACTCCCCCCTCTAGACCGCGCCGACAGTCATCCGCGCCCTCGAACGAAGGCTCCGCGCCAAACACCTTGGTGGTCTTGTCGGAGAAGTACGTCGCCACGCCGGCGTTGAGCCCACCCCCACCGATGGGTGTGATGACTGCGTCTAAGACCTTCTGTTCAGGATGCACGCTTAACCGCGGCGTTTGCTCGACCAGTGCCTCGTACTGAGCCTGCATTTCTAACCCGGTCGTCCCCTGTCCGCAAATAACGTTTGCGTCGTCGTAGGGCGGCACGAGAATCGCCCCCGTCTGAGCCTGTAGATCACGCACCACGGCTTCGCGCTCCTCGCTCGTCGATCCGCTGAACACTACCGTCGCCCCGTGGGCGCGCGTCCCTGCTATCTTCGAGGGGGTCGAGATCTCCGGCATCACCACGTACGCGGGGATATCCAGTGTTTTGGCTGCTAGGGCGAGAGCTTGTGCATGATTCCCTAGATTGAAATAAGTATAAGGAAATAGATATCGAAAAAGATATATTGGGTTAAACTTGCCTGAGCTATGGGTGATGACACCCCTCGTTCGCACGTCTTCACCACCCTGTAACAAACGGATCAAGGCGTGGAAGGCGCCCCGGGCCTTGAAGGCGCCGATACGCTGGTAATTCTCGCATTTGAAAAAGAAGCGGAAGCGTGGATGGGCGGGTTCGAGGCCTGCGAAGGGGGTGTTGGCCAGGTCGGCGACCGACTGCGGGGTGGACGCGAGGGTGTCGAGCGTTGAGCAGGTTAAGAGCGGGGTGCGGTGGATGTGAGGCGTGATCAGGGTGTAGGCTTCTTGGATCGAGGCTGGAGAGAGGTCCATTTTGATTTAATAGGAGTGGCAGTAGAATTGAAATGAGAGAGAGAGAGAGAGATGAAATGGAGTGGTAAGATAAATGCGGATATGGCGTAAGTGGGAGGAGAATTAGACAAGCCGAGCTTTCTACGTAGTGTTTCGATACGAGTGGTTTTTACAAGATTCGATTGAGAAAGTAGAAAAAATGAATTGACCCAAACACCATGATATCATTACAGCTTTTTATAATCACAAAAGGAGGAGGATTTACTTCTGGTTCTCCGGGCGGAGAGAGCGGACGGCCTTGCCGGCGCGCCAGATCTCGAGCTCACGGATCTCCTCCATCTCCTTCTCGTACTTCTCACGGTAGTCCTTCTGGGAGTTGTACTCGAGGGAGCGCTTGGTCTCGGAGCCGTCACGGACGGAGTCGTAGAGCTCGTTGAAGAGGGGCTTCAGGTTGTCCTTGAAGCGGCTGGACCAGTCGATGGCGCCACGGCGGGCGGTGGTGGAGCAGGCGGCGTACATCCAGTCCATGCCGTTGCCACCGATGAGGGGGTAGAGAGACTGGGTGGCCTCCTCGACGGTCTCGTTGAAGGCCTCGGAGGGGCTGTGGCCGCGCTCGCGGAGGACCTCGTACTGGGCGAGGAACATGCCGTGGATACCGCCCATGAGGCAGCCACGCTCACCGTAGAGGTCGGAGTAGACCTCCTTCTCGAAGGTGGTCTCGTAGAGGTAGCCGGAGCCGACGGCGACACCCATGGCGATGGCCTTCTCCTTGGCGTTGCCGGTGACGTCCTGGAAGACGGCGATGGAGGAGTTGATACCACGGCCCTCACGGAAGAGGGTGCGGACGGTGCGGCCGGAGCCCTTGGGGGCGACGAGGATGACATCGATGTCCTTGGGGACGTCGACCTTGGTCAGGTCCTTGAAGACGGGGGAGAAGCCGTGGGAGAAGTAGAGGGTCTTGCCCTTGGTCAACAGGGGCTTGACCTGGGGCCAGGTCTCGCTCTGGGCGGCGTCGGAGAGCAGGTTCATGACGATGGTACCCTTCTCGATGGCGGTGCTGACGTCGAACAGGTTCTTGCCGGGGACCCAGCCGTCCTGGATGGCCTCCTTCCACGAGGCACCATCCTTGCGGACACCGACGATGACGTTGAGGCCCTGGTCCCGCAGGTTGAGACCCTGGCCGTGGCCCTGGGAGCCGTAGCCGATGAGGGCGAGGGTGTCGTTCTTGAAGAACTCCTGCAGCTTCTCACGGGGCCAGTCCTCGCGCTCGTAGACGGTCTCCTTGGTGCCGGCAAAGTCAATGGTCTTGATGCCACGGGCGGGGGTCACCATGGCCACGCGGGGGACAGCGGCGGCGCTGGCCAGGGCCGGGCGAGGCAGGGCAGCGGCGACGACGGAGCGAGGAGCGGCCACGCGGGCCAGGCGGAGGGCACGGGGAAGGGTGCGAGAAGCCATTGTGATGGGTGGTGAGGATGGTGAGGATGGAGGAGGATGGAGGAGGATGAACTCGAGGAATTGAGGGGAGTGGAGAGGAGAGAAGCTGAGTGAAGGAAGAAACGGTGAGGAAAAAAAAGCGACGGAGACCAGCTCTTATAAGAAATAAGCTCGGGGCGGGAGTCATTGACTTTGGTGCGCACGTGATCCCGGAGTCGGGTTGGAGCTCCCCGGCCGATGTCGGATTTGTGCACCCGCTCCCCGAGGTGAGTCAAGAGATTTCCATTAGTAGAGAATGAATGAGAGGCACGGAGATCTGGGGAAGAGGTGGCAAATCGCAGGGCCAGGATACGTAAGAAGACTGATTTGAGCTATTCCTCTGTGCTGCGTAATGACTCAGTGGCTAGCTTAGAGAGAACAGTTCGTCGTCAAGTGGTTACGGCGTAGGTAGTACCTAGTATAGACTGCCATACCTGTTAGTTCTTGTTGGTACTACCTAGTATTAGGTATTACCTGTTGGCTGTAGATGTACTGTACTTGTGTACTGTACTTGAGGGTACTTCCTACCTGTAGTATTTGTCTTGCCTTGGTCGAGGACTGCTCGGCAGTGATGCCTATTGCCTCAGGCACCGATAACTAATCACGTGCCTGATTACTAATCAATGACTATCACATGATGTTGTTAGTAATCAATACATCACATGATACTGATTACTCACCATCACATGACACCAATTACTCATCATCACATGATGCAGATGCTCAGCTGCCAGCATCTCAACCTGGACTGGGAGTTTCTTCTGTCCTCCGTCACCATCACTTCAATTGCTTCTCTCCCAAAGTACCTACCGGGTACAGAAGTACCCTACAGATCTGCAACGAGCAAATGCTGCAGAGCCAACGCTCTGTACTTCTGCCCTCCCTCTTATCCACCTGCCACGCTAACCCGATCTGCTCCGCGCTCAACACAGCACTCGGGCGTTGCTCGCAGACAACGACAACAGACAGCTCCTGGACGCCGCAAGGCAGTCTGCAGTGCAACCCAGACCTTGTCGAGAACTATCCTCACACCCTCAATATGTCTTGTTCCAGTCCTGTCCCCAGGTAGCCTTGCTCTAGCCCTTTCCGTTTTGCTCCTATTATGAAAGTACTTCCTCACGACATGCTTCTCTCTCTCCTGTTTCGTTCCCTGTTTTCTTTGTTCCTTTTTTTTTTTTTTTTTTTTTTTTTGTCCTCGTCGCCCTCCCTCTTTCGCTGTCTCGAGTCTCGCCCGGTAATCGCCCGGGCCTCTGCTTAGACATCTCATTCCCACCGGTTCACGCTCCGAATATGTCGATAGCACCATGAACTTCTTCGCTTGCGTCGAAAACCTGCCCGCCGTTCAGACCCGCAAGGCCCTCCTCCTTCTTGACCTCCAGAACGACTTTATCCGCCCCAATGGGGCTCTACACGTCTCCAATACGGCCGACTTCCTTGACCAGCTGCCTACACTCACTCAGGCCTTTCGCCGGGTCGGCGATGTCTTCTGGGTGCGCTCCCACTACGAGACCCGCCGCAGGCTTGTGGATCCCCAAACCCAGGACGATCGGATTATTTTGAGTGAGTCACGGCCACGACCACAACTGGAGCAAGATCGAGAAGAAGGAGTCCCACACCACCATCAACAAATAGAGGCGGATGATGATCCCGTGCAGCAGCAGCAGCAGCAGCAGCAGGAGGAGGATGACAATGCAGTGGCCGCCGCCACCTCCGACGTTGCGGTGCCGGAACCCCCCGCCGACGACGAGGAGGCCTTTCTTTCGGTTGAGCCTGCCCGATGCTGTCTCGCAGGCTCGGCAGGCTTTCAGTTCCCGGCGCCCATCCTGACCGCCATCGACTCGGAACGGGACACCGTGCTGGAAAAAACGGACTATTCGGCCTTTGCCAGCGAGGGGCTCGTGCAATCCTTTCGCTCGCGCTTTGTGACAGAGGTGTACCTGTGTGGATCGTTGTCCAACGTTTCCGTCTACGCTACCGCCCTCGACGCGGTGCGATATGGCTTCGCCGTCACCGTGGTGGAGGATTGCTTGGGCTTCCGCAAGTTTCCGCGGCACGCCGAGGCGATGCGACGTATGGCCGATATCCTGGGCGCCGACGGAATCACCACCACGGAGCTCTACGATGAGCTGGACTGGCAGGAAACTGATGCTATAGCTCGCAAGGGAATTTCGCGGCGCACCAACCGCTCGGTCATCCCCGCCGGTATCGAGGGCGTCATGGACGAGCTTGACGTTCGTACGAGTCCCAAAACCGTCCACTCGCGTGGGAAGAAAAAGAGGGCCGACCGGGGATCATCATCGTCATCTTTACCGGCCTCGTCTGCCGCTTCAGACGGGAGCCGCCGCCTTCGTGTCGCTGGGGCCTTGGCCGAAGCCACTGGCATGGAGAGTGATCTCAAGGCATCACTCCGAGATTTGGCTTCTCTCCGGTCTGCCCGCCGAAGCCAGGCGACTGCCTCCAATGCCGGGGATGCACAGGAAAAGAAGCGAGTTACACCGCGAGTTCGTCGACGACAGGAACCCAGCAACAGTGGACCCCCCTCAACAACCCCCTCGACCCCGGCGGAGCGACGGCCATCTACTAGGCCTCGGCCTGCCACCGACAAAAGAGCCGCCACCGCCCCCGACCGGCCCTTGCGCCCGGGCGATCGCATCGGTGAAGGGGATTCCCGCATCATCCACGATCTTGACCTTCCCGAAGATGCGTTTACGCAAATTCGCCGCGAGGTCGCCTGGCAGCATATGTACCATCTCTCCGGCCAGGTCCCGCGCCTGGTGGCAGTGCAGGGCCAGGCTCTACCGGAAGGGGCGATTCCCATCTACCGCCACCCCGCCGATGAGTCGCCGCCCCTGTTGCCTCTGTCGCGGATGGTCAACCAGGTGCGCATCCAGGTCGAGCGCATCGTCGGCCACCCGCTCAACCATGTCCTGATCCAGCTGTACCGCGATGGGCAGGATCGCATCTCAGAGCATTCGGACAAGACCTTGGATATTGTTCGCGGTTCATCGATCTGCAATGTCAGCCTGGGCGCCCAGCGCGTCATGGTTCTCCGCTCCAAGGAATCCGCTGCGACAACGACGTCGACAGACGAGCAGCAGCAGCAGCAGCAGCCTGATCCCGGCCGCAACAGTAGTGGCGGTCGAGATACACAGCGGGTGCCCATGCCACACGAGTCGCTCTTTATCCTCGGCCAGAAGACTAACATGAAGTGGCTGCACGGGATCCGACCGGACAAGCGGCCGGAGGTCTCGAAGACGGCCGAGGAACGAGCGTTCGGCGGGGAGCGGATCTCCCTGACCTTCCGTCAGATCGGGACTTTCATTGACCCGGCGCAGGATTTGATCTGGGGCCAGGGCGCCGTGTCCAAGACGCGCGAGCACGCCGGGCGCGCTATTCACGGCAATCCCGCCGAGACGGAACGCCTCGTCCGTTGTTTCGGGCAGGAGAACCGCTCGCTCGACTTGGACTGGGATGCATTGTACGGCGGCGGCTTCGACGTCGTCAACTTCATCACCGCCGTGACGGCGCGGCTTGTCCTCCGCGGGGATGCGATCGCCGACCTGCGTGTGCAGCTGTGTCTGACCGAAAACGGACTGCGGTATACCCCCGTCGCCGTCTCGCCGGGAAAAGACCTCGCGGGCAATGCTCTGGAAGACGACGTCCAGCGGCGGCCCTTGTATGTGAACGCGGACGGGGCGGCGGTCGCGGGGGACCTGGCCATCCTGACTCATTTTGCCCATCTCGCCGCCACTCAGCACGAGTCCCCTGCTCGGCCGGGAGTCGAGATGCTGCGCGGGGGGGATAAACTGGAGAAGATTGAGCGATTGCTACACATTTGGCGACAGTACCAAGCTACTACTACTGTCGCGAGTGAGCTAGAACATACTCTGTCCACGTGGGAGACGGCGCTCGGTAATGGCCACAAGTACATTGATGGCGGGTCGTTTGGGATAGATGACTGCGCCTTATGGCCTCTGCTGCGTGAGATGGTACAGACAGACGACAGCCTGCTGCCTGCCACTCGATATCCGCAGCTGCACCAGTACTACCTGCGCGTGGAGAAACGGGGCTGCGTGAAAGCCCTTCTGGACGATGGATACGGCCGTACATGAAACATGAAAAGACTTAGCATTGGCGTTTACACGGCTTTCTTCTCTCTTCTTCTTTTTTATTAAATTTTTTTGTTTCTTCTTTTCTCGATAATGACACCATCTGGGATGATATGATTACGCTAGATGAAATAGAATAGCATCTACAGCTTCTCGAAAGTAGGAGTCCGCTTCTGTAGGCTTGAGAGGAGTGCATTGGTTATGTCGCGAGTCTGCACGGCGGCGCTGTTCCAGACGCCTGTGTATCGGAGGCCTACCTTGTTAGAATAAATAGTGTTATAGAGAGAGAGAGAGAGAGAGAGAGAGAGAATACCATCTGCGACAGAACGATCCCTCGACCAGTTCAACAGCTCCTTGGTCCCCTGGACCGCGACGGGACTCTTCCTCCCCATCAACGCGGCGAGCTCGAGAGCAGCATTTACAGCGTCGACCTTGGAGGGATGGACAGCATTGACGAAACCCACGCGCAGGGATTCCTCCGCCCCGAACTCGCGCGCAGTCAGCGCCACCTCTTTCACCCAGCCAAACGCACCCACCACCTTGGGCAAGCGAGTCAGGGTGCCGGCATCAGCCGCCATGCCGATATCGACCTCCTTGACGGAGCAGCGCACATCGGCGGTGCAGATCCTCACATCCGCCGCCGAGCAGATATCAATCCCCAACCCAAACGTGATGCCATGTAACACGGTGATGACGGGCTTCTCGCACCGTTCAATCGACGAGACACACTCCTGGAACTCGGCGACCGTCCGGCGGAACTTGACTGCTACGCGCGCCATGTCGGAGTCTGGGCCCATGAGCGAGTCTTTGCCCAGGAGGCCCTCTGATGCGGCTTTGACGTCCAACCCGGCCGTGAAGGCGCGGTCTCCTGCCCCGGTGAGGACGATGGCACGCACTTCTGGCGAGCTCGAGAGATCATCGAAGATAGTCTTCATCTCCAGCCACATTCTAGTCACGTTAGTATATTCCCAGTAGTTAAGATGATGGAATTCTGGTACCCCTCGATAAATGCGTTGAGCTTGTCTGGTCGGTTGATCTCGACGTGGGCGACATATTGGTGGGAGGCAGGGAAGGAAACGTTGAAGTGTGTGTATGACATGATTTGGATTTTATGGATTTTGAATACTAAGGATTGATGGATTGAAAAGGATGGATGGGATGAGAGGGAGAGAGGAAGGGAGAGAGAGGGAGGGAGTCGTTGTTTGCACTACCTGAAGTGCCGAGGTTAAATTATGGCAGGGAGTTCTGTCAGCTTAACAGTACAAAGAGCAGTGTTTATTTCTATTGCTCCTTGTGTTAATGGACTTTTATTGATACTAGCATGAGATAGTAAGTATTTATCCATTATGACTATGAGAATACTAAGGTGCTACATTATAGTTGATCTTCTCTAGACTGTATATACTCCGTACCTAGGTAGATGACAAAAATTGATCTTGATTATGCTTGATTATAGTACATTATTGAAACATGAAGCATGAAGTAATAGATGAAACTGAGCCTGAGAAGCAACAAAACTCTGTCGTGGTAGCATGAATATGTCGTATGAGGAGGCATCGTTCAAGCCCCCTTACTCAATGCTGATCTTCTTCAGACCAGACTTGGGATCAGCCTTGGGCACCACGATCGAGAGGATGCCGTTCGCCAGGCTCGCCTTGACGTTATCCTGATCGACGCGGCCGGGGAAGCTGAAGGCGCGGTGGAACTCGCCCACAGACCGTTCCGTCACCCAGTACTTGTGCTTGCGCTCGGACTTGGTCGTCTGTGCCACTTCCTTGTTGCTGTTGTTGCTGTTCTCGCTGGCCTCGGGTTCCTGGGGAGCTGGCTCAGAGTGGGATTCCCGTTCCACGCGGCCCTTGATCACAAGGGTCTGCGGGTCCGTGAACTCGATGCTGATGTCCTGCTGCGCGAGACCTGGCAGCTCGCCATCTAGGTGGTAGGCATCTGTGCTCTCGCGCACATCAAAGCGAGGAGACCAGGAGCGAATGGAAGAGGTCTGGCCTTTGGTCTGGCGGTGGACGTCGTAGTCGTCCAAGAGGCGGAAGAGAGGCGCGAAGTCGCCGGTATTGGTGAAGGTGCGGAAGAGAGACATTTTATGTAGTCTTTGTGTATAAAGAACTTTTGGTAGTTGTCTTCAGAGGAGATTTCTTCAGAGAAGTATGTCTTCAGATGCTTGTTGGATTGTATTTGCTTTTGTTGTTGATGGTCGACATGGAGCGACTCCGCGAGGGTCTATATACTTGCGCCCTCGATTCGAGAATCTGCCACAAGGCACTTCGCCACTGTCTGCTGAAATATCATGACTATACTAGCATATTCTCGATACATCTCTGACCTTTCTCCACGCTGGTTGCTGGTTGCTTGTTGAAGGTTGGAGACACTTCTCGCACTTTCCATGGTCACGTGACCACATCCCTGCAAGATCAGACAGCTGGAAGCATCATGAATAATCATCGAGGATTGCCTAGACTCTCTGATCTTTATGTATTGAGCTGCATTGAGCTGCAATATACGGAACAGTGAGAGATACATGGACGGAGTTGATCAGCTCTTCAACAAGCCACGGACTGCTCTTGAGACTCCCAACAGATAGCAGAGATAGCAGATGGATGCGCTTGGCATGACTAGAACTCAGAGAAACCTAGATTTAGAGATATAAAGCCCAGCATTCTTGTTCATACCATACTAGAAGGTACATCTGAACGGTATCAGATTGTTCCTGAATGGCGCCAACCGCTGTCCTGCCCTTCGACATTGAGACGAATAGCCTCTGATCAGAAATGTATAACATCAATCAACAGACTGGTTCAGGAACAATTCTGCAGGTTTTCTGGTGGAAATTTCGGCTGTTGCTTCACTGGCCACCAACCCATTGCTGTCCATATTGTTACTGAGCCAACCCGTCACTGCTCACATGTAGGCTTCTCATCATGACAATTCGGATCCCGAAATGCCGCGTGATTCTTGACTTCTTGTAGCATGTATGGTGGAACGCTGTTCGCTTTGCGAGACGCTTGACGTGCTCTTGTTGGACAGACAGCTGCGGACAGTCGTGACCGCTCGAGGCGAGGCTATTCCGACTCGGACTCTTCAGGTTGCATGACTTTCTCGTCAAGCTCCTATTTTTTCATCAGCAAATCAATTGTTTCCCTAACCCCTTTATTGGATTTTCTTCTCTGCAGAGACAGAGATATACCTTTCCAAGCCTGATCTTCAGATTCTGCAACTGACTCTCCTTGATAACCAGATGACGATCGTCGTCTAGATCTTCGACAATATAATCGTGTCGCTCTTCGTCGTATTTGAGAATAATGGCTTTGACAGACGGGTCGCATTCGATGAGCACGCCTGCGCAGGGTACCTATGAGCCGTCGTTCTGTTTGAGCAAAGACACTGACATACCGCGGACAGCACGAGGCATTTTGACGGAGAAAGAGTCGGAACAAAGGGCTTGAAACGATTGACGAGTTCGTCGCAGGCGGTATGGAGCGCTGTTGGATGGAATCTCTGAAGGGGATTCAGTGGGAAGTCGCGGGATTCAGTTAATCAGGCACCCAGGCATGAATCACATGAAAGTCACATGAATCACACGTGACTATAAGTCTTTACTGCCTGAGGCAACATAATTGCCTCAGGCACAGATACCTTAGGCCCTTCTGCCTCAGGCATCAAGGCCTATCTTGGTGGGGTAACTTCAATGAGTCAAAAAACCTCATCCCACCTTGAAAGAGCAAAGAGCCCTTTCTTCTCCGCACACGTCGTCTTTCATCGCAATGGATTCCGCCGCCCAAGCGAGATACGATCTCATCAGCGAGAACCTCGCCGAGGTTCTCAACCCCGAAATCATCGAGAAGATTCTTGCCGAGGGGCGCAACCCGCGGATTTACTGGGGTTAGAGAACGCTTTCTTTCCCTCGTTGTATTTGGGTCAAGGACATGAGCTAATGGGGTGTTATTTTGTTTTTCATCGAATTAGGCACAGCAACAACCGGCCGTCCGCACACTGGATACTTTGTTCCTGCAATTAAACTCGCACAGCTGCTGGCTGCAGGATGTGACGTGGTGGTCTTGCTGGCCGATATCCATGGCTTCCTCGACAATCTTAAGGCGCCACTCGAGCTGGTTGAGAGTCGCGCCAAATACTACGCCAAGGTGATTACGGCAATCCTCGAGTCCGTGGGCGTGCCGACGGAGAAGCTGGAGTTTATCCTGGGCAGCTCCTACCAGAAGAGCCCCGACTATGTGATGGACGTCTACCGGATGGCGTCGCTGGTTTCTGAGCACGACGCGAAGAAGGCCGGCGCGGAAATTGTCAAGCAGTCGGATAATGCGCCATTGAGTGGCCTGCTCTACCCTATCCTGCAGGTGCTTGACGAGGAGCATCTCAAGGTGGACGCGCAATTAGGAGGTATATATTATGGACCTGCTAGCCTTTGTCTTGGTATCCGCTAATTCAAGTAGGTGTCGACCAGAGGAAGCTTTTCGTTGCCGCAAAGGAATGGCTGCCCAAGCTTGGATACCGAGAGGTAAAACAAAGGAGCAACCTGATTTGAGTGATGGACTGTTGTAAGCTTACCATGTCTAGCGCGCCCATCTCATCAACCCGATGGTTGCCGGTCTCAGCGGAGGCAAGATGAGCTCTAGCGTCCAGGACAGCAAAATCGATCTCCTCGACTCTGCCGAGAGCATCTCGAAGAAGATCCGCAAGGCGGAATCGGCTCCCAAGGTCGTTGAAGGTAACGGCATTGTCGCCCTGGTCGAGTACATTCTTCTCCCGGCGGCCGCTCTTCGGGGCCGCAAGGAGTTCCGAGTCGAGCGCAGAGATGCAGAGCCCTTGATCTACACCGATATCAAGCAGCTGCACGATGACTACATGAACGATGTTGTATGTTTATTGTCTTGATCTTATTGCAAGAGCACCGCGCCGTTCGCTAACCTCTCTCTAGTTAACACCACAGCTGCTCAAGCCTGCCGTCGCAGAGGGGCTGGTCAGCCTGATGGCTCCGATCCAGGCAGCCTACCAAGCCTCCCCCGAGTGGCAGGAGATCACGGCCAAGGCCTACCCGCCCGAGATTGCGCCCAAGAAGCAGAAGAAGGTCAAGGATAAGGGCTCTCGCTACCCCGGGGCGCCCAAGGAACAAAGCAAACCAGAGGGAGAGGAGACGCAAGCTGCCCAATAGACAGGCTTCCACTGTCTAGTGAGATACAGGCTAGCCAGATACCCTGCTTGTTAATTAGGCCTAGAATACATAGTCACAATCTAGATGCAGATGCCTATGAAAACCGAGTTTGTATATAGGGCTAAAATATTACAGTCATAGCTAGAGATTACACAAGTGACGCCCCCGAGTCAGAACTGATAATCCTGCCCGTGATATTAACATCCCTCATCAGATAGAGATACGCCTCTGCGACATCCTCCGGTCTAGCCACTCTGCCCGTGGGATTCTTCGCCTTGACCTCCTGGAAGAGCTCCCCTTTCTGCTCCTCCGACAAGAGAGCATCCCACAATTCAGTGTCGACGAGCCCGGGACTCACGACGTTGACGCGCACAGGGCGCAACTCGAGCGCCAGGTTGCGCGCCATACTGCCCACGCCGCCTAGGTACGACGCCGTGATTGTCCAGAAGGGGACGGGACGTTCCCAGGCGGTCCCTGTAGTCAATGTGATGGACGAGTCGGGGCCGGGCGAGAGATACGGAGATCGATCGCTGCGTTTCATGCTACTCGCGACCTTTGCGGTGACGAGCATCGGCGCAATGAAGCGCAACTGGCCTGCTGCAATGATTTTCTCGCGTGTGATTTCTTCGACGGGCGTCGCTGCGATCTTGTCCCCCGCGGTATATACGATGTGGTCGACGGTGCCGACCTTCTCGAAGAGAGATTCAATCTCGGCTTCCACCGTCTCGCTGGATAGGTCGCAGGCGTGGCCGGTGATCGAGGCATGGGGGAACTCGGCCTTCAGACTTTCCACGGTGGATGTTACGCGCTCCGGTGAAGAGGAGGCGATGGTCACTTTGGCGCATGTTTCGAGGGATGCTTTGGCGACGGCGAGACCGATCCCGGATGTGCCGCCTATGACGAGGATGCGTTTGTTGGAGAGTTTGGCCATCTTTAGCTGTCTAGCCGCAGTGTACTGTAGTATACTGTATAGTGTCTGTAATATCATATTTATAGCTTGATTTAACTCCGCTAACTCCTGAATCTCAGCGGAGATAAAATAAAGCCGTGCAGATACGATATGAGTTGAGTCGAGTATTGTACGCTTATGCCTCACTCATCTCGTCCACTTCTTCCTTGGTCTCAGGCTCCCAACCGGTCCCCGCCTGCAAAGCCGCCGCGACGAGAACGAGACCGGCCCCCGTGAGAAAAAGAGTGCGCGTGGCGTGCTGGTATCCCTCGATGGCGATATTGCGTTCCACCCCCTCCAGGGAAGACACTAGGGTAGGACTGCCGAGCAGACGACGAATGAGCTTCTCGCTGTCCGGCACCTCGTGGGCATGGAACGCGCTCTCCAGCTGGGCCTTGAGGACGCGCGTGAAGAGCCCGCCGCCGATCGCGGACCCAAAGCTGCCTGCGAACCCGCGCGACATGCCCACCAGCGCGGTGATGATGTAGTGTAGCGGCGTGGCGGTTAGATGCAAGATGTGCGAGAGGGTATAGTTGACCATGGCGCCGGCGCAGAAGCCGTTCACGAACGTGGCGAGGATGTAGGCGCTGACGGGCGAGGAGGCGGTGGAGAGCAGCGAGAGCGCGGCCGTAAAGATGGAAAGAAGGACGAGAATGACGACGCAGGAGCTGTAACAGTTAGTAATAGTGGATTGGTGATAGTTAAGGTCGAATGACAGGGCATACGTGTAGTATCCTCCCCCCCCCTTGATATGAACGGCTCCAACGACCAACCCACCCAGACCGAAGCCTGCATTGGTAGGCAAGAGGATCAACCCTGCCGATCCGGGCGACCAGCCACGCACCGCCATGGTGTAGATCGGGGTATAGAAGAGGACGGACCAGCGGGTCATCATGGCGGCCATCCCGGCGGCACAGGTCAAGACCACGCTGCGCATCTTGAGGATGGAAATGGGGATGATGGGTTCAGCGCCGCGGGAGGTGAGTCTGGATTCGATGGCCAGGAAGACTGTGATTGCGAGGATGGATAGGAGGAGGGGGGTGGTCTGGATCTGTGCTGACGAGAGACTGAAGAGCAGTAGGAAGACAGAGATGGCCTGTACTTGGTTAGCTTATGGATACCCTGGCCTGCAATGGAGGAAAGACGTACTAAAGCAATGGCTCCTGCATAGTCTACTCTTCCGAGCTTCTCGAGCAGTGAATTATCCTGCTCCTCTTCTTGCACGACGGGTGGGATGGCGACGAACAATGACAGAGTCATGGCCAGCATGATGAAGGCCTGAAACCAGAAAATCACTTGCTAGACATCAGAATATCAGTATTGCCAATACATCTGCTGTTTCTGTAAGTCACCCACCCATCCGTATTTAGGCGCCACCAAGCCCGCAACGATGGCCCCCGAAGCTATTCCCGTGGTATACCCAGCATTCAACATCCCCAGACACAAGCCTCGCCGCCTGGTACTCGCCAACTCAAGAATAAGAATGGTCGACGTGCCCATCAGCCCACCAGCGGCACAGCCGGCGATGGCCCTACCAGTAAGGAAGACGGCTAGCGAGTGTGCAGAGGCGGTGACGAAGAGACCGAGAGACATGAGCGCGCAGCTGGCGATGAGATAGACTCTTGGAGTGAAGATGTGTGAGAGGCGGCCTGATAGCGGACTGGCACTCGACATGGGGATCTATTCGATATATTAGTTAGTAGTGTTCGTTGATTTGATAGTTAGGGTATCTTACTAGATAGGCAGATGTGAACCATGTCGTCTTATCAAAGGCATCAAGGTCAGCGGCGATAAGGGACTGCGTGGTGGTCATCATGGAGACATTAGTAGCTATTCATCAGTTATCCTATCAACTTCATTTAACAGACGAGAGTCAGAAGATTGAGAGTAATACTCTGGATAATCATGGTGACGCCGATGAAGGCAGCGATAACCAATTTCCTTCTAAAGCTTGGCCCCTGTCGAGGAGGTTGGATAAGGGGGGTTTCCTCCGTCGCCATGTTTAACACTTATTCAAAGGATAGAACAATAAGACAATAGAATCCAACTGGATGTCAATACTCGATCATCCGAATTGATTATGAGAGGGAAGAATCAAGAATAAAGCGCCCAAGACAGGTTTTGAATCGGGCACTCGAAGGATCCATTTATAAGCAAGATAAGATAGGCCGGATAAGACGTCGAATTAGATGAGATGAGACGAGATGGCGATAGGATAGTTATCAGGTACTATTCAGATGATATCATCACCTTTTATCAATATTCTGTTTACACATCTTCACGATATCCTCTGGAACAAAAGGCTGTAGAATCTGAATCAACTCTCCCAGAGGAGTCCAGTCCAGCGAGCCATGCACGGTCTGGATGGGATGGCCGCAGTAAAGCACGCGAGCGAAGAGCCCATCAGATTTCCTAATGAATCAGCCGAAATCCATTCGTTCATTCCTTTTTTAAACGAAAAAAAGCATACCAAACTTCAATGGCAATGTTGGAGGCCATCCCCGGCCATCGCAAGGATGTAATCCCCAGAGCGCCCAGAATAGGCCCTACATCGCCGTCATGAACAAAAGTATGGCTGTATACGAGATCCTGCTCGCCACGGACCACGGCGTTCAGCCGGGCGAGGATCTCGCCGATGAACATCCCCTCGACGAGCGTGATGTACCGGGCTGCATCCTGGCTGGCGCGGAACCAAAAGTCCCACATCCAGTCGCCGGCGCGGAAGACAGCCTCTACCTGCTCATGTGTGACACAAGAGGAATCCTCCTCCTCACGCCGACACGGTAACTGATATCCGTTACAAAGCCGTGCCTGGAAGTTGTCTGCGAAGTGGTCAAAGGTCGACATCCACGCAGAGGTGTTGGCGTCGAAGAGCTCTGCGAGAGACTCGCGCAGGGATCGCGTCGCACCCAACGCGGCCTCCCATTCCGCCGAAGACTGGATCTTGTCCAGCACGGCTTCCCGCGCAGGACAGGGGAACCCCCTGTCGACCGTGTCGATGGCAGCGGCTTGCTGGTGTAGCGGCAGGGCGCCAGAATACTCAGGCCAGATCCCGCGCAGGACCCCCCCCGCGGACGCCTGCGTCAAGGGCGAGGAAGAGCTGCGCAGCCAGATCGACGAACCGTCGGGCGAAGCAGGCAGTAGCTCTAGTCTGGCGCCGTACACGGCCCACAGATCGCGGCCATGGTGGTAGGCGTCGAGCAGGCCGCCCACGGTGAGCTGCGGGTACTGGCAGGAGCCGTTTACATAGTCATGTAGGAAGGGATTAGCCGAGTCGCTGTACGTGTCTGCGTACACTCTGATCGGACCCTCCTCTAATGGTGAGCCAGCGTAGAGATACGGGTGAATGTCGTCGCAGTCGTACGGCTGGTTCTCACCCCCCGGCAGGATGTTGTAAGGCGTGCGGCGATGGTGTCGCTGCAGATACTCGAGATAGACCAGCTCGGCCTTGACTGAGCCGTTTTCCACCGGCTCTGGCAGCCAGTAGTCCTCCTCCCGTGGATGAGGCATGGAACAGTAGGCGTAGGCGCCGAACGAGGGCGGACTGGCCTGCTGGGCGGGGGCGTGGAAGATGCCCCCGTACGTGCCCAGCGAGGCGTCGGTAAGCCATCCAGGGGCGGAGATATTCGGATAGAAGGAGGCATAGTCGTAGAGATGGACCATTTCAATCATGATGGCTCCATGGTGGAAGTGAGGGAAGTGAAGGAAGTGAAGGAAGTGAGGAAAGTGAAGGAAGTGAGGAAAGTGAAGGAAAGGGAGTTCTTCTGATCAGGTCGAAAACAACCTCCTATGCTTAGTCATCAGCATGGCCTATACAATATCACCAGCTTCATATATAACTCAATCTTAATTTATTAGTTACGGGAGGATATTAAACTGTTTATATAGAAGACATTTGCTTTCCCTTATAATCACTCCAGTCATCCCTATGAGGAAACCCATCAACAGGCACTTCCTTGCCCAAAAACGCACAGAGAGGCTCCCATCCCTGACGAACATCATATATAAGAAAGTCCCCTGGACGAGACTCCATCAACCTGGCCACCTCTCGGTTATGGCTGCGGAAACAGTCTCGTCCATACGCCTCGAAGTTATTCCGCCACAGCTGCTCATGGCACAGATCGATGACGCTGGAACGCTCATTGGGGACCGATCCGTCCACAGCGCGCTCTGCTCCCGTCGATCTGTGGTGCCAGATTGTCTGGTGCATGGATTTCATCCATCCTTCCTCATCGCGGGTGGACAGGATCACTTTGGCGGCAGGGTACGCGGCTATCAACTCGGCGGCGAAGATGGCGACGGGGATATCCGACAGACACTAGATTCGAATCAATGAAAAGAAAGTTCTTTTTTTGCCCTTCTTTGACGTCTTACTGAGTATTCTCCTAGAAAAGCGTCGAAATCCCCTCTAGTAGGGACTTTCCCCTCCTCTTTCGCCTTCAAGAGATCAATCCATGCTTGTGTGTGCCCTGATTTACGGACTTCTCGCATATGATATGTGCCTGGGTAGCCGAGGAGGAGCAGGGCGTCTGAGATGGCTATTCTGTGTGAATAAATGATCATAAGTTGAGCCTAGAAGGATCGATGGAAGGAAAAACACGTACACTGAGTTCCTGTTCTGCAGAGACCGAGAACGAGAACTTCCATCGGGACAGGGCGTTCCATGATGAGGAAGTAATAACAGAGTCGACACAGTAATAAAAGAAGTCAAAGTGAGTGAGTATTTGATTTGAATATCCAATTGGCAGGTCTTTTTATAGTAGCATGTCAGATCGGGAGAGATCGGATTCTAGAGTCATCTGGATTCCGTAGGGTAGCATCAACGATCTCAATGACCAGTAATTTCAACAGATGAACGGATAGACAGCCGATGATTGAGTAGTACTCTTGTAGATAGAGTGTAGTCTGGTTTCTGGTCTCTGGCTCGTAGATGAGGTTATCCGCAATCCGCCGAGAGAGCAGGATTTGCATAAGAAATTGATATACCGGCATAATAGAAAGATACAATAGATATATATTATCGTAACCACCTACTAATAATATATCATAGTATTAATTACTAGTTTATGTAGTTATAATTCGAAGAAATTGTTCACTCAGGCTGATATACATTGTGCTTAGTCAACATCACCAGCCTCCTGTTTAGAGAACTTCGACTCAACTTCCTTGACTTTCCTTGTTTCTGCTCACCTCACCTCCAACGCACTCAACACGCTCGGATGGCCAATCCACTCTGGCGATTCTCCTTGAAATCAAGGCGAACCATCTTCTCCTTCACCAAGAAGTCTCTCTGGCAGTTACCGCCCAACTCGGGGCCTCCTATTCCTCAGCAGGAACTGGTGGACGAGGAGATTTGTCCTGACTACAATTCGGCGACCTTCTACCCAGCAAAGGTAGGGGAAACACTGGCAGAGAGATTCCAACTTCTGGTCAAAATCGGATGGGGATCACAGTCAACCGTGTGGCTCGCCCGAGACATCTCGAGGTACCTTCGCACCCCTTAACTGTTGATTCCGGTTGACTGCCGAGAAACTGACCCTGCTCTCGCAATAAGACTCAAATGGCAATCTGAAGAATTTGTGGCCCTGAAGATTATCAACAGTGATAATGCCGACGACGCTCGGCATGAGAGGGAAATTGAGAGCCATATCACACAGCTGAATCCAGCGCATCGTGGCCGTACAATTTTACGAACAAGCCTGGATGACTTCGAGGTAACAGGTCCGAAAGCAAAGCACATGTGTCTGGTATATGAACCGATGAGAGAGCCTTTCTGGATTTTCCAGAGGCGTTTCGTTGATCGCAGGCTTCCTTTGCCCATTGCCAAGGCCTATATCTACTTCTTCCTAGTTGGCCTCGATTATCTTCACTCAGAGCGCAAAGTTGTTCACACAGGTAAATCCTTGTCGTCATTCCCTGCTGCTTATTTCTGGACTTTTTAAGACCTAATCTATTCCCAGACCTGAAGCTCGGGAATATCCTTATGAGCTTTGAAAACGAGAAAGTTCTAACAACCTTCATTGAACGAAAACAACCGATGCAATTCAAAGTTGACGGTGATAGCGGCCGGACTGTCTACCGCTGCCATAATGACTTTGGCGCTCTTGACGCGAGAGAATTCAAGAATATGATTCCCAAAATAGCTGATTTCGGGCTTGCAACAAGACTCGATACGCTGTCTACTCTGAATGGAATGGCAGGAGAGCAACTGGGCATTTATCCTATCCAGCCAGACTATTATCGTGCTCCGGAGGTAATCCTTGGCTGCGGTTGGGATTTCAAGGCAGATATTTGGAACTTTGGCGTGCTGGTAGGTCCTGATTTCTGTGATATACTACAGTTTAGGCGTCATAGCTAATTATCCTGTCCAAGTTGTGGAATATTCTTGGGAGCAAAGAGTTGTTTCAGCAGGTCTGCGATGGAAACGGTATATACGACGCCAAGTCACACCTCGCAGAAATGATTGCTCTACTGGGCCCGCCTCCCAGGGAACTGCTCGCGAGATCAAAGGCAATGTCAGAGCACAACTGGCCTCAGCCAGTCATGAACGAAACCGGCAAACTATGCCGGAATGCCCAAGAATTCTTCGATGGCCCTTTCTTTGACACAGAAGGTGAGTGGAGACTCTTTTCTTGTTTCTCCTACGTCAAACTAACCGTTCAAGATGAACTCCTCTATAAGGAATTGATCCCGTCCAGAAGCTTAGAGGATACAACCCCGTTCCTCGAAGACAAAGATAAAGAAGCATTCTTATCCTTTGTTCGAGAGATGCTCAATTGGCTCCCGGAGAAGAGGAAGACAGCTCGCGAACTGATGGATCATCCGTTCCTCAAACTCAGGGATTGATCCCTGCCCAGTAGGAGATGTATGATTGAAGACCATGTAGATGTGGACTCAGGAAAAGAGTACCACCTGATTTGGCTATGCCTTGGAGTCTTTCTTCCTTTCCAAACCGCCTTCTATCGAATAGGCTTCTCTCTCCCCCCTGTCTCTCTACCAGAAAGAAACAGCCAACTGTCTGAGAGATGCGATATTCAATCTTGCAGGACTGATACCCCAGATCTCTCCCTCACCTCTCCCTGGGAACTCCCTCGACATCTCCGAGAACATTATTCATTCAGCAGCAAAGGACAAAAGTACCATGAGATGTCACATGTCACGCCATGCTATGTCTTATCAGGGTTGTATCTTCCTAGTCCCAATAAGGCGCGATGCCCCGCGCTGTTCTATTTATACGAACAAAGGAACAAACAAACATCCACTGCTCTCCTCGTTGAGAAGAGAGAGGAAAGAGCGAGATCATGCTCAAAGCTATCCTGATTGCAAGTCTGCCGCTGGTAGCCATCTACCTGTGGCACCGGCTGGTCTATTACCGACGAAAACAGTATGCCGACTGGCCACAGCTGGAACCCTCGCTGGCGATGGGCCATCTGAGGGCCATGGGGAGACGGATTATGAGCAGTCCGTCGGATATCCATGTGGGTGAGTACAATATCTGATGTCCTGATCAATCGGTAGACTTGCTCACTTACTTGTAGACCATGTGTTGGCGAACATTGCAAAAGACCTTGGCAACCCGCCATTGTATATGATGGATCTGCGGCCAGCGAGTTACTGCATGGCCGTGGTTTGCAGCCATGAAGTGGCCGAGCAGATCTCCAAGAGCTCCAAGCCGTTTCCCTACAGCGTGACGAAATCGCCGACGAGCAGGATGTTGTCCCAGCTGCTGGGGCCGGCCTCGATTGTCATAGCGGAGGTATTTCACTTGACGATCCACTCTCTTCTCTCTCCGGCACTCGCTTATCTACTCTTTTGTTAAACAGGGCGAGGTGTGGAAAACTTTGCGCAAACGGTTCAACCCCGGCTTCTCCCACCAGCATCTCATGACTCTGTTGCCCTGCATCCTCGACAAGACGGAGCAATTCCTCGCCAATCTGGACCGGTACGCCGCCTCGGGCCAGGACTTTCGGCTCGAAGAGCTTTGCACAAATCTCACATTCGACATTATAGGTAGGATACTTAGCTTCACTGTAGAAGTTATGGCTGACTTGTAGGTGCCGTGACGATGGACACCGATTTGAAGGCTCAAATGGGCGAGGAGCAACAAAGCGAGCTGGTGTCTCTATTCCGGGCTCTCGTTTCCAGCTACCGTATTAAAAGAGGGCGGCGCTGGGCCTTTCTAGATCTGCGGGTTTATCTGACTCGCTGGTCGATCTCACGCCGGCTGGACAGTCTCCTGCAGGATATAGTTCGCGAGAAGTTTACCGAACTGAAGCATCAAACAGACAAGGACTCTTCCTCGCGGAGTGTGCTTTCGTTGAGTCTCAAAGAAGCCTCCGAGGCAACCCCTGCTCTGGTGGCTCAGACCAGTGACCAACTCAAGAGTTTCCTGTTCGCCGGCCACGATACAACTAGCACTTTGCTCCAGTGGGCGTTTTATGAACTCAGCCGGACCCCTAGAGCCATGCAAGCCCTGCGTGCAGAGCACGACGCTGTGCTGGGCCTGGATCCCTCTCCGGACGTCGTCCGGAAGAAGTTTCTCAGCCCGACATCAACGACGACCATTGCAGGTGACGAGCTCCTCCGCCGGCTTCCATATACCGCGGCGGTGATCAAGGAGATCCTCCGTCTGTACCCACCCGCAGGGACAGCTCGATATTCTTCTCCGGGAACGGGATTCACCGTGCGCCTACCGGACGGGAAGAACCTGTGTCTCGACGGCGTGATGCTGTATAACTGCCACAGCATCATCCAGCGCGATGAAGCTGTCTACGGGCCCACAAAGGACGCGTTCATGCCCGAGAGGTGGTTGTCAGCCGGTGATGATGGGTCCTCTTCCGTTGAGAATAATGGGGTTTCAGCCTGGCGGCCTTTTGAGCGCGGGCCCCGTAACTGTATCGGCCAGGAACTGGCGACCATCGAGGCCCGCGTCATTCTAGCCTGTGTCGCGCGTCGGTATGAATGGGAGAAGGTCGGACTGGGGGAGTTTTCCCGAAATGCAGCCGGCGAGCTCCTCGTCCAGCCGGATGGTCGCTACGCGGTCGAATCAGAGGTATATAATGTATGTTGTCTACTCTATTTTATTCATGTCATGTCTACGAAGAGGAAATGAGATGAAAAAACTAACAGACGCAGATGATAGAAGTGACTGCAAAACCTATTGACGGTATGAGGATGCGAGTGGCTCTAAAGAAGATGGATACTACCCTCCCACAACTCTAGACAATTTCGATAGATGTTCTCGAGAAGAGGAACATCTTCCTCTCCTCCTTCTCCCTCGTTCCCCTTTCTCTGTTTCATAGTTGAAAATAAGAGTATATCCGCCATCGATACCTCGTCGCCGACACTATATCTCCCCGCCATAGAGCTTGAATATTCCGCATACTCTTTCAATCCGTCCTTGTCTGCCTTTTTGGTCAGGATGTTCACGAGTGTCCGTATGCGAGCCCTAAAGACCGCGTCTCGAGGAAGTAAGGGGTAAGATCCCTCGGTGCCCTCCTCCAGGAATTCCAGAATAGCGATCAGATGGAGGATGGTGTGTTGCTGAGAGAGTACCAGACGGGGAAAGGCATCCCGGCACGCATCGTCTGGGGTATATTTGAATGGAATCTTCTTCAATCTCAGGGCGAGTCGGATGGGTTCGGTGTCGTGCGGGCTGCCGTGTATCCTCCATTCATCGCTTTCAGGGTCTTCCCTGCTCTCGCTGTCGGTGTTGCTTATACTTCCAAAGTATTCTTCTTCCGATCCCTGGGCTGTTTCAAGGTAAAGTTTTGTCTTCTCGATGAGCTGTTGGATAGGCATATTGTATAGTATACATATTACAGACAGAAGAGTAGAGTATAGATGGATGTATGACCTCACAGTGACACTACGCTGACACTGATATTACCACTAACATTAACGATATCAGAATCCAAAAAAATTGGTATCATGACGATACCCCCACTCCACCATTACAGGCACGATAGTCTTCTCGATCAACGGCGGCGGCCCACAGACAAACACGGCCGAGTCGTCACCCGGGGCAAACGAATACTTCTGCAGTCTCTCCTTATCGATGCGGCCTCTTTCGCCCTGCCAGGTCTTCGACGGCCGAGACAGGACATGCACGACCTGAAACTTGTCCGGGTAGGTTGCCTGCAACTGATCCATCTCGTCGCGCATCAAAATATCTTCTTCAGCCTTGTTGGCGTCCACCAGACGGATCTTCGTCTCGTCATCCGGGGTTAACAGCATGTGAGCCAGCACCTGGTATGCCGGCGTGATGCCCGTGCCGCCCACGATAAAAGTCACCTTTTTGAACGTGTAGTCCGTCTCGTCGATCCGGAACTTGCCATGGTCGCGGTAGCGGATCGCACCCGATGGCCCCTTGACCTCTATGCAATCGCCCTCGATCATCTGGTCGAGAATGGTGGTCAACGTGCCGCCGGGCTGGTTGTTGTCCGCGAAATGCGTCTTGATCACCAGATCGAACGTGCCGTCGTACTCGTCCGGGAACAACGGGCGGATGGGCGTGAAGGGGCGGAGCACAGTGCGGTCAGCGAAGTGGAAGCCCACCTGGACATGCTGGCCGACTTCGAGGCCAAATCTCTTGCCGCTCGAGGGCAGTCGGAAGGTATATCGTGTGTGGTCTTCCGAAAGGCGTTTCTTGCGGACCAGCTTTGCTTGCGAGTATCTAGATTGTAAGTATATGTATGCATAAGTACATACATAGACAACGAGGCCTTACCTGCTCCTTGTCAACCCCATGTCGACATCTAGCTTTTCTTCCTCTGCGCTCTGTTCAGCTTTGAGCCGTGCTTCTCGTCGAATAAAGTCCATCCCTTTCGCCGTGACAGACCCGATGGCGCATTCTAAACGATCAACACAGTTCTTCTCTCTCTCTCTCTCTCTCTATAAGAATAAAATAAAAAAAAAAAAACATACCACCCAGCTTGCCATACGCATAGTCATCATGCACGCTGTCAAAATCCAGCGTGGTATCCTGGTGCACTCTCCCTGCGTGGGCCATGATGGTCGCCTTCCCCCCCGGATGCCACGCCAGCACGCTCGTCACATCGTACACGGTCTCATTCACCACAATCCAGCAGTCATCCTCCGTGAAGTGTTTCTCGATCTCCTCGCGCGTGAACTGCTTGGCGGCCATCCCGGGGGGCATTTGGTGATCGCCGTGGTTGTTGGGCGCCGGTTTCATCCAGCCTTCTGTGCCGGTGCCGGGTTCGCAGGGATGCCGGAAGAGTAGATTCGAGTCTTTCTTTTCTGGTTTGACTGTGTACCAGCAGTTGTTCATCATTCTGTCAATTAGCAAGAGAAGAGTATCCAAAAAGAAGGAGAAGAAGAATACCCTAGTAAGTTCCAGACAGGCTTCTCCGGCTGCGTGTTCATAAACACATCCACGCAGCGCACCGAGATAGCTTCTGCCTGCTGCAGATGATTGACATCCACGTCGACGTGCCAGTGCAGCCAGGTCCAGAACTTGCGGCCGTGCCGGATGGGTGCTTGCGGGTACTTCCTGACGCAGTAGAGCCAGTTGGCGCCGCCGTCGAGAGTGGCCTCGATGCGCGCAATGGCATTGCCGCCGCCGCTGTACGCATACCCCTGGATCCGATAGAGACGGTCGGTCATGGGGTCGGCGTAGGCCAGCCTCTCGCCATGCGCGGGACGCATGATGACCGAGTTGAGCGCCTGTTCCATGCAGATGGTGCTCGGGTGGCGGAACATGGCGTCGGCGAAGCGCGAGTCCATCTCCGTGATGAAACCGGGGATCACCCGGTTGTCGTAGATGTGATGTTGGCTGTCGTTCTCGCGGTCAGACACCCAGATCCTCGTCAGCCATTTGATGCTGCGCGCGGCGACAAACCCCGGGGCAATCAGACGAAGGGGGTATCCGTGGTCCGGCGAGAGGGGCCCGTCGTTCATCTCGTAGGCGAGCAGCAGATCGTTGGCTTCGTCCATGACCGTGTCCAACACAAGACTGGTCGCGTAGCGGCCCTCGGTAGGTTCGTCCATGCCTTCGAAGTTGACGTGCAGCCGGGCGTTGGGTCGCTGCGCCGTCAACTGTGCCACGTCCGCAGCCAGGAGCACATCGCGCAGCAGAGCTCCCTTCCAGTACGCACAGCCCACGGCACATGTGGTGAAGTTGGCCCCCTTGGTACGTTTGAGCATGTTTAGTTCCTTGCGCCGGTTGCCCACACATCCGAGCAGCACGGGAATATTCACCGGCGAGAAGCGGTCCTTGAGCTCGTCCATCGATAGCCGCAGGCAGGAGCCCGCACGCACCTCCAGCTTGTGCGTCTCCCACTGTAGCGCGGGGACCGCGCCGTGGTTCCGCACATAATGCAGTCCCGACGGGGTGATCAATCCGGCCTCAAACAGCGTGGTCGGGTCGATCTCGGCGTTGAGCGGGTGTTTGCCCGTCAGTCGCGCCAGATGCGCGTACCGGGGCACCCAGTTGTCTGGGGTGAACTGGAACACCTCGAGGATGTGTAGATCCACGACGTCGAGAACAGGCGAGAAGCCGTGGCCATCGTTGTTCTCCAGAGAGGTGATGTACTGGCCCTCCTCGACGAGGAGCTGCACCAGCGAGCGCTGGGCGGGCGTCAGCCCGTTCTTCCCCTTGTCAAACATCCCGTGAGCCGCGGGTCCTTCACCCTGCACTGTTTCCTGCACTGTTTCCGCGGGCTTGTCGGTTTGGTCGCGCTTCTGCTCGCGCTGTTTCTGTTTGTTCGCCGGCCAGGGCTGGCCGTCTTTGATGAAACCCTCGGTGGTGTTGAGCATGAATCTGCTGTCCCGGGGGTGCACGTCGGGGCGGAGCAGATAGTATTTCTAAAAGATTAAATAAGAACAACTGAAAGAGGAAGCAATGGACTGTTTTTCTTATAATTACCTCCTGCTTCTCCATAAAGTCGCGGACTGTCAAGAGAGCGCCGCTCTCTGCCTTTTGCCTCAGTTCTCGTAGCTTCTTCTCCGCATCACGGTCGATATCATACCGCCATGCCTCTCCAGAGTTGGTGAAGCCCATGAACCGGTCGTCACGGCCGCGCAGGCCGATCCGGTGGCTCAGCGAATGCGTCCAGTCGGGCTCGCGGTCGATCTCCTCGGCTGTGCAGCCGGGGAAATCGCGGACGGTGACCTGTTGAAAGGGGAACATCCTCAAAGTTTCTAGGTGGTATACTTGCAAATGAGTTGAATGAAAAAATGGTTTTTGTGATAAGAGTACTAGTATGTTCAAATGCAAATCGTATATAGGAAGCACATTATTTTGTCATAGTGACGAATGGGGTGACGCATCGCGGGTTATATTAATCATAATCAAGTCCTCCTCCGACTCGACAGGTTGATGGCAGCGTTCACGGCCGCAAGAACACACAAAAGGGCTAGAAATTAGCATATCATCATGCACAATGATACCATTGAAACCGATCAGACTTACCCATCACACAGTTCATCTCGTAGTATCCCACCTCGGCCAGGAACCCCGAAAGAACAGGCCCGATGAGCAAACCCATTGTCCAGCTCATGCTCGACATGGCCAAGGCACGCGAATAGCCACCATTGGGACCGAAGATCCCGGGCCGTTCAGCCTCGAGCTCAGAAATGGCCGCTGTAAAGTCAATAAAAGCAGGAACAAGAAAAAAACACAGAACCAAAAGAGAGTTAACTCACTTGTGACCTCCATGTTACCCACTCCGTTCAACAGACAGAGGAGAGAGCCGATCATGATCATACAGAACGAGTAGATGGTCTGTCCACGGGTGCCCTCGTTGGCCCAGGGGAACCGATCATCGCCCGGGACACCGAGCAGCCAGAAGAAGGGGACGACCGAGAGAAAGCCGGCAGTTGTGGGCCAGCGCGAGCCGACGCGGTCCTTGAGCCAGCCGAAAACCGGGCTGAGCAGCATGCCGGGACCCTGCAGGGCGGCGAAGAGCAGGCCGACGCGGAAGGTGTCCCAGTGGAAGACGCGCTGGACGTGTAGGGTCATGGTGGTGTTGAAGCTGGAGATGAGGATGGAAAAGACAAAGAAGCTGGTGACGCCGGCGAAGAACCCCGGATGGCGGAAGGCGTACGCGTAGAAGCGCCAGCCGCTCTGTTCCACGACGGGTTCCGACTCGACTGCTGCTGCTGCTGATAAGACAGGCTCCGACAGAAGATCGGAGGGCGTAGGAATCTCAGACGCAAGAAGCGCTTCTTGCTCCGGGTCGAGCATCTTGCCTTCCCCCTTGGTCCGCTTCTTCTCGACCATCAGCAGCCGCAGGACGATATCGACCAAGATAAAGGCAAAAGCGCCCATCCATGCGGTCCAGTAGCCACCCAGCTCGAACAGCATCCCACCGAGAACAGGGCCACCCGAGGTTCCCACCGCTGCAACGGTCGAGATCATCCCAGAGATCTTGCCCATGTGTTCCGACCCAATGTTCTCGGCGAGAGTTGCGATGCCGACAATCCACAGCGCGTTGCTGGCGAGCGACTGGAAGAAACGACTGGCGAAAAGAACAAACACTATTCGATTAGTTTACTTCTTGAAAAGGGATTGCAATTCTTCTTTCAAAAACGTACGCGATTCAGCCATAGCGGTAGCCAAAGAGCTGACAAACGCCAGAGCCAGTGAGGCAAGCAGCAGATTGCGCTTGGAGGAAGTCATATCGGAGACATGACCGATGATCGGACTGGAGAAGACACAGATCAGGGCTCCCTCGGAGAGGAAGAGCAAGGTACAGCGCTGGACGATGCTGTTGTCAAGTCCGAGACGGTGTTCGAACATGTAGGGTAGGAGAGGCACCATGAAGGCGTAGAGCAGCTCATCCGTCAGCAGGGCCATGGCCATACTGACGAGGATGAACAGGTTGGACGAACGCCATTGCGCCTGTGCCATCTCCGGCTGAAGAGGGGGGAGAGAGGAGGGAGAGGGGAGAGAATAACAGGATGGAAGAGAGAAGGGGGAGAGAAGGAGAAGAGAAGGAGAGGAGAGGAAGAAATCGACTCTTATCAGCTGTTATCTGCGGGGCAACAAGCGGTGAAATTTTAGTAATTGAAAGTAATTTATAGAGTCGTATTGATTAGTTAATTCATTGCTCAATAATCAGGTAGTTAATTAGAGGGTAATACTTTTAGCTGATCTAGACCTTATGAGTATCTTCAAATACTACTCTGTATATACCTCATTTTCTGTATATCTATGATGATACAGAGTAGAACTATTAATGGTAGATAACATTCAAATCATATTTTATTATCTATTATCTATATAAGAATGAATGTAGAATTAATTTAACTGACCTATTTGCTGTTCACTTCAGGTGCCCCGGTTCCGGCCCGGTTCAGGTCTATTTCCCCTCATCCTCCCCTCAACTTCCTCCTCCATTTCATCTCCTCCATATCTCTCTCCCACCTCCTATGGACATTCATCTCGATATTCTCAGCCAGCAGCCGCGAATCAACAGGCTGTACACCTCGCTCACCTTTTGTTTTCCTGGCCTTGATGATGCCTCGAACGTCGTCGACACGCTCACCCACGGCCTCGAGCAGCTGACGGCAGGCTTCCCCTGGCTCGCTGGACGCTTCGTGGATCGATCGCGAGAACAGCTACGTGATTGAACTGAGCAGCGAGCCTCTTCGTTTGATTGTGAAGAGGTATCCTGAAGGGTTGTTTCCTACATATGCCACCCTCCGCGAGAGGCAGTTCCCCTTCCACATGCTGGACGAGTCTCTTCTTGCCCCGCGCCCAACACTCTCCAATACAGACGAAGAGAGGCTTGTGTTTCTTGTGCAAGCGACGTTTATCGAGGGAGGGTCGTTACTGACATTCACGGGGCAGCACGGTGCCATGGATATGACGGGTCAGTCGCAGGTTATTCGGCTGTTGGCCAAGGCGTGTCGGAGGGAACCTTTTACTCTTGACGAGTTGTCTGTAGGGAATATGGATCGAGGGGGTGGATAGAAATTGAGGAAGAGGAGGAAAAAGAGAAGGAAGAGAAGGAGGAAGAGAAGGAGGGAGATGAAGAACAGCAGACCATCTGGGCTTACTTTGCTTTCTCCGCTGCCTCCTTGGCAGCCATCAAAACCCTCGCCACTGCTTCAATACCCGAAGGTAGCTTCGTCTCGACCGACGACTCATTGAGCGCGTTCATCTGGCAGGCCATCACGCGTGCCAGGATGCCACGGTGGTCATCGTCGTCATCCTTATCAGTTATTTCTTCAAAATTCTCCCGCAACGTCGATGTCCGTCGTCATTCTCCCTTTCAGCAACATACCCCGGTCTCGTCACCACCGCGACAATCCACACCGCTGCAGTTGACGAGACGAGATAGTGTCCGAAGAACATTTTTCTTTGAATGTTTATAAGTTCGGACTGGTACCCCCTGTATCAAACAAACCAAATCTGTGCCTCATGAAGCTATTGTCGTCAGACAATTGGGTAGTTGGGTAGAGTATGGGACAACCCTCTCAGTATTCAACTTGATGACTTGACTCATCTTTCAGCAGCTTCCCGTCATTTTCTGCACAAGAATTATTTGAAAACGTACAGAAGGCTTATAGCGCTTCTGAACGGTCTGCTCGTGGCCACAATGTCATACAAGCCTTGACCAAGTCAAGCTGTCGTGGAGTCAATGACAAAGGTATTAAAAAGAGGCTTGTCACAAGGTTTGCAGTGTAGGGAAGGAGTTCGCCTCCAGATCGGTCTTTGACCAAAGGCTCAAGGCTCGGTTAACAACGGGCCGCAAAGAGATCAAGTTTTGGCATCTGGGAAGCCAATCGGTGGTTCACCCGGTATAACTCTGGGCCGTCAGTATCAATTCAGAGAACGGGTTATATGAATAGAACTAAGGGCAAGGTAAGCACACAAAAATAATGAAGTTGATTATCCGTCGGAATCTCATCTATCAATACTTAGCCTTCGATCTAGCTCCAGCGCGTTTGTCTGCTGGATTTAATTAAATATATATTTCTTCGCTTCCTCGGCAGCCGATGCTAACCGTGAGGACTATCACCGAGTCATCACGGCCGAGACCGGAGATCTAGCCGTAAATCTTCTGGTCTACGCAGTATAAAAGGTGTAGTCACTTCATGTTCTGGGATCGGTTTTCTATTCAGTCATTCTACTGCATTCGTGTCTTGGAGTCAAGCCTCCCCTTATTGCTACTAGTCTAATATAGCCCACTATGGACCCTCTGGTTTCCTGCAGGGCCAAAAGTGCTACTGATGCAGCATCTAAAAATCTCATGTGGGATATCATGAATGATCACTGGTGTCCATCAACCAACCCAGGTGGATACGTGAACATCGGAGTGGCAGAGAACTCACTCATGCACGATGAGCTTCTGAAATTTATCAATACCAAGCTCGACTTGCCTGCCAAATACCTTACGTACAACGATGGAGGAGCCGGATCTGCTAGATTAAAGCGCGCCATATGCCACTTCCTCGACCGCCACTTGCACCCGGTGTCTCCGTTGACCCCTAGCCATTTGGTCGTCACAAATGGGGTTTCATCCGCCATTGAACACATCTCGTGGGCCTTGGCAGACCCTGGCGAAGGCATTCTGCTTGGACGGCCCTACTACGGCACCTTTATTCCGGATATTTCCATGCGTCCAGGTGCAACAGTCGTTCCTGTCAGCTTTGATGGAGTGGACCCGTTCGGTATGGATGCTGTGAGCAAATATGAAGCAGCCCTACTGAACTACCAGCAGAACAGTGGGAAAAAAGTTAAAGGGTTGATGCTTTGCCATCCTCACAACCCTCTCGGCCGCTGCTATCCCCGAAATGTGATCATCGCATTGATGCAGCTGTGCCAAAAGTACCAAATCCATCTGATCAGCGACGAAATCTACGCACTGTCTGTCTGGGAGAACACGGTCGATCAATGTCCTCGTCCCGTCAAGTTCGAGTCTGTGTTATCCATCAACCTGACCGACGTCATCGATCCTCGATTGGTACATGTTCTTTGGGGCATGAGCAAAGATTTCGGCGCAAACGGGATTCGTCTTGGTGTTATTATTTCGCAAGCCAACCAACCCTTTCATCTAGCGCTGAAGGGAGCCTCTCTATACTCCTACGCATCTGGAATCTCGGATCACCTGGTATCACTCTTACTAGAGGATATCCAATTCACCGATTCCTATATCCAGCAAAATCAACAAAAGCTATCAGAGGCCTACGCTTGGACTGCGGATCTTTTGAAGCATCACGGCATTGAGTACGCGTCAGGGTGTAACGCTGCCTTCTTTCTTTGGGTCAATTTGGGACGCAAATACCGAGAAATCCATCCTCATACATCTGAGAACGAGGACACTGGAGAGAAGGTTATGCAGCTGCTGTTACAGCACAAAGTTTTCTTGGCCAGCGGTGCCCTTTTTGGGTCGGAGCAGAACGGATGGTTTAGAATCGTCTTCTCCCACCCTCGAGAGTATCTGAGAGAGGCAATGCGGAGGATCATAGATGCTGTCAAAAATTAGATTCTATACATCTAATATAGCATGTGGACGTGAATTATGGAAACCGACATTCCATCTAAAAGTATCTATCTGTATGGGAACTGATAACACCACATCAGTAGTATCATCTAATACCCTAAGCGTCAAGTAGAGTGTGGCTGACAGGCTGAGTACTTTTAAAGCGGGTTCATGAGTCTGCAGGTAAGCAAGTAATGTAAGCCTCTATGTGCCATGTCTGACTCGCCAGATCCCAAAGGCCCACACGAGCTGTGGTTGTTTGACTTGTTCGCATCACAATGGAAAATTCTAGTTTCCTTGGATCGCCAATACAGATACGAGACCGCAGTCGTATTTAATAGGGGTGCGTGAGGACTCGTCTATTTTCTTCCTTGGGGAGGGAATGGCGAGATTATAGTAGGTGTGTGTGTTTACGGAGTAACGATTTACGATACCTACGCACCGATGAATTGATGGAAGAGTATAGTAGGTATATAGGATAGTACTCATTATATATTAATATCAGGATACTTCTAGTTGGAGAATTTCTCCGGCACCTTCTTGCTACTCCAGTTAGCCTCGACTTCAGAACAATCCTTTCAATAGATATACATACCCCGTCATACTCTCAAACTGCGTGCGCGCCCCGTCGGTGATTTTCTCGTTTGTGTCGCGCATCTTGGCCGGGTCGACCTTGCCGCCGCCAAATTTGCGTTCGGCGGAATCAAGCGCTGACAATTAGCAGGTATCTTTTGAGATATATTTGATTCATAAAGTACCTTTGTCAAGATAATCCTCGTTGTTGTTCCCTCCGCTGCTGCTGCCGGCGGTGTCATTGTTGCTCTTGTTGCCGAGCTTACCAGCGAGGTCCTTGATCTTGTCCATGATGATATAGATAAATTTGAATAGAATGAGTCTTGAGAACTGAAAAGTACTGAGAGGAGACTCGTGTGTCTTAGTATATATATTGATTCTATGACATCAGTGATTGGCGATCATACTCTATCTGGGCAATGACGATGAGAGTGACGGATGCGGAAATGATGTCATCAAATTGAGGTAGTATTATAGTATTATAGTATTATAATCATAGAATTATATTATATTGTAGATTATTTACAGAATTATATTGTAGATTATTTATAGTAATTATGATGTTGTTTGCAGAGCTGCATCGGTACCTTACATATCACCTGTACCTTGATAGAATTATCTATGCCCCTGGTACCAACTTTTAGGTATAAATAATTAATTATAATAAAATAGAAATTCAGATAAATATACTCTGTAGGTACCTACTGATAACTACCTGGTAACTATTGTCATTGTCATCATTACATGCCCTTTCCCTGTCTTTGTTAGTGAATAAGTTTGACTATAGGACTTCTTTCACCACCACTTCTTCTTCTACCTCCATCTCACACCATCACTCTTTCTACCACCTCTTCTTACTTAACACCATCACTCATTCCTAGACTACTCATTCAAAATCTTATTAAGCTCCTTATCCCTTACAATCTCTGTGTTTTTCTGCGATCATCAACGCTTTTGCAGACGCACACTCTTCGAAGCCACGCAGCTCTCTTCCCCATGGATGGCAATCCTCAATGGCAAGGTAGTATTACCTTTCTACCCCAGTGATGACATTGATCCAGTACTGATCTCAATATCTATGTCGCAGATACATGACTCTATTATGCCCTATGGATTGTCTTGACAATTTTTAGAACCACGAATACCGTGTCCGAGGATGTGAAGAACTTCGTGCAGAGCGAGTTCGCCAGGTGTGATACCAGACGCGGGTATATTCCCGACATCAACGTCTTTGAGGAGGTCTATGTGAGATCTCCTAACTGGCGTGGCGTCTTGCGTAATTTGTACTGGCGAGGTCGACGCCAACCGACCATGTGGGATGTATTCGAGCTTCTTGTGCAACGCGGATTTCTTAGCACGGAGTGCCTCACTGTGCCGGTTCAGCTCGACAACATGACCCCTGATACCAATACCATCGGACATCTTTTGTCCTGTTTCTCGTTCTTCCACCACGACTGGCAGATGGTCATTGAGGGGAAAATCCCCTGCCAATCGGCTTGCTGGGACGACGACACCGAATGGCTTGCGACAATGATTGTTCGCGGCGGAGTCAGCGTGGATCAACTGCTCAACACCATCGAGGCAAGTGGATTCCTGGGCCACTGCATTCCAGCGCAGCTAGAGGAGTTCAAGAAACTGTATCCCGTTGAGTCGACCAAACTCACCCAGAACCCTCGGGATCGAGAGGGTACGCTGGAGGCGGATGGGCTTGTCCATCCGAGCAAGAACATACTCGGCTTCTGGCTTCCACATGGCTTGGGTTCGGACAAGGAGATGTTTGCCGCCCAACTCCGCGAGTGCCTCTCGCGTTTTAACAAGATTGAAGAGCTTTATCGAGAAACGGAGAATATTCCGACAAGCCAACTCTGGTTGGAATCCGAGCAGAATGATCACTTTGAAGAAACCAGCACTTGATGCCCGGTGCCCAGAACGACCATGCCGAAGAGCATATTATCTATCCATGACGATTCTCAGTAGTTGCTAGATCGACGTTGATCAAGCTCAACAAAGTATTTTCTTAATGACACTGAGTGGTTCATCTTGATTTATTCAGCTGTTCTCGGCGTCTTAGTGTTCCTTGACAGTTCTAACTAATTATTAGCCAAGACTGAGCTTCACTCATAACAAAGAGATTTCCCTTCAAATTGAATAATAGAGTAATTATTTAGAGTTGTTTTGTCTACAGTTGACAGACTTAGGAATCAGGCTGCCATCACCTGACAGCCTCACAATCCTCGCTTCTCCCTCTTCTTCCTCTCCTCTTTCTCTTCTCTTTGTTCGTTGTTCTTTTCTTCCCCTCTGGTTACGTTGCAAAGCCCGGCGCCTCTGCTAATGCACGCCCTTCCTGCTATGCTGTGGGTCGCGTGGTGACCTGACTCGCAGTACGTTCTAATCCCTGCTTAACCCCCGAGCGCTGCCAATGGCCTCTTCTGCTGCTGACGAGGGTTGTTTTTTTAGCAGTCCACCGTCTCCGCCGACGGACCGTGAAACAAACGATGGGCTGAGGAGCGGGGGGGAAGCCTGTCTGGCTCTCAAAAGCACAGAAACCCTGCTGTTTGTTTTCTGTTCCGTTTATTGGGTTTTCTTTTGACCAAATTGCATTCCCAAAATGTCTGAAGCACCGCAGCAGACCACGCAAAGTCCTCCAGTAGAGGCGGATCCAGAGCGGACAAACTCCCCAACTGCAGACTCGGCGTTGGGAATCACCGGCGGCTCCTCCTACGCTTCTTCGCTGCTCTCCGAGGCTAGAAACTACCGGTACGAGAACGGTCGGAGATATCATTCCTACCGCGAGGGCCAATATGTGCTCCCCAACGACGAGACGGAACAGGACCGCCAGGATCTCGTGCATCATATCCGCGGCTTGGTGTTCCGAGGGAAACTCTACCACGCTCCCTTAAAGGAGAACATCTCGCGGGTTTTTGACATCGGAACAGGGACAGGTAGGGAGCTAGAATAACCTTTACCCAGATTTCCACTCATACTGACGAACAGGAATCTGGGCGATGGATTTTGCCGACGAGTTCCCCAGTGCGACAGTGGTCGGCACCGACCTGAGTCCCATCCAGCCCAGCTGGGTCCCGCCCAACGTGGAGTTCTTTGTCGACGACGCCGAGTCGGAGTGGACCTTCAAGAAGGAGTCCTTTGATTTCATCCGAGCGGTTGACCTCGGCGGATCCATTGCGGACTGGCCAAAGCTGTTGAAACAGGCGTACGCCCATCTCAAGCCTGGCGGCTGGATCGAGCTCTCCGACTTCCCCATGCATATCTACTCCGACAACGGCGATCCCGAGAAGCAGGCACCTGCCGTGGTGAATTTCTTCAAGATGTTGCGGGAAGCCAGTACGCGCTTCAACCGCCCGATGGACGTGGCAGAGGACCATATCAATAAAATCAAGGCCGCCGGCTTTGTTGACGTCGAGGAGAAGATCTACAAGGTATTTTTTTTTCACTATTGAAAACTTATTTACTTATTATTATGACACTTGCTCATTACTATGACAGTTCCCTGCTAGCGCTTGGTCTTCCGATCCCGTCCTGAAGGACGCTGGTCGGTATAACCACGAGGCCAACTCGATGGGCCTGGACTCGTATGGCACGGCGCTGTTCACCCGAGTCCTAGGCTGGGACCCGGTGGAAGTGGTCGTTTTCCTGGCCTCTGTTCGCAACCAGCTGCGAGATCCTCAGTACCACCTTTACGTGAATGGTCATGTTGTCTGGGGTAGAAAGCCGGAATCTGCATAAACGGAGCTACACGATATACGAAAGACATGAGCATTTTAGTATACTTTAGAAGATGACCCTAGTCAGTATTCAACATAGTAAACATACTATAATAGATAAATACTCGAGGCTACTCACGGTAAACAACATCAACAAACGGCTGGTCGAAATGAAAGAAACCCTGCGCAACGAGGCTTTCCAACTGCGTCAGCCGCTGCCGCATAAATTGCAGAACCTCACCATCATCATGGAAGAAACCATACAACTCAAACCCTATAGCCAGCGGAGCAGGACGCACATGGTCCATTTCTTCGATGACGGCGTATCCCATTTCCAGCGAGGTGCGGATGGTGCTCAACAGGCCCATCTGGGTGGCGTGTGGGCCGGAGAGACCGAAGAATACATACTTACGTTTGAACTGGTAGATGGAATGGTCGGTTGCGAAGTGAGGGCTTTTCCATGCTTTCAGGGGCCAGACTTCCATTAGGATGACGTGCGTGGTGTTTGTGCGTGGGGTGGGAGGGACGGTGGTCATCTTGAAGAGTCGAGTAACTATAGCAATAGTTAGTGTAGTTGTAGTTGTAGTTGTAGTTGTATATGGTTATATGGTAGATGGATCATGGTATTTATATCATTCTATCGTGATTCTGACAGTAGAAGTTCATGAATGCCCTTTGAATGTCTTTGAAGTGTCTTTGTTCACAGATAGCTCTAAGTTCAAAACTGTTAAGGCCATTGTCAGTCTTTGTCCTGGTAGACAATGTAATAAAGGAAGCAACAATGTTGATGCTTTGTAGAGAACAGACAATGGTACGATACAAAGAGTGTCTCCGGCTTGAAAGTGTACAATGAGTCTAGAATCTACATCTAGTATACGCCCTCGAACTGTTAATTTATACTATATTGTAGATAGGTCAACGCTTCCTCAAAGCCATGTTCTCGCCCTGCAGCCTGGCCACGGTAAGTCGCAGACTGTCGCGTTCCGCCGTCATGGCTTTGAGCTGTGCTTCAAGTTGTGCCAGACGGTCTTCCTTCTTGCGACGACACCGGCGGGCAGCCATAGTGTTCCGCTGTCTCTTCTCGATGACAGCCTCTTTTTCGGCCGAAATTTCCGTGATTGGACTGGGCGCGAGCGGCCGTTTGCGATCACTCGACTTGGCAGCAGGCGGGGCCGTGGAAGACGAAGCTGAAGGGAAAGAGAGCGAGGGAGACGGAGCCAGAGGGGTCGCGCGACGAGTGTCAACTGGGAGGGTATGCGAGTGTGTGCTGAGAGCTGGAGGCGATGGCCCGATTGTTGCAGAGTCGGAGGATACGAAATTAGAAGCAGATACTATAAAGTTAGACTTTGGAACGATAGAAGAAAAGAGAGAGCATACTGCTTAAAGAGGATGCATCAATTCGTGAATCCCCGGCGCTCATGGATAAGCCGTCACCTTCATACTGAGAGACGACTTGATCCAAAGGGCGGAAGAAATGATCGTGTACAAAGATGTCAAAGGCGACACTAGACTCTTCGTCGACGGGGGTCCAGTGAAGATCGGTTGGTGGAGAGACGGAAGGAGACGACGCGGAGTCGGAGGGATTCGAGATAGAAGAGGAGGAAGAGGAGACAAGACCAAATAGCGGAAAAGACGGAGACGGAGGCGGACACAAGAACTGATCGAGGTCACCCGTTGCCGTCGAGCAGAGAGGACTGCTGCGGCTGGTAGAACAGGACCCTGATCTGACGGGGGGCGCATGCGACGACGGCGGCCACCACTGACATGGTTGTATGGTGGGGGGGGAAGAAGAGTTAGAGAGAAAGGAAAAGAGGGAGTCGCTTGTGTTGCTCTATCTCAGTGGGAGATGGATGTTGCAGAGCAACTGGACGTTCAATCGAGAGTTCAAGGGAGGAGGAGGGGAGGAGAGGCCGATTTAAGGCGGGAGGGGATGGCATATGGTACGGATAAACGTGGTTCCTTGAAATAATACGTGTATTCGTAACAACAATACACACAGATCTAGGTACCTACCTAAGGTCAATCTAGGGTATCTATGAGTATGATTATTCTAATTATACTATACAGCTAGACATCTAGTGAAGAGTTTATGATTACTCCTAAGTTTAATATAGAAGTAAATCTAGATATAAGAAGCAAGCCTACAACTTCTATTTTTATGAATTGTAACATCTTCTCCGAATTATGACCAGCGCTATACCTAATATGGGAATAGAGATGCAGCATTCTTATCGAAGGCCAGTATCTGCCAATCAGAGACAGTAGAAATGAGTCATTGTTGGTCACTTTGATGGGGGATTGTTCAGAATCATGTGTCATGACAGGTATGTGACGGTAATAGCATCTTTATTATGAAGTATAGTTTTGAGAATGGAATATATATATTATCTATATTATCTATATACTCGGTATACTCGGTATACTCGGTATACTCGGTATATTCAGTATGTAGAGCTGTTTATTCTTATCAATGATCATTATGGAATGAAGAGAAAATACTGTACAGCTGTCTATTCTCTACATCCCTGCCATTTTGGATAAAAAGAAAAATGAATAGAGAGGGGTTTACATGCCACTATATGTACTCCGTAGGAGAGATCTGCCTAAATCTGCCTAATAAGCAGGCATCACCTATTATTTCTGCCTAATAAGACGACATCATCTGCTGCATCCTGCCTAGTATAAAGCATGACTTTCCAAAGAATGGTTGCATCCATGGATATACTACATATAGGCAAAGTAGCCCATATCATTTCCATGCATACAATGCAGAAACAATACTTATCTCATATTGAGTACTCATAGTACGGAGAACTCCTGTCTAGGGACTTAGATACATACCTAGGTAGTATCTAGATACATAGTACCCAGGTACCTTAGTAGTACTTAGGTATGTACCTGCTCTCGGCTGAAGCCGAGCTTCCGATTGGCGCATGCAGAAATTGCAACTCCGGCAGGTCTGATTGGGCGCCACAGCCGGAGTGCAGGGAAACCAAGCCTATTCGGGCGAGGCGTCCGAGGGTCCAGGCCCCGAGATCCACCGGACTAAACCCTTTCCATCCACAGAGGTGCTTCTATTAACTAATGAATACATTTTCGACATCTTTTCTTTTGTGTGTTTCCTCTCTCTCCATTCCGACTCTCTCTTGTGCTTCTGATTCTCTATCCCACCATGTCAACCCCCGTCGAACTCGAGAAGCAGGAGAGCAAACGAGATGCCGAGAAGGAAAGCGAAGCGTATGCCGACCCGTTCGGCGACGAGAGCACCGCCGCCGTGAAATACAAGACGCTGGAATGGTGGCAGTGTGGGATGCGTAAGTCTCGCTCTTTGAGCTATACTACTTCATTACTGACTGTCAGTGATGATTGCCGAATCCATCTCGCTGGGCGTCTTGTCTTTACCTGCTACCCTGGCGCAACTGGGTTTAGTTCCGTAAGTTCCTGACCATGAATATACCTCCTATACCAGGTATACTAACTATTCCTATAGAGCCCTCATTCTGATTGTCGGACTGGGGATCATAGCCCTGTATACCGGATTCGTGATCGGACAGTTCCGGACTCGCTACCCACACATCCAGAACCTGGCAGACGCCGGCGAGGTGCTCTTTGGCGCTGTCGGACGCGAGATCTTCGGGCTCGGCCAGCTGCTCTTCTCCATCTTCATCATGGGCAGCCACATCCTGACGTTCACGGTGATGCTGAACACCGTGACCGAGCACGGGACGTGCTCGATCGTGTTCGGCGTGGTGGGCATGCTGATCTGCATGGTGTGCTCGCTGCCGCGCACGATGAAGAACATGACCTGGATCAGCATGTGTTCGTTTGCGAGCATCTTCACCGCCGTGCTGGTGACGATGATCGCCGTGGGGGTCCAGCATTCGCACCGGGGCGTCTCGCCGCTCGTCCAGGCCACCGTCGAGAACAGTCTGTTCCGGGCGTTTTCCGCCGTCACCAACATCGTCTTCGCCTACTGCGCGCACGTCGCCTTCTTCGGCCTCATCGCCGAGATGCGCGACCCACGGGAATTCCCCAAAGCCCTGTGTCTGCTGCAGATCTTTGAGATCGTGCTGTATGTCGTCGCCGCCGTCGTCATCTATCTCTACCTCGGGTCTGATGTGGCTTCCCCCGCGCTGTCCTCGGCCGGTCCTCTCCTCAGCAAGATCGCGTACGGCATCGCCATCCCAACCATCATCGGCGCGGGCGTCGTCAACGGCCACATCGGTCTGAAATACATCTACGTCCGGCTGTTCCGCGGATCCGGCCGCATGAACAGCAACGGCTTCGTTGCCGTCGGTTCCTGGATCGCCATCGGCTTGTCTTGCTGGCTCGTCGCTTGGATCATCGCCGAGGCTATCCCCAACTTTTCCGATCTTCTCGGCTTGATCGTAAGTTGGACACTCTATCCCGGATTCCATTCTATACTGACCAGCAGTCCTCTCTCTTTGCCAGCTGGTTCAGTTACGGCCTCGGAGGCGTCTACTGGCTGCATCTCAACTGGGGGCAATGTTTCTCGTCCCCGCGCAAGATCGCCTTGACGGTGATCAACGTGTTGATTATTCTCATGGGAGGGACCTTGGTATGTCCGGAATATACAGTTGTTATACACTCAATATACTAATTGCTATCTTTAGTGTGGTCTTGGGTTGTATGTGTCTGGCAAGGCAATCCATGATGATACTGGGAATGCCAGTTTTTCATGTGCCAACACAGCATAGTACTTGGATTGATTGATTGATTGATTGCTGGATTAATTGCTGGATTGCTTATTGCTAATGACTGATACTATAAACCTGAATAATTATGAGTTTAATGAGTTGAATCGAATAAATTAGTACTTAGCCTATGTCTGGGTAAGAGCTCTATTGACTGACAATATATCCATCAGTCTCACTCATCAATACATTATAGCACTAATAAGTTAAATTGCATAAGCTGGTAATATACATAGGAATATGGGCATAGGAACTCCCTGTTGCCATCTCAGTAATTATAGATATAATCATCACTAAGTATCTATGTAGTGGAATACTTTATACATCTAACATCAGTATAGTTTAGTAGTCTAAGATATTTGATTGCTGTCTAGACAGTGAAACAAGGGTCAAGGAGTAAATGAGTAAATTGAATGTCATATCTATTCTATGTATGTCACCAGGACATATAATTCTAGCAAGATCATATACTTTTGCAAGCATGCCTTTGCAATCATGCATGTTTCTGCAATCATGTCCAAATCATAATGTACTTAAGCAGCAATGTACCACTCGACACCCGAGAGACGGCCGGCGTCCAGGTCGGCCAGCTCCTCGAAGAGATGGCGGGAGAGATCGATAGAGTCGGCATCACAGCCCATGCACTTGTCGACGACGGTGCCGTTGGCAGTCACGCCGTTGTAGGTGATGACGACGGTCTTGCCGCAGTCGGCGTCGGTGATGATGTCCTGCGACAGGGCGAGCACGTTCTCGACGGTGCCGTCGTTGGTGGTGCCGCAGGAGGAGGGGTTCGACGAGGTGTCGGCCGTGTCGTAGTAGGTGGCATCTCCGGTGCAGGTGGAGGAGGAAGAGCAGGTGTCCCGCTTGAGCACGGCGGGGGCGGCGATGGCCAGAGTGGCGATGGCAGCAACGATGGTGGACTTGAAGAACATTTTGAAAGTACTGGTGTAGTAAGACTGTAGTGTACTGGTGTACTGGTGTAGTAAGACTGTGGTGTACTGAAAGTACTAAAGGTAGAGTACAAGGAGAGAATGAAGTACAAAGAGTGTACTAAAGAAAGTAGTCAAGGAAAGACTAAAAGATTGAAAGACTGAAAGACTGAGAGTGATTGAAAGACTGTTGATGATGATGAGAAGAAGACGAAGATGAAGGACTCTTTTATATCTGCGCAACGGTCTAGAATCGACTCCACCGATCGCCACGAGGAACGCCACAGGACAGGAACAGACCTTTACCCCGTGGCAATCCCGGCAATCTCCCCTGGCCCTGCAGGAACCGTTGCTTGGCGATCTGTTCCGATCGGATGTGGCGCCAGTGCATTTCTCCGATTGGCGGAGAGCCGTTCGTCTGAAAAATCGGCTTCCGGAATAGGTAGTGGGGTCTATTGTTACTTTGAATATGGAGGAGAATTCATCCGACATACTACGACTACTTTATGATATACTATTGTGATATACTATTAGTATACATTCTTACTATTATACTATTATACTATTATACTACTGCTACTACTACTCTACTACTCTACTAGTCACTATTATACTACACTACAACCTACTATACTACTACTACTACATACTATACTTGCATAAACTCTATAGTCAGTACTCCTAGATCGCTTACGACTACCCAGTTGAAGAGAGAGAATACCCAATCCACAAGAACACTCATGATGTCATCGACGCATCCGGCGATTCTAGACTGGTCTCCGAGCAGGCCCACGTCAGGACAGGAACATCAAGGTTTGTGAAACTGGAGGGACTTCCGCATGCGGAGTGGCGATCATGGAGTTTTAAAACTTTGTATCACTGTAGCCTATGAATGACCGTGGAACATCAAAGAATCAGCAGAGAACTCTGTGGAGAACTCTGTGGAGAACCTATGAAGAATCTATGGAAGAACTCTAGAAGAATCTATGGAATGACTTTATGGAAGAATAAACCTAGTAAGGGATATCCCAGGACCAGTCCAGCAAATCAATGCTGGCATCGACCTGCTCCACCGCCTGACGAACCTGCAAAGCCTCCACAGTGGCGGGGACATTGACGTCCCCCCCCTTTTCCTTGAGGAAGGATTCGCGGACGGCCCAGGCCTTGAGCATCAGGCCGCCGAGGATGCGGCCCGTGACGTTGGTGGCGGCCTCCTCGAGGAACTCCGGGTGATGGGCGTACAGCTGCAGCAGGGTGTTGAAGGCCTTGGTGGCCGCGGCGTCCCAGTCCGGGTGTGCGGCGAGAAACTGGAGGGTGAAGACGGGGGCACCCCAGGGGAAGAAGAAGCGGACGTGCCAGAGAAAGCGGGCGAGGGAGGGACTGGCATGGATGAGGTTGTCATAGGCGACGGTGCGGTCGGCGAGCGAGAGGGTGGTGGCGTGGTTGGCGCTGGCCTGGTGCGGTTTCTCGCGATGCAGCTGGCGGTGGTGCATCTGGCGCAGCTTGCAGAGGGACGACCGGGTGGCCAGACTGGAGAGGAACTGTACGGGGTCGACGGGGTCAAGCGAGCGGAGATAGCGGGCTTCCAGGGATCCCTCCAGCTGGGAGAGAAGAAGACTCTGCGTGGGTAGCGGGGGTTTCCTGGCGGTGAACTGGGCGATCTCGTACTTGAGCCTGCAAAAGGTCATGTCGCACGCCTCGGCGCGTTCGGGAGGCACGCTCTGCATGTCGGGCGCCAGATCGGCGTCGTTGACATGCAGCGGGATCCTGGTATCTGTTCGCGCGGACGAGGTATCGGCGCCGACGAGCTCGGCCAGCCGGGCGTCCAGGGTGACAAGATACCACCAGACCCGTCGGCGCATCTCGCTCTCCAGCACGTTCTTCTTCAACCCGAGCACCTCACCATCGCGATGTAAGCCTTGGGATTGGGCGAGGCGTAGAACGGTGCCGAACAGCGACCACAACTCATTTGGATCATTATCCAGCATAGATGTCTAGAATTAGCATCATCTGGTGACTTGACTGGGTGAGTGACTTACTAAAAGTAAAAGTTGGGCAGCAAGGAGATTGAGATCTGCGTTCCGTAAGAACCCCGCTTCCACCAACGCCGCCCGGGTCGTATCCTGCCACGACTGGAGCAGGACATCTCGACGCTCGTGAAAGGTCTCTAGACATTCACGGACAGAGAGCGAGGCGACGGCCGCGGCACAGATCGAGGCACGCAGGGCCGTTGTGGTCTCTGTCGGGTCGGGAGTGTCGAGGAGGAGTTTGACGCTCGGGGCGTGGATGAGCATGGTCAACGGGTGGACATTTTCCAGAAAGACAGACCAGTAGGTATGACTGGGTGCTAAATTCAGAGACGATGAAGCCGAAGTCAACGCTGATGCTGATGCTGATGCTGATGCCGACGGCGAGACTGAAGGAGAGGCAGGGGAGAGAGAGAGGCTGGACAGGGTAGACGAGGGTCGCAGTCGCGTCTGTCTGTATTCGTGACCGAGGAGACCGATGAAGCCGTGTTCATAGTACCGCCGACCGCCATGTTCACTGAGAAGAAGGCCTGTTTTGGGGGGTCCTTGTGGTGGTGGTGGTGGTGGTGGTGGTGAGAGGGAGGGAGTTGGCAGTGGTAGTGAGGGTGGTAGTGAGGGTGGTAGTGAGGGTGGTAGTGACGAAGACAGTGACGAAGAGAGTGACGAAGAGAGTGACGAAGAGAGTGATGAAGAGAGGGATGAAGAGAGTGATGATTCAAACGATTCAAAACCAACTCCAGCCCGTCGCAAGGCCTCTTCATGGCTCCTCAGTCTCTGGATCAAGCTGCGATGCACTTCCTCTGCTTGTTCTCGCCGGCGCAGGGCAGGCGGTGTTGACCGGTACCGGCACGGGCGACCGGCGCGGGCACATGACCGGCAGGGCTGGCGCTTATCGCATTTGACCTTGCGATGGACACAGGCGGAACAGGCGTACAGTTTGGGGGGGGAGGCAGTGGGGGAGGGGTCCATGGATTGGGGAGTTATTGTAATATTGATTATATTAGGAGATTAATCTCCTAATATTCCTGATGTTTATCACAATAGCCATGTACAGAGTAGTATATCTTGTATCGGCCGTCGGACTTCGGCGGGGCTCGGCAGTTCGGCGGAGCGGCCGCTCGGCCGATACATAAAATACACTCTTCTTACTTACCTTTACCTTTACCTTTACCTATACTCTTATACCTACTTCTATACTATATTCTATATTATATTCTATACTAACTATACTATACTATACTATACTATGATCACTCTTACTCCCCTCTCTGTAGCAAAGGTGCTGGTGGTGGGAGGTGATTCTCTGGTGACGCAGATTCTCGAGAAACTGGCCAAAGAGGGTACTAATAATATTGAACATTTATACCGAATACTGAATACTGAATAACTGTATATAGGACTTGATGTGACGACATTGAACGAAACCCGCCCAGAAGGACCATGCAGGGAGTTTGTCGAGAGGGTGGGAAACACTATAAAGGAAGAAATCATCATACTGACACGAACAGAAACACACTCCCTCGGTCGAATACCTGCAGTCCTTTTCCCTCGTCATCTCCGTCAACCAGGTCCGTTCATTCGAGCTGATGCTGGCCGATGCTCGCTGGCCCAACCTGCCGATGATCATCACCCGGGGAGTCGCCAATATCTGCAAGATGCGCTGCCAGTACGGCGAATTACCCTTGTCCACGGGGGGGACATCCAATTTTGTGGCTCTGCCGATGAATCTGCTGCCGTGGACCGAGGAAAAGAGGAAATTGGGTAAGCATTAACTCTTATGATTTCATGTATTCTACTAATTTATAGTCTCTGATATTGCTGACTCCCTGTCGCTGTCGCCTGCCTTCTACAAGGCTGGACTGGCGGTTGTCCGGTTCCGAGAGGAGAACAAGCGATGGCCTGAGGAATCCGATGCAGAGGTTCTGCGATCGGACGATGCTGAAGTGCAGAAATACACTGATCAGCTGTGAGTTATTCTTATATCAATATTTATAGTATCTAATAACTGATATACTAGTCTGCTGGGTGGCTTCGGGTCTCTGCCGGAGACGATCTCCATTATCAGCTCGCTCATTGTGCATGATGGACTGGGCATGTTGACAGGAGAGCAGCCTGTGAATAACACCAACATTGAAGAGGTTATCGTGTCGTGGGTAAATAGAAATAAACAATAGACAATGGATGGAAATAAGGGTACAATACATACACAATACAAAATACAGTTTACCATACATACAGTACAGTACATAATACAATACATATATCCCTCTTATCCCCCACCTTCTCTTTCTCTCTTCTATTTTCTACCTCTTCTTCTATTCTCTCTTCTATTCTCTCTTCTACCCTCTCTCTCTCTCTCTCTCTCAATGGCTCCTCCCTTCCACCCTCTGGCCGTCCCGGCCAAGAAAACCGCCCTGTTAATCCTCGACCTCCACAAATTCATCATCTCCCACAACCCAACCGGCGAGAGCGTGGTGCTCAACGCCGTGAAGCTCCGCGCCTGGGCAAAGGCTCAAGGCATGCTCGTCGCGCACTGCCTGATCGATTTCAAAGCCACCACCCCCGAGAACCGCAAGATGGCCGCCCGCTTCAACGGGGTGCGCGACGAGATGGGCTCGGCGCCCGACAAATCCGGCGAAGACGAGCGCATCGCCGCCATTGCAGACGAATACGTCTTCTGGAGACCGCCTAGCCATATCAGCGCGATGGGCTCGTACGGGCTTAAAGACTGGCTTGCTGAACATGATATCCAGTCGCTTGTTCTCGTCGGCTTGTCTTCCTCGGGCTGTGTGATTAATACCACCAAGGGAGCGGCGGACGCCGGCTGGATCGTCACGGTTGTCGAGGATGCGTGTGGAGATAAATCGCCGGAAGCACATGAGGTGATTATGAGTAAACTGTTGGTTGGGCAGGCAAATGTCTTCAAGACGGAGGAGGTGGAGCGGTTTACTTGGTAGTATACTTGTGAATAGATATATATACTCGGCTATAATGTAAAGCAATGAATCAGTATTAATATTGAGCAGATGGCAATAATATATGTGCTTTATTATAGGTATTCTGTGCTATACTCAGTATACATCACTCTACTGTAGATGATCACTATGTACCTATTCTTAAGTCTTATTATTGAATTCATCTATCATGTCTACATTAACGATACAGCTCGAAACTCGCTATAGCTGCTCACCAAATAGGCTGCGTGGCAAACCACTCCCTCCAGAAAGCCTGCTTTTCCGCAACATCCACCACATCAATCATGCCATTCTCCGCGCCCAGAGTCATGATCTTGCCGTCGCCCGTCGCCTGGAACTCCGGCAGCCCCTCGCCGTTCGGGTTGCCCGTTTTGATGAAGTTGGCCCAGTAGCCCGACATGCTGGCAGCAACCTGGTGGTCCGTCTCGCCGTACTCGTACCCCTCCTGTGCGTACAGGTTGTTAAGGGCGTAGGGGATCTCAGCTCCGTGGAAGGCGCCGAAACGACCGCCAGGTCCGATCTTGCTGTACGTGTAGACATTGCGAGGCACGGCAGACTCGTAGATCCGCAGCTGGGGCTTTTCTTCCTCCTCCTTCTCCTTCTTCTCTTCTTCTCCCTCCTTCTTCTTCTTGAAGACCGAGTCCGGTCCACCGGCCCGAGCGGGGGGAGCGTGCGTGTAAAAGTATCCGTAGATAGGACTCTTGCCGTGCTTGTGGAACTCCTCCGTCCACAGAGCGGTCGTCATACGCGAGTGGTCGCGCGCGGCGTCGTTCCAGGCGGCCCGGGCATCCCCGTCGACAACAGGGTACAGCTTGAGGAATTGGTCGAGCAGGGCGGCGCCGTACTTCTGCTCGGCGCAGGCCTTGAAGTCGTTCTCGTCAAAGGCAGGGTCGGTGTACGTGCCGCCCTCGTCGGCGTTGTGGCCCGTCATGATGGGCACGTCCGCCTGGATCCCCTCCTGCAGCGACTCGTTGTAGTTGAGCGGGATCACATATCCGTCAATACACGGCCGGTAGAACGGCGGGTTGCCCCATCGGTCGTCGTTCTTGTTGTTCCCCTCCAGCAGTTTGTCCAGCGGCATCGCCCGCAGCTCCTCCAGCGTGGCGGCTCCCTTCTCGCGCACCGTCTCGGCGCCCTGACGTTCGGCAACTTCTTTCGTGCGGTATGCGGGGGCCAACCCGCTCAGCAACGGGTCGCGAGGGTACCGCCAGCCAGACTGGGGGATCGCGGCGCGGAACAGACCCCTCGACAGGGGGGAGAGGATGTGCAGACCCGTCGAGGCACCGCCGGCAGACTGTCCACCAACCGTCACCTTGGCCGGATCACCGCCAAACGCAGCAATGTTCTCCTGCACCCACTTCAGGGCGGCATTCTGGTCGAGGATACCGTAGTTGCCCGACGAGTTGTGGCCGGATTCAGCGCTCAGCTCGGGAGTCGCCAGGAATCCCAGAATACCGACACGGTAGTTGAGGGTGACCACCACGATTCCCTTGGAGGCGAGGCCCGCGCCGTCGTACGCCCGCTCAGAGCCCGAGCCGGCAATGAAGCGGCCACCGTAGATCCACACAAACACGGGCAGCTTCTCGGCGCTGGCGACGTCGGTCTTCTCCACGTCGACGGGCGTCCACACGTTCAGCGACAGGCAGTCCTCGCTGGGCTCCACCACCAGGTCGACAGCCCCGAAGGCCACCTGCGGACACGGCGGGCCGAACGTGTCGGCCACCTTGACGCCCTCCCACGACGCCGGCGGCTGGGGGGCGCGCCATCTGTTCGCGCCGCCAGTCGACGCCGCGTACCGCAGGCCCTTGTACACGGTGATGTTGGGCAGCTCGGAGGGCACGCCCTGCACGAGACCAGTCGAGATTCTAACAGGCATGATGAAAGGGTATAAATGATAGCAATGAAACGATAGATAGATAGATAGATAGATAGATAGACGATGGGAGGAGGGGAAATTATCTCATGTTTTATATCCAGATGTCCCCGCAGCTCGGCCGCGCGGCCGCAAAACGGAGGCCCCGGCCGAGCGGCCGAGCTGCCGTGATTCGGCTGGCCGGTCGCCGGTCGGAGTACAATTGGCGGAGTAGCTAACCTGTTATGGAGTAGCTCACTACGGAGTATTTAGAAGATACAGTAAGTAACCCCGCATCAGGTATACAGAGTCCTACATCAGTAACTGATATTAGTTAAGAGGGTCAATATCTAATACGTATTTAATATGTTACTTTTATATTAGTTTTATGAATGAATCAGCCCCTCTGTACCTTGGTTGTATCTTGGTTGTTGTATTAGACTGCCAATAGCGGGGTAGACCGGGGATGAATTTACCCAATACAATGGATAACTCTTGTACTAGTCAATACCCTGAGGAAGAGGATACGGGGTAAAATAGACTTAACTCGAATAAATATTTACAGGGCTGTAGTATGGAAATAAAATACTAGCCACTGTCCAAATAAACATTCAGAAGATAAATATCTAGGCAATGTTTATTATAGGTCAACCTGCTGTCAATATAAACAGCTTCTAGTGTAGTTATTTATCTATAGGTAAGTACCTAGTGCATGAGTAATCCTTGAGATAGAAAGACTGCTCAAATATGGTACACCAAGACTATAGTACACACTTTTTATATAGAAGGAAGAAGAATATTAAACAGAATAATCAAAATTGGAAAAGGAATTGGACTATTTGAACAAACAGAGGATAGATAGTAAGGAAAATAGATTCTAGTAACCCCTAGTACAATGACTACCCAGCTGGGTAAGAATAGCAACACCTGTCAATAAATTGCCTGCCGGTAATTCTCCCACCAAGTATAAGGTCTTCCCTAGGTTGTTGTCTAAAAACCTCAAAGAAGGTCTGTATTGCCAAAATGCCATTTCTTGCCACAAAATGGGCACCAGAAAGGTTGATTTTGCTCGGGTTGGTCCATCTTCCAGTCATGATGACACTGGGAGCAATTGCGAACTTCCAATCCATCGCTCCTGGAAGCCATATACTGAACCAGATCCGCAGAAAACCCCGGTACCTCTGTCATAACCCGGACAAACGCTTCTTTCTTATTCAGTGCGCCAAGGTGGTCATGGGCGATCTCCACCACTATATTACGCAGCTCGCAATCCTCCACAGTTCCGGTGTATATCTCGGAAATGGCAGTGGGAAAGTCGTCGTCATCCCAGCAGTATTCAACGCTTTCCTCGAAATTGCCGGCAACTTCCTCTTTTAATCGCGGGATGCCGTATTTCTCCGCGACGTGATATGTCCGCACGTGGAGTAACATTTCCGAGATGCTGTCTGGGTCGCTTTGCTTTCCCTCGTATTCAAATCCATAGAAATAATGGACCATCGCCTCGACGGCACGCGGATCGTCGTCTGGCAGCCGGATAATATTATCGGCGGTTTCCTAGTCGGAGTCGTTAGACAGCTTGCTTTTTTCTCCCGCAAGCCAACACGTACCGTTCGGTTTCCCTTGAAAAGTCGGAAAAAGTATGCGGACTGTCCGCACACAACTACCCGGTGAACTTTGAACTCTCGAAACCTTGTGACAATGGTCATGTCCGAGAACCTGGAGGAATAGAATTGCCTGGAAGGTATCAGTAATGGAGCTGCTCTTTAGCACCTCGAAAGAAACTCACTCCTGGATGCCCACCGTCAGATCGCACTCTTCGAAATCCTCCTCCTCCTCCTCCTCCTCTGGAGCTTCGTTTGTATTTATCAAGACATCCTCTTTCTTTTCTTCCATGATGGTCTCCGCGACTTTGCACCCTGTCAACAGATGTCCAGATTATTTCTTCTTGCTTCTCAGTAGAAAGAATTCTTTCCACGTAGACGAAAACGCAAGGAGTGATAAGAAACAAGATGAATATGTCGTATCAGGCCGCTGTCCTCGTATTATCGTGTAAACAAATGATTGCCTCCTCTTGGCGTGTCTGGTGAGACGCGACGATGCAGGGGCGCGTTTACAAGGCCATCTGACCAGGCTGTGATTGGGTACTATATAATGGACTATGGAGGGAGTAGACATTAATAAGAATCAGTGAAGTGACATTACTTTTCAAGGTGAGAAGTGTCGACGTGAGCGGTACAACAAACTGAACAGGATATAATCCCAGAAAGCAAGATAGTAGATACCACGGATGAAAGTAGTCATATCTATCCCTTGAAATGCCTGGGCTGTGCCTCGTACATGGTTCCAGAAGATACATGGGGCTATTTTGTATCACGGCGTTTGGTCAACAGTGAGATGAGTACTTCCCTCCTTTAGCTAGATTCTCTGAGGTGAGGATTCCTAAGACGTACAATTCATATCATGTTACTATTCTCATCCAGCCATCGTCTCTTCCCAAGTAGACTGCTCTTCCTTCCAGCGTCTTTCATTACTCCCATGCTCTGCTCTTCCTTCCTTTATATATAGATGACGCTTGATGGTCGACTCGGGGGGATAATCGAGTGTTGGACAGTCCGTGACAGTGACATTCTCGGAGGGATGAAGGCGTAGACGTTGCAGCAAGAAGACTGTAGAGCGTCTCTTTGGACGCGGCTGGCCAAGATTGTTTGGATGTCTTGGGTTTGGTATGCTTGAAAATAATAGAAAGATGGTCAAAGACAGACAGGGAGTTTTAGAATTTCGTGTTTTGTGCGTTGATTTGTTTGCACAGGCAGTCAGGTGACAGGCAGTCTTTACTTTCGCTTCATCTTTACTGCAGTCTGGTTCTCTCCCTACCATCCACAAGCTCATTCTTGGTCTGGACTGAGCTATTGAGACGTTCTAGTCTTTCACCAAGGTTACCAGTACAGATATCGAAGCTTATCACTGTGATTACAGACCTTAGACTCTGTGAGTCTCTGTCAACGACCTACAGAGAAGCCTCTGACTCTGGCTCCGAATCTGGACCTGACTGACCTCTTTCAGCTACACTAGGCTTTCTCGACGTCTGCCCTCTCAAACCAGATCTTCTCCTTCAGGTCCTCTTCCAAGTGGATTCCCAGTTTAATCGGCCGACCACCATCCAGAATGAACTCAGCGTCCATTGGATCGTCGCCCCCCTCCCAATAATCACTCAAATGCACCGTGTACTTCGTTTGCCCTCCAATGTGCTCAAAGGTGAGTCTAAACCCGAATGAACGGTCTGTTGCGTCGACGAAAAGCTGATCGTTCTTGACCTCAACCGTCAGAGCGTGATACCCTGGATTACGATATGTACCGGTGTATGCCTCGAGTGGCATCGTCTGTTCCTTGCCGCTGTCTTGGGAGTCTGTTTGTGTATCCTCCGAATCCTTCTGGTCAGGTTTGTTCTGTTCACTGGGATCATGGCCTTCCTGGCTTTCCATCTGGGGTATGCGTTCTGCGTCTGGTACTTGAAGTAACTCGTCCACCAGGGCTCGTGTCAAGGTCATCGTGAAATTGCCTACTTCCGCCGAGTTTCCGAGCATCACGACGCCAAATTTTAAACCAGGCAGGAAGAAGAAACGACTGGCAGCACCAGAAATCATTCCGTCGTGCCCGACAACCATGTGGCCCCGATAATAGTACACATCCAGCCCGGCCGCATAGAGAACAGGCGAGGTGTAAGGCTTCAAGTCCTTCGTCGAGGTGTCGGCAATTGCTCGCATCCGAACCAGACTGTCGTAAAGTCTCTCGCTGATAGGGCCCTCATGGTTCATCAGCGCCTTCACCCAAAGGATCAAGTCGTTCACACTTGTGGTGATCGAGCCTGCTCCCTGGGCTTCTGGACAGTCGGGGATATCAAACTCATGATGACGGCCGTTTTCCTTGTCCCAGAAGTATCCAGGAGCCATGCGGTCGCCTAGTCCCTTGGCGCGAGCGCTGGAGGGTTGCAGGCTGGTTGATGTCATCCCTAGTGGCTGGAAGATACGCTCCTCGAGAAACTGGGAGAAGCTCTGTTGGGTCTTAACCTCCACTAGGTGGGTCGCAACCGTGTACATCATGTTGCAGTACATATATTTCGACCGGATCGGGGCTGCCACAGCCAAATTTCGCAGATTGCGCGTCACCGAGCGAGCGTCATCAGGCTGTTCGCCTCGGATACTTATATATGAGAGATCATGGCTGAACATAAGTATAATAATCCATCGAATAAAGTAGGCTAATACCTCTTAGAATGTTTTCTTACCCCGGCAAGCCACTTCGGTGACTCAGAATATCCTCCACAGTGACATCTTCCGTGTACCGCGCGTCGGCCATGACGAAGTCCTCCGGCAGGATCTTCGAGACGGGAGTGTCCCATTGCACGTCTGGATAGCGGTCATCGTCGTCGATAAGCAACGCGACCGCCGCCGCAGTTAGCGATTTGGACAATGAAGCGATATCGAACAGCGTGTCGGCCGTGCAAGTCTTCACTGGATCGATGCATGCATTGCCGTACCCCGCCGAGGCGATTTGGTCGTCCTGCATGATGGCGATCGCCAGCCCGGGCACGCGGTGCTCTTTCATCAGCTTCTCCACGTGGGAAGCAAATCTAGGGGATTTGAAATACTCCATTTCTTAGTGAACCATGTACTGTGAATTTCGGTCTCTTCCACAACCTATATTCATAACTAGAGCCTATATATATAATCATAGTTTCCTGTATTCTAATGACTCACCTCGTTTAGCTGATGATCGCCAGCCGGAAATGGAATGCGGAGAAAAGATTAGGCTGCAGTTGCAGGATTGTCCTTTGACCTTGGAATAGGTGGCCTGAATACCATTTGACGATCCACTAGACTAATAACTAATATGTTAGAACGGCTTCGGTACTAAAGTACATGTTTATTTCTGTTTATCATTCGTATGGCTTCATCCCCGCCAACTGTAAAAGACGCTCAGACAGAATAGGATCCTCGATAGGCTTGGAGCGACTGCGAGGATCAGGCGTCCCGTCAGGCAGGAGAAGGAACTGCGGCCGCACAACGATATTCTCGTGTGCCCAGTGCGTGGTGTTCAGAGAGCGAGCGAAGGCTTCCTTCTTGGCCTCGAGGGCTTCCGGTGCGGCGAGGCGGGCAGGCGAGTACGACGCGTAGATCACCGTGCGAATGGTGTTGCTATCCGGCGAGGGTTCACCCCCCCAGTGGATGGTGCGAGAGTCCCAGAGGATTAGGTCTCCTGGTTCGGCGTGCACTTTGATGGGCTGAAGTCCTTTGGCATGGAACCAGGCCATCTCTTTCTCAGTGAAGGTGCGGTAATCCTTCTTCTCCCAGGTTGAGGGATCAGTCTGGGTGTCGAAGAAGGTCTCTGTCAGCGTGTTCGAGCGCGGGTACAGCATCAGTGATCCGTCTTCCGCGCCAGCGTGGCTGAGATTGATGATCCCCTGGATGCAGTGGACGCCTCGACGGAAGGGTGACTGGTCGACATGTGGCCAGGGTTTCTGGATCGGCTTGTCGACGCGGTTGGGGAAGGTGATGTTGAGTGCATCGAAGGAGACGAGCAGCTGGTCGGTGCCCCAGATGCGACTGAAGGCTTCCACCACTCCCGGCTCCATTCTAGCCTCCCACATGAACTTCTCGTGACTGACGCCGTAGTTGGTGAAGGTATTGATGCTGCTCTGGATCGGCAGATTCTCTGCTGTCCATGTGGATGGATCATTCAAGTCGAGCCCCGTGTCGAACGATTTCAGCCAGTCAAACGCCTTTTGCTGGTAATACTGGGCCTTTTCCGAGCTGATAGCCTGCTTCACCACAACGTATCCCTGCGACATGAGGTCATCCCGCCAGTCACCATGCTGTCCGCGGAGACTGGTTGCGTAGTAGTTAGCCCAAATGAGAAAGATAGATAGGAAGAGAGGGTGTGTATTTCCTACGTGAGAGGCCCTTGAATAATCGCCGTAGTGGTAGCCATGGTAATAAATAGCTGGTGTTGTTTCCTTGCTCTTTCACTTGTAGCTGTTCCTTTCTTATGTCCACGACAGCTTCCCCGCACGATCGTCCCTAAGAGGCCTGGGGCTGGGTCGGCAGAACTTCGGAATAGCCAGAGGTGCGTTGTCAGGTTCCGTGTTGTGTCAAGTTAGAAAAAGAAGATGATTCGAGATGCTTCTGTCGAGAGAGGCCAATAATACCGTGATGGAATGCCGTGTTATCCGACGGACAACATCAGATGAGTCTGGCTAAGTGAAGATAGAGTGAATAGAGAGGACAGCCTGATGCGGGAGACGTGGAAACGAAAAGCAGGGCCTCTTTTCCTTCGAATATGAAGGGAAGAAGAAAGAGATTTTTGCTACAGAAAGAAAGAAATCTTTTGCTGCAGACCTGCAGGAAAGTGAGAGATGCCTCGAGGGGTCACATGATTCCCGGCCTTTCCTCTCTAGGAAGTTGCACAACTTCAAGTCTTCCAAACACACTGACTCTTTTACAAAAGAGAAGACTTACTGACTGAGAGAGGCATTATCTTAAAAGGCGAATAACTTGCCAATGACTGATCATGAATATAGATTATATACAGGCTTGCCGGACTCCCACAAACTTCTCCAACCATTTCGCAAAACGAATACTCTGCTCGTCCACGAAACGACAAAAGAGGTGAGAGATACCAATAAGGAGAACGATGAAGACGAGCCAGCTGATGAAGAAGCCAAAAGCAAATCTCCATGGCGTGTCTCTTCCAGTGATGTTCCAGACGAAAACGAATAGGCGGTAGCCCAGCAGGTGGAATAAAGGTCCGTGGATAATGTACACGCTTTAACTGACACGACCGAGATACTGAACAGGGTATGTCTCCAAGAGATAGCGGTGACCAATGTGTAGCTCGCTGAGATGAACTAGCAGACTGACAAGGGTTACGGAAACGATTGCAGGGTAGAATCGAAAGGTTTGCGGGTCGAAAGACGGGATTAAGCGGGTCAGGAGACGATAACCAGGTGTATACTGAACGCACAGTGGCGGTGCAGACATCAAAAAGAGGGCGATGAGTAGGAACATAATCTGGAAGACTCCGAAATGATATCTCCGCCAGCGGAGATATTTTCTCGGCCTCCTTGGATGCGTGGTGTCAGCGAGAAGAGAGCCAGCTAGAAAGAGACCGACTTCCCACCGACCACAGAGATAGGCATATATGATAAGCATGACAAGACAAGATTTCCGAACCACGAGCCGGAGACGGCTTAGAGACAGCAGGCATAAATACAGGACCATCGAGGCGCGGAACTCAAGCGGAATCGTCCACAGATGTTCATCGTAAAGGGGCAGGTAAGTCTCCTTCCAACACCAGGGATAAAGCATCCGCCACCACGACCTGATGAATTCACGCAGCTGCAGTATGAAAAAACCAATTCGCTCTGGAAGGGGCTCCGGAAAACCAGAAAAGACGGCGGTATTCCTGGCCAGCGCCCGACGCGTCTCCCACCACCCAGCCTGCACAGTAAGGGTTGTGAACAGCGCGGCTGGGACAAGAGGGAGAAACAGACGCAGACCCCGCCGCAAAGCTGACGAACTCAGTGTATGAAAGAGGCCCGGCCAGTCGCGACAATAGGCTTTCTTGAGGGCCTCGGCGGAGAGGGCAAACCCTGAGAGAACAAAGAAAACGCAGACTGCGGGTTCCCCGGAATAGAGCAGGCGGATGAGGGGCAACTGGAGTAACGAGCGACTAGTTGCGACACGCTCGTATTTATATGAGCACTGTGTTGAATCCTCAGCTGCAAGACCATAGCCGTAATACACGAACCGGTGAAAGGCTGTAAAGACGTGGTCGTTGACTACAGCCAGGGCGAAGATGCCGCGCAGGCCGTCGAGGAAGGCTGTCCTCTGGTGTGTTGCTTGACTGGGACTGGATGAGCCAGTCTCGATGTCTTCATAGTCGAGCAGACGGGTTGACTCCATGATTGTGGCTTTTGACAAAGGGAGGTAGGTTCAATATAACCAACGCTGCTATTCACACCTCGATTGGGAAATAATAGTCAAACTCTTTAACCTCTGAATCTTATTTTTCTATTACCCCCTCTACTCTCTTGTCAATACTCCTGGTGCTAAAAGGTGAGCAGTATAGTAATAGAATGTCGGCCTACAACTCTGGGTATATACCATGAAGGTGTAAGTGTCAGACTGTAATTGCAAAATATCTGATGGTTTTAATTCTCAGAAAGAATGATAGCCAATTCTATGCAATGCAACCCTATTCAAATGCTGGGAAAACTCTATAGGTAGATAAATGAGTTACTGTTCTAATATACATCTTTTCATTTCATAACAACATTCATTTCGACTGATTTCTATAGAGTTAGAGCAGCAGTAGCGATGCCGTCTGCTGTTTCCTCCTTGATGCCCAAGAGTTCAGCATCTGAATCTTCTCTCGTCCGCGCAACCAAGCATCTCGCCTCTCCCTCGTCGAACAGCTGCGCAACCACAAGATCCAAGACCCATCCTCCATCCCCAGCCTGCAGTTTGCGGCGCCCGCTTTCCTTGAGGGACCGTGTCGTCAACCGCTCGACACTCCATTTTGTTCCTGTCTCCTTTTCAAACGCCGCGAGTAGCTCGTTCTGGCACGTCTGGATGGATTGCACCTTGACGAGGCGGTTCTTCGTTTCTTCTAGATGGGATAAGACGCCCACCACCGCCTGGCCGATACCTTGCAGCGTTGTTCCTGTGAACATTTCGTTCCCTGCGTCGTAGATCACAGCTGACTGGTCTTTGAGGTTGAAGCCCATTTTCGGGAAGCGTTTAAGTGCCTATGTCGTCAGCATAAATATCATAATATAGATCGTTATATGTTTCGCCATACCCAATCGATTGGATTCCCCGTTGCAATTCCGCAGTATGTAAAGTTGGGATTTCTAGCAGCCACCTTCTCGGCGTGATCCCATGGAACGCGGCGTTGAGCCCGTACAGGCTCAAACTCAGGTAATCCACGCACATTGGGTCCCCAGCCGAAATCATCAATGATGAAACGCCGTACCCCTGCCGCCTCTGCCGCGTCGATCATCGTGTTCTGGTGATGGATCCCTGCTGGACCGACGACGCAGACCACCGCGTCTTGCCCGGTCAGGGCTTCTGTTAAAGCCGGGAGCGTATATTCTGTTCGGATGACGGGGATGCCCTCTGGGAATTGGCTTGTGGATTCTATCCGGCTGATGATCGTCACGCAGAAATTGACGTTGATCAGAGCGGCGGTGATAGGCGTGCCAAAGTTGCCGGAGGCCTGTAGAAGAATTAGAGAACAGCGCACTATGAAGTGTTCACGCTTGTGGTTGATAGCACGCTGTTCGACTGGGGTGTACTTACACCGAAGATGGCAACGTTGCGGATAGTCATGATGAAGGTATTGATAATGAACAGGATGAGATGAATTGAAAAGAAAGAAATCTAGGGGAAGGAGGATATTATATGCTCGACCGGTGACTTCTCGGAGGCTTTGAGTGGCGGAGCCTTGGAGCCTTGAGGCCTGAGGCACAAAAAGCTACTTGGTCACATGATATATTTTCACGTGATCGTCCAAATCACTAACGGCGAGGTCGAAATCCCCTTTTCCTTCCACACATCCAAACTTCCTCATGGCCCAACAGCGCTCTGCGTGCGACCGGTGCCGCGCACACAAAGTACGATGTCTACCTGGCTCAGCTGCCTGTCAGCGCTGTGAACGGCTCGACGCAGAGTGCGTTACTGGCCGTGCGAGGCCATTGGGTCGGCCAAGACGAAAAGCCTCCGAGAAGACAGAGGAGGCTGCGAAAGCCTCCGAGATGGTGGTCAATCAATTCCATCAGCTCAATCAGGGCGAAGTGGAGCAGAATGGGGGTCAAGACAATGGTCGAATAATGAATGGAATGTTTGATCTTGATTGGATGATGCCAGATCTTAGCTTTGATCCTATCCTGCTGCCTGTGCTGGAAGGGGAGGAATTCGCCGTTCATACACATGGCTCGCTCGACGTGTTTGGATCTGCTGCTTCTACACTTGCGCAACTGAACGAGAGCCTTGCTCGCCAGCTCACACGGTCCAAATCGTATCCATGGGGGTCCCCTGTCTCCCCCGAACCTGGTGGTGTCAACGGGTTGGTGGAGATTATGCGGACGACTGTCGAGCTGATTGACCTGATTCCTCGTTTATACGATAGCTCCGAGTTGGACAACACACCCAGTACGGCCACTGTCCTGCTCCTCCTCTCGACGTACCTACAGGTGATGGAGGTCTATGAAGCCATCTTCCACGGCGTATACCTGACCTTCTGCCGCACCCCGACCGACCAGATCGGGCAGTGCTCCGGGCAGGCAGATTCGCAGTTTCATGTGGCGGGTATTGGAGCCGTGCAAGGCCCGCTGCGAGTGAAGATCCTCATACAGGTGATCGAGCACCATCTTAGCCGGTTAGAGGTGCTTCTTGGCGTTCCTCATGTTTTCAGATTGTCAGCGCAGGTAGGGTCGGATGAACTATCCTCGTCTGGTGTTCTCGCGAATGCCTCCTTGATTCATGCTGTGATGACGGAATCTACTGGACGACCTGGCGAGTCGATCATCCTCTCCTTGAAAGATGGTATCGCCAAAGTCAAAGAGAGGATTTCTTGATGTAATTCTGTCTATATACCGACAGCATGTATTTCTTTGTCAATCTGGACTCGCAATTCCACCTCGCGTCCTTGATGGAGCGGGTCAGAGATTCCAATCAAGTGCTTTTGGTACTGGATGGATTGGACGAAGTGTCTAGGGAACAACTTCAGAGTGGAATCTCGCTGATTGAGCAATTTGAAGAGCTCTTTAGCAGAGACAATGTCATTGTCACCTCCCGGCCGCACGCTGCCATTCCATCGCGTTTAAGAAAATTTGACTGCGAGATGGACACGATCGGCTCTCTCCCAGAGCAAGTTCAGACTTATATCGCCAAGATTCTGCTTGTCGATGAGGCCAAGGCCGTGCAGACCTTCATTCGACAGAATCGAATGATCGAGGGTCTTCTTCAAATCCCTATTCAACTTGATGCTTTCTGTTTCACTTGGGCAGGCAGCCATTTTGCCGAGGATGTCCCCCTGACAATGACCATGCTGTACCAGGCGATCGAACTCAGACTCTGGCAAAAGGACATGGTGCAGCTTGCCCGGTCTGCTCAAAATGGACTGCTCAGTGAAGATTCGGCCCGGAACTATCTCACTCGGCGCCAGGTGCAGACGGTGATGAATCGCGAAATAGAGCTGTTGGAAGTCATCGCGTTCAACGGTTTATACTACAACATGATCGAATTTGATTCTACACATCGATGCCGGGTGTATAACGAGTTCCCGGAGCTGAATGACAATTTCTTGGATCGATTGTCCTTTATACGAACATCAGACGTCCTTTCTAGCCAGCCCTTTCGCAAATACCACTTCATTCATCTTACCTTCCAGGAGTACTTTGCCGCCCAATACTTTGTTCGTTGCTGGGTTCAGAATACCTCCCTGGCACGTCTCGGACTGACATCCTCTGAGAGGGTGACATGGGTCAATGCACGGGAGATTCTCGAAAGCCATAAATACAGCAAACGGTACAGTGTAATGTGGCGATTTGTTGCAGGCTTGTTTGAGGGAGCTGAGGGCGAATCGTTCTTACAGGCACTCGATGGCGAACCCCGAGATCTGTTGGGCTATACTCACTTACGTCTGAAGATGTGCTTCTTTCATGAGCTTCCCCGCCGTCAATCCTAAACCATAGAGAGAAGACGAGATGAATTTGAAGAGGAGCTAGAAAGAAGCTTGAATGTGAGTGTGGAAAACAGACTTGATTCACGAGCACCCAGGAGTTTCCGTGAAATGGCAACGAAAATGGAATTTCCTGAACCTCTCCTTGAAAGAGCATTTTTCCAAGGCTCCCACGATGCATATGTTGACTTGAGGGACCGAGCCCAAATATCACCGTGTCTGGCGCTCCGGATTGAATCTCTATTGACGGCCGCCAACACCTCTTCATTGCTTCAAGAAGCAGCAGCTGGAATCCTGGGAAGGCATTCCCGGATGATGTCTGACAGTGCGATTTCCTTTCTCGTTTGTCAAAAAGGGAAGATTATTTATCGGGAATGGTACCAGAGCCTTGCAGACGACCCCAACCCCCCCGAAAATGTTTTACGGGCTGTGGCATCCACTCTCACTCTCAAATATGATATACACGTTGAATGGCCAGGCTGGAGGATCCCTGCAGATCTCTTCAAGCGTCTGATTGTCCACGAGCTCCCCGCTGGGCGTCTTCTTGCAGCCAAAGCAATTGCCACTCAATGCCCTTTACAACAGGATATCATTGCCGACGTGGTTGCATTGCTGAAGAGCCCAGACTGGATAGTCCAGACTATTGCCAACAGAAGTTTGGATCAAGTACCAGACCTGCCACCCGATGTCCTTCGAGCCTTATCCTTAGAGGCAGCTTTGCGAATTCTCGCCTTTCAAAGCACGCTCCCCAACAACATACGGGACTCCCTGGTATCCCTTGTTCTAGACGGCGGTGTCGTATTTGACTCCTCAAATCTTTCGACCTTTGTCAAACATTTGCAAACAGACCAAAACATAATTAGCATTATTGTCACATTTGTTAGCCATATCAGGGACTCCCACGAGATGGAGAATGCGGGAAAAACTTTATGCCAATACACCACTTTCGCACAAGACATACGGCAGAAGGTGGCCTCAAGAATCACCCAAGGAGACAACCAACTGATGCCCTACGAAGCATTTGCGCTCAGCTACGACATTGTGGATCTCACAGAGGAGACCCTCCGTCTGCTCGTCACGCATATGGAAGATTGGGATCCGCGAATGACTCGAGCGATTGATCGCTGCTTGGAGCGGCAGTTCACGCTGTCCAGCAGCCTCCTTCCTCGACTGGTTACGTATCTGAAGCACGGCGAACCCACCGTCAGGAAAAGTGCCCTGAAAGCCTTGAAGCACTGGAGAGTGCTTGCCGAGGACGTCCTCGACATTTTGTCAATGATCCCCGCGGAAACGAACGGCGAGGTGCAGGTGCACGCTACAATCATTCTGGCATCTCAATGCAGCCTGCCAGGTCGCATCGCCCGGACTCTTTTCTCCCATCTTAAAGTAGTATCAATGGAGAAAGGTCCAACCTTGTGGCGTCTTCTAGGACGGGAAGAAAACCTACCCGCCACAGCCTTGGACTTGATGGTATCGCTCTATCATCATGATATGCTCTCTGCACAACATGGGTTTTGGGAGTTTGCTCGACTGATTGCAAGCCAAGAGTGCTTGTCCGACAACGTTGTTCGATCAATTGCTGGATTATTCGGGGTTGGCGATCCCATCGCATGGCCAACAATTTTAAACTTGCTGCGCCAACGGACAAGCTTCGGCGCTATTCTGTCAGATCTGGATGCAGAAATTTGGGCAAAAGTCTTCAAAGGCTTCTTTTTCTGTTCTTACGGAGAATATCCCCATTGTTATTCATGGCAAGGCTGGCTATTCTTTTACGAAGGAGACCACTGCTTCTGGAAAGTCCGTCTCGAGACCCCCAAGCATCACGAGAAGCTGCAGCGCGCCATCCAAGCTGTGCAAGCGGAATGGGAGGATATCCACGGCACTACGATAGGGCCCTCTCTGACAGCAATTGAGACATCCCGATGACTCTAATTTCTCTTGATTTCCTTCGGTCTGGTGGTCCGGTGGACGTCATGACTAGCGGATGAAAGGAGGTGAGATACACTATGCTCTACGGGCATTAAAGGAAATCCATTGCGATCAAATAGCTGATTATTTCCAGATGAATATGGTGCAATAGAAGAGCTAGCTATATACTCAGCTAGCCACTAGGTCCTCTCTCCCAAAGCCTTGATAAACTCTACATCCTCAGTCAGCAGGATGTCGAGGACGGAGAGAAAGAAAGATGCATACCGCTGAACTCTACGGTGCCGTTCTTGTTGACATCCATGATATCAATGTACTCCTTGGCCTGCTCGTCGGTCATCTCGATGCCTTCCTTCTTGGCGTGGGCGATGACCTCGGCGGGGGTCAGGAAGCCTGCCATTAGCATTGCATGAGAAGGGGGAAGAGAGACATACGGTCACCATCTGTGTTCTATTCAATATACTTAGTGTCTACCGTTAATCAAATACCACTTGAAAGGTGTCTTACCATCTCAGCGAAGACCGCCTTCCACTGGTTGATTTCCTCGCGGGTGTATCGGGGCTGTGAATCAGCGTAAGCCTAGAGAGGAGGAAAGAGGATTACCATGATGACAGTATATATCAGCTATGAAGACGAACTATTCTGATGAAAAGAAGAAGAGAAGAGGAAAGAGAATAAATACTATTATTGCTACCCCTCCATGCCACGTGTAGTGCATATCTTTGACAGATCACATCGGCAGATATATCTACAGTCTTGCATCTTTAGGAAATAGACGACGATATTCTACCCTTATTATTCACTTCTACCCCACCGTCAGATTGAACATGCCAGTCCCCTCTGAGACGCGACAGCTCCAACTGCCGTGATATTCCTTGCGATGCACAATCTTGACATTGAACAGGCCCTGGACGGGCCTCATACTGGATGCGATGGCCATGGAGTTAATCTTGGGCGTCTTCCATCCATTGATAGGGAACATATCGAAGCGCAAGACCATCATGGCGACCAGACCGAGGATCTCCGAAGTAGCAAAGTGTCTGCCTGGGCAGATGACAGGAGAGACACCAAAGGTGACAAAGGCGCCAATGCGACGGGTATTGCTATTGTTCGTGTCTGACTTGATGAAGCGTCGTGGATTGAACTCCCCCGCCGAGGAACCCCAGACCTGCTCGTTCCAACCCATCCGTTCGCCTGGGATGTTGACCAAGCTGCCCCTTTTGAGGAGATAGCGGTCTTGCAGGAGGGTATCTTCTGTGACGAAGCGGGTGGGAGCGCTGGCAGACTCGTAGCGGAGGATCTCCTGGTACGTCGAGAGCAGGAGGGGACAGGCATCGCGAATGGCGGAGATGTCGATGATGCGATGATTCTCATGTGAGACGATCATTGCGTTTGTAGCGAGTTCCTGTCGGATTTCAGACAGCAATTCCGGACGCGCGTAGAGATTATACAACACCCAGAAGCAAGCTGGGACGGTGTTGGACAACAGCCCGATACCCATTGTGACTTCATTGCGGGCGATTTCTTCGCCGGATAATCCTGCGGAATGCTGAGTCTCCCATCTGGCCATGGTGAGTTCGGAGCCCTGTTCATGTCCGTTGGCTGCGTAGTAGGCGATGAACGCCTTGACAGCTTTCTCGCGGCCTGTCCATGATTTGCGGGCGATGAGGGATGGCAAGAAGTTGGCCAGAAGGGGAGACATGTTGGATTCAAAGTTCCTATTATTGTAAGAGTTTGTATACGTTCGTTTTTTTATATAGAACTTACCAGAATGCGTCTTCAATTTCTGCATCTTTGTACGGGTTTAAAGGTCCGTAGGAGGCCTCTGTACTGGCGACGGTGATGGCATGCCGGCACCACCCGTACAGATCGATTACCTGGTTATCCTGTTCGACGAGCTCGTCCACCAAGGGAGACAGCAGACTGGCCATCTTTTCGTTCATTCGATCGAGAGGTCTCCCTGTTAATGTCGGGAGGAGGGCGTGCACAACGGTCTGGTTGAGACCGCCGCCACCGGAGGATTTCTCGCGCAGCAACTGTAGGGTTTGAGGGTTAGAAATGCCTGCCATGCGTTCGGCGGTGGATTGCAGGAATGGATCAAAGGTGACGGTCTTGTTGTTGCGTTGTACGGCCTGTAGAATGGAGGGGGAGGCGATGAGATGGAATTTTGTGCCGAGAATATTGAGCGAGAAGATGGGAAGATTTGCATGTTTGTGTCTAGAAGGTTAGGATGCAAGCTATAGTATATAGTATACAGATAGTATGGACATACGCGAGGAGATTGAAATAAGACACGCCGTACCAGAGCATGCCTATTAAATGGCCGATAAGAGGGAAACTGCCCACAACAGGCGGTTCTCGGGGGTCATGTTTGCGGCGGAAGAAGAACGCCGACAGAGCAGCTGCCAGGACTAGAAAGAGGCGTATATCAAGCATTAGAATGGATGGATGGAGAGAGAGCAAATAAGGTGAGTTCGATTAGAATGAGGTTATAAGATGACAGCGTCAGCACTAGTCAGTGAGTGTCAGCAATGGCCTGTTTGGGAATAGAGGCTTTTGCTTATAAATACCAATTGAATAATTAGTAGTTATATTATTATACTGGATACATTTAGCCAAGTGATAAGATTCTATAACATGGAATATGAAGGTATACTTATACTTACGTGGTAACTAAGAATATCACTAAATACTTAGTGTATACTAACTAAAAGCAATACACTCGGTCTGGTAGATGGGAATTGTCACTTCATACAACGTACCTTCCCAGAGATCCGTGACAGAGGCCACCACCTCGAAAACAAAGTCACAGGCATACCAGTAACCATCTGTACAGGAGGAAGAAGAAGAAACATCGGCAATACTGACACCGGAGCTGGTACTGAGATCAAAGTCGCCGTTGACGGAGAACTCGTTGACGATTTCCGCCGTGGCTTTGATGCCGGCCGAGAGATCGAGAAGATCAAAAAGCTCGATCCCGACGGCCAGATCGACGTCCACAAACGGGTTCAGCTCTGCGTCGACGGTGGCCGAGAGGTTGGCGGCGGCAGAGTACACGGGCGTCCAACCGGAGGTGTACGAGGCGCTGCTGTCGAGGAAGTCGAGATGGATCTTGCCCTCTGTCAGGGAGACGGACAGGTCGGCCGTGACGTCTGCTTCGCCCGTGATGGCGAACTCGACGCCGAGCCCGACGGAGAGGGAGGGTCCGATGGTGATGATGTCGGCGATGTCGATCAGGGCGATGGAGAGATCCGCCAGCGTGTAGGAGAGCAGGTCGGTGGAGTAGGAGGCCGTCGCGGAGGCCTGGACGTCGACGTCGCCGGTGAAGGAGAGGTCGAATTCGACGTACGCGGCGACAATCGAGGCGGACGAGGCGTTGTAGTCGACGCCGCCGCTGAGGGAGACAGTAGTGGTGATCTCGGACTGGTCGACGTCAATGCTTAGATCGTCGGTGTCGATCAGTTCACCACTCCATTCGTAGCTGTACGTGGAGGTGTCGCGTTTAGAAGAAGAAGAAGAAGAAGAGGAAGAAGAAGAGGAAGAAGAGAAAGCAACGGAAAGATGGTCGACTTGGTCGTGAAAGGAGGTTTGAGTGATGGTCGCGGTGAGGGTGAAACTGTCGGTATCAAAGACCAGTGCACTCGTCTGGTAGACTCTGTTGCAGTTGTCAACGTTGTTGGTGAGAAGCAGGCCGGACGAGGACCAGGAAGAGGAGGCGGTTTCATAGGCAGCTTCGTCGGCAAAGCGAACAGTGACCGTCTCGTTGGTGCAGGCGACGCTCGACAGGGAGACACTGGCGAGATTGACGGTCGGCAGCTTCATGTGTGCCTCGACTTGAACGAGGGAGTTGTTGGCCTCGTACGACAGGGAGACATGGCGGGCATTTTCCACGGCTGCCACGAGGGGGAGGAGGAGAAAGAAGAGCATGGTAGAGGATAAGGAGAAGATATGTGTCATAGAAGTAGAGTGGTATAAGACAGATGGAGGTATTTATATCATATCTCCCTGGACTATTAACATGTGAAGACATACTAATTTGTTAGTTTATTCTATTAATTTATATCTGATGATCGTGCTCTCATCTGCTACTTTAACTGGAGGAGGTGGGGTATAATAATAGTATTAAGTCTATCTGAATATACACAGTCTTATAATATTACAATGATCTAATATATCATTAGAGATATTATAATACATTATATATCTACTATTTAATAACCATAATTGATCTTGCGGAAATGGATTCCGCCGAATCTGCTGCCTCAGGCACTGTTACATCTCGGAGCACATCTGGCTATCTAGTAAAAGTACTAACTATAGGTAATACTGTCAAGTATAGACTCCATTATTTAAGCTATTAGTCAGAGTAAATAAAGTACTCAACTACTCTTCACCGGGATTTATTCTTGCACCTGGAATTGAATGCCGACGCATGCACATGCAGTGGTCCGTCGCTTCACCCCACTCGTCTTTTGCAAACTGACAGGTCTTATCGGTTTGTCGACTGGTCAGATTTAATATAATAGAGTCTACGGAGTACAATTATACGGAGTACGGAGTAATAATAAGTACAAATGAGTATGAGTAGAAGTACAAGCAGGTAGAAGTACAAGTATGTGGTTGACTGCCTGAGGTACCACCACGTGACTGCGCTAGCCAAGCCCCTCTTCTCCTCTCCTCCTCCTCCTCCTCTCCTTCTCATCCCCTTTTCTCCTCCATCCCACGCAATCGACCATCATCCTCTGCCTCTATCCTCTGCCTCGTCCGCTCCCCTTTCCTCCGCCATTCGCTTTGCTGCACCGCCGCATGACTCGCGCCATCGCGATCCTCTTGCAGCCCGGGGAACCCAAGGCTCGCATTCCCGACCAAAGAACTCCCGGCAGGTGGAGTCGGTCTGGCCTGGATCGAGCAACGTGCAGGCTTGGACAATGCATTCGTTGTCCGTATTGACCGGGATTTAACGAGATCAGTGCGATAGACCGATAAACACCGAGCAAATAAATACTCCCCCTTCGATTTTTTTTCCCTCCCTCCTCCCTCTTTCTCCCCCTCCACCCCTCCTTGGTTTTTTTTCTTCTCTCTCCCGGACACAAAACCTCGCTCTTTTCACTGTGCAATGGCGACCCCTGTGCCTGAAGTTGCTGAAGTCGCTGAAGTTGCTGAGGCTCCCGAGGGAGTCCCCGAAGTCGCGGAGCTTTCTGAATTCCCTGGGGTATGTTATGACCTTGGTCTCGAATCTATCGGCAATTTCTAATCGTTAGGATGACTCGGACAATGTCTCGCTCAGCTCGTACGGAACGGATTATACCTCGTTGAAATCGGGGGTGTTGAACTACGAGTATGACATTCCAAGAATCCGAAACAGATCCTCATTCATATGCTAATTGATCTCTTGTCAGATATGATGTATGCTCTTGCTTGCAACCTAACCGCGGTCTTGTGTCTTCTTGACTTGATCAATGGCCGCTGACTGGGTAGAACGGCCGTCGCTATCAAAGCTATCGCCGGGGCGCATATTTGTTTGTACGATCGCCATTTCTTATTATCCTGGCTTATCAACTAATGAATCATCAGCCCAACGATGAGGACGAACAAGACCGCATGGACTTCCTGCATCACATCTATGGCATGATCTTTGGCGGCCGACTGCATCTGGCGCCGCTGAAGAATTTCTCCGGCCGTGTCCTTGATCTGGGGACCGGAACAGGCATCTGGGCCATGGATTTTGCAGAGTAAGCAATAAAAATATTTGCAACGATGACTTGGGCTGACTTTCTAGTGAATATCCTGCCTCGCATGTCATTGGTAATGATCTCAGTCCGATCCAGCCGGGATGGTATGTGGTGTCGTGTGCTTGAGTGAATCCCTGGCAAATTTAACTAACACCACGATATAGGGTCCCCCCCAACTGCATCTTCGAGGTAGATGACTTTGCCGCCAACTGGGAATTCAACCAGCCGTTCGAGTTTGTGCATGGGCGCGAGCTGTGCGGGTCGGTCAAAGACATGGACCTTCTGGCGCAACAGGCGTTCGACAATCTCAAGTCCGGCGGATACTTTGAGCTGAAAAGCGTCAGTCTGGACATGTTCTCCGACGACAACAGCTACGAGGAACGGGCCCCCTTCTCGCAGCAGATGTGCGACCTGGTGCACGAGGCCAGCGTCCGCTTCGGCCAGCCGCTGCAGGACCTGAGCGTGTGGGAGTCCAGTCTCCGGGCCGCCGGCTTCGTGGACATTGTGGCCGACAAGATCAAGATCCCCATGAGCCCCTGGTCTGCCGACCCCAAGCAGAAGGAAATCGGCCGCTACTTCCAGGCCATGCACGTCCAGGCCATGGACTCGTATCTGCCCAAGCTCTTCTGCGACGTGCTCGGCTGGTCCAACCTCGAAGTCACCATCCTCATTGCCCGTTCGAAACACGAGCTGTTTGATCTCTCCATTCACTCGTACTGCAATCTCTATACTTTCTATGGCCGGAAGCCATGAAACAAAATATGATACTCTTCTTGCAAATATGTTTGGCCTTCCCCCCTGTCAAGTAGACAAGGATTACGGATACGTCATATTGCATAACATGAGGGGGTGATTGCGTGATCTTTCTCTCTCTCTATATACATATTTCTCTTCATTCCTAATCATCTCTCTCTCTCTCTCTCTCTCTCTTTCTTTCTCTCTCTCTGTGTGTGTCTGTCTCTCTCGCTCCCTTTCCTATTTCGGTCCATCCTTTTTCTCTCAAAATGCAGACGAGCGGCGCTTTGGACTTCCCGTTTGAAGAAACAACCCCGGTCATCGGGCGCGAGTATCCCACGCTCAACATCGTCGACGACATCCTGAATGCCCCCAACGCCGACGATTTGCTTCGCGACCTGGCCATCACTAGTAATTATGCCAGTCATCCTTTCGTACAGCAAAGGTGATGCTGATTGACAGTCTCCACCCGAGGTGTGGTCTTCTTCCGGGCACAGGATAACCTCAGCGATGAGCAGCAGAAGCAGCTGGTGCAGCGCCTGGGCGAAGTGACGGGCAAGCCGTCGACTTCCACGCTGCACATCCACCCGATCCTCAACAACACCAGCGAGTTTGGCGTGGCCGACTCGGAGATCAGCACCATCTCCTCGCTGGCGCGCAAGAAGATGTTCGCCGACGACCACGCCCGCCAGACCCGTCGTCAGACCCGCCGCTACGACTCCAGCCTGTGGCATTCGGACATCCAGTTCGAGCCCGTGCCCGCCGACTACACCTCGCTGCGGCTCACGCAGCTGCCCTCCTCGGGCGGTGATACCCTGTGGGCCTCGGGCTACGAGATCTACGACACCTTCTCGCCGCCCTACCAGCGCTTCTTCGAGGGTCTGACCGCCACCTTCACGGGCGACGGCTTCATCCGCGCCGCCGCGCGCAACCCGGACGAAGTCAAGCTGTACACCGATCCGCGCGGCAGTCCCGAGAACATCGGCGCCAGCCTGACGGCCGTGCATCCCGTCGTGCGCACAAACCCCGTCACGGGGCGCAAGAGCATCTTTGCGATCGGTCCGTTCCCCAAGCTCATCAACGAGCTGAGTGCCGATGAATCGACGGACCTGCTCCGCCGCTTCCACGACGTCATCCTGCACAACCACGATCTGCAGGTCCGCTTCAAGTGGCGCAACAAGAACGACATGGCTATCTGGGATAACCGGAGTGTCTTCCACAGTGCGACCTTTGACTATGAAGGGCTGGGCGAGCGGTTCGGACACCGCGCCGTGGGGATTGGCGAGCGCCCGTACCTAGCAGTTTAATATCAATCTTCTTATAAGCATACTTGCTCTTCAACTGCACCGAGTGTTGTATATAGCAGTCAAGAAGATCCTTTTGACTTTACAGATTGAAGCATGATGTCTAGAACTGGACGATAAAGGCCTTTTTACCCTAAACGTATACTTCCGACGAACCCGAGATGGTGCCGTTTGATTGTAAAGAAGGTGTGTTTGCGCCTGATTTCCAAACCATCTGATATTAGGAGATTGATCAATTCTATGGATAACTGCAGCAAAGGATTGCAAATAGTTGATGATTTATAAGAACAGTTGCTAGTTGCCAATATACTATAGAAAGTATCTTATTCTTCTTAATACTCATCTCTACGTCTAGTCTTATAGTAGATGCAGAAGTTAATTTTCACTGGCTAACTAATATAAACCACCTAGATAGCTGTTATCCATTATCTGTAGTTATTTTGCCTCTGCATGAAAGCATTCACTTCTATGCGCTGCTTTTTATGAATATCAGGCTCTCTCATACTATCATCATCTTCATCGTCAGGTAGGCCGGGATTTCCATTTTCCTCTGCCGTCATGACATCATTTATCGGAGTGTCATTGTTTTCTGGGATGATATCATTTCCCTCTTCGCCATTTTCACCTTCATTTACCATATTATTGTTTTCTTGATTTTCTTCCTCTCCATTCATTTTTTCGTGTTCCTTTTCTTCTTCCTCGCCCTCTTTTTTTAGGTCGTTCGAGAGAGTGCCCTCGTCCACGGCTGGGCTGTTATTCACGCCTGGGCTGTCATCCTCTTTTTTGCTGCCATCCCTCGACTTCTGAGACCCGAACTCGGTGGATTCAGAATCATCAATCTGCTCTTCCTGGGTCGCGGTATTGACCTGCCAGAGGAATTGTCGCTGGTCTTCTGGCAGGGTCAGTGTGTGCTTCAACGCGTCCTTTCCTCGCGTCTTCATCTCGTCCAGCAGAAAGTTGTCCATGACACTTTCGGCGCGGTGGAAGAAAGGTCGCATAAATGGATAAAAGACGACGTTGCAGCTGGGGTCTTGGTTATCGCCAAAGACGTACGACTTGCAGTGCATTTTGATCTTGTAGTCAATCGTATAGGCCAGGCAGGGATGCTTTTTTGCAAACTCTCGCATCTTAAACAGCGTCGTGCTCATGGCGTGTGCCTGGTTGATCTTGGTGTCTTTATAGTATTTCTCTTGCACCTCCGCGGTGTAATTTTTGCTGTTGGGCATCTCCAAGTCAAGCGAGAGCTGGACATATCGGTTATTCTGAAAGACATCGTACCAGACTGTCTTGTCAGGGTCGTTGCAGGAGACGAACAGCGTCGCATTGATGCCCCGGAGAGACTCTATTTCGTTCTGGCTGAGTTTTTTTTCCTTCAATACCTCCTTGAGCATTGTCGCCTCTGATCGGATGAGGTTCTGCCATGCGGTTTCATACCGACACATCAAAGAGTTAGTTTCAGACGTTCCAAAAACCAGATTCTCGGGGATCTGGCTGCTGGCCCCAAGATCACTGCTGGCGTCCCACAGCAAGCCGCCATATGAATAGCCACAGAGATGCGTCCACTAGAGTTAGGTTTAGGGTTTAGGGTTTAGGGTTGTGATAGGGTTTGAGTTTAGGGTTAATCTCACCTCTGCCATGTACTGTGAAGTCGCCAGCTGGTTTTTATTCCATTCCTTTCCATTGCCCTTAGAGGGGGGCTTTGTCCACTTCCACCCAAGGCTTTCGGCGAGCTATAGAAATCAATACAATCAGATGAATGAAATGACGAAAGGACGGAACAAATTTACCTGGTTGATTGGTGTATTCCCCATGACTTGAGGCTGCTTTTCAACGCCTATTCGCGTACCAGTGGCCAGGTCAATCTTGTTCCAGTTCAAGTCAATGGGAAGAAAGCGATGGAAGGAATGCTTCTCTTGATATATGCTGTCCTTTCGCGCATCCAGCTTGTTGATCAGCTTCACCATAATATCACTCCATGTGCTGACCATGTTGGCGCCCGCTTTGTACTCTTCTATCAGATTATCTATTTCCTTGTCCTCTTTCTCTTTCTTGCCCACTATCCTTCCTCCCATGTCTACCAGGCCTCCTTCAACAGAGGGAAATGGCCGGATCGGACTGTTTTGAGGGTTAGGGCCTAAACCCTTCATGTATTCATTCCAGTCGTCACCGTGTATATAGGTCGAGTACAGGCCAAATGGACTGGTAGAAATCTGTTGGTTGTACCTTAGTATAGATATATCTTAGCATAGGTTGCATATATACCTTCATCCAAACGGGGCCTGGGGCTTGAGTTTCCACCGTGACCACAGCCTGACACTTGTTTTTGAGGTTATTAATCTTGGCCAGACCAGCGTCAAACACCTTCCCTGCATTATCCGGGTCATTCTGGAGCTTGAAGCGGTCGATCGCCCACGGCTCGATCACAAACCTCAAGCCATTAGGCAGTTTCTGGTCCACCCAGCGGACCGTCTTCTTGTCACCGTGGGACCGGAGCATCCAGATCTCGTTCAGCATGTCGTACCAGAGATCTCGGTCTGCCTTGGCGCATTTCACTCGGTAGAGAGCTCCATTCAATGACCGTAGGGGCACGTAGAAGGGATCGTTTCCCTCTGTTCTGTCCGCGTACCATTCGGCTTTCCAGTCGGAGAGGAAACCCTCGTCGTCGAAATTCGCAAGGTCCCTATTGGGCTTGGATCCGTCTCTGCATGATTTCAGCTCATTTCTTCTGACTAGATGATCTGTTCTTACCGGAGTGCCTGCCACTGCACCAGGTCTGCTCCCATGATAGCCAAAAAGGACACGGCCACATAGAAGGTTTTGTTTTGGCCATCGAATTTCGGATACTTGTCGGCCGTGGAGGAAAACCGATCGCTTCCAATCAGATTATCTTCTACGAAGATGAGCGGCAGCAGCAAGTACAGCGACGATCCCAGGGGGGCATATGGATGTTTCTCTAGCGTCGACTTCTCCAGTAGTGATGGAGAGAGAGAGTACAGGCCTGGCAGGCTGTCCTTGACTTCCTGGAAAATGGAAGTGGCTCTGCGTGTTGATGGCATTTGAAAGAGAATATATCAATGGAGAATATAATGGAGAATATAATGGAGAATATAATGGAGAATATATGAATACACTGAGAAGTCTAGCAGGGAGCAGTCTTAACTACTCTGTACTGTCGGCTATAAACACTTCTTGTATGATGTGGCTATTCTTCCTCGGCTATTATAGCCTGTAGTGATCACAGTGAACTAGTGGATGCTACTTGAATATCTGCAGGTCTATCACATGCAGCAGGCCCTAGCAGATATTATATAATAAATATATAATAAAGGCTAGTAAAGAATAAGATGCTCTGGTCTTTCCTTCATCTTCATGACTAGTTAAGCTATGGAGTGCCTGAGCTCAGCAGGAAAATATGTAATAACATCTAAAGGTGAATATAAGCAATAGAGTGTGGCGTGCTGATACTCCCAGTCCAACTAGACAAGAAAGTATTAGGATAAAGATGTGATAGACCATATTATTGGCTAGATATAATTAGTGGTGACAGTCCAGTCACACCATCAGCTGAATATCGCCTATTTTGCCCATTTCATGCGGGTGTATATTAATTACACTCTGTCAATGAACTCTCTGCTATAGCAGCTAGGACTACCACTACTCCATGAATATATGAAAATCCTCATCTGGCAGCTCGGGCTGGATATCCTCACCATCTAAACAACCAAGATACCACGAGAGGTCGCTGCCGTCAAACTCGCGCGCCGCAAAGCCATTACCCAGGTAAGCAAACCGATTCGCCGACAGATAGGTGAGATGGTAATCCTCCCAGCGCGGGGATTTGAGCGTGTCGAAGAAATGGATGCGCGAACCGGGCCACATCATGATCTCCCCGCCGTGCTTGAACCACGAGTGGCACGGCGCCGACCAGGCCGTGCGCGGGAGAAAGGCGCGGCGGTGCTGGGCAAAGTCGGCGACAGCTTCTTCCTTGACCTCAAAGGAGAGCACTGTCTCTTCTGCCATCTTGCGCAGCATCTGAAGAAAGTGCCGTGAGAGCGTCTCTGTGATGGGTAGGAAGCTGCCGTGACCGTATGGGCCGTACGGGCCATTGAAAACTGTCATACCTGTTATCTCTATATATATATATATGTATATGTATATATATATATATGTATATGTATAGGAATACGTACTGAGATAGTTGGGAAAATGAGGGACAGTAATGGATAAATAAGTACTCGGGGTCTCTGCCCACTCTGTACTGAGACTACGCGAGTGACGGCCGATGATGGGAAAGCTCGGTTTCCAGCTGAGATCGAAGCCTGTGGCACAAATCAACACATCGACGAGATGCTCGACGCCGTCAGCTGTGCGGATGCCCTTGGGGGTGATTTCGGTGATCTCGTCGGGCACCACCGTCACATTCTCCTCGCAGAGGGCTTCCAGGTATCCGGCGCCAGGGGTTGGACGACGACAGCCCAGGGGGAAGTTGGATGGGATGAGCAGGGAAGCAAGTTCGGGCTTCTTTGCCAGTCGGGCGCGCATGTCTTTTTCTGCGGCCTGTAAATGAGTATACAGATCGTCACTGGAAGGGGACAAGAGGGAGATACTGCACAGGCCGCGGCTTGTTCCTTTGAGCCGTTGAGGATGAATCTGAATCGCGAGTTGAGCTCGGATTCAATCTTCTTGCGATACGCCAGGTACTTCTTTGGGTCATTGCGCATCACATCTTGCTGCATTTCACTGTCTGATAGAATCAGAACATGGAGTAGAATGACGCGTGGAAGATGAAAGAGCCTTACAGGTAAAGCTTCCTGCAAATCGCTGGGCGACTCCCGCAGTCACCCAGGATTGACTGCGAATAAAACACGTCAAGGAGGCAACGACTGGCTGTATATTGGGCACGATCTGCACGGCAGACGAGCCAGACCCAATTACAGCCACCCTTTTATCTTGCAGTTGAATGGTTTCCTCCCATCTGGCGCTGTGAAGGACTGGGCCGTGGAAGGTCTCACGGCCGGGAATGGCAGGCCACTTCCACTTGCTACAGATCAACGCTTAACAGGGAATTCAATCAGATAAAAAGAACAAGAACATACTTGAGAGCACCGCTTGCGTTGATGAGAACATGCGCCTGGTCGGCACTGATTGTGCCGTCGGTCTTTTCAATCTTGACGTGCCATTGAGCGCTGGGTTCGTCCCATGTAGCGCCAACCACCTTGGAATTGAGGCACATATATTTCATCAGACCGTGGTCGGCAACAACTGTTTGAAGATACTGCAAGATCTCAGGGGCAGTAGAGTAGCTGTGAATCAGGTTAGAATTGAGTGGGTAAGGATGGGTAAGGAGACGGACAAATTGCTCCACGCAGACGGCGCCCATGAGAACTGGTAATTGACGGATGGAATATCGCATCCACATCCGGGATACTTATTCTCATACCACGTACCTCCGATGGAGGGGTTCTTATCGTAGCAGACCAGGTCCAGGTCCAGCGAGCTGGCGTCGACCTCGTGTGCAAAGTTGATTGCGCTGATTCCGCAGCCGATCACAATCACCTTGATTCTGCGAGTCGTCCGGCTGGGCTGCTCTATTATTTGGTATGGTGTGACAGAGCAGGTAGAGTGAAATAGGATACAAGTGAATAGATATAAGTGTATAAGATAGTGTGAAATATCTGGCTGTTCTTTCTACATCCTACTTAATAGCTAAGGCTGGCATTGGGCAGCCAGCATAAGCTGATAGATGAACCTATAACTTATTAATATATTATATTCATACTTGTGATATGATAATCCTTTTCTGGTAGAAGTTGTAGTACTCTGTATTATACACCCATATCTAGATATTGATTAACTTTGATTACTGAATTACTAAATTAATGAATTCAATCATACAATATTTAATTGATTCTCAACTAATCAGCAATACACCATCCTCCAAGGTAAAACTTCTGACTCGCGCCTCGTCTGGAATAGGGAGACAGCCCTGCCGCATCTCGAAGTCGATGATTTCGCGCGAGATTTGCAGCAGAACAACAGAATCGTTGAACCCCTCGCAATGCGGCCACTCGGCCATCAGATCGAGCGCTTCTTGTCTCAGACCCGGGTGTCTGCATTTCAACGTGATCCAGGACAGGGGCAAAAGGACGCCCAGGTCGGCAGTCAGGATGGGCATGGACGATGCAGAGAACTCGGCGCGAAAGGAGTCGATGATCCGGCGCGCCAGGCGGAGACATTCCCTCCACTCGGGGTTGTAATGGTCAAACACCATCTCGGAGGTGCTGAGGATGGTCTCGACGTTGATGTATAGGATGAGGTGGTGCAGACGGATGATGTCGAGACAGCGAGAGTCTTTCTCACTAGTGATGAACTTGGTGTTGTTGCTGTTGTTCATCGAGTTGTCCAACGCCGCCATATGGCGCATAATCTCAGACTGGATCTTGCGCTGTTCCACGGCCAGAGTCAAAAAGTCCGTCTCTTCACGCAACGTCCACACCCGGAAGACGTTGTTCAGCAAGGGATCCAGCATCTCCTTGGCCTCGTTGACCGAGTGAAACATGCAAGGCGAGGAATCTACCTCCACCAGCTGGCCGTCCGTCGGATACAGCTTGAGCGCCCCGGAGGCGTCGAAATGCGCCGACTGGACTTCCAGATGGGCAAACAGCTTCCACACACTGGCTTCAAACATGGAGAGAGGCTGGTTCTGCGCCGAGAGAAGCATCTGCCGCGCAGCCTGGCCGTGCCGATGAGAGAGGATGTGCATTCCTTGCTTGAGATGCAGGAGCGCCTCGCTCAGATTCCCCTGGATAGAGGCAAAGAACATGAACAGCAGACACGACACCAGCGCCACGGATCGCAGCTGCGGGTCGTTTGTCGAGGCCAGCCGGGCACGCAGCGTCGCCAGAGCCCGGCCATACTGCTTGAACGCAAAGGCGTGGTATATCCCACTCTTCGCTTGTTGGCTGGCTTGATGGAGAGCGCTCAAGGCAGTGACGGCGTGGCAGACAGCCGGCTCGGCAGGACACATCTGCAGCACGACCGGCCACAGATGCGAGTCGAAGCAGCCGGCGAGCATCGGGATCGTCTGCGTCTGGAAGAAGGTGAAGCACCAGCGCTCGTCGGAGGATTTTCCGGGCAGAGACGCCGCAAGACCAGGGTGATGTAGCAGGGAAGTGGTGGCATTTCGGGGCTTGCGTATGGGCAGCTGGACGGAAGCGTATCCGTCACAGATACGGCCTGTAGAGGCGCATTTCTCGCAGCTTCCAGGTCTCTCGTCGCATTTAATCCGCCGGATCCGGCACGTCTGGCATCCTGTGCGAGTGCGCGAGTGTTTCATTGGAGTATGTGAGGAGCATTTCTGGCAGAAGTCGGATTTAACTATAATCATCTAACTAGTTATGTCCTAGCTGGCACTGGTTAGTAAGCTATCTCTAGAATAGTATCATACTAATATATACATATAAATATAATAAACCATGCTGTATATTAATTTATATAAGAAGGATTACTAAATAATCCATTACTGCTTTGATAATATCATGCACACCTAATACAGTGTCTAATTTCTTAAAAGCTGCTTGATGCCCTTCATCACACTCAGCACCCGTTCTCGATTCGCTAAACAGTCACTAGATGCATACAGATGCATCAAATCCAGCCTCGTCTCCCAATGGAATTGGCTGTCTGCCTTCATCTCAAAGAACAGATCATGACTGCATCGCTGCTCCCAGAACCACTCGGGGAGCACCCACTGGAAGGCATCCAGCATTGCTCTCAGACTCGTTACCTCCTCTGCAGTGTATTCAACCGGACAGATCTGAAGAATATTATATATGAGGACTGCTACCGTGGAATAACCTGTACATACCTGTTCTGCAATCAGGATTGCCACCTCTAATGGAAGTGACGGTCCGATATAAGGATCATCATCTTTTCTTTTCTTCTTTTCCTTCTTCTTCTCTCCACATGCGATGATGTTGGCCACCTCAGGCACCACCAGCGGGTTCTGGTAGATATCGCAGCCGTGAAGCCGTCGGGATGGACGACTGTACAGCCGCCGAGCCGGGGTATGCGTGTATAGAGCCTCGTCTTCCATGGCCCATGCAGCGGGATGGTTTCGCCAGTATTTCCGGGCCGCCGTGACCAGCTGGACTGAGCGGGATTCCAGAGCAGACGGGCGACAGTTGAACGCATGGGCGAGCAAGATCCAGCAGTGCGCATGGATGAGATATCCAATCTGTCGGTCTCGCAGCTTCTTTGGCTGCCGGCTGATATGGGCCGTGTGGAAGTGTATAAAGCTCTCGTCGTCGTATTGAGGGCGTCCTCTCCTGCCTCCGATTCGTGCGGTATGGGAATCGCGTGGGAGATGATGTCCAATGCATATCGAGGGCCGTATAATGCTGATGCCAGTCAGGGTGTATTTGGTTTTGTTCTTTATCACTGCATTCTTATTAGAAATACTCTAGGAGCCATACAGCGTATTATACATACGCCCTCTAAAGGCCCCCGCCCATAGCCGTGGAAACTTGGGGAAATGCGCCTGCTCAACCTCGTGCGAGGGAACCACCACATGTTCCATCTTGGTGTTCTTGTACATCTTCCAGCGCTCTTCCCGAAAGACGACGCCGGGGTGGAGTGAGTCTGTGATGCCAGGGGCATCAGGACCGAAAATCCTGACGCCGCATAGGAGACAGATGGGAGGAGGATCAGCGGTCTCTATAGTGACTGGAGGATACTGGCGGACCATTTTGTTTGCTGTATTAGAAAATATCTAGGAAACATACTTCTTAAATACGCAGTTTCATGGAGCTGATGTCATAATGAGCAGGGCAATACTATGCTAGCGGATTTTCTAACCCTGGATTTGGTACAGATTAGATTATGAACTACAAAAGAAGCCCTAATGGTGACGAAGGATGTAGTTCAGGATGCGCTGCACCTTACGGGCGTCAAGTCTGATATTCCATTCGTCGCCCGTAGCGAGCCCCGGGGGTGCAAAGGGTCGGAGAGTCCGAGTCGGGTCATGGTACTTGTAGAGTCTCACCATCTCACCGACACAGAGTATCCCATAGACTGGCGACCGACGGCCATAGCGGCGCGTCCGATGAGTAGCCCGAACATATCGGAGCAATTGGTCCAGGCCGTCTCTCCAAGTAGCAGGGCCACCTCGCCTCTTACATTGTACAAAGAGGAACCTATCTGCTGTGTTGGAGCCGTTGGGGTAATGATATGTATGGAGATCTGACCATCCCCGCTCCCCGGATTGAGAACCATGGCGAGCTTGGGGGCACGTAACGTACCCCTCTGTGACAGGGAACTGCCATGTCAGGATACTGGTCCAGACACCATACAACACGCTCTCGTACCGAGAGCGGCGGATTCGGTTTATCTCGTTGCTGATGGCAGGGATTGACAAATACTATCTAGGTCAGTGGGATAGATCTTGTAATCGGTTCTACAGACTCACCAGCGACATGGTGGCGGCATCTGAGGAGAAAAAGAAATCTCCATCTTACAGACGAAATATAGCCCCGGGCAAGGCAGGCTATATTCACTTACTATAAGCTATAAAAGTATTTATTACAGGAGTGGATCCTAAATGGTGAATAGAGGCTAAATGTCGGGTAGCTAGTTCATCTCAGGTTCTAGATCTAATCTTGGTTACTAAAGAATATTATTCTCGGGCAACATTCACTACTAGCCGAGAAAATATATAATTGGAGGGTAATTTAATCATAGTATATTTGATTTCTCCATAAGGTATTCACTTCTATCATACGCTGCATACGAACAAGATTACTCTATATAAAGTCCAGCAAGGAAATGATTCTTAGCTTGTATTAGGACGAGTATCCATATCAAAGTATCCAGATTGAACTTTTAGTCTATGTAGGATTCATACACAGTAATATCATCCAGTGTTCTCAATAATAACTGGTGGCAATCCCCCAGAAATAGGCTGCCCACGCTCCCAAGACCAGCAGAATGACAGCAGCAAAAGCAGACAAGGACAGTTTGCGATTCCATTCCGCGCGTCCATCGGTCTCGAACTGCTCCTTGAGCTCGTTGATTCTGTCTCCGTTGGCAACGCGCTTCTTTCTGCTCCACTGCAAGCGGCCGATCATCTCATCGAAGAAGCCCATGGCAAGCATGATCCCGCCGACTACGGTCGATGCCGCAGCCAGCACGACGTACAAGATGGTAACCCGGTCGTAGCTGTCGTTGTCGGCGTCCTGGATGACACCAGCGACGATGTCGACGATGATGCTCATGCTGTTGTTGATGGCGATCTTCATGGCGTACCCGGTGCCAAACACCTCCTGGTACCACATGCTGGTGCGGATGCTGTCGATGATGACCGTCGGCCCCATGGAAGAGGCGACGGCGTAGACACCGAAACTGGCGGCGGTTCCTGCAACAGTCGGCCCCCAGGCAGCCAGACACATGGAGAGCAGCATGCCCAACCCCGTCAGACACATGATCGACAGTCTCTGGCCGAGCAGATCGATGAACAACCCAATCAGCGGCACCAGGAAGAAGCCCATGTAGCGCGAGATGGCCGAGTACCAGCCCGCCGTGACGGCGGAGATGGCGAAGCGCTGCTCGGCCAGCTCGGTGCTGTTGGAGGAGAAGATGCTGGCCGTGGAGGTCTGGAAGAGCGAGAAGAGGCAGACCATCCAGAAGGGCCAGGGCAGGCGCAGCATCTTGCTGACCTCGAACTTGTCGTTGTTCTCGGTGAGCTTCTCGCCCGTGGCGGGATCGTGGGTGATCCGGAAGCGGTTGTTGCACCAGCGGGTGAACCACCAGAAGACGGCGGTCGCGACGTTGGTGAAGAGATTCATAAACACTGCTGTCCAGTAGACCCAGCTGAAATCGCCCGTCTTGTCGGCAATCACGTTGGCCGTCGCCTGGCCTACAAACGAGCCGATCTTGCCCAGGCCCAGCTCGAAGCCCAGCGTCGAGGCGAAGCCGTGCGAAGGCGGGAACCACGAGGAAAACACTTTGTACTGCGCGACCTGCGTCGCGACATCGCCCAGCGACTGCACCACCACTCCGAAGATCATGAAGCGGTAGTTGCGCACCGTCGTGGCCGCCGCGATGAGAATCGACCCGGCAGAGTAGATCAGGTTGCCCCAGAGCATCGTGCTGGCGCCCCCGAGCCGGTCGGTCACCATGCCCGTCACCAGGATGAGGGTGGTCTTGATGAAGTTCTCGCTCGCCGTCAACACGGCGTATTCCGCATTGTTAATGTGCAGTTCCTAAAGCATATAAGTATAAAAGCAGAGATGGCATGTATTTGCATGTGTTACCTTCTTCAAACTGGTCTTCATCGCGCCCGTCACGCCGCTGCTCCAGTGCGACCCGAAGCCGATCAGACTGACCAGCAGGACAGACAGGATCTTCATGCTCCATGGCACCGTGGGTCTTTTATCCTCCATCTCATGCTCCATCTTGTCCACGCTGGTGGTCGACACGGCGATTTCTTTGGACATTGTGAAAAGTACAAATAAATTAGAGACAGTAAAAGTAGAAGTGGATGGGAGGGGAGTGAAAACATCCGACCTCTTGATTTCCTTTTATAAGCATACCAAGAGTCCCAAGAAAGGCAAATAAATTGTACCTCCCGGTTCCATGGTAGAGGCTGTAGAGATTGATCAAATCTTATCTGATAGCAAACGTCCAATTAGAGACGCACGGGTGGCGCTATGCTGCGCTAGTTCAAGCTAAACCTGCGCTAATGCACACTAACCTGCGCCAAGATCGACGCCAAGATCTGCGCCAAGATCTGCGCCTCCTCGGAAAAAAGCCGAACAGGCTCATTTTCTCAACAACCATGTGCGAGTGGAGATGGCAGTTAGGTAACCTGTTCCAGCGACCGCTTCGTCCAAGCTTCCATTCTTCTGGAACATACGTGTCGGACATGTACGTAGTCGTACGTCGACGTCTGTGGCATGTCTCCCTGGTTTTCTGTATAGCTCTAGACTGCTCCATTGCCGATGCCGAGATCTCTACCTTCGGCCGACTCGGACACTTGCCGACTGGGCATTCCTGGGCAGAGGGCACTGCCGGGATTCTTGCAGACTCAGCATTCACCGATTCTTGGCTGTCTTGGCTGTAGAATCTTTATGTAAGAGATTGTCCACAGCGTTCTGGTCAGTATATGAGATCTCGTCATTTTCTTTGCATCACTCTTGCCTGTTTCCAGCAATATCAGGTTCTCATCCTTTAGTCTATATTCAATTGAAAATTCCATATAACATGACTTTGTATGTCCTCTCTTTTCTTGTAAACTATACTCAAGTATATTATAATTCCTGTGTTCATTCTTAGGCAATTGCCCAGACAATTTCTACCTAGTTATATTGATGTGCGTGGCCAACAGGAATGCGCACAGCGCAACTCTTGGCTCAGTAAGTCTTTTTAACATGATCACTCTGACACTGCCTACTACATATCTTTGGGCTCTTCAAACCGGCGAATAACCCTGGCAGACACAACACCAGCCAGGCAGCCAGACTCGATATCACTGGTTACCACGGCTCCCGCTGCAGTAATCGTACCTCTTCCAATACGCACACCATCCAAAATGGTCGCCCGTGCACCGATCCAACAGTCCTCTTCGATGAGAATCGGACGAGCAAAGGATGTTCCGCTGTTTTCTCCGCGAACCTTTGGATCAGGATGATGAGTTCCTGTGCAAATACACACCCCTGGTCCAATGAGAACCCGGTCGCCAATTTGGATCAACGCATTGTCAAAGAAGGAAACTCTAGACCTTGTAAGCCTGAGGCAGATGTGCTGATGTAGTGTCTTGTGGAAACACAATTCTAGACTTACTCCCGATTAACATAAACATCATCGCCAAGGATTACATTGCATCCCCACCCAACAAAGAACGGGGGCTCGATATTCACAGTCTCCCCTATTTTTCCCAGCAAAGTTTTCGCCACAGTCATACGTCGCGTCTTCAAGGATGTAAGTGTGCTGCCATCTGGGATCGTAAGATCATTGAAGTCGTTCAGCAACTTGAGAGTCTCGAGTTTGCGAGCTTGCAGCTCTGGTGATCTCGAAATCGTGAAGCTGACAGTGCGTTCGATTAACACTGAGAGGCTAATTCTAGGGAGAGACTAGTAAACCTCATTCCACTTATCATTCTTTTGTATTCCTCACACCAGGAGACTTGGGTGGAGCTTTTCTCAAGCTCTATCAAGATACTATCGGTGTTGACGTGGGAGGCCATATCTACTAAGCCTGGGTGGGGCAAATCAAGAGAAAACCTTTTGTCCAGCACTGAGTTTTCTATGATGTACCGGCAAGAAATCCTCAGTCTCTAGAGATCTTATGGTGATGGTTGAGGCCCCGCATGAAAGATTCTATTGGATTCTACGCAGTTCTGTCTCACTTTAATTGGTGACCTCAGCCAGACCATCGGCCTATCATGTTATATAATTTAGACCAAGAGAGTTCGGTTGCAACGTATTCATCGAGAGAATTACCACTGTCAAGTAAAAAGATCATGCCGAAATATCTAGATACGGTTGTGCCTCACGAGGCAGAGGTTCCCATTGCAGTAGGAGTAATGATTAATATACCTTCTTCAAGAGCTATAGATGATATTGATCTATTCCATGCTTGTGTCCATTAGCCCTAAAGGCGATAATTTCTTATTCTACCAGTCTGATTCAAAACAAGCTCTATGGGTATAGTTGTATTATAGTAAAACTTTATTGAAAGCCTCCTGTAACCCTCTCGCCTTCAACCAGACCTGCAAAGCCTGCATATCCCCCCGATTCACCCTCTGCCCACTGCGCTCACCCAAGGAATCCGTGATCTCCTCCATGCAGGAAAACCTTCGCTGCACCCCCTCTACCTCACGGAACCGCTCGCTGACCTTCTTCTGGTGACTGGGGATATCTCCCCAGGAATGTGTTTTGATGAAAGCCATATACTCGTCGATGTCGCCTGGGTCTCCCTCCAGACACAGGATGCCTGGTTTCCCTGCCAGTACGAATCCGGATAGGTTATACAATGGCGCATATTTTACTAGATCGTCTCGTTTGCCGCGGGTGGAAAGGGAGGGGAAATAGAACCACACACGGACGAGAGTGGGTGTAACAGTGGTAGCAGTGGTAGTATCAACAGTCGCGATAGTTTCTGATTGAGTATTCATAAAATCCAATGCCGTTTCTTGAAGATATTCGAATGCAGCAAATACGTCGTCGACAGGCATCGCGGTGGATAATCGCGAAACCTCCGCTTTGGACATCCAGTCCGGCTGGCGCAGGGAATACGAAACTGGAAGCTCCTCCTCTTCTCCTTGCTGGTCTAGACTGACTGGGATTGACAGATTGACTTGGATGCTCTTGTCCTCGGCAATGGGTAGTCGCACGGCCAGCAGGAGACTTGTTGGTATCCCCGATAGCGGGGTGGTTTTGCTGTCCTCGCTCCAGGCGCGCAGCTTCTCGATGCTCTGCAGAGTGGATGGGGGGATGTCCAGCTCCCCTGGTGAGGGGAACATGGCTGTCAATAGATCAATGGTAGAGAGGGGATCCATATTATTAATAATAAACATAGGTTTAGAGCAATTAGAATAAAATAAGGTAATAAATATTAAATACCAAAATTAAACAAAATATGACGTTGCCTGGAACATCATTTCTCCGTTCAGATTTTTACTCCATTTCTTATTAGTTTATAGTACATTTTTGTACCACTATATAACATCACTCCTATAGTATATCTGACTATATTATCATTATACACCATGGCAGAGGTATTTTTTCCACATCCTTGGTTATTATATCTAATTGTGTAGGCAAAAGGCACCCAAGGCTTCTATGAAGAGTTGAAGACGCTCTTCCAACAGGCAGTAAGACTTCCAATTATGCAAACCAGTACCTTGTTGGTCAATATCTCTAACACAAACAGGATAAATCTGGGGAGGGTAAGAATGTTCAATGATCTTTGTTGGTCCTTTTTCTAATGGCAGGAAAACTCGCGCTGCCCGAGTTCAAAACCGCCGTCAAGGGAAGCAACAGCGGCAGCCGCTTGACCGATGACCAGCTGGAGAGCATGTTCGCCTTCTATGATGAGGGCAAGACTGGGTTTGTTTCTTTTGACGGTATGTGCTGTGCCTTTTATCTAGGATGGACTATCTGACTGGTTAGATGTGTGGAAGAAGATGAACAGCATGATGAAATAGTCATATTATGCAATAATATTAAAATGATATAATCAATATTACCACTAACAGATTGACTAAAAATGTAAAAGTCTAGTGTATCTTATTCATTATAATATCAAATCTTGAAACAGAGAAGAGAAGCGTTATACCCCCGTTCGAGAGACGACCCTTGATATGCTCCACTTTCGAATCAGTCCCGGATGGAGAGTATCCATTGAAAAATTCATCTCTGCTCCATAAATCCGGGTATCTAACTACCACATGGTTCCCCATCGGCCTAGTTTCTGTGGCATTTGAGCCACATGGCCGGTAGATGACGCGGCATCCCGATCAGAACGTGTCCTCCAAGTACACGAAAGAGGACAAGGTGAATATAATGTGTGACAAATAGCATATAGGCATCCTGTATTAGAGAAAGGTATCACTAGAGTAGCAAAAGCCATCACTTATCTATATTGGCTTGCAGTGTATGTATTGTATCCATTCTATAGTGGGAGCCCATCTCGCAAATAGACCTACAGCACTAAGAGAGCAACAGCCCGCCAAAAAGTGCAGGCATCATCTCGGCCAAGCTGGCAGTCATAGTCCATCAGCTGTTTTAAGGATTCAAAACTGTTGTAAATAAATGAAATTGATTATAATATAATAAAATCTATAATAAAGATATGAAGTTAGTGTCACATTATCGACTGTATTCTGTTGCAAGATGAAATATATGAAATATGCCTAGTTTTAGTGGAATTGATGTAAACTAATGAAATTAAGTGAAATTCCAGATGAATAGAGTCGAAGCATGCCAGAGCTAGATGGAATCATCCTTTGACGGACTGAAACCAGCCGAGTAGGTTGGAATGTAGGAAATATCCTGAAATCCACTGAACTATGCTGAAACTAGCCAAAGCTAAACAGGTAGTCGATCCGTCAGGTCACCGCTCGTCCCGATCCTTTGCAAGTGCATCAGCGAGGCCAGCAAGCTGTGGGAATAATATTGGATTGACTTGACAGGAGTAGTGACGGAGATTTAGTTCAGCATGCTGTTATTTTAATCCTTCATCTAATAGTCTATGCTGCTGTAATGTTCTAAGATGGCATATTATACCTATTACCTAGCCTATTGCATCTGAGTATACATCCTTTATCTAACACCTCATGAGCCTATTTAGAGCCTAGCATAGTAGCAGTAAGAACTAGTGATTGAGAAAATAGTGTATTTTATAATCTTAATCCTTACCTACTATAAAGAAGAAATATACTCCCAGCCCTCTCTTTCAATATATATTGTACACTCAGCCATCACATCTAGCAGCTGACCTGATTCGCCTGAGCTCTACTGACCCTAGTATCTATATTTCGGATATGTCCGTACATCCGAGGCCAGGAGAGATCATCTAATCTCTTTACTTCTGACATTTGGGAAAATCCATGGAACATGATGCAAGAGTATCGGAACCGAACCTCTTTCCCCCTGACCTTGACTGCTGATCTTGGTTCCCGCGCCATATCATCTTCCACATTTTAGACTCAGTATGCAATGTATCCTCTATGTTTATGTGTACCATTGGAAAGAGGTTTCTGAACCGTATTGAATAGTTTAGATGAAGTATATAGTGATTATAAGGGTGCTATAGATAACAATATATAATATCTTGGCTATATTTAGTGTTGCGCATGCTTTAGCACCTAGAGGAAAAAAAAGGAAAAGGAGAGTAAATAGGACTGCAGCTTAATAGAGACAAATGAAGTCATTGTTCATTATTAACCTACCCTCGCCGACGGAATCTCTTTATCCAAAGATAAGGTTCCGTTGGATCCTATCCCAGGAGTATTGGTGACAACCCGCACTGGAGAATCATGGCTAATAGACCCTGAATACCCCCATAACTGTGTCGGGAGCTTCCTAGGTAGATGGTATTCTCGGCCCGAAACCATGGCGGACCGGGCCGCCCACCTGGCAGTTCACGTATTGCTTAATAATACATGAAAAGACCAGGCTTCCTATCTAGTCCTCGATGGTCTAACGGTCATGATTTCCGCTTGTCATCTCTTCTTGAGAACAAGCGCGGGAGACCTGGGTTCGACTCCCAGTCGGGGAGAATTTTTTTATTTCTCTTTTTTTTAATATTTTTTCTTTTGATTGATGATCTTTTCTTTATTAACATTTATTTATTGGGAGTAGTGGAGCATAATATAGAAGCATTTATTCACTACCTTAGGGTACATAGTGATGGGCATGTTGGGAGATATGCAGCAGCTGTCTTTATTGAGTATCTATATTTTCAACCTCTTTCTCTAAATATGGTTCGTACTAGACTTATTCTGTTTAGAACACTGTGAAAGTACCAGAGAAGCTATACGGAATTGGCAGCAGATCCTGCTGCAGCCATCAACGACAGTATAGATAGGCACAAAGAGGGAGCGCCATGTCAGCAGATAGTTATGGATAGTAAGTTATCTGGTGTATTGAATATATATTTGTTGAAAGCATACATCAATACATTATTAAACTATATATACTAGTGAAGATACAGAATCGAAACCTCAGTAAGCCGAGGCGGAACAGCCGACAGTGAACATCTCAGTGTAGAAGATGGTCGAGACGACGGTAACAAAGTCTTGTCCAGGGGTGGATGCAGCTGAGATGGACTGCGATGAGGGAGGATTGCTTGGGTTGCTTGACGATCCGGTGCTTTGGCTTGATCCAGAAGGAACGACTTGGCTGCTGGAAGAAATGCCGGAGAGAGTGCCTGAGGGAGAAGCTGAGGAGGCAGGAGCGCTTGAGACACTGTTTGAAGGGCTGGAGGCAGATGAGCCAGGGTTGACTGATGAAGCTTGAGAAGCTTGAGAGGAAGCTTGAGAGGAGGCCCGAGAGGAAGCTTGGGAGGAAGCTTGAGAAGCCTGAGAGGAAGCTTGAGAAGAAGCTTGAGAGGAAGCTTGAGAGGAAGCTTGAGAAGCTTGAGAAGAAGCTTGAGAAGAAGCTTGAGATGAGGTAATCTGTGAAGAGACAGGAGGGGCAGCAGAACTGGAAGAGGGTATCACTACAGCAGAGGATACCGGGGTAGACACAGCAGAGGAGGATTCCGAGGGAGTGGATGAAGGCGTAGGGGTGGATGAAGGAGTAGGGGTAGGGGTAGGGGTAGGGGTTAGAGTGATGGTGGAAACATAGACGGAAGTGACCTCTGTGGTGAGGACATTGACTTCAGTTGAAGTGGTGGAGGTGGTGATGGTGGCGAGACAGGGGTTGACAGTGGTCATCATCATGGCTTGATCGATGGAGCCGGCATTCATGACCACCATGCTGCCTTCATAGGGATAGCAGAGGACCGCATTGGCGGCAGCGACACTGATATAGTTGAAGCCTGAGCAGGAGGCCGTTTGGATGCAATGGCTCATGCATTGACTCCAGTTAATGCTGCTTATGGTTGTGATGGCTGTGCCGCTGTGCAGCCAGGAGGAGGAGCAGTACTGCTTAAAGAAGGTGCCTGCCGACGACCAGACGGTGGCCACGCAGGTGGTAGCCGCGGGCTGTCCATTGGCGACGTTACAGGTGCTGGTGGTGGTGGTGATGGCGACTGTTGCAGTGGAGGTCTGGGTGAAGGTCTCCAAGGAGGTGGAGGTGATGGTCGACAGGGAGATGGCAGCGTGGGAGGGGACGACGGCCAGGAGGGTCGAAATGAGGGTGATAGACTTGAACTTCATTATGATTGACTATGTTAATAATAGATAGTTGATAAATAAAGAAAGAATGAACAAGTTAATGAATGAAGTATCTGCAGAGAAGAAAGCCCCTGTTCAAGACCCTGAAGAAAGATAGGGACTGGAAGGGTAGTTAAAGGCTACATTAATCGCTTATTTTTACCCAGTTGTAGATGGATCCAGGCACCACCGGCAGGAGAAGTGATTTTAGCCGACCACATCTGGACCGGAATTAGATCCAAGCCAATCTGAATTGACTGACTAGCTGGAACTAGTTAATGAGCACTCATTTCGCCACTGCTATTAGTTTAATACTAGAATCCGCCACTGCTAGTAGTTTAATACTAGAATCCAGCCACGGCACGGCATGGCCTAAAATAGAGAGAGTAAATTTATGTCCAGGTTGAGTAGTGCGCCACCAGACAAATGCCGACAGAGGTAAAGCATACTCCGTACTGTCTACATCGCTTCAGGTTGAGGTCTAGAGTGTAATCCCTATCTTATGCACTGATAGTAGTATAGCAATATTATACTAGTGTAGAAAGTGGTTACTCGTGTGTAAAAAATAAATGGCCAACTCCAGTCTATAACTCCTCTTGGAACTCCCTTATAACTCCTCATCACAGTCATCTCCCCAGTATTCGTCCCAGGCAGAAACGGGAGCAGCGGCAGCAGTCGCAGAGGGAGTGGCAGTGGCGGTGGCAGTGGCAGGAGAGGCAGCCTCAGGCACAGAGGCAGTCGAGGTGGCAGCGGGAGCAGCGGCCTCGGAAGAGGACTCAGCGGAGGGCTCAGAAGCGGCCACAGTGGTGGTAGGCACCGAGGCGGCAGAAGTGAAAGTCGAAGTCGAAGTCGAAGTGGTAGAAGAAGAAGAAGAGGTGGAAGTAGAAGTGGCGGTCGTGGTGGCAGCCGAAGTGGTAGAAGAAGAAGAGGAAGAAGACGAAGAGTCGCTGGCAGCAGAGGTATAGCTCTCACCGACGGAGTTGATGACACCGTCAGTCAGCAGGTATCCATCGGCGACATAAAAGTAGGAGTAGCGGGTGAGTTCATCCTGCTCCTCGAGCCAGGGGATAGCCTCCTCCAGGAAGGCGGCGGCGGTAGAAGCGTCGGAGATGCCGTCCTCGTCGGAGCTGAGGGCGAACTCGGTCAACCAGACCTCGGAGATGCCGTAGTCGGCGGCGGTGGTGATGGCCTCGGTGATGAAGGTCTTGAGCTCGGAGACGGAGTCGCCGTACCAGTGGACGGCCAGGGCGGAGATCTCACAGCTGCCGCAGTCGGCCATGAACTCCTCGAACCAGTCGAGGCCCTCGCCCGAGGTGGAGGAGGAGGTGACGGCGGGACTGACGAGGGTGGCGTCGCCGGAGTAGGGGGTGATGTATTCGAGATAGTACTCGGCGGCCTCGGAGGCGCTCAGGTCGGCCTGCGACGACATGTCGGGCTCGTTGAAGCCCAGGATGTAGGCGCTGCCGCTGTCCAGCGCCGTTTCCACCGCCGTCGCCCAGCCCTCGGTGTACGTGGAGTCGGCGCCCCAGAGCATGGGCACGTACTCGACGCCGTCGGGCATGTCGCCGCCCACGGCGCTGCCCCAGTTGTACGACCACGCAACCGTGCCGCTGGTGCCGTCCACCAGGGCCGACACCAGCGTCGCATCGTTGTACGCAGCGCCCAGCTTGCTGCTTGACGAGCGTTTCGTCGTCTTGACCTGCAGGGGAGCGGCCGAGGCGGAGGCCGCCAGGCCGGTCAGAAGGAGCGAAAAAAGCATGATGTTGCTGAAGATTGGATAAAGAGTGGCTGGTTTGTTTTGCTGAGGGATCGAGGCGGGAAAGAATGACGAAAGAATGAATGATTGTGGGCAAAAAGGAAGGCTTTGCACAGCAAAGAAGGAGAGAGAGAGAGGGTGAAGAGAGAAAGATTAAAAGAGAGTGGGCGAGACTAGAGGAAAAAGGAGGGGATGACGCGGCAGGCTGAAACGGCTGATCGGCTGAAATGGCCCAAAGACTGGCTGTCATGTCCAACGCACCAACAGTGACGCGTGGCGGTGGGGATGGGTTAAATTATTAATTAGCAGGAAATTGTGAGCTATCATCTAGACTGTGACTATAGACTCATGGGGAAGAAAATTAATTCTCACTAATGTGATATAGAGTATATTGAGGTCTACTTCCTACCACTCCCAGTCGCTGCTGTGTTGAGCCCAGTCGGGCCCCGGCGAGATGTTGGCGAGTCCCCAGGAGGCATAGATCACGTCGGTGAATTGCTGCGAGGGGTCCAGGGGGTCAAAGTCGCGGAAGCCGGCGATGTGCTTGCAGAGAGAGATGATGCTCAGTGTACGGAGTACTTGGTGAAGGAAGTTCTCTCACTTACATCTCCTGGGTGTCCTCGTCGTAGATGATCTTCTTCAGTTCCAAGAGCATCGGCTGCCAACCGCATTTCGCCAGCTTTCTATCACATTGTGAGCATAGCAGGGACAACATGGTGCCATCTAGAGAACTCCATACAGATACGTCTGGCGGAAGACACGCCGCACCTCGTCGCGGTATTGCCGGTCGTGTTTGGTGAAGAACGACGGCTCGTCGATGGGTTCCCCTGCCACACGGGCCCAGGCGACGCAATTGACGTACCCGCCCGGCACACACTCCTCGTCCCCTTGCTGTCTCTGGCAGGTTCCCAGGAGTGGGGGCACAGCCTCGCACTGCTGGTCTGCGAGGTTCTGGAGGACCTCCAGCTCTCCGTGAGTCCGCTGGGGAACAGCCTGCTGGGCGCGCACAGCAGCGGGGGCGAGGAGAGTGCCTGTGACAGGAATCTGGATATAGAGCCGCATGAACCCCTTCTGGTCGGGGTCGGAGGCGCGGTGGCAGGTGAACTTGACGGCGGCAAAGGGCGGGCCTCCGCCGCGGTCTACCTTGCCCTGGCTCATCTTCCGGTACTCCTCGGTGAGTTTCTCATCAAGAACCCAGACCTGAGGGGGGGAGACACTGTCGAGGGTCACTGCTGTGCCAGAGAGAGAGTCAAAGTCGCCGGGGGCTGACATTTCTGTATTTCTGCCGGACACTAGCTGAAATATAAGTGTCTTTATGTTGGATCTGGAGTTCCCATTGAACCATGAAGTCTTCTCGTCACCGTGACGTCGTAGAGACCGCGACAGACAGAACCTTGGTAGTACAAATCCATACCGTAAGAGGCGTATGTCTGTGTGTCGGTGTCCCCAGTTGCCCGGTGGTAGCTACAGTCCTGCTTTCTATTCGCCTTGGGTGACTGTCTGCCAGTTCTAGCAGGGCTTTCACACTGGTGAATGACGAGACCAATCTCCATGCTCTCGTAACCATTGTCTCCTTCTTTCTGTAGGCTAAAAAGCAGCAGGACAGGGCGAGGTTCTATCGGTAGTCCCGTCGGTCGCATTCACCAGAGCACGCAATAACCCGGGCGACTCATCGATATCGAGAACTTGGGAGAGGCGCGCAGTCTCCAGGCGAACCGGCGGATGGTATACCGTGGAAAAGAAGTGATCGGTCGCAGTGGTTCACCAACGCTGGAGGGCATTCTGTTGCGATCGCAATCGAGGATCCAGCGACGTTGTGGCATGGGAGTTGGAGGGAATCATCAGCAGCGATGAATCGTCGCCAGTGATTAATCACCACCAGTGATAGATATTGCCATAACACCGAACAGAAATGTGTCTCCGTGATCGAACGCCAGCTGTTCAGGGGCTGGGGGCTGGGAGCTGGCGGTTTTAAGCGCCCGGCCAACTGGCAGCTGAAGGATCCCTGTCGACGACGAGCAATCATATGTTAGCAGAGTGAATGCTTCAGAAACAGTCAATAGCGATACTAAATACCTTCGTCAGAGCATATGACTCTTCCTGCCAGATCGTTGTACCTCTTACTGCCAGGACACCGATGATTGAAGGTGGGCAGCGATGAAGTTCTGGAAATAAACAGAGGGAGGAGACCCCTTGCTTACTCAGCCAGATCACCTGATGCACCCTGACCAGCTAAAATCTTACTACATATTAGCAGTCAGGTAGGAATTGATGGTATATTGTGATTATAAATTAGTATTTTATGATCTTAATAATGTATTCTATAGAGGTTAAAGATATATGTTCTTGATATACTATATATCTATACTCTATATCTACTCCATATACTCTATATCTACTCCACACACTCTATATCTATACTCTATAATACTCTGTAGACGCTGTGTGGCTGTCTTAACCAATAAATCCAGTCTAGCGTGACCCTTCTTCAATAACAGTGGAGGCTGAGTCTAGGCTGAGACCCTGCATTATATCCTCCTCCTGTCTTGACCTTTGCTTCTCTATCTTTTCCTTTCATCTCTATCTATTTTCTGTCTCGAAAAAAAAAGAAAATGCCAGACAATCCGTTCAACTCGAAATACTACTACCGCTTCTCCAACTCCGGGTTGGGAAGCAACTACACGCTCTCGCTGGGACTCAAGACCGATCCGCCCGCGACGCCCAGCATGACGACCATGGGCGCCTACTCGTCGGAGAACTGGCAGATCTTCTACGACGACGGCGTCTATTTCCTGCGCAACTACGACTGGGGAGACACGTACCAGATGGGGTTGACCGCGGAGGATACCATCCCCGAGATGCTCACCCCGGACGCCGCGCTGGGCATGCAGTGGAACATCTCCGACGGGAGCACGACGGGGACATATATCCTGCGCAACATGCTGATCGGGTCGACCAACGTGCTCTCGACGGAGGCGCTCAGCGACGGGCTCATCGTCCCGATCATGAACACCGACGAGACGGACGACGAGCTGTGGGAGATCGATATCAACGTTAGCGCTGGCACCATCACCAACGACACCATGCTGAGCACTTATACATCTCTTCAGGTATGACAGCAGAGTTGGGAGAGGAGTACTATTTACTGAATAGCATAGGCTGCCACCACCACATCAAAATCGACGTCGACGTCAACGTCAACAACGCTGGCGACAACCACCGCAACCGCTACCACCGCTGCAACGGCTATAACCGCTACAACCAATACAACAAGTTCCAAAGGGCTGTCCGGGGGCGACATTGCAGGCATCGCCGTCGGCAGCGCAGCAGGCGTGATTATTCTTGCAGCGCTGGCCTTTTTCTTCTACCGGGCGAGACAACGTCAACCGGCGCAGACAGTACAGACGCAGACGGTGCGGGCAGAGCTGGCGGAGACGTCGCCCAAGTCGGAGCTGCTTGGCAACGAGGCCAACTGGCGGGTTTCCGAGCTGCCGGGAGAGTAATAATGAAGTCAGTATGCGAGATGGGTAATGGCTATAAATAGTAATGTTAAATAGTTAGTATAAACTATGCTTTGACTGTATTTATATAATCTTATCTCTGGATTTTGTAGAGTTGGCATCCATTAATTATAAGGGGAAAAATCATCAAATTGGGCTTGTAGCTCAGTGGTAGTAGCGCTCGCTTTGCATAGTTACATGTCGTGGACAAGTGGCGTTTAAAGTCTTGCGAGAGGTCAAGGGTTCAATCCCCTTTGAGTCCATTGTTTTTTGCCAGACCGACCACCAGCCATAATTTAGTTACCCTTGAGGATTATAAATATTACAGGTTTAATTCTTGCTGCAACCAGGAGTGGTGTTTATATAGAAAGATATATTTTATCTATTAGTAGGAGAAATATAGGCTTAAGATGTAATCATCTCTATATTTAACTTATTTATATTATCTATTTATTAGAATGTGGTCTACCTCTTAATATAATAAGTATACTCACTATCATTCATAAGGACCACTCACTATCTTAGTGCTAGTATTATCCTCACTGCCATAATTTAATTAAAGTATACTATAGCCAAGGCAGGGAAGCTGTACAGCCTGACTGACAATTCTAGTATCCCTACAATAATAACTCATTGTTAAGTAACTAAATGGTCTTATTTATTCCATTGCTATCAATAATACCTTGTAAAAATCAATTACACCCAGCTTCGGCTCTCTCCTTCCAATCCGCCCGCCAACGAGATAACGCCGGCCGGTCCTGGACAATATCATTGCACGCCCACGCAATCCTCTTGGCGTCCATCTCCTCTGTGACCTCGTTATCCGGACAGATGATATAGAAGCTGCCCTTTTGCATCTTCCGGACCAGAAATTCCACCGTCTCCTCGGGCGTCCAGCATCCAGCGGGTTTCGTGGGGAAGTGCTCGGTCATCATCCCCGTGTACACCCATCCGGGCACCAACAGATGCACGCTGACATGTGGATGGCGGCCGTGCAGATCGAAAGAGAGCTGCTCGGCGATGCTCTTGACGGCGCTCTTGGACGCGTTGTATGCCGGGTTTCCTGGCGGGTTGGTGATGCCTTGCTTGGAGCCGGTCAAAATAACCGCCCTCTTCTTCTCTTGGTCATCATCACCATCGATCACGCAGTCGAGAAAAGCGGCAGGACCATTGGTATACCCGAATGTGTTTGTCGCAAATGTCGTCTCAAAGTACCTCGCATCCTGCCACGCTGTCTTCCCCTCGGCGGGCTTGCAGGATCGTCCGGCGTTGAGCATCAGCAGGTCGATGCCCCGCGGATGCTTCGCAAGCACTTTCGTTTTGACTTCTTCCCACTCCTCCCGTCGCGACACATCTAGAACAAAGGTGGAAACGGCTATTTCGGGCGTGGATGGGAGGATTCCGGCAGCTTTCTTGAGATTCTCTCCGTTGATGTCGAGCAGCACGAGGTCCATCCCGTGGCGGTGGCAGAGCTGTGCGGCTGCGAAACCAATGCCTGAGGCAGCGCCGGTAATCACAGCCGTGGCTCCAGGGCGGAAGACATCCATTGGGATATAAAGTTGTATTTGAATATCAATGCTGAGATAAATAGTGAATAGATGATGAGAAGAAAATGATGTCAGGCAGGTGAGGGGCAAATGTGGGGATTTAAAGACCATACTAAACTGTTGAGGACTACTATTTGTCTTATCCTGCAATATATAATAGAGGATCATTATTATACATTATGATATGAAATTATATAATAAGTATATAATCCTTAAACGTCAGTCAATATTATTATTTTATTCAATCAATACTGATCTTCTAAATATTACCTATTGACCCAGATCATCCCCCACACCTGGAAGCCAGGACCGCCGATTTCCACCATTCCATCTGCAGCAGCTTTCCCTTTTCCAATGACAATTTCACCGACAACTGTAAAGCCAAGCGATTCATAGAGTGACCGGCAGTATTCAGTCCCGGCCTCCAGATAGATAGGCAGCTTCTGCTCTGCCGCGATGGATTGATAATGTCTAATGATCGCTGAACAGAGGCCCTTACCCCGTTCCGCTGTGGGGGTGCCCAGGAAGAAGATATAGAAATATCTGTCTTCCCCTTTCATGACCAGATCCCTGCAGGGCTTCGTCTGGGAAGAAATATCATGAATATTCGCCTTGACATTGTTCATTAGAAGCGTATAGGCTATAAAACATTTAGATAGTAGTCCTCACCAAGCAACTCTCAAGTCCTGCAGCAACAAGCCTTGCCTTTGAATTAGAGCTAGGCAAGGATTGATCCTTTGGCGGAACGAGAACTCCACACGACCTGAAGCCGCCGGCCTCTTCAATGCTGGCATTTCTTGAGATGGCAGAGGTGAGAAGCGCATCAAATAGTTCCTGGCGACATTTGCTGCGTTGCTCTGAGCCAAAAGACCGTAGACAATAGTTGATGGACGGGTCGTGCTCAAAGGCATCAGCCAGCAGATGTGAGGCAAAGTCCACTCGATCTCACAAGTCAGTCTCTGTATCATTGGGAATAGTAAGAATAAAATCTAGAACTACCTTCAAAGCTGGTGGTGACTTGCATGCTGTGGTTGGAGTAACCGATACCTACAGAATTCCTCAAAGACAATATATTGAAGAAATACTGCTGCCTAGAGATTACTTGGCCTATCGTCTTATCTCTTCCGCTGGTTTGTCTTACAAAATATGATCTAAAGTGTTGTATAAATGATAAGTAAGATATATGAATAGAAGAGCACTATTCTAGATAATAAGAGAACATATTCAACCTGAATTCAGAGTTGTATATATATAGAGTAAATTCAATATATGCCATGTTTCATACTATACCTGCATCTTTCAATCATCAATAGAATCTGATATCGTAGCTAATAACTACTTCCTAGCTAGAACCCAGTGAAATGCAACATTCTCTTCATCATCGACGACCACCTCATCAACTTGAACCTCGAACCCTAGAGCCGTGATGATTGTTTTGATTTTGTCTCTCCCCCAACTGCTCCAATGCATCCCCCCCCTTGTACCCCCCAGCCAGGAGGGATCAGACAAGCTTGCAAACGGTTCAGCAGCAAAGTTGGCCAGCAAGAGCCCCCCGGGCTTGAGCCAGTGGAAGATACGCGCCAGAATGGTAGTTTGTTCATCGCGTGGCAGGTGGAAGATGGAATACATGCCCAGCACGGCGTCGAACTGCGCCGGAGCGAATTCGAGGGCCATCATGTCTCCCTGGATGAGTTCCACAGACGAAGATGCTGGGAGGAGCTGCTCTTTGGCCATGGCGATCTGCGTCTCGGAGATGTCGTTGGCAGTGACGTGGATGTCTTTGCGGGCCGCCAAGACCTGCGTACAGGGCACTCCAGCACCACAGCCCAGCTCTAGGATATTCTTCTGAGAGGAGGGAGACGAAGAGTCAAGCTGTTTGAGCATGATGTCGAGATGTGCCAGCCGGATCTGGTGAGACGATTGCGTCCAGTTCAGGTAGACGGGGGCGATTTCATCGTAGGCGGATTTGATCTCCTCTTTGATTTGACGAGAGTCCATGTCGAGAGTAGATGAAGATAAAGGAAGAGATGATCAATAGTGGTGGATGAGAAATGTTAAGAATGAGTCAGAGTAGCAGGGATCATTAATAATCTTGATTAATAATCTTTACTAGTAAGCTATAAACTATGTTAGATGACAATTATATGCAAAACTATCAAAGTATCCTAAGAGTCCACATATCCAGCCCTGGCATTGATCTCAACATCTGTAACATAACCCTTGAACTTGCGGAAGTTGACTCTCTTTTCAAACCTGGACGATTAGCAAAGATTCATGGTGAACTAAGAATGTTGAAGCATCAAGACAGACTACTTACAGCTCATCAATCTCTGCCGGTGTACGCAGGGCGACTTCAGGTAGAATGAACCAGGCGACCACCACCGCAATGGAGCCAGTGGCAGCGAAACTAAGGATATAAGTCAAGGAACTCGGTGAAAGTGAGATGGACGTACAAGAAGCCCGTTTTGACCCCCCACTGGGCATTGCCATTGATCATCAGCGGGGTGCAGAAGCTGAACATGATGGACAGGAAATTGGAGGAAGCCAGCGACCAGCCGGCCGTCTGGGCTCGCTGGGCCTGGCGCGGCACCTCCGCTGCATACGCGTATCCGATGGCGGAGGCGCCGGTGGTGGAAAAGGTGGCGAGACAGGCGAAGAAGATGAGCAGCGAGCTGGTTGCCTTTTCGGTGTAATCGAAGCACCCGATGATGCCCAGACACAGCACAGAGACAACAGTCACCGCGTAGGGATACACGGTCAATGGGCGGCGGCCGAGCTTGTCGGTCATGGAGGAGGTGAAGATCATGGAGATGATCTGCGTGCAGGACAGGATGAGCGTCACCAGGAAGGGGTTATTACTGCCGGCGTATTGGACTATTTAGTATAATTAGTTAGTATATAATTAGTGATTAGTATGTGATAAGGAGAGGTTTCGACGGACAGAAATAGGTGGCATAAGTGTTAAAAACCGACAAGCCCACAAACTGCTGTGTGATCTTGGGCCAGGCGGCAATCAGGAAACGCACGCCGTTTCGCCCGCGGAAAATGGCCCAGATGCCCTGCTGGGAGTTTTCTCTCGCCAGCCGGCGTTCTTCAGCCACTGTTGCGGTCATGGCGTCCTATGGGTGTTAGAGGGAGTCAATATGTAATGAGGAGGGTAGATACAATTGTCTGTTGGATGTCGTATCCTTCGACGTGGCCATAGAAGGTGTGCAGGATCTTGGCTGCCTGAGGCTGTCTATCTTTGCTGACGAGCCACCACGGGGACTCGGGGATCATAATGATAATGACGATGGAGATGCCAACCATCGCCCACTGACTTGTGAGTATGGGAATATTGAGAGAAATGTGAGGAGATCAGACCTGAGTATAGATGGCGGTGCGAAAGTCGTAGGGATCCTGAGCGTTGAGGCGATTGAGAGCCAGCGAGGCAAAGAGCTGACCGAGAACAAACCAGCTAGAAATGAGAGATCAGACAGGTCCTAAACTGAGAGAAGTGGACTGCTTACAAGGTGTAGGCATTGATCAAGAACCCTCGTAGCTGGGTGGGTGCGATTTCCGAAATGTAGAACGGCAGCGTGGCCTGGAGCATGCCGACGCCCATCCCAGAAAGCAGTTTAGCCACCAGCCAGTGATCCCAGGCTGTGGCGAACGACTCGGCGAAGATGCTCTAGAGAATCATTAGTGGTGAGTGTTGAGAATAATCATAGTAAACTTACTGCAACTAGGAAAATAGACAGGATGTAAAACGCTACTTTCCGACCCAAACGTTCAGTGGCGAATTGAAGCAGCTAACATATCAGCATCTATACAGATAGTATGTATGTAGGTCATACAATTTGTCCAATGGTTTGGCCTGCAGATTGGATGCCACCCCAGGCAGAGACATAGTTACTGTTGATGATGGTTGTGCCTGGAGCAGCCATCTGACGGATGAAGCCCTTATTAGCGACGATGCCGCCATTCAAGTTGATTTCTAGAGCAGTCAGTATGGTCAAGAGCAGGGATTAGAGGAGAGCTCACGGTATCCGTCTAGAGAGGCACTGAACGCGGCAACCATGGCCAGGACCGACACCCATTTGTACCGCTTGACACTCTGCCACACGCCGAGGTCATCTTCCTTGGTCCGCATGATGGGGGCCTTGAGCTGGGTGTCTGGGGGGTCCATCTCGATGGACTCGATATTCTCCGTGTTTGGTTTATTTTGCGCCATTTTGAGTGATGGAAGAGTAGAGGTTGAAGACTGAATTATGAGTATCTATGGTTGTTCAACTACTTATACTCATACTACGGAGTACTTATACTCATACTCATGATCAATCAGATTATTTCTCCGCAAATTCCCCGGAACTCACCCCACAGTGGACCACCCCGCCATTCCCCTGAACGCGAGAGAGACCTGATTGGCAGTCGGTATCTGGAGGGTATTGAAACATGATCCACATAGAATGACCTTCTATCGGTTATTGACCTGCTTTCACGACTCTGTGGCCGGGTAATTTCCGGGCATTTCTTGGATGTTTCTAACCGGCGATTTAATGCGGACGTTGGCCGAGGCGAACATTATAAGACAGAGGAGAATCGGCATGTTGAAGGGATATTTTTGTTCTCCATATCCTAACTCTAGCCTCAATGGAGTATCCTCGGTTCGCTGCCCGTCCTGTGGGCAAGGTGATCCATAGCATCTACCGTGACCGGTTGGAGACCTTTATCCAGCCTGGTCAATATGAGAAACAGAATCTACTCTCGTGCGTTTACTTTTTCTCTCTCCTTCCCTGCTTCGACTAATGATAGATCACTGTATAAATCTCGCGTGGGAGAGCCCGTACTGAAACTGTCTGTCTGGTCGGCTCCCGATCTGTCTCGACCAACATTCGCCGAAGCCATCTCGCAGTCCTTCAAGCCGACAGGAACAGGCGCCTCCTTCGGCCCCGGCTGGTCAACCCATTGGTTCCGGCTGGAGATCTGTCTCCCCCCCACGCTGCAGGGCGAGCAGGACCTCGAGCTGCACTGGGAGGCCAGCTGTGAGGGGATGGTCTGGACAGAGGCCGGGCATCCACTGCAGGGGCTGAGCGGCGACGGCGAACGCATTGAATGGCGGCTCCCTGCTTCTGTCCAGGACGGCGCCGCGCACATCTTCTACCTCGAGATGGCGTGCAACGGCATGTTCGGTCTGGGCAAGGGAGCCAGGAACCAGCCGCCGGACCCGGATCGCTACTTTACGCTGCAGACGGCAGAGATTGTGGCTGTCAATAGGGAAGCCAGAGCGTTGCTTTTTGATTTTACAACCATTGCCGGTATGTCTTATCCTTGAACCCTAAACCCTAACCCTAACCCTAAACCCTAAAATGCCAACATGCTGACACTGACATGCTAGACGCCGCCCGCCAGTTCCCCCAACAGTCGTGGGAAGCACATAAGGCCCTGCAAGTTGGCAATGCCATCATTGAAGCCTTTACGGCCGGCGCAGGCAGCGATGCAGCCATCCAGGATGCCCGAGCGATTGCGCGCGAGTTCCTGGGCGACAAGATCGACAGCGAGGATGTGTATGATGCAGAGGAAGCGGAAGAGCAGCTGGTGTACGCGATCGGCCACTGCCACATCGACACCTGCTGGCTGTGGCCGTGGGAAGAGACGAAGCGCAAGGTGGCACGCTCGTGGTCGAACCAGTGCGATCTCATGGACCGGTATCCCGAGCATCGATTCACGGCCTCGTCGGCACAGCAGTTCAAATGGTTGAAAGAGTACTATCCGTCTGTCTACGCGCGGGTGATGGACAAGATCCGCCTGGGATCATTCCAGCCCATCGGAGGCAGCTGGGTTGAGCACGATACCAACATGCCCAGCGGGGAGTCGCTGGTGCGGCAGTTTCTCCACGGCCAACGCTTCTTCGAGCAGGAATTCGGCCGGCGATCGACCACCTTCTGGCTGCCAGACACGTTCGGATACACGGCGCAACTCCCCCAGCTGTGTCGGTTGGCCGGGATGAGCCGGTTCATCACGCAGAAGCTGAGCTGGAACAACATCAACAACTTCCCGCACACGACCTTCAACTGGGTGGCCCTCGACGGCAGCCAGGTGCTCTGCCATATGCCGCCGTCCGAGACGTACAACGCCGAGGCGCAGTTGGCAGAGCTGGTGAACAGCGTCGACCAGCACAAGTCGCTCGACCAGGATCCCTCCTCGGTGTTGATCTTTGGCAAAGGCGACGGCGGCGGCGGGCCGACCTTCCAGCAGATCGAGAGTCTGCGGCGGCTGCGTGGCCTCGGCGAGCGCACGAGTCTCATCCCGCGCGTCCATCACGGCCGGTCCGTGGATCACTTCTTCGAGCAGTTGGAAGGCAAAGCAGCCGCCGGGAAAACCGAGTTTGTGACCTGGTACGGCGAGCTGTACTTTGAGCTGCACCGGGGCACGTACACGACGCAGGCGGCGACAAAATGGAACAACCGCAAGGCCGAGATCTTCATGCACGATCTGGAGTATGTTGCAGCGCTGGCGAGCGTCAAGCAGGCGCAGTACAGCTATCCCAAGGCACAGATCGATTCTCTATGGGAAGATCTCCTGCTCTGCCAGTTTCACGACTGTCTGCCGGGCAGCTGCATCCGGATGTGCTACGACGACTCGGACAAGCTGTATTCCCAACTCTTTGCTACCGGACAGCACTTGATGGACACTGCCCTGGGTGTATTGGGAATAAGAACTTCAGAGACATCCTCTCCTGCAACGCGGGCTTTGAATACCCTCCCCTGGCCCCGGAGGGAACTGGTAAAGGTCGCCGAGGAATATGCGCTGATCTCCAGTGATGGACTGGGAATTGCTTCCATCCAGAGACCTGCCAGTCCGTCAGTGACAGTAGCCGAGGTCCGTCCAGGGGTGTTTGAACTGGCAAACGAGCGATACAAGCTGGAGATCGAGAACGGAGCAATCATCTCGCTGCTTGACGTAAAGATCAACCGCCAGGTGCTCGCCAAGGGAGGCAAAGCCAACCAGTTTGTTATCTTCGACGACAAGCCGCTCTACCGCCAGGCCTGGGACGTCGAGGTCTACCATCTCACCTCGCGCAAGGAGCTGCCCGGGGGCGTCTCTGCCATTGCCGAGCAGGGTCCCTACAGGGCCAGCATCGTCACCAAGACGGTGATCAGCGAGAGGAGCTGGTTGGTCTCGACCATCAGTCTGTCGGCAGCAATCGACGATGAATCCCCCTGCATCCAGATCGACACCGAGGTCGAGTGGCGCGAGGATATGAAGTTCCTCAAGGTCGAGTTCGACGTCGCCGTCACCAACACCGAAGCCTCGTACGACACGCAGTACGGCGTCGTGAAACGGCCAACGCACTACAACACGCAGTGGGATATGGCCAAGTTCGAGGTCTGCTGTCACAAATGGGCGGATCTGTCGGAGAATGGATACGGCGTCTCGGTGTTGAATGATAGTAAATATGGCTTTGCAACCTGTGGTCATCTCATGCGTCTCTCCCTCTTGCGCTCTCCCAAAGCCCCGGATGCGTGTGCTGATATGGGTGAGCTTCTTTCCTTTCTTTCTCCTTCATTTCCCCTCTTTATTCTAATTCTATAGGCCGTCATCATGTTCGATATGCGATCTTCCCCCATCAAGGCCCGTTGGACTCGAGAACAGTGCGCGCGGGATACAACTTCAACAACCCGATGAGGCTGGTGACAGCGACTGAATCGCATATGCTGAACGATATCACTATCACAGGGAACCCGTCGCTGGTCCTGGATACGATCAAGCGAGGCGAAGACGACGAGGATGTCTCGTTGGGTGGCATCGCCGCCAGAAAGGGCCAGAGTCTTATCCTCCGCGTCTTTGAGAGCCTGGGAGGACAGGCCAGTGGTATCATCAAGACCAGCCTGCCGGTTGTCGACGTCTGGAAATGTAACATCCTCGAAGACGACGAGGAGAAGCTGGAGTTCCGGACAGGCGAGATCAACATTGCTCTACGGGCCTTTGAGGTTGCCACATTCCGGCTGCAATTATAGATATAGATAGATAGAGTAGACAGAAACTAGACAATAGAGATGACTTTCAAGCCACCTTTGAACCTGTTGTTCTAGACCTTGGATGATCCTCCCACACGTTTTTACCCAAAGTCTCCAGCTGCTCTTTTGTCCATCTAAAGTCGGCCTCTTTGCCCGGCAAAGGTTCACGGAGGAAGAAGCTGGAGAAAGGAACGACAAAGGGTGCATTTTCAACCTTGATAGAGGCGTCATCCCCCGCCCCCTGTGAGATCACCACTTGTTGAGTACTCTCTGCCACCATCCGGCTTGGAACTCCTCGGGTTGGGCGGTTGACAGGGTGCCAGTGGTCGAGGATGATCTCTCTGACCTTCTGGTTCACTGAGATGGTGATCACAGCTCGTACATCACCCTCTGATTGATGAATCCACCATTGTGTCTTCTTGACCAGGTGTGTTTTCTGCTCTGCGAACCCTGTCTCAATCACCACCGATGGCCATTTTGATGACCGACCATAGGGAAGAACTTTTGGTTGATAGCTGTGGTCTGGTTGTTGTGTATGATTGCCAGCTTCCACATCAGCGTGGCCAAGAGTCTTGAGGTCATCTTCTAGGCCCATCTGGAAGAGCATGGCGATTAGTTTATTATGTATCTCCATATGAGCGAGTTCATGTGCTTTGGTGGGCATCTTGACAAGAAGGCATTCGCAGCTTCGAATGTACCAAAGTAAGGAGTGATGGAGATGGTGGTCATTGAACGGTGAGAACTCCTGATCAAAGGCTTGCTCGTCCACTTGGGAGAAGATGATATAGGAAGTTCTCATTCCAGTTCTGTCGGTTATATAGAGCTTCATCTCCTTATTGAGGATATCTTCAAAAGATTTTATTCCCTTATATTGGTATTCACTTATGTGAGATAACCCAAATAGCTGGCTAGGATACATCATTCACTTATATAATAAGATTACTAGAAGAATTGCAATAGAATGAAATATATACAATAAAGTAATGAATAGAGTAAGATAAAATTGACAGTTGTCTGAGTCACTATGACATAGTGAAATACTATAATACTATGATTCTGATGACAAGTTTTTTATAAATGTAAACCTGGAGCAGGGTCAAATGTCCGAGAAGATATTTTCTTTTACCCAAGAAGAGCTTCCATATCTTATGTTTGTAGGCTCCATTAGGTAGTCTCTACAAGAGGTGGGCTTCCTTGCCTCTCACTGCCATGTAGTTTATCATTCTATGTATCTGTAAAACGTTGGCTTCAGTAGGGAAATTATATCACAGCTGCATGAACTGCTCTTGACCTCTCGGCCATGGACCAATATCGCTTCGCGGTCCATCTGCGCATCGACTTCCCCTTCCAGGTGAAGATGACGAAGGAAAGGTTGAAGACCAGACAGAGCACGGCCATGATGATAGATGTGGTCTGGAGTCCATCGAGATCCAACCATGGTCTTGAAAACAATCAGCATTTGACAATGTATATAAAGGCAGTAAGTAGTACTCACTGAATGGCAAATGTAAACCCTGTTCCAACCATGTTTCTCAGAAAGAGCATCAGAACCAAAGACTCAGACGCCACCTCTGGGTAACAGTCGACGGCATATGTGATGGCGATAGCACCGCCGCTCCCGATTCCAAACCCGATGAAGGCGGTTCCAAACCCCGCTGGGACGATCCAGTGTGCGCCTTGAGCTGCCCCAACGCCGTACATGAGCACGCCGGCAGTGTTGATGATGGCCAGGGGGAGCATCATCCACAGACGGAACTCTGGCTCCATGATGCCGTTGTTCCTGCGCGCCAGGCGCTGTGTGTACCAGTCGCTCAGGCTGCCGCCCCAGAGCATGCCCAGGGAGCCACCGATAAAGGCAGCGAAGTTGGTATCGCCGACAACTTCCACGGAGAAATTGTAGGGCGCCGCATTGAAGATCAACGACTGTGTGGAAGCAAGCAAAGACAGCCACATCACTTGCACGCCATAGACAACGCCAGCCCAGACGATCGGGGGAAAGACAAGCAGCGAGAAGGGCTGGATGGCCAGCAACAGCCACGATCGGGGGTCGTTCTGGGATACGTCCCAGAGACGTAGACGCTGTGTGAACGTTTTGACAGGGGGGGAATCAGAGTCAGTCTCCCCTTGTCTCTCCTCTTCATTCTCATAAACAGTAGCGGCAGCAGCAGCAGCAGCAGCAGCAGCCTCCTCATCGTCATAGTTGATGGTTTTTGCTGCGGCCACATCTTCACCCAGCAGGGGTTGAGCAGGCCGGCGAAAGCTGGACTCTTCTAGCGACAGAATCTGAACAAGAAGAAGGACGGCGAAGAAGATGACCAGGTACCAGAAACACCAACGCCAGTCCTGAGAGGCAGCGATATACCCGCTGGCGACGGGGCCCAGGTACGAGCCAGCATAGATGGCGAAGATATACAGGCTGAGTCTGGTGCCGCGCTCATGCAGGAAGAACAGGTCGGTGGTGGAGATCTCGACCAGGGAGTCCACGGGGGCAGCTCCAAAACCTGTGAGGATATTGACGGCAAAGTACTGTTTCACGGTATGCATGAGTCCTCCGCAGATGCAGCCCGCGATGTTGAACAGCGTGCCGAGAATGTAGACCGGACGCCGGCCGATCTTCATGGATGTGGGCTGCAAAAGCACGCAGCCGATGCCGAGGAAGAGCCAGCAAAGGGCGGAGGAGATGTTGAGATGGACGTAGTCTGTGTGGAGATCGTCTGCCAATTGAGTCTACAATTCAATCAATTAGGATGAATCCATAACTATAGCTCCTGGTACGAAAACACTGATGGTAGGAAGACGCACCCACACTGGCCCTGACCAGTTGACTGACACGGCGGCGATGAAGCCCCAGATCCAGAGCAACCAGAAGTGGTACTCCTTCCGGGCTTTGCTCCAATTGAGGGGATCATTCGGGTTTGAAGTGGGCTGTGGGATCAGAACCACGTCGGACTTGCCAGTTTGGTGCTTGACATTGTGTAACTGATGCCCGACTAGCGATGTTATTATTGATAGATAGAGGTATGGGGAAGACACTTACAGTCGACCAGGCGGACTGTGCCTGGCACTCGATCCACTGCCTCTGCTGCAGAGACTGTCATTGTGACTTGAGACTGCCTGTTATACAATAAAGAAGTATGTATTGTAGAGCTGGTCAGTATTTGTATATGTAGAGCTGGAGCTTATCTCGGCTTCCCCGCAATTCACTCGCGCTTCGCGAGGACCTGCCACATTGGGAAGATAAGACTAGAAGATAAGAGATGGGATGATATGATCGCTTAGAATATTGCCAAGTGATACTGCAGTTATCTATATGGATAGTAGCAGGATCTATCAAGGAAAAGTAAGCTATTCTAACCCATTTTTAGGGAATGCTATCACTAATGACATAGCCTGCGCTGAGATTACATACTTCCAGAAGACTTGGCCAGAATTTGGATGGTCATGTTAATTACATAGGATAAACAGTAACTATCTCAGATTTCCAAACATAACAATCAAGTCCATCTGATCTGGCAGTCTGATGCTAGACGAGGTTAATCTTTAGTTGAATAGAATATTACCTATAAAATCAATGCCTGGGGCATTCAAAAAACGCCGAGTCGCTTAGACAGGTGTTTAACGATGCCATATCAGAATTATGGCTATTTCTATGTATTATGACTTGCTTATAGGCTCTATCTCAGTGTACCTGCCGCTGTCAGTACTCTCTGGAACAGTCTGGCGGTGAACAAATATCTCCTGCGAGCATAATATCAAGTATAAACTCCACACGTCTGTGAATATCCCCTTGGTAGTATAGGCTTTATGCCAGTCCAGGAGATGTGTATTCTGTAGTTCCATCAAGGCTGTTGTCGTGAATAGGTTTTCCCGTGGTGATGAAATAACTCGCAGATTCCAGGGCTTAGCTGCTCCCTCTTCATATCAAATCATACTGGCTATAAGAGTGAGGAAGAAGAAAGCTGGTAGAAGATGGGGAACAAGACTCTCGGCTCAGCAGAAAGAAGTATGAGGCAATTTCCAGAGGATAGGCTTGGACAACATTGCTGGTGAGATTTCAATCGATCATGACTTCTGATAGAGCTCTGTCTTTAGCTTCCCTAGTTAGCTGAGATATGTAGACTGTTTCTTCCATAGAAATTCCTTAGATTACCACATATTTCTAGTGATGAATATACACCAACTAAGCCAAGCTAATAGAATATCTATAGCCAAGAGAAGGAGAATCTGAAAGAGCCCTGCGGCGATTAGTCCTCCGTAGGCTGCCACGAGAGATACCCACTTATGAAAGCCAGATACAGCCAATAGGAAAAGTTGCAGCTAACGCCAAGGGGGGGAGGGCCGAGCCTAAAAAAACTAACGTTTATTGACTATACTGTAAAGGGCTAGGCTTGCACTGTACTGCCCGATATGTGGACCCTGAATACGGAGGTTACGGAGTACTCTTGATGGTATTAAATCTTCATATTGATAAGTAGTATCTGTTGAAGTCTCATATAATACTAATATAGTATCTTAAGAAAGAAGATAATCATATAGAGCTTAATATCTCCTATCTATTATAGTACTATACTTATACTATATACTCCGTATCCAGTATACTCCGTATATAGTCACCACGCTAGTTTCACCTATGGCAGGGATTCGGCTATAATGCCGCTTTCACATTGGCTGATCGTCAGGGTCCAAAAGCATGTTCATTTCCTGTCAACACTAGCAGGTGACTCCCCGGTAGGTGATACGAAGGTATTATATATAATCTACGACTGCCGCGGGGTTGTCCTCTTCCATCACTCTATTCTAGTAACAAAAACTTCCAACTTCTGACAGACAAAATGCGCGCTGCTGTGCTTGGACTGATTGCATGTGTGCACAGCGTGCTGGCGCTCTCTCTGCAGAAGCGCGATGTTCCGGCTGTGCTCGAACTGCCTCTGCAACGCCGCGCAGGTCCTCCTCCTCTGCAGAAACGATCCTCGGTGGTCAACGTGGAGATCGTGAACCAGGTGAGATTCTTCCAGTAGTGGAAAAAGGCAGGATAGTATTGACACGACAGGCGTATATGTACTATTCCTTGAACCTCAGCCTCGGCACTCCCGAGCAGCACTTCCAGTTCTCCCTCGACACCGGCAGCAGTGACCTGTGGGTGAACGTCGCCAATTCCTCCGAATGCTCAGCCAAGGGCGACCCCTGCGCTGCCTACGGCGTGTACAATGCCAGCGCCTCGTCGACGTACGAAGCCCTGGACACCTCCTTCAACATCACGTACGCCGACGGCACGAACGCGTACGGGCCGTATGCGGCGGACAAGCTGGTGATCGGCGACACAACGATCGAGAAGATGCAGTTTGCCATTGCGGAGCAGTCTACCGACGATCGTAAGCGCTTCTCCATTCAATGACAAAGACACATACTGACTGTATGTATGAAATAGAGGGGATTCTCGGCGTGGGATACGAGATCTCGACCTACCAGGCCGAACACGACGGCAAAACGTATCCCAACTTCCCCCAGGCGCTGGTGAACAGTGGCGCCATCAAGTCGGCAGCATACAGTCTCTACCTGAACGCATTGAACGCCAGTTCAGGCTCCATCCTGTTTGGCGGCGTCAACAAGGCGAAATACACCGGCGAGCTCAAGACCGTCCCGATTGTCCCGGTCTACGACAACTACTACTCTCTCGCCATTGCCTTGACGGAGGTGTCGGTTGAGAAGGCTGGATCCAAGACGACCAGCTTCACCACCGACCTGCCTCTGGCCGTGTCGCTGGACTGCGGCAGCGTCTTCACCGCGCTGCCCGAGAAGCTGGTGGACCCGATCTACAAGGTGCTGGATGCCGCCTACGACAGCAGCGACGGGGTTGCGTATATCGACTGCTCCGCCGCCGAAAAGGACTACAACATCACCTACAGCTTCTCCGGGGCCACGGTGACCGTCGGGATCAGCCAGCTGGTGCTCCCGATCGCAGAACCGGATTTCTCCAAGGGCTCGTGTATCTTTGGCCTCGTCCCCAGTGAGCCGGGCGTCAACCTCATGGGCGACACCTTCCTGCGCAGCGCCTATGTGGTCTACGACATGGGCAACAACGAGATCTCCCTGGCAAACGCCAACTTTGCCCCCGGCGACGACGACGACATCCTGGAAATCGGCACTGGCACGGCTGCTGTCCCGGGCGCGACGCTGGTTCCCTCGGCTGTATCGTCGGCCACAGGGAATGGCGTCGCCGCCACGACTGTCTCAGCCGTCACCATCACCGGCACCGTCGAACCGACAGAAACGTCTGACTCTGGATCATCCGGATCATCTGGATCGGCCACAAGTGCCTCGTCCAAGGGGATGGGGGTCATACCTACCGCTCACCCCGGCCTGCTCCCGGCCTTGGCTGGTGTTGTCTTTTTGGCCCTATAGAGCCTCGAAATGCATACAAAATAAATCTAATCTGATGGAGTTAACTTGACGTAGATGCCTACAATGTATATATAGTATACCATTGTTTATATCTCAGATAATCATGTTAGACATAATCTAATGCATAAGCATTCTAATTTTCTATACAATTATGGCCTTTTCCCATAGATGAAATACACCTTCCCGTATTGATGAATCGACTGGTCTGCCAGCTCATTCCGCACTTTGGCTGCCATCAAATCAACCTCCTCCTTTGCCCATCCGAGGACGGTTGTGAGAATCCCAGGGAGGTAAGAACCCAAGGCTTGATTTGTATGAGACTGGAGAAACCGCCCAATTCTCTTTTGCTTTTCATCCTTTGGCCACGCAGTCAGAGGAGCCTTGACTACTTTGGTAATGATGTCAATAAAGCCGGCCGACTTTAATGCTTCACCCCAAGTGTCGATATCCTGCATCGGCTTACCAAATTTCAAGCCTGCCTCTTTAATCAGCTCGGCGAGCTGAATTGTAAAAGGTCCCTTCTTTTCTAGAGAGCCGTCATCTGAAAACTGCTTCACGGCGAATGACTGAAGCTCAAAGTATCCTCGTGGCTTTAGATTATTGAATGCCTGTACAGCCAGGTGATTGATATCCTTGATCGATCCAGCAAGCTCACGCCCATGGATATAATCAAAGGGGCGGCTATATTGCCATTCGGCCTCGAAATCATCTACTTCAAAGACACAGTTGGCAGGCACCCTAGTGATAATGTTGATTAGTGATCTTTCTTCAACTGGAAAGGGGACCGTGTATCATTCACACTCACCATCCAGGCTGGATGGGACTCAAGTCGTTCCCGATTACCTCTGCAGCTGGGTGCTGGCTGACCAATTAGTACCAGGCTTAAGTCAAGATAGCAGCAAAGACATACTCGGCAAAGTCCATGGCCCAGATGCCTGTTCCAGTCCCAATGTCCAGCACGCGATGAACATCACCAATTGGCGCGACATGCAGCTCCCCGCTCAGAATCATTCCGTAGATATGGTGTAGGAAATCCATGCGATCTTGCTCGTCTTCATCATTGGGAAGCAAGTATTCCCCCCTGCGGTAATTCTGGTATCGGCGGCCATTTTCGTATCTGATACCCTATCAATGTCATAATCAATTAATTGAATCATGAAACTTACTCATAATCCAGGACGCTTGACTGAAGAGATGTGTAGTCTGTTCCAGAGGAGCTCAAAGAGGCGTTATCGGCTTCACTGCGGAAATCATTTACAACAGGAACGGTATTGGGAGCATCAGAGACGGGCTCTAGATTAGCGACCAGCTCTCGATTGGCGATGGACTCTGTATTGTCAATTTCAGTGGTGTCATTTGGGTTTCGATTGACATTGGTGAACTTGGTATTTGAAGACATTATGACTGTAGGTAATTCTTAGAGTAAAAATTCTTAGAGAGAGATCATTTGAAGCGGGCCACGCTGTTTACTTATAAACCGGCTAATCCATGTTACATTAACTCATTGGTAAAGTACCTCTACTCCACACGAGGTGCATATGATTGATTTTTTCTATTAGTAGGCCCCCGTCAGCACGACCTCAATATCAGAGAGAGCTAAGTAAAATCTCCTAAAGACAAGAGCTAGAACAGTGTCTGCAATATTTAAATAAACCAAGATATCCAACTTTTGACATGAACTGAGCATTCAGTAATCCATGGTGGAAATGCTCTTTCAATTGACATACGAGTCATGTCGTCTGAATTCCTCCGTGGTCAAACTGACGCCGCGTAGGCTTTTCTTTGTTGCATTTTTAGCGGCATGTATATGGCTTGATGTGGCCAAATGTATATTCAGTTATTATCTCACAATCTAACAGTCTAAATGTCATATGTAGAGAAGATGCCAGAAGAATTAGCTGATTTCTCTCTCATACAACTTTACAATTTGGTGTTAAAATAACCTTGAAGATTATTACGCATAGTTGAAGGCGCACTACCTCTAGAAAATGTATATAGGGAGGCACTGGCATACCTAATCTATAGGAAAGCGGAAAACTCAGATACTGCTAGATAGCTAACCTACCTACAACACAAGATTGACCACTGTATATCTAATGAAATTGTTCTAAAGCTTCATACTATTGTCAATATGGCCTGTGTCTATTCCCTGGTTGCGGAAAGCACCGGCAAGAGCAAGGGTGGGCCAAAATATATCTTCAAAGTATCAATAGGAGAATAGTAGCAGTTGTTATTTATGACTTCTGGGATATGCTCAAGAGGAAGAGTCTCAGTTTCGAAGCAATAAGGTTTATAAAAGTATGACTGTATGTCATGCTTTGGCTTTCAAGTACTTACTCTGCACGCTGCCAATGAACCCATATAGAACCTGTCACTCACTGGGCTAGCCACCTACAGCCACTAAAGATTGCCAAGATATAGATGGAGCCTAACATGATTTATCAGTCCACTGTCTTTCTTCAGATCCATCATATCTATACGGAGTATATTAGAATTAGATTCAAGCCTCTACATATAGTACTACTAGATTAAGTCTTTCAATGTTTTTATCTAAGTGTGGAAAGGAAATATGCCCTTTACCTAGCATGTTGCCGGCTATAGTGGATCGACGGATATACGGATTTGCTTTACATTATTATCCTGACCACTCATTGCTTCCTATTCTCATATTATCAGGGCCTAGCTTGTTAAGCAGTTGCCAGTGTGATGAACACTATAGGATCTGACTTATTCATAAAGAAAATGTCGGCATAGAAAAAAACTCTTCACAGACACCAACCTTCTTCTGCAGAAGACTCTAATAGGGGCAAATAAAGCTAATCCTCCTGCTGTCTATATGTCAAATTACCAAGTAGAACTTCATGTAAGAGCCATTATACAGCCAAATGCAAATAGCAGGCTCAAAGTCAGCCCCACCAAGGCATTCAAATCTTTTCTTTCCAGTGTTTCACAAATAGTATTTATATGTAAATCATAAAAGAGCTGACAATGACTGCTATATACATGATTCGTCCCTATAATATAGCTTATATACAGCTGAAGCAAAGAGACTACTAGGCAGACCTCAGATAAGATATATTTCAAGCTGAATTATAGATCATCGGGTGACTGGAAAGTAAAGAATTCGCCCTATAAAGAGGGAAAGATAATCAAGGATTTCCACGAGAAAATAGCCGAGGAAGAATGGTACCTGAGCAAAGTATAGGATTTGATGTAGTTATGCTATTCTTAAAGCTTTCTCGGCCTGCAGAAAAGCGCGTGAAGAGCGGGGTTGCATATTCATCGCCTATTTTTCCAATTACTGATAGTGCAACCATGTTGATTTAACGTCATCCTCAGCCAGCCCTACTGCATCATCTGGGCGATTCCCCGCAGGCCAGGAGGAGAAGGGAAGCGAGGCGGAGCCATTGGCTATCGCTGGTTAGTTTGATAGATCCAGGCGCGGCTGGCCCCGAGGCTAAAACCACCGCGATGTGATGGTCGCCTAGATTATCCTCACGATGCATTGCTTCAGCTCACATCACACATCCAGCACCGACACCGGCTCGCCACGACGGCAATGCTGATTGTCCGCTGGCCGAGTCGCGGCCGGTGTAGAAATATAAATACTGTGATGCTGCGCTGGTCATTTTTGAAAGACACAGACAGATTCAGTACATCACTACTTCTCCAGCTTGACATCTCATCCCTCCAGCACCATGGAACACAAAACATTCGCCATTACCGGCATTCCCGTTCCCGCGGGACAGCCAGTTCCCGTGCGCCGCGAGGTGTCGCAATGGGCGACCTCGACCGATCCTCAAGACCAGATCCAGGTCTCTCTCTTCGTCCGCGCCGTGAAGAAGATGCAGCTGAGGGATCCTTTGAAGAACGAGCTGTCCTTTTATCGGATCGCCGGTAGGTTTGAGTTAGGGGTAAAAACACCTGAAATTGAAGCCAAAGTTACTGAACATCACTATAGGCATCCACGGCCTGCCTGCTAAGCGGTGGAATCACGCTCCTTCACCAGATGGCTTTTACTGCGCCCACAACACCTACCAGTTTCCTACCTGGCATCGGCCGTACCTGATGCTGTATGAGGTATGCAATATTCAATCTAGATGTATATATATATCTATATCATCGCTGACAGATACATCTAGCAAGTATTGCATGACATTATGGTGCAGGAAGTGATTGAAGAGGGAATCTCGGATCCCGCCATCAAAGCCACCTGGACGGCCGCAGCTGATACCTGGCGGCTGCCCTTCTGGGACTGGGCGATCAAGCAGCAGGATACCCAGGAACTGGGCCTTCCGAATCTGCTGTCAGAAGCCAATGTCAAAATTTTGAAAGTGGGAGACACGGAGACGGAACCCTTTGATAACCCGTTGTACAAGTTTGTCAATCGGCTCCCAGTCGGAAAGGATAAATGGGAAAAGGTTGCCATGGGCGACCCTAGAATGGGGAAGTACAAGATTCAGGCCGAAAATGTACCGTTTCCCCCTGTTTACTGTCCGTCTGGGATGAGTGAATAGATCCATTGACTCTTTGACTAGTTTGACAAGTCTATTGGCACCAGTCGGTGGGCAAAGCCTGATGATAGTGAGTGGGCAAAGGGCAAAGTGGACAACAAGATGGTCAACGAGAACATCAAGAACGCAGAGTGGTATAAAAAGCTCCTCGCCGGCAGCATCGCCGACAATGTCGCACGCCTGCTCACCGACGATTACTTCCTCGACTACAACAAGTTCTCTTCCACGCGCTACGCCAAGCACAATTCCAACGGCAGTGACCCGTGTGCGACGGAGTGGCTCTCGCTGGAGATGGTCCACAACAACATCCACATGTGGGTGGGTGGGTATACCGGGACGTCGACCGGGGGCTATACCTCGGACTCTGAGGATGAGGACGATGAGCCTGTCAAGGGGGAGACGTTCGATGGGCATATGGCCAATGTTCCCGTTGCAGGATTCGACCCGGTCTTCTACCTCCACCATGCGTAAGTGCATATATATATATATCTATAGATTTATCTTGATCATGACTAACAGTGCCAGCAACGTGGATCGGATCCTGGCCATCTGGCACTTTTTGAGCGACAAGTGGATCAATCCAGGCGACTCCATCTACACGGAAGATTTGCGTCCCTTTACCAAGGACGAGCAGGGCTCATACCACTCGTCCCAGTTCATGAGCGATGAAAAGCAATGGGGCTACACGTACCCAGAGCTCACGGCGGGGGCCACCAAGGACTCGGTCAAGCAGCGTGTCTGGGAGCTGTACGGGCACCCGATGATGCACCTGCAGAGCGATCAGGACTTCAACACCTCCAAGGATACATTTGACGACTATATCATCAACATCACCTATGACCGGTATATGCTTCTTCCTTGCCCTAACTTGTAGATGCAAGCTAATCACGGATCTATCTCCCAGCTACGCGCTCAAGGGAAAGCCGTATTACATCACTTTCTACCTGGAAGACGCCGACGAGTCCTGGACACTGGGCCAGGTGTTCAACTTCAGCGCCGAGCTGGAGTATGGCTGTGCGAACTGCAAGACGCAGAAGGAACAGGGCATCCTGTCCCGGGCCCAGGTGCCCATCTCGGTGCCGCTGCATAAGCTCTCCCAGGAATGGGGCGGGAGGATCCGTCTAGGCCCGGCGGATGGGGTGTCCATTGCCTCGATGAGTCTGGAGGAGGGCACTGTGGTGCCTCTTTTGGCAGAATTCCTCAAATGGAAGGTCTTCACGGTATGAGAGATCCCATTTCGTTCTATCGGAGTATCTTGGCTGACTGGAAATCGTGTGTAGACCAAAGGCAAGGAGGTCCCCATCTCCCGGTTGTCGACTCTGGAGGTGGAAGTGTTACGGGCTCCTATCCCGTACTCCATTCCCATCCCCAGTGAGGGGGACTTTTCCAAAAATACGGATCTTATGGAAGAGGGGGGGCTGCCGCAGTTCACATCTAAATATACGACCATCCATGCTGCCACAATGGGTAAAGAAGGTGGTGTTTAGTTTCTGCGGATTATAGTTCCCAGTATAGCGTCCACAGAGGCTTGCTGAACGGGTTGAATCCTACTACTACTACTACTACTAGTTATTCTATTTATCAATTAGATGACTAGTATCTATTTATCAATTAGATGACTATTATCTATATATTCATGCATGATAGAACCCATAGGGATCTAGTTGAGATATAGAGATATTTAAACCCTAACCCTAACCCTAATGCAAAGAATCTATGGAACATTGCATTATAACAGAAAATCCTCAAAGTAATTTATAATTTTGACCTATTCATATAGCATCATCATATCAGTAATACTGTAGCACCTATAGATTCAACACAATAGATAATGCTGATAAAAGAATCCTTAAGAGATAGTACAGCAAATAATCTTCTAATTCTATATTGAGTTAGCTTAATCACCTTAGAGTTCTCAAGTATCAACCGAGGCATTGCCTATTTCAGGCTAGTGAGGGGTTCCTCGGCGCGGCTAAACGACATTCAGGGGGTTGAGATATATTAGGAGGAATAAGTGTATTTATTAGTTGTGTCATAGAAAATTCAATATCTACTAAATGAAGGAAACTCAATTCAGGCCGAGAAATGCTGTACAAGCGGAGCGGAAGGCTTCAGTCAGCGTACTATGGAGTATGAGACAAAAGACGGGATGATCGCTTAATTGTACCATAATGAGGTTAAGGGACCTTGGCACACGAGAACCAAAACCCTCTGTCATGGTGAGATGAGACCGGGCCATCGAACTTGATTTCCACCTACACATCTTTGAACATGACTGAAAAATTGGATAAAGACCAGACTCCTGAGAACATTATCGTTGCGGCGGACCATGGCCGACTCGATCTTGTCACGTCGTTCTTAGAGAGCGGGATAGATCCGAATACTGCTGACGATGTCGGATGCTCGGCTCTTCACAAAGCAGCCCGACAGGGTCACTGGCATATCGTCCGTCTTCTCCTTGAGAAGAATGCATCGCCACGGCTCCAGGATGGCAACGACGCAACCCCACTCCACCACGCGGTACGAGCAGGCCATAAGCAAGTTGTTCGTTTGCTGCTTGAGTGTGATCCTTCTATTTGCGATAGTCCCGGAATAGATTCCACTCGTCTCCTGCGCATTGCTGCAGTCTTTGGATATGCTGAGATTGTCCAGCTTCTTCTGGACCACCACGCACAAACCCTTAGCAATGATGGGAGGGAAACACCACTGCATCTGGCGGCTAGAAAGGGTCACCATGACGTCTGCGAGGTCCTCCTCGAGCACGACAAGACTCTGGAGCTACCATTTTGGAGTTGGTTGGTCGGGCCTAAATTGGAGGTTGACTCGAAAGACCATGAAGGAAATTCGCCTTTTGCCCTTGCGGTTGAGAATGGCCATGAAAAGACCGTGGAGGTTTTCTTGCGCAGTTATCCCAATTTGCGTACGGCTTACAATGGCTGCAAGGAGCTGCTCTTCCATAAGGCCATCAAAAAGGGAAAAATCGAGGTGGTTCGGGTCTTTTTAAAGCACGGTACTGATATAGAGATGAAAGGCGCGCAAGGACTTAGAGCCCTTCATGTGGCAATCGTCACCAAGACCATATATTACGTCTCTGACTCTGAGATGATCGAACTTTTACTTGACAATGGTGCTGCAGTTGATTCAAAGGACAAGGACGGCAGAACCCCCGACTTCTATTGCCATGATCCGAAAACCAGAATGTTGTTGCGCAACCATGCAGCGACGCGGTCAAAGAGTGATTCCCTGTCGGCAGCGCCAAAGACTTCAGCTCCGCCACCTGAATATAAGGCATGATATGGTCGAGATGATTGAAGTCATACTGAGTCGTCATAGTATATTACTCCTACTCTCTGTTATACAGAAATATCTTGGCGCACCCTGCCTGTAGTTATACAATGACCATTCCTTTAGGATCAGTCGATATTTAATCTAATCCCTATATAATTCTTTTTTCTATTTTATCCCCCCTTTTCTTCTTTTAATTATCTAGGTAAGTAGGTAACTAACTATTAAATAATATGGTATAAATACTAGTTCCTAGGCCAATTCCTATATTATCCCTATATTGATTCCTGCGTCAATTCCTGTGTTGATTCCTATGTTAATTCCTATATTGATTCCTAGATAATTCCTGGGCAATTCCTATGAATAATTATGAATGTAGGGCCATAGGTCCAGAGTGGCTGCTATATACCTAAGTATTTAGATAAGTATTATTATAGAGAGCTATAGCTCTAGAGCAACTTTAATTTATAGAGCAGAGATCTATAATATCTTAATTAAAATAATAATAATAAGAAGAATAAGAATAATATTGATTATAACCACCCTCTTTAAGCCCCCTCATGTAGTGAGGGTATCAGGCTCGTAAAGTAAACATTTGTTTCAAAGTAACCTGGATGTATACTGAGATAGCATATAATTAGAACAGAAAAGAGAAGTATATTGATCTATGAGTGTCAATGGATTGATCACTGTAGCTGGATCCAGCTAGTAATAAACTAGAGTTTCTGGTATACTACCATCACTCAATAAACTCTATCTCATCCCTCCCCCACTCCTCCTCCTCCTCCTCCTCCTCCTGCTCATCATCATCCCCATCCTCACCCTCATTCTGATCCATCTTATTAGCCTTCTCAGCAATTTGTGCAGTGGCTGCATCTAGTAGGGCAGACCGTCTTCCACGCCGCCGCGAGGCTCCAATCATCAACCCATCGCAGTCATGGCCCAGCTCTTCACAGAAAGCCTTGAGCATGTTGCCAGCAATGTATCGACCCGGAGTGCCCCAAAATGGCTTTCCCAGCTCATCTGTCAGTGAAAAGACAGCCTTTTGACCGGGGCCTGCTCTCCATGCGCGACGCAAGACCTGGAGGCAATAGTGAAAGTAGAGGAAACGAGCTGCCGGTCGAAACGTCCCTCGGAACTGGACTTTTCGATTGTCCAAGTCTCTCCACTTCAACCCACTGATGCCAAAAATACCTTCATCCAGACGATCCCACTGGCTATCGATGATTCGGACGCGAAATTCCCGAACTTCAGAGTCCGTCCACGAGCACAGCATTGCTGAGGTGGGTTTCTCCGGCAGATCTGGGACAATCACCAGGACCCCAGCATCAAGAACCTGCTCAATTTCGGAGTGGATCAGCAAGCCGTTCTTTGAGGAGAAAAGCTGGGGCGGCCGCATCTTTCCAAAGATTGAATCCATGGTGCTCTGACCGTGTTTGTAGGAGAAGATGTGCGCGGCCGTCATGGCTCGAGAAGGGTAGTAGTCGCCGAGAATGGGGCACCAGGCGTGCATTCCGTCCGAGTGCATGCTTTGATAGTCTCTTATAAGGCCCGATCGGAAATTGGATTGAATATGGCCGTCTCTAGCACCGGCGCCAGTCTTTATCCCGAGTCCAACTGGACTTGTCGTGAAGAGCTTCATGAAGCTCTCTCGGAGGCTTCTTCGTGGCTTGCTGAGCGACAGCTTTGCGCTCTGGGACTGGAACGAGGCGACGCGATGCTTCTGCGCCCGGATCTGCTCGAACAGTCGCCGCGCCTCTTCCGTGCGCTCCCACTCGGATGCATCGCCAGGAAACTCCGACAGTGATATCTCGGAAACGATGCGAGTCTTTTTGAGAATGGTCGACTCGACATCAGCTGCTGCACTCCAGAACTCGGCGTTGAAGGAGCCATGTGCTCGGAGCTTCTTCCTTGTTCGCTTCAGATTGTCCTCGAGCTCGTCTCGCTGTATCTCCAGCTTGCTGATCTCCTCGGCGCGTCGTTTCTTCGGAATGTAGATGGGTGGTAGATCCATGATGGTCAGTGCGACTTCACTGCGATGCAAAACAGCTAGCTGGTGTTCTCAGTGTTTGGTGGGTGGCGATTCTACCAGCTTTGTCCGGAGCGCCCAGAATCGCTCCTTCGCTAAGGCAGCAGCAGAGTCAATGACGAACACTGACGTACGAAGATGCAGCCCATGAAATATGGCACCAATGCCAAGCAACAGTTTCACGACAGCTACAATTCAAGCATGTCCAAGAGCAGCGTATCTTCGGTCGACTCGCAGACGAGGAGAAAAAGAGGGTGAAAAGAGTACGCAAAGGATCTGCGCCAGGCGGAGTCAGATTCGAGGCTGCATAAAGATGAGAATGTAGAAGAATTGGGGAAAGTGCCCTTTGCTTTAAAACCTCAGGGATGGATGAAGGATCAAAAACCCCAGGATTGAAGATATCTAGAATATAATCATTCATAAGGCACAATTAATGCAAACAGTTCCTCTGATAAAATGTCCTCCTGGAAAGAATACTGTGTAGATGGTTCAGTATGACTGAACTTGTTAGAATTTAAATCTATATTATATATTCTTTCTTCGGCTGTGTCAAGCTGCAGTTTAATAGAAGCTTATATAGACAGATTATGCAGTGCATAATCTAATAAACTAAAACCAATATAAAGTCTATATACTATAATGATTAATATAAGAGGAAAACATTGAGACATAATTCTAGAGCTTTTATACACATATAGAGGTCCTTCAGTCAGCCTCTTACTTGTGAGAATATGCTCCCATTATTATCTAGGTGTAAACTCGCGTATAAGTGGAATCAGCTCAACTCCTTTTATAATGAGCACCTATTTTGATATCTCTATATAAATATTCCATAGACAAAGAATGCGATTTCTTAAGGTGTGTTTAAGCAAAATTAATGATAATATGCAAGCTACTATAAAGAAGTTGATGAATTAGTAAAGTGGCATTGGAGTATTTATTTAGAAAATATAGGGCTTAGGGTTATAGACACGTCTAGTTTGTGCTAGTTCTTATGAATCTTGGAACTAATGTATTTTACTCATAAGAATCTGCTCTGACCTAATTCAATGGCCATTGTATCACGAACTATGGCCATACAACCTTGACCTTGTTCGCAGACCTTTTCTGGCTAGAGTTCCGTGTGTCGACCAGGATCTGATCCAAAACCTTGCGCATTCGCAGGACATCCAAGGCCTCCAGCTCCCATATTGACAGATTGGTGATGGCCAGTTCAATCAAAGACATCCAGTTGTCCGAGCAGTCGAAGCGACCGCTCCGCACCGCCGCTAGAATCGAAAGCGCATTGCGGAAGAGAGACCGCAGAACGAACCATAAGCCGCCGTGGCGCCATTGTGTCTTGCCGTTGAAAAGGATCATTGCGGCGCAGGCTTCCAATCCTTTCGCCGCCAGGGCAGCAGCCTCACCCCATTGAGGATGGTCAGTCCTTTGGTGAATTGCAAAATAGAGCATGGGGTGGAATAGCATGGTCTTGACGTTGAGAGTCCGGAAGTACAGGATGGTTGTCAACTCGGTCCTGGGAGCATCTGCAGCCCAGCGGACGGTGGCCGGCAAGTGATCAAACCTGGAATACAGCAATCTGCCGTCAGCAAAGGACACCAGTCTGGATGTATTCTTTCTCGTTGGAAGTGTCTCACCATGAATTGGCTTCCTCCTCAAAGATCCGGACTTGCTGCACCACCTCAACGATGTGGTCTAGCCACCATGTTTCCTCATGGCTGTACAGAGTTCGGATTATGCGTGTGCTCGTCCGGAGTGCTGAAATCTCGGCCAGATAATAGAACCAGCCCCGTACGTTGCGCAGTCGAAATGCAGCCGAGTCGCCGCCCTCCACCATCCAGTACGGGGGCAACATCTCTGCATCCAGGCCAAAGTCAAGCGGCGGAGAGGGGAAAGGGTTGGGAAGAGTGATATAGGATAGTGTGTTGAGAGGTAGCGGCGCCTGTATTTGGAAGTGGCTGATGTATAGATAGATCAGCTTGAGACTTAAAAGGGGTAGCCAACAAACATGATGACTGACTTGTGCGTCCGGAGACAAGAGTAATACAGTCGCTCAAGAGGCTTGGGCTCAATGGGCAGCTCAGCACGGTGCATTCGCTGCAGGAGAAGCATTTGCGTCACCATGGCCGCCTGCTGGTAGTGAGACCATGCCTCCACCACTCGCAACCGGCACATCTCGTAGATCCCGCACAGAAACTGACACTGAGCGGCCTCTAGACTCAGATCCAGCAGTCCGAGTCGTTTCCGTGCCTCCATGTAGTATACATCGGCAGTTTCTCGATCAGAGGGCAGGTCCCTGCCACTCATCGTCCAGTTGTCCTCGGCGTTGTGTGTGTCTTCCAGCTCGGTGACCAGCACAGCCAAGGCACAAGCCAGCAGCTGTGGCCGTCTCTATCAGTCCAACCATACCCCAAAGTATAGTTACCAGACACTTACCACCAAGGCTGTTCCGCCATCCCATGCACAGCCTTCTTCCACTACCCGGCGTGTAGTCTGCTGCAGGCGATCAATGTCCAGGATCGGATTCTTGACGTGGACAAGACTCAAGTACCGCTGCACCAAGGCCACAAAGTCATGGGGGTTGATACTCGGTAGTATCTCTGCTTCCGACGGAACACCTGTTGATGGAGTGTTCATCCCAGTGTTCTTCTTCTCAACTTCTGGAACGCAGCACCCTGACCACAGCAACGAAGAGGAGTTTGCTGAACCAAATCCTTGCAGGACAGACCAAGAAAGCATGCATTCGGCGAATATAGCGTCGCGAGGGACCCCAAGCTCGCCAGTAGTCGCAGGGTTCGCGGTGGGAGAGGGCGACCTGTTCGACGGTCTTTCCAACAGTGAAATGGCATAATTGAGCCTTTCCAAGAGAGCCGACGGCTGTGGTTCGTATGTTCTGCAAGGCTCCGTCTCAGCTTGCTCTCAGGCGGAGGAAGGCAGAGCTCTTAGGGTTAGGGTTTTGGAGAAAATTACTACTTACACCGGCGTTGCGTCCGAGGCAGTGGTGTACTTGCACACAGCCCCAGCCTGGCGACACAGGGAACAAGTCGGCCGCACATTATCACAGCGTGTCTTTCGCAGCCGACACAGCTCACAGGCTATCGCCGCGCGTTTACGGGGATACTCATTGGCAGACGCGGACGGTGGTTGGCGTTTCGGCAAGCCAGAGCCCGTTCCCTCGTCGGTGGGACCGTCTCCCATCTGGAATGCTCTGTATATACAGACTGGCCCTCTTCAGGCTAGGAGGTAATACACGGGGATGGCGGGCGTCTCTTAAGCCATTGGTGAGATCTATGGCCCAGCTGCTTATTGGTGGAGGCCATTGTTTACGCCATCTTTACCCACAGTGACAACAAAATGTGTAGTATTAGGAGGTTATATTTATTCAATGCTATAATAAATTATATACTGCTAGATAATTATATATGAGATGGTGAATCATGTATTACACGTATTTATATATGGAGTAGCATAAATATGTTGATATAGACAGCTTATAGTATAGGAGGAGTACAGAGGTGAATCAGACAACCAGAATAAAGAAACCGCCTTTAGGCCTACTAAATTTAATATGCCTATAAGTACAGAATAATGGAGATATCTAATAAATGAATAAGGATGTTGTAAATAGACCCAATTAATTCATGTCATTGCTCCAAAGTGCCCACCATGTGGTCAATGAACTAAATGTCTATGCTGAGAGCTTGTTATATGCCACTATTTAGTTGCCAGCATGTTCAGCATCTCCAACTTGCTAGATTCTGGCGTGGAAAGCATTAAACTAATGTTCCATTTTGACTGCTGGCCCTCAGGACTTTAATATTCTATAGGTCCATTATGAATGAACTTGATGAAACTAGAGCCACTAATTATGATTCTAATCTATATATTTTTAAAACTATTATTAAAATATGCAAAATAGCTCTGTGAGGTCTTTATTATCCTTAGTAATATTTAGTATTGTCTTCATTGTATAATCCTATAATTATCCCCATCATCATGGCTATAGTCTATTGCGCAATCCACTAGCGCAACGCCTCACCCAGGCTACGGGGGTAGACGGGGATAGATTGACAGTAAGGAACAGAGATGGCATTATATATTGCCCTGGATCTCCTGTCTTGTCTGCCGAACACTCATACACATATTATATGTACAACATGAACACAATGGCTAAACAACCAAATTTTCTTATTGTCGTCGCCGACGATCTGGGCTTCAGCGACACCAGCCCGTTTGGCGGGGAGATCGAGACGCCGACCCTTGAGCGTCTGGCCAAAGAAGGAGTCCGACTGACCAACTTCCATACGGCATCTGCTTGTTCTCCGACTCGCGCCATGCTGCTCTCTGGGACGGACCATCATATCGCTGGTCTGGGCCAGCTGAGCGAGCATATGATGGCCCATCGTGAAGAGTATCAAGGCCGGCCTGGCTATGAGGGCTACCTCAATTTCCGGGTAGCTGCAGCCAGCGAGATCTTGCAGGATGCCGGCTACTTCACCCTCATGTCGGGCAAATGGTATGTCAATTCTAGGGTTTAGGGTTAGGGTTTAGGGTTTAGTACTAACAACGGACAGGCATCTCGGGCTTCAGAAGCACACGTCACCCCATGCTCGTGGGTTTGATCGGAACTTCAGTTTTCTTCCAGGCTCGGGCAATCATTACAACTACGAGCCCCAGGCGGACCCGAACCGCAAGACCCCGCGGTTCATGAACTCGGATGGGTGGTGGATGGAGGATGACCGGAACATCGACCGTCGCACTGAGCTGCCGGATGATTTCTACTCCTCCAAGACCTTTACCGACCGTCTGCTGGGTTTTATGAAGGACCGTACTGCCGCGCAAAAGGAACAGCCCTTCTTCGCCTATTTGCCCTTTACTGCGCCGCACTGGCCGCTGCAGGCGCCGCAGCACACCATCGACAAGTACAAGGGTAAGTATGATGAGGGGCCGGATCAGCTGCGTGCCCGGCGTCTGGACAGACTCATTGAGCTGGGTTTGGTGCCCGCGGATGTTGAACCGGCGCCGGTGACGGGCGCGACAGAGCTGGATACCCCGTGGGATGAGAAATCGGACGAGGAGCGAGCCCTGTCGGCAAGGAAAATGGAGGTATACGCAGCCATGGTGGATGAACTCGACCAGAATCTTGCACGAGTGGTGGACTATCTGGAAGAGACGGGCGAGCTGGACAACACGTTTGTGCTGGTCATGTCTGACAACGGCGCAGAAGGGGTGCTGCTCGAGGCAATCCCCACGATGGGCGGGATGGCGAGCTTCGGAGCCATTCTCAACGAGTTCTACGACAACAGCCTGGAGAACATCGGCAAACCGACTTCATGGGCTTGGTATGGCCCCCGATGGGCGTGTGCCGCCATGGCTCCCTCGCGCGGCTTCAAGACCTGGTCTACCGAAGGGGGGATCCGGTGTCCCTGTATCGTGCGCTACCCACGCCTGCAGGCCGGCACATATGCGCATTCCGACGCCTTCACCACTGTCATGGACATTCTCCCCACCATGCTCGAGCTGGCGGGCGTCTGTGCTCCAGAGGGCCAGTTTCGTGGTCGGGAGATTGTCCCCATGCGCGGTGCCAGTTGGTTGACTCATTTGCAGTCTGGGGACCTGAAGCAGACAAGTGTTCATGATGAGCAGAATCATATCACCGGCTGGGAACTCTTTGGTCAGCGAGCGATCCGCCAGGGGTCATGGAAAGCCGTGTGGATGCTTCCCCCTCGCGGCAAGGAGTGCTGGGAGCTGTACAACCTCGCCGTGGACCCTGGTGAGATCCATGACCAGGCAGCCAACGAGCCGGAAATCCTCGAACGGCTTGTCAAGCACTGGGAAACCTATTATACAGAGACGGGCATGTTTGAATACGGACATAACTTTCCCTATGCCATGCAATAAGAGCAGACAATAAGGACCTAGGTAGCCTACAAAATTAGCTGATTAGATTTCATAATTGAATGAAGGATAGATGTAGTAGTAAAATATGAGATTTATATTCAGACATAAGTAGAACCCATTAGAATAGGGCACTATGCTATATAATTATACTTACTACATAGTTAATATAGATTAACTGTTACAGATGGAATACATGTAGAAATAAAGAAAGTAGAGATAACTCTTGGAGATTGATCTCTATTAGACTCAGCAAGAGCGTTATCTGACGGTCCCATTCTGATGGAATAATGCTCAAGGTTTTCTACCAGGCCTCTTCTAAAAAGCATTTCGTGGTTGAATTTGGCAAGTTTAATAGAGTGTAATTAGATTTACTGCGTAGGTAGCAGACTTTGCAGCAAGTTCTAGAATACTGTTATGATGCCACCCCAGAAGATCACCATGTAAACTTTCATTAGTGGAAATAATCTAATCTGGATACTCAAAGCGAGGGCTTCAACATATGTCTACTGATTTTTATTGAGTATCAGTTGTATTGCAAAGAGGCTATAATATAAGAATAAAAAATAATGATCCAAGAATCTCTCCTGCTTAGCTGCCTTATAAAAGTATTCCTTCTGCATTAAATGGCGCATCATGAGAAAAATAACCAACTTTGAGCAGGTACTGATCTTCACACAAGCACTGCCTTGAGCTTATTTATCAGCTTCTCATGTAATCTACTGGCAGGTGCACCCATCCTGGCTGTACATGCAAGTTGGACGAATCTTATCAGATATAGTGTGGGCCTCTGTTCTGCACCTACCTAACACAGTAAAGTACATTAAGTACTATTCACCGACTCGGCATCCTTTAGTGCTGATGATGCGTCAGACTGGAGCATATGAGCCCTCTAATTCCCTAGTCTCCCCTCTTCTTTATCCTTCACCGCATCTCATTGAGTGCTTAATACTAATTATATAGTAATATTCAGTATTAACTTATCCTTTATCATCCTGATTAATCATGAGTACTCTGTATAGAATTATCTAGTGAAGCCCCACATTAGCTGTTGACTTGATTGAAAAACTCACTATCTAGTACCAATAGGAATTTTGAGAACTAGAGGTACTACTAGTACTGTGGAGTACTAGATACGGACTGATTTCGAATTGAACCTGACTCTGTACTCCCTAGACTCCTCCTCGATGCTAACAGGGACAATCCAGGATGATCCACCTGGTCAGTTGACTAGCAAGCAAACTTGTCAAGGGAGAGCTGCTAGTCTTTTTTTCCAGCCCCATTCCATATATAACCCATGTTACCCCTCGTCTGAGGGAGTGGATTTTCCTCGTCGAGAAAAGTCACATCCAAAAATCCGGTTTCTGGATCAAAATCATGGTTCGCGTTTCTTCCCTCGCCGGGACCGTCTGTCTGGCTGCCACTGCCGCCGCCTACGATGTCGGTCTGAAGCAGTTTCCCCAGGAGGCCCGCGATAACTTCAATGTCCTCAAGTACCTGGGTGGGTACGGGCCATATGTCCAACGTGAATCATATGGGATTGCCCGTGATCCGCCGCCCTCGTGTGAGGTGGACCAGGTCATCATGATCAAGCGCCATGGTGAGCGCTACCCAGATACTGATACAGGTGAGGAGATCGAGGAGCTGCTAGACCTGCTGTATAGCAGTGTCTCGGAGTTCAGGGATGACCTTGCTTTCCTCAATGACTGGACTTACTATGTCCCCAACGCCTGCTACTATGAGGCCGAGACCTTCACAGGTCCCTACTCTGGTCTGGCTGATGCGTACTCCCAGGGCGCTGACTATGGCCAACGCTATGGCCATTTGTTGCCCAAGGATGGCTCGGTCGTTCCCCTCTGGAGCAGTGGTTATGAGCGGGTTATCAATACTGCTCGGAAGTTTGGTGAAGGCTTCTTTGGTTATAACTACAGCACCGGAGCGGCGCTTAATATTATCTCTGAGTCAGAAGCTCAGGGAGCGAATAGCCTAACTCCAACATGCGACACTGATAATGACTCGTCTATTTGCGACTCGCTTACCTATTACTTCCCCCAATTTGACGTTGCGGCCGCACGCTTCAACTCTCAGAACCCTGGCCTGAATCTCACCTGGGGAGACGTCTACACCATGATGAGTGAGCATGTCTAAAGACGCCCCTTTATGCTGTCTTTTTTTTCTTATATATTAATGATTTAGCCATTGCTGCTTTTGAACTCAATGCCCGCGCGTCATCTCCCTGGATCGACGCCTTCACTGCCGATGAGTGGGTGGCCTACGGCTATTCCAACGCCCAGTGGTACTACTACTGCGCAGGGTATGCTTATCTTCTTTTCCTTTTGTGATTCCTTTCTTCTCCCTGTTTTTGGGTCTGATATAGCTGACCTGTTTACAAATCAGGCCTGGCGATAAGAACCAGAACGCCGTCGGCGCTGTGTACGTGAATGCCAGTCTTACCTTGCTGAACCAGGGCCCGGAAGAGGCCGGCAAGATTTACCTGAACTTGTGAGTTCTGCATACCTAATGGAATATCCAAGTCTTACCAATAAACCAAAGTGCCCATGACGATAATATCACCCCCATCATTGGTGCATTGGGCATTCTCACTCCCAATGAGGACCTGCCCATCGACACCATCGCATTCGGCAGCCCGTGGACAATTGGTGATATCATGTCCATGGGTGGTCACCTAACCATTGAACGACTAAAGTGCAATGCCACTGTTGCCACCGAGGAAGGCAGCTATGTCCGTCTTATCCTTGAAGAGGCTGTGGTTCCCTACTTTTCATGCCAGTCTGGGCCGGGCTATTCCTGCCCACTAGCCAATTATACGGAGCTAGTATCTGCCAGCCTGCCAGACTTCATCACCTCCTGCAATGTATCGGCCTCATACCCGCAATACCTGGACTTCTGGTGGAACTACAACACCACCACAGATCTTAACTATATGACAGGTCCTCTCGGCTGCCAGGTTACCGAGACTCTGGTCTAAGCCATGTACTACACTCGACTTTGTGTATATTGCGTACAAGAGGGATTATGGATGAATGATCAATTACCAATGGATGTTTTAATCACATGGTACATTTCTAATGAATATCATCTTATATTTATGTTAGAGAGAAAAACGCATTTGGAGTGAAGTTCTACGAATATCCTCTTGGGTGGCTGGTGGAGGCCAGGGGCAAAAGCTTCGTAAGAGCTTCGCCGCCGGCATCTTATCACACTGTTGAATTAGATGTCTATAAAGATATAAACAGCGTCACTCCGTGGATACTAAGCAAAATCTAATACTTATAGGAAAGAGTGATACTGTTCCTCATCATGTATTAAGTTTAATACTTAACTTATATTAATATTTTAGTGATTTATACTTATTACCTCATTTTACTATTATTCTATAATCATTCACCTAGTTGATCATCAGTATTCTAAAAGAACCTCAGAATTATCTGAACAACAGCTACAGACTAATAGGTAAGGATGATGCCTTGGCTAGCCAATCAAAGGCCGTTTCATCACTATCCGAGTAACCCTAAACCCTAAGATTGTAAGGTTACATCTGAAAAACAAAGGACCAAATGCCGAAAGGCGGTACCTCCCTGTCAGTGCTGCGGTTCAAATGAGACCACAGACTCCCCTTTTTCAACCTTACAGCCTCTGACAAGATGTTCTCTGCTGCTAGTCCTTGTTCCGCTGCAGTCGAGGACGTCTTTGGTCCTGTGGTCGCAGGGTCGTGTTTAGACGGCTTCGACTTTACTCTATTATTCGAGGAGACCATCCTCACGATTCTGCCACTGGCTATCGCATGTAAGGCTGCTTTGGTACTTTTTTGCTGTGCCGTCGTCGAACTGTTCACCAAGTGTATTTAGTTGTGCTCGCTGTCGTGCGACTCATCGCTCTGCATCAGGAGGCTGTCAAGATCAAGCATTCATACCATGTGCCGTGCAAGATGGTATGTGATTAATTCTCCAATGCAGCCTCAAACCCTGTACCCTCTTCAATGCTAAGAAAGCAGCTGGCCTATCTGGCCTACATGGCCCTTCAGGTCGTGCTCCTTTCATGGTGGGCAAGGCCAAATGTCGCTCAGACTCAAGCCAGCCTGGCGACTACTGCACTGTCCTTAGTGGCCTTTGGTCCATTCATATGGCTGTCGTACTGGGAGCATAAGCGCTCACTACGACCATCGACTCTATTGACCGTTTACCTTGGCCTGTCCACGCTGCTCGATCTGACACGCGTGCGGACGCTCTTTTTCTTTGCCGCTGGGCGCAATATCGCCTTTGTCTTTCTAGCGAGCTATTGTGTCAAGATCATGCTTCTTGGTCTGGAGCTCACGGAGAAAGGAGACCTCGTTTTGGATGATGGGAAGACATGTGGACCGGAAGACACAGCTGGCGCATACCAACGCGCCCTGTTCCTCTGGCTGAACCGTCTGTTTGCCAGAAGCTATCGATCGCAGTTATCACTCGAGACGCTCCCCAAGATCGACCACGACATTCTGTCTGCTTCGAATCCTGACGGTCTCAGAGGCAGATGGGCGGGCGGTAGGTGCTTGTTCTGTTTTTCTTATATGTCTACTGAGCTGACAGGACGGCAGCGAACAAGTCCCATAGGCTTGCCCTTCTCTGGACATTCGTGATGCATTACAAGTGGACTGTTTTGGCCCCGGTGCTTCCTCGACTGGCATACACCGGCTTCACGTTTTCACAGCCCTTTCTTATCAACAAAGTCTTGACGTTCACTTCACGCTCGTCCGATGAGAAGTCTGCCAATGTCGCGTATGGGCTCATTGGTGCTTACGCGATTGTTTACATCGGGGCCGCGGTATGTCGGAATGGAGTAGCTAGCGATCTATATGTTCAACCCTAATCTAATTGTGCTTCTAGATATCCTTGACTCTATATGAGCACAAGGTGTACCGAACCCTGACCAAATTCCGTGGAAGCTTGGTGACTTTGATATATGAGAAGGCCTTGTTGCTCAACTCGTTGTCGGGTGCATGGACCGCGGAATCGATTACCTTGATGAGTGCTGATATTGACAGACTTGGCCTCTGTGCGCAGGATGTGCATGAGCTCTATGCAAGCACTCTGGACGTAGCACTGTGTATCTGGCTATTGTATATCTACCTGGGAGTTGGCGCAGCGGCAGCAGCAGGCTTCAACGCAAGTGAGTTGCCTGTTCTAGGGTTCAGGCTTTGAGTTACTCACTTGGAGCAGTCTGTCTCTTTGCAAGCTTCCCCGTTGCGACTGTCGCCGGCAAGGCTCAAGTGCCTTGGTTGGACGCGATTGAAGCCCGTCTGACAGCAACGGCACAGGCACTCGGGAATATTAAACCGATCAGGATGACGGGATTGGCTGCAGGTGTCTCGTCGACTCTGAGATGCCTCAGGGCAATGGAGATTTCCGCCGCTCGACGATATCGAATATGCAATATCTTCCTCAGCATCGGGTGTAAGGAAGGATGCTTTGCAGCACAGGCTGTGGTGACCATGTCTACTGACACTTAACCAGACTTCCTCTCATATGCATTCACGCCGGTGTTTGGATTCGGCACGTATGTGCTGGTTACGAAGGCAAACGATTCCGGGGCTTTGACGGAAGAGACTGCCTTTGCTGCACTGGCCATTTTCCAGCTGCTCAACAAGCCAACAGTGATGGTAGTCGACGCAATAGAGCATTTGCAAACCGTCATCGAGTGCTTTACGCGCATTCAATCCTATCTGACTCGTACCGAACAAGCAGCTTATAGGACTATCACTTCTAATCAAGCAGCACTCGAGGCTGTGACCGAGCAAGGCATAGAGCTCAAACCATCGAGGTCGAGATCGACTATGGACAATGCGCCTCATGTCGCGGCCGCCATGTCCAGGCTCACACTGCGCTACTCGGCGGAGCAGAGACCCGTCCTAGAAGATATCAGCTTGGAGCTTCCTCGCTTCCAGACCACAATGATTGTCGGGCCCGTTGGGTGTGGGAAATCATCCTTGCTCAAACTTCTGCTGGGCCAAGTTCCACCGCCTGAAGGTCAACTCTATACTCACTTCTCCCGGGCGGCCTACTGTGCCCAGCAGCCATGGGTCTTCAAGGCAACTCTACGGGAGAACATTGTTGGCATGTCGTCGCCATGGGACGAAACATGGTACCGACAGGTCCTTCAGGCCTGCGCTCTGGTCAGCGACATGAACGACCTTCCACAGGGCGACCAGACAGGAGCCGGGATGCGTGGTGGCTCTCTGAGTGGTGGGCAAAGGATACGTATGGTGCGCCATCCGGGAAATCTTTTGCCTATTGCTCTACAACTGACCCATCTGTAGTCACTGGCACGAGCCCTTTACTCCAGGGAGCCGGTTCTGATCCTTGATGATGTCCTCACCGGCCTCGATTCTGTGACGCAGCAAAGCATTTCAGCTGCTGTCTTTGGACCAGAAGGACTCGTCAAGCGCTGCAGGTCCACCGTGATCATGGCCACTAGTTCAGGTAAGCAGAATGCAGATACCTTGAAAGAAAACCCTCAATGAATACTAAAAGATGCAGTCGATCAGGTTCGCTTTGCAGACCGGGTCATTGTGCTTGGAAAAGGTAGAGTGACGCATAACGTTCCAGTCAAGGATTTCTCTTCCATCAGCGACGAACTTCAAAGGCTGGACGACAGTGAAAGTGCACACGCGCCAGCTATAAAGCGGGATGATCTAGACGTGACCTTGTCGGAGCTTGGGATCCCTGCCAATGATGAAGAGGCCGCAGAGGCTGCAGATGCCAGCCGACAGACCGGGGATTTCAAGGCATACGCATTCTACGGCCGTGTCGCCGGGTTGAAGAGCGTTTCGATCTGGCTTTTCTTCACCACAGTCTTCATGTTTGGATTGAACTTTCCTTGTGAGTAGTCCCTCTCGAGACGCGGACAAGTATGGGACTCATCAACTCCAGCTGTATGGCTTCAGTGGTGGGTCGATGCAAATCAACGCAATCCGAACGAGCGCCTGGGATATTGGCTGGGGGGGTTTGCTGGACTTGCCTGTCTCGCCATCGTGGCCAACATCATATCTGACTGGTATGTGCCGTTCCTCTGGCTTCTATATTGTCTAACCTCCCCAGTACGTTGCAGTTGTTCATTGTGCCGAAGACGTCGGCCAGATTCCATGAGCTTTTGATGTCGACTACAATGCGGTAATACATCCCTTTTCCTGAGCAGATATACAGGGCTGACAGGGTGATCAAGAGCGTGCACTGCATTCTTGACAACTACTCATGAGGGGTCTATACTCAATCGGTTCGTTTAGCCCTAAACCCTAGGGTTGGTTCTACTACTTTGGATTCTAAAAAGCTGGCAGATTCAGTCAAGATCTCGAGTTGATTGACAGTGACCTCCCTGGGGCACTCGACAAGACCATGTTCTCCATTCTGCAGACCGTGTTCACAACCGTCCTGATCTTCACCGGGTCTGGGTATTTGGCTATCGCTCTGCCAGCCTCCCTGCTGGTTGTCTATGGCATACAGCATTACTATCTCCGTACATCGCGCCAGCTGCGACATGTCGATATAGAAGCTCGCGAGCCCCTGTTCGCCAGCTTTCTGGATACTGTGACATCGGTGGACAGTATCCGCGCGTATGGCTGGGGGGAACAATATAAGCAGCGGAACCAGGATGCTCTGAATACATCACAATCTCCCTACTACTTGATGTGGACCATCCAGCGGTGGCTCAACCTTGTGCTCAATCTTTTTGTTGCTGGCCTAGCGGTCTTGCTGGTTGCCATTGCAACAAACATCTACGGTGGCTCGACGAGCTTTCTCGGCGTCGCTCTGTCCAACATTGTGAATTTCGGGACGACTATTCAGCTCCTCGTCACTGACTGGACGGAGCTTGAGACATCCATCTGCGCTGTGAATCGCATCAGGACTTATGTATCGGACACCAAGCCTGAACCCACCCGCAACGACGAGGCTTCTCCGCCTCTGAACTGGCCAACGGAGGGTGTCATTGCTCTGGAGGGTGTCACAGCCTCATATCCATCGGCAGGAAGGCCGGTACTTAGAAATATCTCCCTCAAGATCTCTCCAGGTGAGAAGGTGGCGATCTGCGGTCGAACAGGAAGGTAAGCAGAATTCTATCATAACTTGTGCTATTTCTCATCTCTACAGCGGCAAATCAACCTTGATGAGTACGTTATTGCGAATGGTTGACCTTGATGCTGGCACAATTACCATTGATGGAATCGACATTGCAAGTGTGCCGCGCGAGACCACTCGCCGACGCCTTACTACCATGCCTCAGGACACGTTCTTCACCACCGGCACTGTACGACAGAACCTCGACCCATTTGAAATTGCGGCCGATGAGTTACTCATGACGGTTGTTGCCGATCTGGGATTGCGGGAAGTGCTAGACGAAGCTGGCGGGTTGCATGCCGAAATGAACAATGACGGTCTTTCGTCGGGGCAGCAGCAGCTCTTCTGTCTGGCGCGTGCCATCATCAGGGGCGGTCCTATCTTGCTCCTTGACGAAGCCACTAGCAGGTAGGGAATCCCCATCCTCGATTCTTCACTTTTTGACCTCGACTCATTGCATGGCAGCGTCGATTCCGTTACGAGTGACTTGATGCAGCAGGCGCTTCACAAGACATTCGCCAACAAGACTGTGATCTCAATTGCACATCGCCTAGAGACTGTGGTTGATTTTGATCGCATCATCGTCTTGGACAAGGGCGAGATAGTAGAATCCGGCAGCCCTAAAGAGTTGCTTGCGAAGTCTGACTCGGCTTTTAAACGCTTATTTGACAGTAGAAGTGGTCATGTTTAATGACATATTATTCTTCTCAATGTATCAGGAGATTTCGGGTTATTCTATAATCCTTAGTATGCTCTAGGAGAGAAAGGATCAAAATCACATAATTGTCTGCTAGCCATTATTCTTCTGCCAGCGTCTAGAATCGGCATCTACAGAAAGTCTGATTCTATCTACACTATAACATTAAAACTAACTTCTCACTCTACCAGTATGTAATTATTCACTCAGTATTCCAGTTTAGGCGACAGCGGCGGAGGCAGTCAAAAAACATGAGGAACCATCACTCCCCATAATAAATATTGCAATCCCATTACTCCTGTCAACCCAGCGACGGTTCACATTCGATCTCTCTTATACGCTATGTCGACGATAATTGACCTTGATGCCTTGGATGACCCAGAAGCGACTCAAGCAGACATCCTTCGAATCCTAAAACAGGGGTTGACCTCTGAAGCTGATTCTGCCACAGCAGCGGCCAAGTTAGCTGAAAGCCTGCGGGGATACATTTTCTCTCAATCAAATGGATCTCGAGGATTCCTTGCTGACCTGCTTTGGGATCTTTGGATGACTCTGCTGCATGTGGTCAAAATTGTGCCTATTGACCATCCACGGCATGATGTCCTCATTACGACTATTGACAAGTTACGGTGTGAAGGCGGCCCAGTCGCAGGCCCTGATGACGTGAGTGACAACTGTCCCCAGCTACAACAGCTAACTATAATGCTTAAAAAACTATAGAGTAAACAGTGGGCGGATTTGCCAGAATTCAGAATATGCCTTATTTACGCATGGGCTGGTGAGCAGTAGCACTAAGGCCATGCATTTACTGATATTAAGCTAATATCATCTCAAGACCCCTCGGACATGAGCGAATATACTCCCGAAGACGTTAAGGCTTGGAATCGCTTGAACTCATTTGCTTCCCGCCTCCTCACCGACGACTTCAAGGACTGGATTCAGTTTGCCTGGTGGGAGATAGCTTCTGGCCTGGAGACTGCACCACAAGATGCAGCTGAATTTGAGTGGAAGCTGTGGGCGGCGACTGAATGGCTGATTCAATGCGGGAACCTCCTGTTCAAGGACTTGACCTCCCCTGAGGAACTAGATGCAGAGGTTCTGGCCACTGTCAAGCCTGGACCTTTATGTGAGAACGTTCCTCCAATGAGTCTCCAGCGATGGGAGTTCTGGCAGTCGAGACTCGCGGAACTCAGCGGTGGCAAGTATTCAGTGGAGGGCAGTGCTGAAGATGCTGTTCTCGGTGCTTCATCCCTTTCTCGCATCGATCAGGCCATTGCTGCGATGCGCGCACACGCGTCGAGCAGCATTGCCCAAGGCGAAATTTCCTGAGGACACTCACTCCTGTCATTTGGTTTCTTATCATCATTTGCTTTTTTGTTTCTTTAGAGATAATTTAATCGCTACTTTAAGACTGAACATGAAGCCTAAAATCCTACAGTGAATCAGGAATGCCAGATGCAGTGATGGTGTTGAGCTTATCTTAATTCTCTGACTTTTCATAGCCCCATATATACATATATTAGGGTATCAACACTCCATTAAGCTGAATCAGGATTTAGGTTTAAGACATGATTTGTACATTTCACCCTAATAGTTGTTAATATATTTCTATAGCACTTGCTCTATTGTTATATTGAAAATTTAGATTATTATATAGCCTAGTAGTGTAAGTGTGCAGAGGCTTAATAATAGTAACCTTTTAAATTATCTATATTAATATATCATTTAAGATGAAAGCACATTTTCTTAAGTCACTTTATATAATAGAATAAGTAATACTGTGCTAAACTGCCTAAAGCTATTTTCCTTTTTTAGAAGCCTTATTGGGACTTCTGCCTCTCAACATCCATAATGTGAAGGGACTAGGATTAGGAAAAGGGGGCTTCTTAGGAGCTGTATGAAAGTTATTGATGTGGTTATGACAGCATGGGCATTGTAGTGGGTCCCTGAAAAGTTTGGAAAATGGGACCTACTTGTGGGATCTGGTTTCTCTTGGGATTCCTCATCGATGGTGACTGTAGTCTTGCCTGGAACTCTCATAGCTTCAGGTGGACGCAAGAGCTCTGCCACTGGAAAATTTGCTGCCGGGGAAGGCTCTTTCGGTCTTTGTGGAATAGGCCACATGTGCATGGTTATGCTCCAACCCGGTTCAACAACAGTCTCCCAAACTTGGGGCAGAATTACGTCGCCGTTGGGGCCTATCAGGTCGTAGTGGCCTTCAGCAACATGAGGACTCAATATCTCAACAGGAGTAAATGCTTGGCGAATAAGCTGTTCCATACCCTAAAGTTATATTCAGTCATGATGGCTATCATACCACAAGAAGACTAGTTTTACCTCCCAGGTGCAGCATAAGTGGAACGGAAGGGAAAGTCTTCTGCCCACGGCATCCGTGAACTTGATCAACTTCTTTTTCTCTGGAAGTGGCGGGTTCGCAGCGGCGAGAGCTTCTGCACCTTCATCTGTCGCATTTTCTGCTGCTATTTTGGTCTCTGTCTGGGTGATGATAGCCTCCGTTTGTGCAGCTTCCGCTGCAAGCTTTTGGAGTATTTTAGGGTTGTTGATAGCATTCAAATCTTCCAGGTTTTCCTTCTGTTCGCGCAAAATCCTTTCCTCCCGTGTCTCCTCTGCTGCCTTGGTGATTATAGGGTCCGCTCTTTGGAGAGAGGCACTGTCTTCGCGATCGGAAAAGGTCTCTTCCCCCTCTGATCGAGCCAGTGAAGAAAGATGCAACTCTTCATCATGATCCGGACTTGACGGCTGATCGTGTTCGTTGCCAAAGTCGAGCGATAGGCCACGGTCAGAATCATCATCGAGTGTGCTGCGGCTTCCGATGTCCCCACCGCTCGACTGCACTGATAGATTCGTCCCGGGACTTTGATCGTCACAGTCCACGAACGGCAGTGACTTGAGGGCCAGATAGCGGAGATGACTCGCGATATGGTCTTCTAAAGGGATATTCAAGGTGGCTGCCTCGGCGTTGCATAGTGGGCAGGTTACAAAGAGAGAGCTAGACGGCTGACTGCCAGGATCAGTCAGAGAATCCAGATGAGACTCGGCTCCTTTATGTTTGCTCAGGATATGGTCCAGATAGTCGACTTTATCCTTGAATATAAGGATGCCATGAGCCTTGGCCGTGCAGCGCCATCGGACCTTATGCTCGCGCATGTGGTTCAGCCATTCCTCACTATAACTATATAAAACATCTCCTTTGGCGCATCCTTCAAACAGGCAGACATATGCATCCAGATCATGTTTGAGATGGTTCCTAGAGCGTAAAGAATTAATCTCGACGTTCCGATTGTCTGTACAATCGCCCTACTCACCTCCATGTATGATCATTCATCACATCAGCCCCCGAAAGGGTGCAGCAGCAATAGGGACATATGACCTCAGAACTATTCAGGAACGCCTCCCTATCTTTGCTAAGAGTCTCTATCTTGTGGTGCTCGACATATGGCGATGAATCCTTATGCTCGATGGAAAGATCCTGACCACCACTTGGGGGGCTCAACTTGATCCTCAATGGATGAAATTCGAGCCCGCTCTAGATCTTCAAGGCGCTTAACAATCTGCTCTTTTGGCGCTGGGGGATATAGAGATTTTTCCTGGGTGTTCATGCGGGTGGTCCCAGCGATTCCCACGACCGATCGGGCTGATGCTTTTCTGAACTGTTCAGGAGTCACAGTAGTTGCCGCGGTGGTGGCCCTCGATCCTGAAGCACTGAAAGCAGGCCTCTCTCTGTCCTGGATGTTGTTTTTGCCTTTGCCCTCCATGTCTTGCACCAAGACCGACTGGCTCATTTTCGCAACCTTGTCATGGCGAAACCGTCGATATAGCACACGCTTTCTACGCAGCAGCATCGCTGTTGCCAATCTCTCCCTGAGAAACTCATCACACAGCGGCCATTTCCGTCGAATGATTTCTGCAGCAAAGTTGATACGCCAGGCCGGTCCCTCGTCATTGCCTTCATCGTCCTCGATGCGAAAATCCGCCGCCGCTCGCAGATTCTGGCTTTCTCGGCTGGCCTTGCGAATCGTGTTTGACAATCGATGCAGCAGAGTCAGGTCTTTGGCAATGGCCGACAGATCGTGGTTCCCTTTGCCCTGCAACAAGTCTGGCAGTGAAAACTGTCGTTAAAGGAGGGTCGATATACGATTGGAAGCCGGCTACTCACAGCGCTGAAGATGATCGTCCAATGTCTCAAGTAATCCACGAACCAAACGTCGAATCTCGGGGGCATAGCGAAGCCGATGGTCCAAAGAGGCCCTGCGCGGAGCGAAAACACCGGTTTCTGAAGCCCATATCGAGAAGCGGCCGAGCTGATCCTGGAGAAGCATAACCTCGCGAGGCGCCAGGCCGAGCGATTGTTCGGTGCATCGACGGGTTGATTCTAAAAAGGTCCTCGCTGTTGCTGCAATCGATAAAACGGACTCCTCAATCTCCATGATCGGCTGTGGGATTTATCTGGGATTGAAGAGGAGAGATTGTCATCACGACTCGGATCTTGACATGCCGTGAACCCTGTACCTTTTGATAGGTATTTACCCCGCTCATTAGTCAGACCTTCCTGTTGCGATCTTTGATCAATCATGGCGACAAAACCTGGGAATGGCTCGCATTCTGTGCAGGTCAACTAGTTGAATGATGCTCGCCTCCTAGGTTGAGCAGACATCCAGCAAGCATGCAGACTATCATCCCCTGTGAGAGTGTGCCATCGGGCACTGTCCCAGCCTACACTGAGACCGATTCCCCTCCCTTGGTAAGGTCTTAAAATGCCCCCTTATCACCAGTGATTCCTCATAGCACTCACCCATATACTCATGGACGATGCGTAGCAAGCGCTGTCGACAGTCTCCTCTCTCATGGGAACCTTCATCTTCTTCCGAGAAATAGCCGACTGTCTCACGAGTCATGAACAAGACCAAGATCTCTGTGCAACCTACCGCTACCTTCACGTCCAGCTCCTCCTGTTGACCGAGCGGGTCGATGTCCTACAAGACTCTGATAGATCTGCCACGGTGGCCACGGTGGCTCAGTTAATCCTCAAACGATTCGCCTCTCTCCTTCGGTCCTCGATGCGGCGTGGTGTTGCTCAATCCCCATCCCAACCAATGCAGATGCTGGAGGGTGTGCAGGCAGGATGGGGTCCTTTAAAGTCGTGGCCGGAGAAGGTCGAGTACCTTCGATCACACCTCTGCTGGGAGACCAAGCAGCGATGGGAGGAAGTGGCCTCGTTCTTGGAGGACTGCGTGGACTTGCTTGATGCGCCCAGCCCCGATCCCGTCGCAGCGTCACGACGTCCCATCCCGACAGTCAATGCTTCAGCGCCCATTTCGGTGTACATGGAAGCGACCTTGGTCTTTGATGCGCTACTAGCCAGCTCGCAGGCGTGCCAATGCATGCCGGGCCATGAATATACCGCGCGATTGCGCCTGGAAACGTATGGAAACCGGCGGCAAAGGGAAGGAAAATATGCATTCAATCTCATGCTCGGCTTTGATGAGTCGTATTGGCAAGAGATACTGATCCATGCCGCCCTCCCCGAGAAGAAGGCAAAAGTGCGCATCGTCGGGGAGAGCAAAGCTCGAAAGAGACAAGGGCCGGTTTCGATGCTGGTCAAGAAGCTATGTGACCACATCAGGCCTCAGAACTTCCGCCGTTGCCTGAACATGGGAGTAGAGAACGGTCAACTGTGGAAGTTGCAGTCCCTTAACAGCCAGATGCAGCTCGGAAGTATACCAATCCGCCTCGAGAGGATCCTGGAAGCACATCCAAAGAGCCTGGGGGATAAGATCAAAAGGGTGCTGGCGGTGCTGCTGGCGCATTGCATCATGCATCTGTATGGAACTCCCTGGCTGCAGCCCGGGTCTTTTAATTCATCCAATATAATCTTTCTCGGCACCACCGCCTCCGTGCCTTTGCAACCCTTCATCCATTCAAGGGTCTGTACACAGGTTCCCAGGGACGATGAGCCGGAGGATGAAGGTAATCTCGACCCTGATTATGTCCCACTGCATCCCCATCCGAACCTTGTCATGTTGGCCATCATGCTCATCGAAATCTATATGGCTACCCCGATTCGTTCCTTTATACGGTCAAATGGTACTAGCTGGCAATCGTTGGAATTGATAGATGAGAATTCCCATCTAGATCTCGCCCAGGAGGCGTTTCAAAGGTGTCGCTCCAACCTTTTAGATAATTACCGCATTGCGGTGGACCGTTGTCTGGATGTCTAGTTCAGGTTCAGCGAAGACGACAACAAACTGGGAGATGACGACTTGAAATGTCTCATCTACGTAGAAATCATGCAGCGTCTTGAGGTAGAGCTTAGACAAGGATTCAGAGATGTGCCTCTTGACCACTTAGATAATATCACTCCCAAGTTGGATCTTAACAGCTTAGAAACAATCAGGCTGCCCGACTCGGATCATTTTGACACAGACGACATCCTACAGCAGATGGTTGCCCCCAGTCATTCTTAGTCCTCAATCCCCGCGCCGATTCATCATCAACTTGAGCAGGTGGAAGTGGAATCCCCCCCACGAAGCAGGTCTGTTTCTATCCAACATAGCCCATCTCCATGGAGGCTGAGCTGTCGCGATTATACCATGGGGTGGATTACTACACTGGACAAAGAAATGGCGGCCGCGCGAGCAATGCTAGATGAGGAGCACAGCTTCCCGCAGGATTACCAGTTCAACAATAATATATATACCCTGGGGCGCATTGGAACGCATAATATCATCCTCACCTATCTCCCAGATGGCAAGATGGGCACGACGACGGCCGCAATCATTGCTCAACAGATGTGCCTAACGTTCCCCAACATTCACATCAGGCTAATGGTGGGCATTGGGGGCGCTGCGCCCAGTGCAGCCCATGATATTCGGCTGGGGGACGTGATTGTCGGCACCCCATACCAGGGACAGTCCAGAGTGATTCAAAATGACTTTGGGAAGCGCACCGACAGCAGCAAGATCCATATCATGTCAGCGTTAAATCGACCCCCAGATGTTCTTTTACCGGCTGTCAACAGCCTCAAAGTCCAAGCATCTCCTCTTTGGCGTCGGCTTAACCCGGTACCTCAATGCGATGGTTAACCGATATCCGCTCTCGCAGGCCAAGTTTGCGCACCCAGGGTTAGGCTATAACTAACTCTATCAGTCGGACTATAACTATCTGAGCCATCAAGGAACATGTGCTCTGTGAGACCCGGCACGGATCGTTCCCTAAAGACCGCGACCAACCGCTGCTCCAATAATTCATTATGGTCTTATTGCCTCGGGCAATCAGGTAATGAAACATGGACCTACACGCGATCGCATCCAAGCGGAACTGGGGATCCTGTGCTTCGAGATGGAGGCGGCGGGATTAGTGGACATTTTCCCCTGTTTGGTCATCCGTGGGATCAGCGATTATGCCGATTCGCATAAGAACGACCGCTGGAGAGGGTACGCGGCGGCGGTAGCCTCTGCCTACGCAAAGGAGCTTCTTGTATCGATGTCTGGAAGCCAAGATTGTTCAGATAGTCTCCGCTGGGTGAATCAATAGTCTATATCTTGTATAGTGCTTTGAAATGTAATGGCTTAGGGTTAGGGTTAGGGTTAGGGTTTAGACATGGTTGCCCGCTTTGCGCCGCGGTCATTATCATGCCTATCATGGACAGCTCTTGATGAGCCTAGCCAGGTGTATCAGATATCTATCGCTAGGCCTTAGTTTATATATTATTAGGACTTGGAAATAACATAACTTAGACACTTATACTCGGCTGGTTGGTCTCTATTACAAACACTATCCAGGACCGAAAAAATATACTAAACGCCCTCAATGGCGGCAGTGGTAGGGCCGGATCTGGTCCTAAGGAGACGGTGATGCAGTCGACAAGATTATGCTACCTAACAGTGGCTGCCCAGATTATTATGTCGCCCTGGTATCGCTCCATTTCTGGGACTGGATGAGCCTGCCAGAGGCCGGGGCGGGCCTTTCCCACGTCATGGAGCAGCTGGGGACCAGCGTCCAGCCACTGCAGGCAGAGATGAGAGCGGAGGCAGAAGCGGGAGCAGCAGCGGCAGGACAGGCGCTAGCAGCCGCCTGGCTTCAGGGCAAGGACAGGGCCGGTTACGCTGTCAAGCCGCACACGGCCGGTTCCGGGGCAGCGAGCCACGCCATGCTTATGGCCGACCGCGCGGTGGCCGCTAATCTGCTGCGCCTACGGGGCTGCATCCACGCCCGGGCGGTGGCCCGGGGGTGCTCAGCACCCGCGCGTTGTTCCTGGCGGCGCTGGACGGGGCTGTAGGGCACCTGGAAAGGGCCCAGCAGGCCCCGGGGCTTGGGAGTGATAGCCCGGGCCTGACTGCCGCCCGCTGGGCACGGACAGGGCCCCAGCGCGAAACAACCCTGCCGCTCCTGCGCCTGGCGAGGGACACGACGTACGCCCGGGGGGAGTACCGGCAGGGGGCAGGGCAGGCTGCCCGCGCGCTGTTTGGCCTTGAGCCCCAGGGCACGCCGTGGCCGGCCGCGCCCATTGATCCCGGTTCCGCCGCGGTGCGCGCCTGGGTCGTGGACGGGCTTCTCCTCGCGGGCCTCCCGCTGCACTCGCTCGTGCTTCATCCCTCCATGCTGCCCCCGGAGTCGATCCGCACCTTCGTTGTGGACCAGCGATGGTTCGACTGTCTGGTGGATGGCGGGCTGAGTCTTGCAAACCACTTTGCCCGCGACGAGGATGCCATCCGGCGCGCCATCAGGCTGTGTCTCAACGAGTACCTGGCAAAGCCCCTCAGCGGGCAGCCCGGGGCATTGACCCCCCAGCTGCCGTGCTGGGGGTTCTTCCTGCGCAGTGTGCTGGTCAGCGCCTTGTCGGACCTCAAGTTCGAGGCGCCGTTACCGGAAGACGCGCCGGTAAACGCTCGCGAGGCGGTGTTTTTGCAGCTGCTAGCTGACGACGTCCTGGTCTGCCTCTTTGACCGGCTCCCCGGCGAGAGGGGGCTGGATCTGGTGCGGATCTCACAGCCTCACCACCAGCAGGGATACGAGCTTGGAATTCGTCTGGTGGCAGACGGTCCGCACGTCAAACACCGCGGCGTTCCGTCTGGTACAGGCACACAGGGCACGCCCGTGGAAGACAGGGAATACGGCGTTGACAGTCGGCTCTTTGGTTTTCAGACACGAATGCTGAGACCAGCCGAATACATGCGAGAGGCGATCAACATCATGGCCAGTCACCAGGATGCCTTCCAGTGGCCAGACATGGACAACCCGCCCGCGTCGCTACTCGCCACACAGCTGAGGGCCACCAACCTACGCCTAACGCTGCGGGTTCAAGACATGCCCTTCAAGGCGTCTACTGCCGCTGCTCCCACCCCCGATCGTTAGAGACAACCAGCAATGCAGCTGTCTGTGGGTGCCCCCAGGTCCCCAGAACAGGATTCTCCCCTTCGCGCGGTGGTGCCTGTGGACCGCCTCGCCCCGGGGAGTAACCCCCTGCCGAGAGGTTCCCGGCGCCGAGTGCATCCAGACGCCTCCCATCAGCCTGTGTCCACGCAGCCGGAACCGCATCAATTGTTCGTCGAGGAGCTGCTCCGGGTCACTTTGCCCTACCGGTCCCTCCCATCCTCTGTGACCTGCAGTCTCTGCTACGATCCAGGGTGCAGTACCATCTACGCTCCGGATACACCAACAGACCTAGTCTTCAGCCTGGAGGCAGAAGAGCCCGCCGGTTTCCCGGCTGAGCTGGAGGTTCGCATTCCCGTCGCTCTCGGCGGGGAGACATACCCTCTCCTTGACGTTGCCGACGGCTCCCAGGGTCTGCTGTTGATCCCTGGCACAATTTCTCGGCCGCGATTACCAGTGATAGAGGATCTGAGCCTCAGCCGACTGTGGTCGTATCACGGTCGCCTGGCGCGAGGGAGTCTATACACCCTTGCACCCGGCATCGCGCCAACGACGGAGGAGGCTGTCCCTCCTCGGGATGGCCAGTGCTTCATCTTTGTGGTTACGATAATTCCGCGGTTTGGAAACACTGGTCCGAGAGCAGTGAAACAGTTCAAGCTGTCGTTTGCTTTACGGGCCGTCACCTTGGCCGTCCAACCTTCACAGGCCTCCTCGCCCGCCCCGAACCCCGATCCTTTTCCCCAAAAGAGGGTCCAGTTTGAAGTCCTGTGGCGGCGCGACAAATCACTAGCCGATGACGATCGTATGCGACCTACGAGTGTCCAGGCAACGCATCTTACTCTGCGGCCAGCCACCGTGGTGAGCATCTTGCCAGACGGAACAAGCTGCCAGCTAGGCGATCGGCTGGATTCCTGCTTCGAACTTTCTCGTCTCCCACCCCCAGGGTCCCTGGTGAGGGCAGTCCTCACCTTGGACAAAGATACCTGCTTTGCCAACCACATACCGTGGCAAACAACTCAGACGTTCTCGGTTTTGGACAGCCCGCCGCCACAATCTCCATATATCTTTCAAAACCACTGCTCTCTAACTGCACACCAAATCCCCATCAAGTTTTGCCTGGTTGTTGAGAATCCCAATGAAGCTGTGGGCCCAGAGTCGGCGCCGTTTTTCTTCCCGTCGCTGCCGTCATTTACAGAATCGACCAACACCGTCTGCGGCTGGAGAGATGGCCAACTGCAACTCACCTGGACCTCTGAAATCGGGAGACGTGTGGCATATACGCGAAGGTTCACCTTTGGGGCGAACCCCTTTAAGGAGAACATCTTTGAGGCGAGTGGCGATGCAGGAGTCTTCGGCGTCGACGACGACACCTTCAACAAATATGTCAACAAAGAGCACAACAGCATCACCTTCTCCGTCAAAGTGGAGGTCACTGGGAATTCGCAGGTTACCGGCACCTTGTATGAATATCAGATCCACTTCACCAAACTGCCAGACCTCGGCCTGGCGCCCGTAATCAACAAGACATCCGGCAAGCCAACCTGAACTAGCCACCTCAGCACCATGGACTTTCCCTCCGCAAGGCAAACGCCAGTCTATACCTGGTTCTGGGCTGATGAACGCCGTCTTCACTCTGTAGTTTGGCTTAATAGAATAGGCCCCTTAGAAACGACTGATTTCAGTACAAAAGTCGAGGGTGCAGGCGCTTTGATTTCGTTCCCGGCATTCCACACTTTCAGAAATAAGGTGGCTGTCTGGATCGGTGTGGACGGTAGTGTCAATGCTTTACGCTATTGGCAGCTTCCAGATAATTCAGTCCAGTCTCGAGATACTAAAATTGCCCCCGCCGGCAATGCGTCTGTCTTGGGTGGCGGAACTCTGACGGTCTGCACCAGGGATGACATCAGCCTCTCGACCGTTTGGTGGGTCGGTACCCTGGGAGAAATACAGTGCATGCGTTTCACGGCCGATTTGGACTGGATGTTCCTTGCTAATTTGTCATTAATGGATAGGGTGAGCTGGACGGACGGTTGGCAGGGAGCTTCTTTACCAGCAGGGAGTGTAAAGGTTTCTCCTTCCCTTGATCGACCGGCAAAAATGGCTGCAGTGTGGCACGGCAATTCCTATAACATATATCTACTATGGGTACACTCCACTGGTGATCTGATGATGACATGCCCCAGACCAGCTGGGCGGCGCATGGCAAACCATCACTGCATATCGCAACATTGGCGCAGCCCCTGGCACAGCCCTGGCGGCCCAGATGATTACATCAGGATCAACTCAACAGCTCTATACTTACTGGGTCACTGGCGATGGCGCGGTCTGCGTCGGCTGCCTAACCGATGCCACCCAGGCTGCCCACTGTGAACAATGGGACGACAAGATCCATTCAACAGCCACATTTACTTTTACAACCTAAATGAGGAATGAGATTCCTTTACTTTCCGCTTGCCTTTTTTCTCTTTCTGAGAGGAACCATTTGTCCCTACCTTTTCTAATCACTGTCTGATTCTTTCCATCATCACTGGTTAGAGTTTTTGTCCCGTCTACCCCTTAACTAGAGCTGGGCCTAGGATACCTCTTTCTTATTCCAGATAGTTACCAACCACTAATGATACTACTATTATCATAGGGCACCTACTAATTAGTCTAGTAAGCTAGTAGCCACTTTGAGAATATTTTATACTAATTTACTTCCATAAATATAAATAGGCCGTCTAAATGTTAATCATGAGGCCCTCTTGTAGGGCAGTAGAGGCTAATATTAATATATTATAACCTATAGTATATAGTGACCACTAATAATATCTCACAAGATGGTCTTTCAGGCCTGATAAAGAGAGTGAGAAGCAGTCTAAGCCCACCATGTAGTAGAGCAATATGTCATGGTGCGCCGTCTCATTAGTGTCCCAGGTAGAGATTTGGCCAAACAACCAAGGGCATCTAATAAGATACTACTGAGTATAGAGATCTAACCTATACTATAAGTAAAGTTGTTCCAGTGTCATACTAGTACTCACTATATACTGCCATGCTATTCTAATCATTCTAATACCAAAATGGTACTTTATATACTACTGAGTACTATATCTGTCAACTAAGCCGCCACCCAGATTATGTCCCAGACATACGGCTCATAGACCGTTATCATCAACCAGCCAAAGCACACCCACGTAGATACTTTTAGGATAAATGCCTTGACCAAAGCCTGGTAGTAGTTTATATAACTACGTCTTTCCCAGCTTGTCCATGCAGTTACCATTCCAATCCCGCCATTTCCCCTGATTTTGTCATCTAGCGTCACGATAGGAAGGTCTTTTTCTGACAATCTTGACGCCGAGACCCTGATAAACACAGCTTGTGCTGGAGCCGTCACAAGGAAATATACCACCGCACTTGACAGTAGGAGAAGGTATGGTTGCATCGAGTCATACAGGGAGGTCTTCAGAATCGCGTATGGGATGAAGAAGTTGAGACTCCGTGCAACACTGGCAACAACTGCTGCGGGTATTATTTGAAGAAATGTTCTCCAGCTTGAAAGGTAGAAATAAGAAGCAGAAGGCCGAGCTATGATGGTATGCACTGCACGAATATATAAACCGGATAAAAGTATGTCGATCATAATGGTATACAGGCACCATGCTGAAAGGGTCATGGTATGTTTATCGGGGATCTGGAAGAGGAGAATTTTGATGACTCGGATCAAGAACGCGGTGGTCCATCCACGGGTGAATAGGTTGAGATTAAAGGTGACCGGAATGTGTTTCTCATGGTTCAGAGACTCGACAACAGTCAAAGTGCCAACGACGGTACTGTAGGTATAGGCTGACTATCATATAGTATTAGTAAGGTAGAAATATATAGCACATATCCTATGCATGTCAAGTACTATTATTTTGCCGAGAAAGGATACTCGAGTGACAGGCAATGTGTGCAATATATAATATGGGTAGTAACATACAGCCCAGAAGGTCAGAAAATGACCGAAGAATAGGGCAGACCAACGATCTGCCCGCATTTCAACTGTTGGAAACTGGGTGATATCATATGTGGAAATCATGGTATGGATGTAGAAAAGTATTCTACGAAGGATGAAAGAGAGGGAAAATAAAAATAAAGTCGAGGCAATGGAATCAGCGGGGAGTGATCTTATCTGATGGGAAAATCCCTCATTCCTAGTTTATCTATAATGCGGTAGTTACGATTTATAATAATATCCAGGATCATGACTCGAGTACTGTATTAGTGCTGTACTTTTGAACCCACTAGTGTATAACTACTACAAAGGCTAGGACTGGTTAGGTGGTTGCTTAATAGATATTCCCGCAAGGTGCAGCGCCTATGTACACATCTAGCTATCTTCCCCGGTCAACCTCCGGTCTAGAGAGAATTATCAATTCTCTAGAATAGGGGGTTAGGGTCTTGAAAAGAGGTTAAAGAGAGAACTATTTCTCCCAAAGAGTGACCCTATAGATTACTCACTTACTATAAATCCTGAATCCTAATATAAATATCACTTCTCCAAGACAGTTCCCCAACTCCTCTCTCTCATGACTTGCCGTCTGATTCTCCCATTCATGGCCCTGGCCGGGGCCTCGGACTTTCCACCGACAATTCTTCTTCTGCCCAATCCATCTGGATGAAGGGGGAGGCCTCCAACAGCAACATCCAGACCCTGTATGATATACTCGGCAGCATAAAGGTGCCGCCGGAAGACGTCTTTGCTTCCGGTGCCCACGTCAGTCAAATCACCTTTGGCAACTCAACAGATGCGGTCACGCTGCCGGTGAGCGTCAAGCTGACCCGCTCGACCTCCTCTGCGACTACCATCAGAGATCTCTCCGGCCTCGCTGATGTCTCCGATGTCTCCCTCGACCGACGAACGACCACGTACATGGAGGAAATTATAACTGTCGAGTGTATGGATCCGCCAGAGGGCGAGTACTTTTTACTCAGCTATATCGCGCAGAAACGTCTCTACGCCCTCATATGCACCTATGTCGAGATAGAGTCGGCCGGCTTCTGGAGCGTCGTCGGCTTGACGGTGAGCAACCTCGCTTGCGGCGCCAACTTACAGTATGTCTGCACCGGGTTCTTTACGCTTGCGGCCGCCGAGACCGGCTATTACATCAGCGCGGGCATACGGGAGAACTGTGACGCGACATTTAAGAGCATTATGGACACATGCCGGAAGAGGGGGGGCGTCTCCACCGTGGAGATCATAGAGACAAAGAAAAAGTTCCTGGCAGTGGGCGTGGCATCAGGCGCAAGTGAACCTGTAGCTCTATATATAGAGGGCACTACTGATGAGCTCTGTGAAACTTATACCTGTGATGGGCAGTGTAAGAAAGCATAAGAGGGTACCTAGCGCACTTCCTCTTGGGTCCTACACCTACAGTCCACCCTATATAGATATTATCTATGCACACTAACTACCCCTCCAGTAGTCTAACTTTAGGAAATACTATTATAATAAGGCGTACTATAGTTTAACGCTCATTATTTCCCCTAGTATTCTATCCTTTTCTAGTAATTTTCTGTTTATTAAATAGCCCTATATAAGCTTTATAATGTTCTTTAAGGCAAATCTCATACTTTGTATATACTAAAGCTTTATTTTTTTTTTCTCCTTTTTGAAATATAAGAATTTATCCTCTCAGAGGATTTGAGAAATAATTTTCTTTTAATTAGTCTAAAAGAAGTAAGATGTTATAGAAACCTTAAGTCTAGTTAGTATTAATGATTTCAGACTAAGCTTAAGGTTTCTCGAAGACTCTATATATCTAGACATTATTTGTCTATCTATATAGCGTCACTTCTATGGTGCCAGGTCATCACTTATAGCAAGGCCCAGCCTAGATGATGGCTATATAGATATAAACAAACAAAAAGGAGCTACTCATTACCTTAGTCTGATATATAGAGAATTTATAATGATTTCTTTCTCATCTACTCATCTCCGTCCTGGTGCTTCACCTTAGAAGAAAGGAGAATTAAGTAGTCTGTAAGTAATGAAATGGATTATTATGATGTTTCCATGCTAGGTTGACTAGAAGTGAGAACTAATACTATTAAATAAGTTCTTAAAGCCAAGACATGTAGTTTCAAACCATGGGAAGTAGAAGGTTAATGGGGATTAATGTCATGGCGACGGCGAGGTCGTCCGGATGCCTCAGGCAGGTCGTGGTGAATAGGGGCACTATTCCTGTTTTAGTTTAGCGCAGGAAAGGGGAGAGGGATATCAGACGCGCCTCGCGACGCATCTCTCTCTCCCCTCCTCTTTCCCCTCTTCGTTCGAATATTCTAGTATTGAAGCCACCAATTGGTTATTCATTTGCTTAGGGCCGTCACATATAATACCATAGCTCATATTCAGTTAAGGGCATGAGGATGGTAATAAATAGACAAGAAAGTAGTGGCTCGGCTTTACCGCCAGGTGTGCAGTTCTTTTTGCAATGTATAAATACATCTCAAGAATGCAGATTATAAAGAAAACTTCTCCAAGGGACCAATGCTTCGGTTTGAAGACTCGCTGCCGAAACTACCTGTTCCGTCCCTTAAAGAGACTGCGGTGCGATACCTCAAGTCTGACTAACCTATAGTTACTCTTGACCTTGGAACTGGCATCGACAACTTAAGCGGTTCAAGAGTTCATTAAACCTGGTGGAGTTGGTGCATGGCTGCAAGCAAAGCTGATTGCTCGGCGAGAAGATACGAAACATAGGAATTGGCTATATAATGGTGGAACGATGCAGCGTATCTGTCATATAGAGACCTAGTGGTGCCATATGTCAGCTACTTCTATTCTCACCATGATGATAAATGGCGCCGTGAGCCCTTCAAGCGCGCAGCAGCTATATCTTCTAAAGTGCTGGAGTTTAAGGTAATTTAAAAATAGCACCTTAGAGCCAGAATATATGAAGAAGCTGCCTCTCATAATGGAGAGTTGCCAGTGGATGTTTAAAACCTGCAGAGTGCCCACTTAAGTGGCCAATCTTCCAGTAAAATACTCTCCAGCAGAGCATAAGCACATTCTCATCATCTATAAAAATCACCTCTTTAAGGTTCTGCACAAAGTCGACAGAACGCTGTTGAATAATACTGAGCTAGAATAGTAATTCTAGCAGGTCTACGACGACATGGCTGAGGAGGTGCCTCAGGTCAGTGCTGACATCTAATGATATATTTCTTAATAATAGAAGAGTCATGTGACTGTTGTGAAATGAAATTTCACCGCACCATCCCAAGGGATGGGCCGATCGGATGGGTGATATATGATCACGTGATGGAGTTTCACCAGGTCGGGCAGCAACGGGACTGACTCATGACGTAAAAACCAGGCAGTCAGCGTTTTTCTGTTTAAATCTCAGAAAAACCCCTCTTATTAGCCTCATCATTATCCTTTGGATTTATCATCAAGCGAGCCTGGTACACATACGAAGCATAGCTCGCGGCAAGATATAGCTATCCTCCACCTATATAGGTAGGGGATTATTTAAATTACTTTACCCCCCTAAATTGCCTATCTACCAATAAATCCACCTTGATTTATCCTGGTTTCCATGTATTGATGATACCTGTTGCGCAATGTACGACGTCCCACTTATGAAGACACCCGGCCAAGTTTGTTTCAATAGTTAAGATTCACTCAACTATTACCACCTCCATTCTAACCCACATATATCGCTCGCCTTGAACAACTAAACATCGGTAACATGGCGAGGAGCCCGGGTTATGTTATTATAAAGAGCTCGATACCACGAGTCATCGCCGAGGAAGCTGCGGAGTCAGTCTTGCAATCACCCCTGATACAAAAGCATGAGAAATACACCGAACACAAGGTCCCAAATATCTGTATGAAAATGAAAGATGATTTCATGAATGTAAGTTAGAACAAGGCACGTAATGCAGAGATGCTGACCTTCCATAAGGTGGTCGACCGTAGTACTATCGCCTCTCTGATGGACCCAAAGCCCGTTCCAAAAGGCCCGAATGATCTCTTCGCTGGCCAGTTTCACGAAACGAATGCAGAACCGACGAAGCTGAAGACAGCCCAGAAAGATCAAGTTTATGCCACGATAGCTCTAACAGATCTAAGCCCTTCAAATGGCTGGTACACTTTTTATGAAGATTCGCACTCCCGAACAAGACCTCTGTCAACATTGGTTGCGCCAAATCTAAAGGCTGGTGATGCTATGGTCTGGCGAGGGGATTTAGTATATATTCATTCATCTGGGGGAGGTGGAGTATTTCTAACATTAGTTTTCCAATAATTTTGAAATCAATGCATGTTGCCAGCAAATTAATATAATGCAGCTTAGCTCAGCTCCCTTGCGGCTGACGCATAGTCAATTTTAATTCAAGTTATAGTCCCAATAAGACGATCTAGCCTGTGTCGTGTCGCAGTGATCTATTGGCTCAGAGAAAACAAAGTCCTGATCCCAGTACGCAGCATGTCCAGTCACATCAGAGAGTAGTGATTCGGCATTAAGGAAGTCTTGATCCCCAAAGAAATTATGGCTACTGGGGCCACTGAAAGTCTCTTGTGAAGTTTGATCACTTTGAAGGAATTGTCTATCCCAGTAACTTTGTTGACTGATTTGGTCATTGGATCTGTCGCCTGCACCAAACTATTAGCTCTACCAAATGGAATACAATGGGGAGACGAACAAGCTGTTTGAAATGCCCCCTTATGGCCAATAGTAGTCAGAATAGTAGAGGCTAAATTGGTTTCAGGGAGTAGATTTCCTTCACCAGGTCTCGGGTCGGTTCCATGCGTTCCACTTTCTTCATTTTCGGTAGACTGGCCCGGCTGATTGGTAGATGCCCCGACGACATTTCTGCTTGAGTTGGGAACAGCATCATTACAATGCTTTTCGATGTGACCATTGGCGTCATCCATTACTATATATACTTGTTAATAAGGATACAAAACAAACATCAGGGAGACAAACAATGGGAAGTATTTGGATATGAGCATGAATCAATGGAAGAAAAGTTATCCGAGCCCAAGCTCAATCCAACGCTCAATTGACGGTTGCCGTTTCTGAATAATGCGTGATAGTTATGTGAGGGCATTGCAGTATCCTCAAGCGAGATTGGCTGAGAAGACCGGGCCACCACAGCCCGGTCTGAGTTTGGTGTAAGGGAGCTATGATGAACACATGTTGAAGGAGTCTGAACCGTATCTCCGACGCTTGGCTGCGCTCGTTCAATCCCCGTTGCCACCGCTTTGTTGGTGCCTCCGATCAATACATTCGGCTGGGAAAGAGATCCAAAATGACTATGAGCTCTGGCATCAAAGTGGTTTTGATGTATAGGCCAGTAAGGCGTATTTTGGGAACTTGAGTAGCGCGGTCCATTATCTTGAGACCCAGGCGCAGACTGCTGGAAACCGGAAGCTCTAGAAGATAAATCGGATAGCGGATGCTGCACGAATACTTCAACAACATGCCCATTCCCACTATTCTCACCGTCGACGTTTCGCTCATCGCGTCTGGAATGCGTCATCAGCGTTGACACATGCTCGCGCGATGCCGAACTCTGGTTCAACCGCACGCGTTTAGAAGTGCACGAATCGTTGGGAGATGGGGCGTCTTCCATCTGGCGCGGAACACTGGCACTGGCAGCAGTCGTCCTATTTCCCATTCGCTTCCGTTTATTTCCTGGCCTTGGGGGCGGTATACAGGATGTGGTTTGGCTCTCAATCTCGGACAGGATTCGGCTACCAAGGCTATGTAGTTGATAGCGTTCCGCAATCTCAGGGACCATTAGAGACTTGAAATGGGAAACAACAAACTCCAGATTCTATAGGGCAAATCTCATATTTTAGATACTTCCTAAACCTTCATATTTTTTCTTTATTTTGAAATATGATAATTTGTTTTTTAAGAGGATTTCAAAAATATAGTCCTTTTTTTTATAGGCCTAAAGGTGGTGGAGTTATAAGGGGTTAAAGATGTTATAGAAACCTTAATCTA